AACCATGTGTCAAATTGATCTTAATTTATTTGTTGGAAATGTTCATATACAGAGCTGCTCTAACCATGTGTTGAACTGTTATCATCCGGCAATTGGCAAAAGAAGAAAACAATATAAAGGCATTCTAACTGGAAAGGCATTTTAGTAAACCAGTGGATAGAGTCGTAAGACAAAAGAAGAAGCATAATGCAGTTTCCAGGCTTATAAAACCTCAAGAGATGCATGCTGTCAAAATTTCCTCTCGTTTTGCATATACACAGCTCTCAAATCTCAAAAGTCTTTATTTAACGCCTACATATTGTAGTCACACTTGTTTTCTAATTATAAATTTTTCTTGGATGTATATAATGTATCAACTATACATACACCCACATGCTCGAATAGCAATCAGTAAAGGAAGAGAAGAAGAAGTAAGAAGATGGTGTCGGGTCGGGTCGGATTTTGTTTGATTCTTCTGGGCACGGTTCTTGTTTTCCACACGGTTGGCGTCGGCGGTGCTACGACGGAGAAGGGAGTAACGTACGACGGACGGTCTTTGATTATCGATGGACAGAGGAAACTTCTCTTCTTCGGTTCAATTCATTATCCTCGCAGCACACCCGAGGTAAAAAAAATAATATAATAAGAGAATATTTTATTTGTGCATTTCTAAAGTGTTTTGGCATGTCAATTTAATATATAAGACCTGTGTTTAATATATGATCCACGAACATTAACATGTGAGTGGATAAAAAAATTAACACACATTTTTTTTTTAGTTTTTCTCTCTCTCGTTGCAACAAATAGTCTGGGATTTTAAACCAAACCGAATTAACGGAACCGAGCCAAATCGAATTTTTTGGTTTTCGATTCTGGTTCAGTTATTAAAAGACAACCGATCGGACATATTTTAAATTTCGTTCGGTTCGGTTTGCTGAATCGAACGGTTACCTGATTTTTTTTTCTTTTTTAAAAAAAACCAAATTATATTAAAATATACCAAATTGTACTAAATTATACTGAACTAAATATCCAAACTATCCAAAAATATCTAAAATTACCTGAAAATACCCGAAATAATCCAAATCTACCCGAAATTAACCGAATTTAACCTAATTTAAACAAAAAAAAATTAAAAATTTGAATAGTTTCAGATAAGGAAATTAATATTCGAACTATGTGATATCAGAACCGAACCGAATTATCTTTCGGTTATTTTTGAATAGAATAATTTGTGAAATGAATAAAAACATGTGTTTGCAGTTGCAGGAGGAAGAAAAAGGAGAAAGTGTTGCGATTAAAGACGACGCCATTGTCACCACTAGGGGCAGTATAAACAACATCACTGTGTCGAGTAGGGGCATAAATGTCAAAGCAAAGAAAAAAGAGAAAGGAGAAGTTAGCTCAGGCCGTTCCGGCGGCCATCACTTATAGTAGTATCTAATTACTTCCTCAGTATTTTTTTATTATATGATGTTTTAGAGATATTCACACAGATTAATTAATTATTTTATTTTTTATTTTTTCAAAACAAAACATATTCTTTTGTCAATTCCAAAACAATTCAACTAATAGAAAAATAAAATTCAAAACTAAAATAGTTAAAACAATAAAAACACAATTACTTTTTGCATATAAACTTGAAAACATCATATATTTTAGAACAAAAAAAAAACTCTAAAACATCAACGGAGGAAATACATTGTTTAGTTCAATTGATTTGCAGTCATTAAATTAGCATTATAAGTGCAATCAGTGATATTTTAGTAGTAATTCACTAGTTATTTAATTAGCATGATTGTTCTTTGTATTTATTTTTAAATGATATTAACAGTTTACCGACACAAAGAGGTAAGATGATAGATAGTTCATCAATCTGAAAACAACACAAACCTTCATTTTCTTCCCTATCAATATTGGAAGAAAACTCTTAATTAATGTATTGTACATGAAATTATAGTATCTGATGTGATCATTTTTACATTTTTTTTTATGCTATGTTGGGGTTCACAAAAAAAATGAAAATATCCAATCGTCACAAGTTCATAATGAGTACTATCGAACACATCTGTCCCTAATCAGTGTTAAACACTAAAGACGTACATAATTAATAATTTGGACTAAGTTAAGAGTTAACTAACAGTCCGTCCTAACTCCTAACCCACATTAATTATTTGGTCGGTAAGCCTATGCGTGTGAATCAAGTACTTTGTTTTTATGGGAAAATGAAAAAAATGAAAAAAACCAGCTTAACAATTGAAACTGCAAAATGATGGATTTGCATGGAATGAAGAAATTAGGGAACACATACTATTATTATTCTAGAATTATGGGGCTTACCAACATTTTAGTAAACCTAATACGATATTTGTAATGATATAGACTATAATAATAAACGCAATGACGATGATTATATAACAAATTCACAATGTGTATGCGTTGACAATATTAAAGACAAAGGTCACAGGTACTCTCTACTAGTAATGCCTGGTTATATATTCTTTAAAAAACAAGATTGAAATATTCAATGACAAAAAAAAGAAGAAGAATTAGCTGTGTCACAACCGCGAGGAGCATGCAGCACCAACTTCGAATATATAACAACCTAACATCCTTCATTGTGACTTTAGTGGACTTTAGGCATTTCTAATTCATTTTCTCTTCATATAAATTATAACAGAGAAAAAAAAAACATTTCATAAGACCCATAAGCCGTACGTGGACCGTGGTGATAAGTCTCGCGTCACCAGAGAACTATAATTTTTAAACTAAGGTATGGTGAGACAGAAGTTTGGGGGTCTTAATAATTGGCCCTACAATAATCATTATATTCCACCTTTTTAAATACAATTTACAAGCGACCACAATGGTTCGGTTACGGACCCATAAATGCATTAAGCCAATGGCAAACAAAAAAAAGATGCATTAAAACCAAAGGAATAAGTGCAAAACTATTAGTACAAAATTGGATTTTCCCAAATTTATTTATATCATGACCGTTTTATTACTGCCATGCAAGATAAGCAAGTCATGTGGGTCCGATCAATGGTTTTGTTTGAAGAGAATGTAAAATTTGTATTCATAGCTCTTTTTTAACAAATAATGCAATCGGAATTAATGTAAATTTTTTTAGTTTTTTCCAGAATGTAAACTTGAAAAAGTGGGTTTAAACTATTTGACAAAGTACCTAAAAGATAATAGAAAATGAAAGCACAAGAAGAGACATATTATTTTTCGTATAGATGATTGTGGTTGTGATTTTATAAACCTCTTTATAAGCAACATGGGGTTTATGATACAGTAAAAATTATTATCGTTGAGTTTAAAGTTCCTTTTTCTTTGTATATATTTACTTTTATCCCCTCAGAAAAACGAAAGCATTAGTAATCTAATTGAATAATCAAAGATATTTCTTCTGTATTACCAATTCAACATCCAAAATTTGTTTTTTTTTTTGGTCAACGATCCAAAATTTGTTTAATTCAAACAAAAACAATTGAAAAAAAGCGTGAATTGAATTTGACCAGGACCAGAGAAGCTCTTTCAACCTCCACGTGTATTCGTTATTAGATTTTGACCGCGTAGATTGTTTAATATATTTACTCTGACATAAGCCAATCCACGCTTTTTTAATACAGTATTTATTTACTTTGATATATATAAGTCAAATATGCATCTCGGTTTTGTATATACGGCACCAACTAGTTCACAGCCGCACCTAACAAAACCGGTTTATGATAGACTCAGACTCAGTCAACAAAAAATAGTTGACCAACAACCAAGTGATATATCCCTTATAAAAGGAGTCGCATCTTCGTTACCAAGTTCTATCACCAACTCTAACTCTAAACATAACATCTCTCTCTCTTTCTAAAAAGACCAAAAGAGAAATAAACATAAGAAATCAACTATGGAAAATATGAGAAATGGTGAAGAAAACCATTCTCACTGGATCCCATTTATGTTCTTTGATCGATCTTCAGTAACAATTCCTCTCTTGAAGTGTTTCGGTCTCGAAAGCTCTTCTTCAACATCCTCATCTTCTGGTTCTGTTTTGTCATCTCACAGCGAAGAAGAAGACGATATGGAGATCAAGGAAGAGGAAGATGATATGACAGTTGAAATCACAGAGCGGGGCTTGCAGAAGAAGAGTAAGCCTAAGCCAAAGCCAAGCTCAGGAAAAGGAGGAAAAATCAATTAGGCTTCATATAAATAAACCTTATATATATGCTATAGTAGATAATATGTAATCACACACACATATATAGAAATAAGTAAATGCGAATGTATACAGACTGTAATATAGTCATTTGTTTTGAATGCGAATTGGATAATAGAATCGAGATTGATGTTATTTTTTTGCTAACAGAAGTTAAATGGGAGAATCACTGATGCGCTTAGTTCGTCTCGCAAGATAACTTGATACGATCTCAAAAAATCGAGTGACTGTCAACAAATGCAGCTTCAGCCTGTATAGGCCTAATCAATTAACCAGGCCCATTAATGATCGGTAGTGGGAAATCATCGGCCCATAAATAATGTCTTTGAACTTTAGTTAATCGCAAGGTGACAAAAATAAAAGGTGAAAATGGAAAAGGTTTAGTTGGTGAGGACATATTTATGGAAAACATTTATACAACAAATGCAGGTTAAATGGCTTTAATAACTGATTTACATTTTTAACAAATAAAGGAACAGTATCTTAGGATTTGATTTCTAATCACACAGCACGTGTTCGTGATACAAAAACCAAATAACATTTGGCCGTTGGATGTATTACACGTCAGCGATAAAAACACTCGTTATCAAGGTTTGTTATCGATATTTCAAATAATTACGGTTTTAGCCCCATCCGTTCCGTACGAGCCCGCGCTTATTCTTGGGAAAGTTTTCATTTGGGGGAAAAGTAGAAACAAAACAAACAAACCCTATTTTCTCTTCTGAGCCTGACCCTGACCCTGACCGAGTGGGGGCGTTAAAATCACGCCAAAAAGGACGTCTCAGAAAAGAGCTACAGTCCAAAACACTTCGTCTTCTTCTGTGATTTCGAAAATTTTCCCGATCCAACAGCCATTATACCCTAGCTTGCTCTTCCTCTCTTCTTCCAGTTCTAGCTAAAGCGACAGATATTTTCTCATCCGCCTCTTCTCGTTGTTTTGTGTTTTTTTCTTCTGGTGGTTTAGTGATACTCTGGAAATGAGGAAGGGAGCGAAGAAAACTGGAGGTTCCAAAGCAGGTCGCAAAGCTGCTTCTACTTCGTCGGCGAGTAAGAACGATGACGCGGTTGTAGAGACTCAGCCGAGTCAGAAGAGTCAGGAGATTGAGGAAGCGCCTAAGGTCGAATCTCCGCCTGCGAAGGAAGCCGGGAATGAAGAAGAGATGAGCGAAAACCAGGAGCCGGAAGAAGAACAAAATCAGGAGCAGGAAGAGGAACAAGCGAAACCTGATTCCTCGACGCAACAGGAGAAGGATCCAAGCGCGAGCCAAACTGACGAGACGAAAGGTGCATCTTCTTCGCAACCGCAAGCTGACGAAAAGAAAGAGGAGACCGAGACGCCTCTTCGTCGTGGTAAGCGTAAGAGAGTCACAAAGAGTGAATCAGAGAAGAAAGAGGAAAACAATCCGCCTCCGAGAGCTAAGCGAGCCAGAGCGACCAAGCCGCGGGAACCTCAACCTGTGCCGGAGTACTTCACGGAGAAGCGTAGTCTGGTATGCTGTTTTACTCATCTTCTGTTTAGATTTCCCGTCCGTCAAGTAAATACGTATGCGGCTTGAGTTTTTTGAGTTTGGATCTGATGCTTTTTAGTATGAAGTCAAAATCGCAATGAGATACGCTTGTATGCCATTTTTGTTGTTTTTTTTCTGCTGAAGTTTTTGTGTAGTTAAGAGATCTAGGTTGCAGTAATGATTATATTTAGTATATAAGCTTGTGGTGCTGTAGAGAAATGGATTTGAGAAGATTCATGGTTGTGGCATATTGTTATAGCCGATATATGTTTTAGCTTGCTTGCTTGTGGATTCTCCCAGTTCTTTCGAGGAATTAGAATTTTGGTTACACTCATGCAGTTTTGAGCAGAAATTTTGAGTGTTTTGAGTTTTAGACGCCCAGTTTCCTTTGTTTTGTTTAGTATTTTCCACATTTCTGTTGCGTTAGTAATCAAATGGTTTTCATGTTTCTCTGTGTATTCAGGAGGATTTGTGGAAGGCTGCATTCCCAGTGGGAACTGAGGTATTAAGTTTCAAGAAATTTGGCTTCAGCATTGGCTTTCGATTTATTATCTACATGATTAATCTATTGAATTTGTGGATAATGCTCTGTAAATTGTTAAAACAGTGGGGTCAAGTGGATGAGCTTTATGAATTCAAATGGAATTTCACGAATCTTGAAGTAAGTTCCATCACCTATTTCTAAGAATCTATTTTGTTCCTTGACTGTTCTAAAAGTATTTCTTGGAGTGTGACAAAACTCACAAAAAGTTCTATTTGCTTTGTGACAGGAAGCTCTGGAGGAAGGTGGAAAGCTCCATGGGAAGACAGTCTATGCTTTTGGCTGCGCAGAGTGTAAGCTTGCTCTAATCCTTCGTACGATTAATGATAGATGACATTTATCTTTGTCTGATTTGCTTGAATATCCATCTGGCTGTGCAGTGTGCATCTCTCTTTTCCCCTATTGATTTCCTCTATCTTATTATTGCAGCTCAATTAGTCACTTACAAAAATGAAACCAAGACTGTCCTTGTTCCTGCAGTCGTTTGTGTAAGCTTTGGTTTCCTATTTATTATCATGTCACTGAATCTTAAAATAGAAGCTCAGTATTGTGATTTGGTGAATTAAGTCTCTTGCGCCAACAAGATCATATTGTTATCTATACCTGATGTTTAATTTTGTTTTCTATCTATTTACAGATTGAATCATCCATTCCCCCTTCTGATAAGATAGGAATTACATCGGATCAAATCCAGGCAGATGAGATAATTCCCATGAAAGATATGAAAATGGCCTGGGTTCCTTACATACCGCTTGAGAAAAGGTACCTAGACACACCCTGAGTTCCACCTTTTCGTTGGAGGGAAACAAATAATATGTTTATGTGCCACTATTACCTTTGACGTTTATTGGGAAGCTGCTAATAACCTCTGCCTCTGTTGTTTTACAGGGATAGAGAAGTGGATAGAATGAACTTCCAAATTTTTATCTTGGGCTGTACGCAGAGAAGGTAAATAACACGTGGTGTTGTTTTTTCTCAGTCTCTAGCTATAAGTCATAAGACGTTATTTGCTTTGTCGAGGAAAGGATTTTGATTGAATTACACTAATGCTTTTGAAAGCATGGCTACACACAGCCTTATCTGAAAGTGTGATGCATCAATTTGCACTCTTCACTTACGTCCATTCACATTCAGCAACTTAGGAATGCAGAATTCTGTGTATTCAGTCTAGGTTTGTATATTCTTTGCAGGTCTGCTCTCAAACATTTGAAGGAAGATCGTGTTAAAAAATTCAACCATTGCCTTCCTTGTGAGCTTTATAATTCCCTGCTATCAAGTCTAGTTACATTTGGATGCATAGCTAGCTGGTTCTTATTGATGATAGATTCTCTGTAACATGTCTTCATGTGCTTGAAATATGCTTTCTTAATTACACTCTTGTTATATTGGATCTTTTTTTTTCCCCTGGGGTCGCAAACATCACAACTCTAAACGTTACTGTTTTGTTAATTTTATCTGCAGACACCGACAACCCATTTAAGGAATATGAATCTGAGCAGGGCACAATGGTTCAAATAACGTTCCCTTCTGAACCACCAGTAAGCGCTTTTTTGACATGCAGTGATCTGTGTTTGGATTGTACAATCTGTATTTTTAATTTTAATCAAACTCAATGTTCTTCTCCTTTGTTGCAGGTTCTACGCGAATATGACTGGGAGAATAACAACCTTGAGGTGCAGTATCTGGCTTTATCAATTACTGAGAGAAGAACAAACACTTAATTACTTCTCATCTCTGTTTAATTTCAGGACTTCACCAATGATCTTATCACAGACGAGGCATTACTCCTGAACAAAAAGGATGAGTTCATGGTAAGCAAGAGCTGGGTTTCATTCAAGGAAAGCATTTGTTGATGGTTTCCCTGATTCACTCACATGTTTCCTTGTTCAGGAGTTTGTCAAAGAGCAATGTGAAAATGCAAAGAAAACGAAGGAAAAGGTACTATGTTTATGTTTTCATACGGATACTACTAGTCACACAAACATGTAATAATGCTAATATAATTCTACAAATTGGCAGGCGAAACAAGACCGAGAGAAAGCAATGGAAGGAATGAGCGAAGAAACAAAGGAAGCCTACAAAGAAATGAAGTTGTACAAGTTTTATCCACTGCCTTCGCCAGACACACCCGACCTATCAGGAATCGAGAAGGTACAACAACACAAATACACAATCTATTTGCTTTTCACATTTCGTTTCTAACAAAAACTCTGAATCTGATATCTTCGTCGGTGTTGTGCAGTCCTCGTTTATAAACAAGTACTTCGGAAAGGCTCACGAAGTCGTATGATCGTTTCTCCAAAAACCAGGAATGATGAAACGTTTTTTCCTTTCGGCAAACTTCAAAAACTACTGCTGAAAATCAAATAAACCACTTGGGTGGGGATGTAGACCAAAGATACAACAAGATACTTAGATAAAATGTCTTTTGGAGCTGGATTTTTTGGTTTCTCTGTGTTGAGTTTCGCAAATATTTTTTATCTAAACAAACGAGTAAGAAACAAAAGGGATAAATAGAGAGAGACCTTCCCACATTAGAGACGAGTAGCCGAAGAAGAAGAAGAAGAAGCAGAAGCAGCAGAATCGGTCAAGGTAGAGACAGTTCGTTTCTTCCTCTCTTCCTCATATTCGGCATCATCAGTCTGAAGCTGGAATCTACAAACAGGACAAGAGTTCCTTGTCCCTAACCATGGCACAATACAATTCCCGTGGTAACAATGTCCACACGGAAGCTTCTTCCCGATTTCACCCATCACCATTGCCTCTTTACACACAGCACAAACAACAGTCATCATCTCTCCCTCTCCCTCTCCCTCTTTCTCAACCTCGAAAGTCTCTAACGCCTCAATCGCCGATTTTGCAGCCGGTGGTGCTCCTCTCCTCCCACCACCAGTACCGTCTCCTTCCGCTAAATTCTGAAGCAAAGCTTCGTAACCTGCTGCGTCGTCGACGTAATCTCCCGGATTCCCTGTGTATCGATCTGTTTCCATACGGAACTCGATCGAATTGTCTTCTATTCCCATCAAAATCTCAGCCCAATCGAGAATCCGGTTCCGTCCGGTTCTTGATCGTGTTGTGATTGGGAATATCTCCCGCCGATTTGTCCCTCTCAGCTCTTCCTCCTCATCTTCTTCGTCGTAGACGGTTAAATTCTCTTCCTCCTCTTCCTCCTCATCTTCATTTCCGTCATCTCCATCTTCATCCTCTTCATCGTCGTCATCGATTTCGTTTCCACTGTTGAGCTCCAATCTGAAGAATTCGTCTTCGTAAGATAATACATCAAGCTGTGGTGGTGGTGACCGCTGCGAAGGCGCGTGGGCCAACAGACGGAGCATCTGGAGGAAATGCGAGCCGATACTCGAGTCGTCGACGGTCAGATCTGGGGAAAGTGGCGCCGTCGAAGAAGAATACGCGGCGGGAATCGGCTGGATTGACTCGACGAAACCTTTGTTACATTCGCAGCAGACGACCAAGTCGTCCATGGTTTCTACGTCCACGCGTTTGTTGCAGTGGTAGCACCAGTGCGACGCTGCGGCATCCGCATCCGACGGAGCGTCGGACATCGTTCTTCCGTCGGGTTATTGGGCTTTCGGGTCCGGGCTCGGATCCGATAAGCCGATCAGTGTGGATAGAGAAAACGAGAAAAGAAAAAAGGTCTTGGAATTATCTAATTCATAGACATATCGTATCGCACTCATTACCCCACAATATTATTATAATCCTTATTTTTTTGTTGTCTGTCTCATTCATTAATACTTTGGGCTACTTGCCATTTTAATTAAGCTGTTTGCGAAATCAAAACTGACTTGTACTTGTGTTTAAAATGGATTCATCAACTCCCTTCTATACCCAAAAAAACTGAATTTGAATATTCTTTAATCCATGATGTAATGTTTTCATAAAGAAATGCTATAAAAAAAAAATTTAAAAGGAGATCTTATCATATAAAGAGCATATATGTATGTTGTTTTGTTTCGAAAACAGTCAAAATATAGCTCTAACATAAGGTTTTAACATTGATAAACAAATACATCATCATTTTGTAATAGCGATTTCATTGTTTCGACTTCACCCATAGAAACAAACACAAAAACCCCAAGGATACAAGATAAAAAATTCCAAATCGTTACAATAATGATACAGAGAGGGAATCGCCTCAAACATCATACCCCGATACACCAAGATACTTATACATAAAATGGTCTCTCCATTCACCAACTGTCGCAAATGGCAAAAGACCGTTGACCACTGGAAGTGCCAACAGAATCACCCCCAAGAAGATCCGTCTTGCCCAATACGGAACCTTACTGTTACAACGGCTCGATTTGGTCCCTTGAGTCACAGTTATTGGACCATACATCAAATCATACAAAGCCAACGTGAAGACATTTGCAACGAACTGCAAAAGACAAAACATTTCCCAAAGAACCAGCCAGTGTTTACCGTTCCCGCCCAACGTGTCCACGCAAAACTTACCAGGTAAACCGCAAACAATACCGAGGAAGAGAACGATGAAAGTTACCGGCATTGTCTGCTTCGTACCGCCTGATGAGCGTTGGATTATGAAGTACGTGAAGACGAGGATCATCAGGCCGCCGAAGAAAATCTGAACCCAAACTCGAAGCCGGCAGATGAAGATGTTAAGATCCGTGTTGAACGACGAAACTTGTTTAGGAACCCACCAAGAAGAGTTTTTCTCTTCGGATGGCTGGCATAATGAGGTAGCTTCCATGATTCTCTGCTGAGAGAAGATCCAAGCGCCGTATAACATAGAAGACAGCATGATGAAGACGCTTAGACCGAGCCAGTCCATGATTCTTGTGACCATCTCGGTTTTTCTTGAGTCTTCTAATTCGGTTTTGAACTTCTCGGCTCTGAACGCAGCTTTCGAAACACCCATCTCTAGTTTCGATTTCCCAAGATTGTTTGATTCGTAGCTCAGTGCAAGCTCCGTCTCTTTCAGCCTTAGTTTCCTCATTGTAAGACCAATCTCCATGCTCTTTAGGTCGTTTGCTCGTGCTTGCTCTTCTAAAGACCTTTCGACTGTCGTCAAAGACATCGCTGAGCTTCTAGGGAAGCCAGAGAGTTGTCGAATCTCTTCGTGCAAGACAATCTCATTCATCGAAGAGGTTGTTGTTCTTGCATTGCCTTGAATCGCTTCATATGCAGACGTAGCAGATGAAGTCTCCTTTGCAGATCGCTCGCTGTCCGAGCATCCGTCTATTGTAGAACGGTCTAAATTATAACTCCCAACATTACTATTGTCAAACTCACGCGGATATGCAGATTCATTGATCAATTTAAGGATCCTTAGAGTACTGTTAAATGATTTCTCAAAGTTTGTCGCAAAGGAACCGAGCTTATTACCATACACCTGTAAATCACATCATCACCTAATTATAATCAAAGAAAGTCTATAAATTGGAGAATGTGGAAAAAATCAGGGGACTTTTGGCCTTACATTGGCTAAAGATTCTTTGACAGCGGAAGCAGAAATCTGCAGAGCATAACCAGTGAAATTCGTGTTATTATTACCAAAAAAAAAAAAAACTATAGCGAAAGAGAGATCAAGAAAAAACTCATTTGGAAATTCTAAGTACTTACCACTGCAAGATCATCGACATATACATTCTGACCTGCGGCACTCTTTCTCTCAAGAACCTGGAGAAGGTGAAAACAAACAGAGACAGTAAAAATTACAGAGCAATGTAAGTTTGGTGGCTAAGTAGCTAAACCAGCAATAACTCAGGTTCAAATTTGGAGAAACCACGACAAGAGTTACAAAGGTTCAAGCTTTAAGACAAGTGAGAGACCAGACAATTCAACTGTGTCAGAGTAGCAATATTGATTCATTGAAGCTCACTTATAGATCCCAAAGACGAAACTCAGCCTCGATTGATTGACTCTGATTGAAATTCAAAAAGAAGATCCTCTCTTTCGATTCAAGCATTGCTAATTTGTTATAGATCCTTAAAGAAGAAATTCAGATTCAATCCGTTGTCTCTGTATCAGACTTCAACAGAAGATCTTCTTCTCGGTCCAGTTTTGAATTATGCGAACCTAAATTAAAAGACTACGGTCAAATACTCGTAGCTTCATTTCCCTAAAAGATGCGAGCTTTGTAAGCACAGAAATCCTAAATCTCAAGCGAAGTCAACTATAAAAACAGAATTGAATCAACCCGTAACAGAACATGATAGATCAAAGGCCAATTTCGTATCAAAAGAGCAAAAACAGAGCCATGTGGTATAAAGGAGAGACAGAGAAAGAGATAATTTTTTTTAAGGAAAATGATCGAACCAGATTGGCAAATGCCGCAAATGACATGCCCAGAGGAAGAGCCAAGGCTTCGGCTTGTCGTTCCCCGACGCTTCGTCGAGCCATACCTAACCGCACCGTATGATTCCGCAATCTATGAGACACTCGCGAAACCCTTCGAGTGGAATTGAGGTTTGAGGTAGAAGACGAAGAACAAGAGGAAGTCGCCTCGTCGTTGTTCGTAATCTCTTTCATCTTTGCCTTCAGCTTTCTCTTTTCTAGAGTCGATGGCTTCATCTTCATCTTCATCGTATCATCATTGAGTTCTTCCCGGAGGTGCTCCGATTGGTGATTTGCCCTTTTATTCGCCGGATCGGTGATGTGATTTTGAGGCTCCGGCGAAGGAGAAAGGAGGAGGGCGTCCATTTCCTATAAACATAACTTATGGGGTCAATTTAGAACTTTGAGGAAGTATTTAACTCGGAAGATTTCCGCCGCTTCGTGAGTGAAAAAAAGATTTCGAATTTCGAACTTTTTTCTTTTTTTGGGAATCCGACTTTCCGAATTCTAGAATTGGTGTAATTAGCTTCATATAGAAATATACTGAACCAAATATTTGGTTCTGAATATTTGGTTTTGTATTGAAAAAACCATGTTCATTGTATTATATTTTTAGTTTTCCTGTCAAGTTCAATGTATTCTTCTTCTTTTTCTCCCGTTAATAAAAATTTATTCTAATTTTTAAATGTTAATTAAATAGTTTTAAATATTCGGTTATATTTTTAATACAGTACTGATGCGATCTAAGTCTATAAAACCTTTTGCTATATAATGGAAGCCGGTTTTCATACACATACAACACTAAATTTTTTTTAAAACTAAAACTGTTACTTACAAGTTACAACACTCATTTGATCTGATTTATTATATAATTTGTTTAAACTTCATCAAACAAATATCCTAAAAAAAGGTGAGTTGTAGTAACTGTTTTCTTTTACAGTATTCGAGTTGTAGTAACTGTTTTCTTTTACAGTATTCGAGTTGTAGTAACTGTTTTCTTTTACAGTATTCGAGTTGTAGTAACTGTTTTCTTTTACAGTATTCGAGTTAAGAAAATGTGTGTGAATTTAACTAAGTGTATAAATTATATACAAAAATATCACACATGCGTCAAAATAAAACCAAACAGTCAAAGTCACACTATACCCTTAATCAAAAGCCTCTTTGTGGCTGTGATAACGCGATGATGTGTCCTAAACAACCAATCAAAAGACTAGAACATCTGCTTCACTCATCTAATCTATGCCACGTGTCCTTTTCATATCCACCCCTTTATTTATCAGTTTTCCCAATTATTTTTAAAAATTTTCATTCTCTGCTCTTCTCCAGAGCCTCTAAACCTCCTCTGCAAAGAGCCAAACAAACAAGTCTTCTTCTTCAAATCTCTCGTTGCCTTCCACGCAAATGAAAATAAGGGTTTAACTTGGGATCGCTTCCGGATAATTTCCCTCAATGGCGACTTCATCTTCTTCCTCATCGTCGTCTCTCCTGTTGCCGAACATCAATTTCCATTCCAGGCAATCTACAATCACTCGCTCCATCTCAATCCCCGGAATTTTTCTACCCAGAAATCGCCTAAGCTACAATCACAATCTTCCGCTTCGAATCAGAGCTTCCAAAGACGATAATGTCGCAGTGGAAGATCGAGAAAATGCAGTGATCAAAAAAGTTAACGGCAACGGAAGTGTCCGTTTAAACGGCAACGGAGCTGCGAGAAAGTCCGTCAACGGAAGTTATAACGGAAGTGCCCGTTTAAACGGTAACGGTAGTTTGGTGAAGTATGTGAACGGAAGCGTAACGGTGGAAACGGAGGAAGTCTCAAATAAGAGAAAAGAGGAAGTGAGGCAGAAGAGAGTCGAGGATATTGGTCAAGAGGATGCTTGGTTTAAGAAAAGTCAGCAAAAACAACAAGTTGAGGTAATCATCAAATTAAAAATGTTATCTTTTAATAAAAAAATCGTTTTGTTTTTTAGAACGATTCGAGTTCTTGAAACAGGTTTCTGTTGCACCTGGTGGTCGATGGAGTAGATTCAAGACTTACTCAACGATACAGAGAACACTGGAGATTTGGGGATTTGTTCTAACGTTTATTTTCAGGACATGGTTAAGCAGCCAGAAATTTTCATACAAAGGTTGTTAATTGTTATTATCTTTACTCACATACTATTATTATATGTTTATGTAAAAAAAGCATTCTCATTTCTCTAGATTTTTGTGTATTTTAGGGGGAATGACTGAGGAGAAAAAGGTTTTGAGAAGGAAGGTTTTGGCTAAGTGGTTGAAGGAAAACATATTGAGATTAGGTCCTACTTTTATTAAAATTGGGCAACAGTTTTCTACCAGAGTGGATATTCTCCCTCAAGAATATGTTGATCAATTATCAGAACTTCAGGTTTTGATTTCTTCTTAATCTTGAATTGTTTTGAATGGCTTCTCTTCTTTGTTGCATTTGTAAAGTTGTAATCTTGTGTTTGCAGGATCAAGTTCCTCCTTTCTCTTCTGCTACAGCTCTATCGATTGTTGAAGAGGAACTTGGAGCTTCTGTGGATGACATTTTCGACCGTTTTGATTATGAACCTATAGCTGCAGCTAGTCTTGGTAAAGCCTTTGTGGTGACCTTGTTATAATAATATTTCAAGAAAATGAGAAAGATAATAATAATTGGTTTTGGTCGTTAATGAGTACAGGCCAAGTTCACCGTGCAAGATTAAAGGGTCAAGAGGTTGTCATTAAAGTACAGAGACCTGGTCTCAAGGATCTCTTTGATATTGATCTTAAAAATTTGAGGGTTAGTGTCTGTCTCTAGCCACGCTCAATATAGAGTTATTGTCTCGTGATTTGCTTCTGCTGAGTTATTGGCGTTGTTATGGTTTTATGTAGGTAATTGCTGAGTATCTCCAAAAGGTGGATCCAAAATCAGATGGTGCAAAGAGAGATTGGGTTGCAATCTATGATGAATGTGCCAGTGTATTGTACCAGGTGTTATAGCATCTAGGCTTAGTTGAATCTTCTTTATTTGACTCAATTTTGAAGTGACCTCTAACCAACAATGTGCTATATTGTATAGGAAATTGATTACACAAAGGAAGCAGCTAATTCCGAACTGTTTGCTAATAACTTCAAAAACTTGGAGTATGTAAAAGTTCCATCCATCTACTGGGAATACACCACACCTCAGGTATTATTATTATCTGTGATCATTAGTTCATCATATACAAAGCCTTAAGTTCGAATGCAATAGTTATATCCATTATGTTCGTTGTAGGTCCTGACAATGGAGTACGTCCCTGGGATTAAGATTAACAAGATACAAGCCATAGATCAGTTAGGTGTTGATCGGAAAAGGTTTGTATTTTCTTACATCTTGTTCACAAGACTTAAAATATTTGTCATTTCTCTTTGAAGCCAAAATAGTTTCTTTGTTAATTTGGGTACAATGCAGGCTAGGGAGATATGCTGTTGAATCTTACCTGGAGCAAATCTTATCTCATGGATTCTTTCACGCGGACCCCGTGAGTCTCTTCTGTCATTGTCTTTCCCATTAGTGTCAATTATCTTTTATTTAGCCTACAGATACAAAAAGACTACACTCTGATTTTCTTGTGTATCTTGCTTCAGCACCCTGGGAATATTGCGGTTGATGATGTCAATGGCGGGAGGCTGATATTTTACGATTTTGGAATGATGGGAAGGTACTTCATTTTATGCTACAACAGCACTTCGTTACTATCTGAAAAACGCAAAAAGGGCTCGGTGATAGATATGATCACCACGATTATAGCTGTTGGACTAATGTTTCATGATTCTTGCAGTATCAGCCCAAATATTAGAGAAGGTTTGTTGGAGGCATTTTATGGCGTCTACGAAAAGGACCCAGATAAGGTATACTTTCCTCAGTGTACTCACTCTCAGTCTTCTACATCTATGCTTCTTTGTAGGACCTGAGCTCATACATCTTGTGGCAGGTCATTCAAGCTATGGTTCAAATGGGTGTGCTTGTACCAACTGGAGATTTGACGTCAGTCAGAAGAACAGCCCTGTTTTTTCTCAACAGGTAATTTACTATATCCTTGCATCTATCTAGCGTACAATTGAATGTTTTTGTTTCTTGTTTGGGTTCTCTAAAGTATGTGTGGGAGTGGTGTGGCATAACAGATGACTGACTATCTAGTCGCTGGTTGTGTTACAGCTTCGAAGAGCGGCTTGCTGCACAAAGAAAGGAGAAAGAAGAAATAGCAGCAGCAGAAGAGCTTGGGTTTAAGAAGCCACTAAGCAAGGAAGAAAAGCAAGAGAAAAAGAAGCAACGTTTGGCTGCAATCGGAGAAGACTTATTAGCCATTGCTGCTGATCAACCTTTCCGGTTCCCAGCCACATTCACATTTGTTGTTAGAGCCTTTTCAGGTTTGTAAATGTCATTTGGATTCGTTTCGACCATTCTTTTCATGGTTTTTTTTTTTGTTGTGTGTTCAAACTCAGATGAATGGTTACTCTCTCTGTGTGCAGTGTTGGATGGCATCGGCAAAGGTCTTGACCCTCGTTTTGATATAACTGAGATTGCAAAACCGTGAGTCTACTACACACAATATGTTATTAACATCTTCTTGTTAATCAGAAGAGTACTCAGAATATTTTTTGTTCTCCAGCTATGCTTTGGAATTGCTACGGTTCCGGGAAGCTGGTGTAGAAGTTGTAGTGAAGGTAATAGCAAGTCTTATCTTTACTCCGTGTATGATCTTATGATATACCTTTACATTCATATTCGACCAAATGAACTACTGTAGGACCTGAGAAAGAGATGGGACAGGCAATCACAAGCATTCTACAATCTATTTAGACAGGCTGATAGAGTTGAAAAGCTAGCTGTGATCATCCAACGACTTGTAAGATACTAACAGATCCATCCTCCACAAACTCCCAAGCTTCATGAATTTTGTTTTCTCGTTCTATTGAGTTAATTTTAATTTCTATACGTATCTCCGCAGGAGCAAGGTGATTTGAAGCTTAGAGTCCGAGCTTTAGAGTCTGAGAGAGCGTTTCAACGCGTAGCAGCTGTTCAAAAAACAGTAGGAAGTGTAAGTAAAACTTTAGCTTCTCCTGTTTGTTATTCGCACATCTTTTACATGAGAAGCTCGTCGATCCCATCCTCTCAAAATAAATTTGGGAAACTGAATCATATGTGAAACCACTCAAAAGCAAGAGTCTTTGAAAAGTATATAACTTGTTCTGTTTATGTGCTAAAGTTGGTATCTTTTCCTCTCGATGTGTCCTCCCTACAGGCTGTTGCTGCAGGAAGTTTAGTCAATCTCGCAACGATTTTGTATCTAAATTCTTTTAAAGTAAGCTGTTACTCATCAACCTCAATCTCTTGTTTTTTTCTTCCCGAGCCGATAAGCTCATTGTCTGCTCAGTTACATCAACATTATTGTTTCTTTGTGTTCTCAGACACCTGCAACTATAGCATATACAGTCTGTGCTTTCTTCAGCCTCCAAGTTCTAATCGGAGTTATAAAGGTCAAGAAATTCGATCAACGCGAAAAACTAATCACTGGAACAGCTTAAAAACTTGTATGGTATGTTTATGATTCCTCAGCTCGTAGCTTACTCATCAGTTTACCAGATTCAAATTCTCAACTTTTTCGTTTTATTTGTACAGGTGTAGTAAAGCTTCTTTAATCTTCATAAACCCTTTTGTGCTCAGAAGCAAAAGATTTCTCTCAGTAAGCTTTTCGCAGGAGTGGTAACAATTTCTCTGGTCTGCGAATAAACAGTCTTCATGGAAACTTGAGAGGAAAGAGATTCACCGACCAGTCTCTTTTATCTCTGTCTTCTGAAAGTTTGAGTATTATTTTTTGGCATTGGATCACAAGAAATGGAGAGGAGACTCTGGTGTTTATTAGCACAGTGGTTTTGTTAAGCCACACATGTAATGTGTATAGAGAGACGTAGAATTTAGGAAACTCTTTGGTGAAAATAATCAAATATACAGTACTACTTTAAATCGTGGTTTCTCTACACTCTTAACTCAAGTATGTTGTGGTGAGGAGTGATGTGGCAATTATACACAGACAAAAACCGAACCGAAAGAAAATTTCAACCTTTAGTAGAGAGTGGATTCTATAAATTAGGAAACAAAACAAAGGAAGGAATCACACACGATCCCTGTAACACAAGGAAAATGGCAAAGTAATACTACAAAATAGGAAACCACTTCACCATTTGCAGAAACTAACTAATTAATTAGTACTAACAATTAAATTAAATAATCAATTAGAACGTGGAAGAAGAGTTGAATCGCCGAAACAAACAAAGGTCATTTTGAAAATTAAGTGGGGCCCTACAGTTTTTATTCGCCTGCCACACAAACTTCGAAAATTTTAAATTATTGTTTTTAAAAAATATTCCCAAATTTTTTAGCGCTCAAGTGACGCGCTTCTCTCCTAAATTCCCCCGCTTCTATCATTAGCCTTCTCAGAGTCAGAGCTATAACAGCTGCGACGGGGTTTCTTCTAGGTTTCCTTCCTCTCGTTGACTTAGTTTGCGATTCTTCGTATTCCCTGGTTTAACATGGCGCGAAAACGTAAGAATCCTTCTTCTGAGGACGAGAATTCCGGTTCCGGTTCCGGTTCTGGGTCTAGGGCGAAAAGAAGATCCAAGGCGGCAGTGGCGGTGGCAGATGAGCCGATTCTGGTGGATGGTTCCGAGAAAGAGACTACGGCGAGGTTTCTAGGTGAGCCCATCGCTGATTCGGAGGCTAGGCTTACTTGGCCCAACAGATACAACAAACAAGTAATCATCGAGGTATCTCAGATCTATATTCTTTGTTTTCTTCTTCTTCTTCTCAGATTTTGGAATTCCTGGTGTATCTTCTTTTCTCATATCAAAGACTTGGCAACATTTTGCTACTTTGATTTCTGAAAATCTTGAAATCTTCTTTGATTTTTTTTGTTATCCAGGAAAAGAAACCGTCAAAGAACAACCACAAGTAAGTTTTGAATCCCTTGCTTGTATTGCCTACGTCAGACATGTGTGTATAAAGGCTTTACCCTCTGCTTGATTAGGAATATAACTTTGTTTCATATAAAATTCCTTTCATTTCGTAGGGATGATTTGGAGGAGGAGATCATTCTGGCTCGACGCCATTATACGCGAGCAATCGTTGATGAGGGCCAAATATTTGAGCTCAATGATTTTGCATATGTGCAGGTGAATCTCTAAATATAGTTTGACGCACCTTCTCCTGTCTCTCTATGATTTGATCATTTCTCTCTGATTAATTTCCTGATGATAGGCTAATAAATGTTACATTTTAAGGCTGAGATCTCATCTTAAACAATAGCTAACTGATTGTTATTCAGGCTGACATACCATATTATGCACTAGCTGAACCTCTTTTGATTGTCTTTATGAAGCTTGTCATGTTGTGCTATACCTTTTTTTCTTCTTAATAAGCGACTTGGATACTTTACGTTATCATAACTTCTGTTTTGCCTTCACTATACCTTTTAAAAATATATGTTTTTGGTTATTCAGGCTGGTATGGGAGAAAAGCCTTTCATTTGCAAGATAATTGAAATGTTTGAAGGCCTTGACGGCAACTTCTACTTCACAGCTCAGTGGTTCTACAGAGCTTGTGATACTGTAAGCATTATAATTTATTGTTCTTTACCTTTTCTATTCTATATGCTAAAATTTTCTGATGTATTGGCGTTTTATTAACTTTCAGGTGATCGACAGACACAGTGGTCTGATCGACGATCAACGTATATTTTTCTCTGAGATCAGAAATACAAACGAGCTGCACCTTCTTCTCAAGAAATTGAAAATTCTGATGATTTCATCAACTGTATGTCCTTGTCTCAAGTATTGACTGTTGTTATTTGCTGTGCATTTTCATTGATACTAACATTACTTGATTCTCTGATGCCAGGAAAATACTGAGGAGATTGTAGCTTTTAAGAAAAACTGCGATTACTACTGCGACATGCACTATCGCCTACCTTACTCAGCATTCGAAGTTTTACAACCAAGTCTGTGCTTTTAACCATTGATCTTCCAATTTTTGCATTTCGTTTCCCCACCAGTTAGTTTTGCATTTCTTTTTCATTACCAAGTGGATTATATAACATGTTCACTTTTTGAAGATAACTGAGCATGTATAAATCTTTCAACATTGCAGAAGCCGAGATGACCTCTAGTGAAACAGAAGAGAAGGAAGCCACATTGCTGGATTTGTATTGTGGTTGTGGAGCTATGTCAAGTGGCATGTGCATGGGAGCTCAGATGTCAGGGCTGAAACTTGTCACCGTGAGGCATTTGTTCATGCTGGTTATAATGAGTTTATAGCTTATCAAAGTTGTTTGCATCTCTTTAATGTTTAACCTTTTTTTTTTATTCTCAAGAAATGGGCTGTTGACATGAACACGTATGCATGTGAAAGCTTTAGACATAACCACCCGGAAACAGAAGTAAGTTTGTTAGTCTTTCTTGTAGGTATATCCGTTTTGCCAATTCGCTTTTGTCTTCTGGTGTTAATGTTCGGTCGACTAGAAACAGTCTCTGAGGCAAAAATCACTTCTTTTTAGGTAAGAAACATGGCCGCAGGAGACTTTTTGTTCCTGCTTCAGGAGTGGGAGAAATTATGCTTTCATTTCTCTCTGAGAGAATGTCCAAATTCAGAAGATTACAGCAACCTTTATGGGTTGTCTAGTGTTGAGGAGGAAGAAGAGGAAGAAGATGGCAGCAATGAGAGTGAAGATGAAGGTGATGAAGAGATTTTTGAAGTTGAAAAGATACTTGATATAGTCTATGGAGATCCTAAGAAGATAGAGAAAAATGGACTTTATTTGAAGGTATTGATGCTTTGTTTGTACTAGTTTCACTTTCAATCCTATGATTTAACCTCATTATGACACTTGTTCTCTGGTGTTTTGATATAATAGGTACAGTGGCAGAATTATGGGCCTTCCCATGATACTTGGGAGCCTATCGAAGGGCTTAGGTGAGGGATAACATAATAACTTGTAGAGAATGCTTGGATTAAAATGATATATGTCACTGGTTGTTAACGTCTCTGAATTTTGTGTGAACAGCAACTGCCGTGAGAAAATCAAGGAGTTTGTTGTGCATGGATATAAAACAAGCATCCTTCCCTTACCAGTACGCATATAATTTTCCAAATTCTTGATTCTTTTGTTTTCTTAAATTTTTGAAACTGTTGCATTAGTATGAAAGGTTCAAATCAAACCATAAATGCGAAATCCTTATTGTTTGTAACTAGCTCTATTAGTAAGTCTTTGTGTTTGGTTGTTCAGGGACTAGCAAAGTTTCTGATCAAAACTATATTGTTTGAGTCAGTTAGTGGTGGAAGGGGATAGATAGAATTAGTAACAGAATAGTTGAGGATTAGGGCTATATCCTGGATTTGGTTCTAATGTGAGCGTGGTCAGAGAAGTACTAACATTATCAGTGAAATATAAGAGCTACTACATCCCGAATCTTATAAGTATGTTTCTGCTATGGTGATCATTTCATTGACAATTATACCTAATTAATTCAGGGATGTGTTGATGTTGTCTGTGGAGGACCTCCCTGCCAAGGTATAAGCGGTTTCAACAGATTCAGGAACACAAAAGATCCCCTAGCAGATGAGAAGAACAAGCAGCTTGAGGTTTACATGAAAATTGTGGAGTTTCTTAAACCCAAATATGTGTTAATGGAGAATGTCGTAGACATGCTTAAGTTCGTTGGTGGCTATCTTGCGCGCTATGCTGTGGGACGGCTTGTCCAAATGAATTACCAGACACGGATGGGAATGATGGCTGCAGGGGCATATGGTCTTGCTCAGTACCGCATGCGGTTCTTCTTATGGGGTGCACAGTCTAGCGAGGTATTGTTTAGTGCTATTTATTTGATCGGTATCAAGGAATAGATGAAGTTCTTAAGATGTACCTTTTTGTTTCAGAGGCTTCCTCAGTTCCCATTACCAACTCATGATGTTGTCAAGAGAGGAGGTTTTCCTACGCAGTTTTGGGTAAGCTTATATATTTAATACTGGCCAATATAGCTAGCAATTTTTTATGTTTTGGTTTATTCATAGAGCTCTGCTTATGATTGATGCAGAGAAACGTTGTGGCCTATGATGAAAATCACAATGTGAAGCTGGGAGATAAGCTCCTACTCTCAGATGTGATTAGCGACCTTCCAGCTGTAAGTCTTAAATGTGTGGCTTATCTTGACTGGACAGTAGCGCTAAGCTTTCTGGCGTGTTTTTGTTTTATTGATATATTCTCTATGAGTTTAGGTTACAAACAGTGAGACAAACGAGGAGATGCAATATGACAAAGATCCTAAAACGCCATTTCAACAATTTATCAGATTAAGGAAAGATGGTAAGATTCATATTCTTTTTGTGGCAAACATAGATTTGACGACTGTTATGGAAACTTGAGGGTGTCTCCTCTTTTCAACAGGAATCTTAGGTTCATCGACAATGCTGAAGTCAGAGTCCACAAAGGATATGTTGTACGATCACCAACCTCTGAATCTTAACAAAGATGATTATCAACGTGTCTGTAGGATTCCCAAGAAGAAGGTGCAGCTTTCTTACACTTATTGATCACATTTTCTCTGTTTATCTTTTGCTCTTTGTTTTAGTTTCTATGATTTGATTATACTGATTTTTCTCAACACAACTTTTGGTAATAGGGAGCGAATTTCAGGGACTTACCTGGTGTAAAGGTTGGAGTTGATAACAAAGTTGAATGGGATCCTGACATCCCCAGGGTCTATCTTGAGTCCCAAAGCCCATTGGTAATACTGATCATCTCCTTCTTTTTGGTCCTCTTATCAATCTTGCTTCTTCGTCATTGGCTAGTAAGAGTAATTGTCTTGTTCTATTCAAATAGGTTCCAGATTATGCCATGACATTTGTCGATGGAACATCTACGAAGTGAGTTTTTTTCATGTCCATAGTCATTCTTATTCTCTGGAATATCTGAATTTGGTGCATATATGCTTTCCAATTTCTAAAATCACCTGAACCCATTTGCTTTGTAGACCCTTTGGACGTCTTTGGTGGGACGAAACTGTGCCAACTGTTGTCACAAGGGCAGAACCGCACAACCAGGTTAGTCTTTGATTCATCTTGAGACCCTCTCAGGACAATCATCTGAAAATTCTTACTACGGAAACAATCTAAAGAGTATCCACTGGTGAATGCTCGGCCTTGTTATTACAGGTGATAATTCACCCAAACCAAGACCGTGTCTTAACTGTTCGTGAAAACGCAAGACTACAAGGCTTCCCCGATTACTACAAACTATTTGGCCCTACGAAGGAAAAGTAAGTAACTGCCCCCTCACCACTCTCTCAGTCCGTTACACATACTACAACTAGGTTTTGTGAAACAATGATTGTAACATACTTCAAATCCAAATGTTTATAGTCCTGGTTTCTTTAGATCGTAATTTGACGTATTCTATTGTTTTTCAGGTACATACAAGTGGGGAATGCGGTTGCAGTACCAGTTGGTAGGGCTCTTGGATATGCGTTAGGACAAGCTTTCCAAGGTCTCACAACTGGCACTTCTCCACTCCTTACTCTCCCCGATGGTTTCCCGAACTTGGTGCAGCAAAATCTTCCTTCTGAATCGTTGGTATAAGAGAGACTCAGCTTCGCTTCGTTTTATTCACGTTAATATTACAACGCTTCCCCGATGAAACAATCATACACCTTTTGTCATTTGCTTGAACTCTTTCATAAATCTTTTGACTTTATGTTTAAACTTTTTGAAACTTCATACCTGTTTAAGTTTGAGAGATGAAATTTGCTGAGAAACTATTGGTAGCTTAAAAGGGCCATCTCTAGATTAGTGTTAATCAGTCGGAATTATCTTTTTTTGAGTCTAGAGCTCCAAATCTTGTTTTAACATTCGAAACAAAATGGGTTTTTCTTGACGAATGCTAATAAATCAAAATCTAAAACCAATTTTTTAGAGTTCAAAGCTCCAATATCCTTTGATGTACATTCAATAGTCTAACCGTTGTTATGGAAACAAAAGAAGATTCAAATATTTTTTTAACCGGAAAAACTAAAGTAAAATGGTTCTTACTCAACAACAAGTCAATAGCCGGTTTAAACCGGAGAAAAGCATTTAAAACCGGATGAAAGCTCAGTTTTTTTGCGCGGGCGGAACAAAAGCCCCAAGAAAGGTGGGAGAGAGAGAAAAGAGAGCGAGAAGGGCGAAGTTACAAAATTTGAGTGAAGAAGCCAGATTCTTCTGGAAATTGCGAAATTTTGTAGGAGAAGGAACGAAAGATGGCGGTTGCTGCTCTAGGTCAGTTGAATCTCGAGGAGTCTCCGCCGATTTGGGGATCTCGTAGCGTCGATTGCTTCCAGAAGCTACAACAGATTGGCCAAGGAACTTACGGGTAATCCTCTCAATTTCTCTGCGTATTGAAGCCATTCTAGTTGTAAGATTCGTTTTATTGATCAATCTTTTTGTTGCTTCAGTGATTTTTTTTTTGTTGCTTTTCCCTCATGTTTGTTCGAACTTGAAATGCATAAGAAATCGATCGGTTGATGATTTAGTGAATTTCGGATTCTATGATTCTTATGACCTCGTCCAAGAAATCGGATTTGCGTGAATCTGTTTCTTTCTTCTTCTTCTTCTTCTTAATTCATCAAGTTGCATATTTGGTTTTTGGCTTGCAGTGAAGTTTACATGGCTAGAGAGATCGAAACTGGTGAAATCGTGGCTCTGAAAAAGATCCGTATGGAAAATGAAAGAGAAGGGGTTAGCTTGCTACTCTCCCTTAGATTGGCATATGTATCGACCATAAATAGTAGCTTCTATTTTGCACTCTAGAACAAATGCAAGTTTCTGAATTCAGTATGATTGACTTGTGTGATCTCTCATCACCAATTGGCATGAAGATTCCTATAGCAGCGATCCGGGAGGTGAAGATCCTGAGTAAGCTACATCATAAAAATGTCATCCATTTTAAAGAGATTGTGACTTCACCAGGTGATTTTGGAACACTTCTCTCATCTTGAAACTCTGTTACGTTTTGTTACTCAGATTTTTTTGTGGCTTTTTTTTTTGTCTTTAAAAGGTCCATACAATGACGATCAAGAAAGGCCAGGTTCACACTATTCTTACGATTTGATTGATTAGAAACTCCTTACAGTTTGCCTAAACCTTGTGTCTTTGCTCCAGTACGTAGATAATAACAAATACAAGGGTGAAATCTACATGGTGTTTGAGTACATGGATCATGACTTGGCTGGACTTACTGATCGACATGGACTGAGATTTACGTCTCCTCAGATCAAGGTATTGCATGTCTAGATGCCTTGTTGTAGCAGCAGCCTTTGCAAAAACCTAATTGTTCCGACTTTGTCTGACATTTCAACGTACTGTATATATATAAGTGCTACATGAAGCAACTCCTCACTGGGCTTCACTTTTGTCATGTGAATCAAGTGCTTCACCGTGATATTAAAGGTGACTACTATCCCCAAATTACATTGTTGGTTTTCTCCCCTCCCTTTTACTAAAATTTAAATCTCGGTGCGCAGGTTCGAATCTCCTTATTGACAATGAGGGAAATCTAAAGCTTGCGGGTTTTGGAGATGCACGGTCGTTTTCTCTTGAGTATACTAGATGTTTAACAAACAAGGTCATCACATTGTGGTATAGGTATTATTCCTGCAATCGTCTCTACTCATGTATCGGTTATTGTTACTTTACCTTAGAGTTGCTTTTAACAAAATTGCCTCGGCAGGCCCCCTGAATTGCTTCTTGGTGCAAAGAAATATGATCACGCGGTTGACATGTGGTCGGTTGGTTGCATATTTGCTGAACTTTTGAATGGAAAACCAATCTTGCCTGGCAACACTGTGGTTAGAGTTACAGCGTTTGATTTCTTTTGCATATCTCATTTTACAGCATTTGACTCGGAATGTTTCTATTTTCCAGAGTGACCAATTGAACAAGATTTATGAGCTGTGTGGATCACCTGATGAAAAAAGTTGGCCTGGAGTCTCCAAGATGCCTTGGTATAACCGATTTAAACCGTCTCGGCCTCTCAAGAGACGCGTAATAGAGACGTACAGACAGTAAGTATCGGTAACTCAACATGCTGTTGCGACTCTTTTTATACAGGAGAGATCTCATTTTGGGGGGTTTTTCTCGGTTCTGTTTCAGCTTTGATGCTCATGCTCTTGAGCTGCTGGAGTATATGTTGGTGCTGGACCCGTCACAGGTACAGATGAGAGAAGCATTGTGTGAAAAATTAGCGCAATGAAGAAACCAAGAGCCCTTTTCTTGCCACTTAAAGTCCTTCCCCTTGTGCAGAGAATTTCTGCAAAGGATGCTCTTGATTCTGATTACTTTTGGAGTTACCCGTTACCAAGTGATCCAAAGAGGTGAACTCTCTCTCTCTTTGGTTCTTTGTTATTGAAAACTCATTTGGTTCAAATAAGCTCAGACAAGGCTTTTCATGTCTCTGAAAAACAGCCTGCCTTCATATGAATCATCGCATGAGTTCCAGATCGAGAAAGCACGGAGACAAGGGAAAGCTTTAAAAAAACAGAATCTGTGTCTGCATCTGCGTTGATGTACAGTATAGTCTTGAGATGAGGGTGATACCTAGGCATATAGTTTTGCAGGTTTTTAAGAGACAAGAGATTGGTGATGAAGAAGAAGAGGAAGGAGAGTAGTTTGTTTGAGATTACTGAGAAGGACTTTTTGGACATACATAATCGCACTTGTTGTTATTGATTTTGACTTGTATCCTTTGTTGGTGTTAATTGAAAGTAGGTATGTGGACAAACGATACTAAACCGAACCATAACCCAGATTACCTAACCCGTCTACCCGAGTAAAAAAGTTCAATAAATATTACCGCTGTAAAGAGAAATATAATGATTTACGATTTGTTTATTAAGGGAATAAAATAAAGAACCCCCACCCAATGATTTTTAGCCGGTTTGTGTTTGGTTCATTGGAAGAACCGTTTTGTACCAGAGATTAACCCGGATAAAAAGCTTAGGTTTTTCCGCGAAGCCGACATAGAAAGGGCTAAAACCTTCGGAAGAGAGAGGCACAAGGGCGGAGCGAGTAAATTATCTGAGGAATTCGTCGGTAAATTGTGGAATTCTGTAGGAGGAAAGAGGGAGCGAGAATATGACGGCTGCGGCTTTTGGGCAGTTGAATCTCGAGGAGCCTCCTCCGATTTGGGGATCTCGTAGTGTCGATTGCTTCGAGAAGCTCGAACAGATTGGCGAAGGAACCTACGGGTATTATTCTTCTTCTTCTCCTTTTTATCTGGGTGATTTGGTTTGTGGGCATCTGAATTTTCATGGGTGTTTGGTGAATTTCCGCCTTGCCTCTATCTCAACAAACTTGATTTCTGTATATGCTTTGTTGATTGAGTGAATTGGGATTCTTTGATTTATCAATACGTGGTTCGAAATCTGGTTTGCATGATTATCGTACGGTAGAGGAATGTATCTTTCCAGCTAGCTCTGTCTATTACATCTTTTCCTTTTTCTTCTGGTGAGTGTGAAGTTTTTATCTTTCTGGAATAGAGTAGGTTGATTCATATGTCTGGCTTTTGGTCTTGCAGTCAAGTTTACATGGCAAAGGAAATAAAAACTGGTGAAATCGTGGCTCTGAAAAAGATCCGTATGGACAATGAAAGAGAAGGGGTAAGCTACAATTCACCTCTAGCTTAAAAAGTTGCAAACTTTGTGAATCCAACAATGTGATGTTAATAATTCCCTTATCACTGTTTGCGTGAAGTTTCCCATAACAGCGATCCGGGAGATCAAAATTCTGAAGAAGCTTCATCATGAAAACGTCATCCATCTGAAAGAGATTGTGACTTCACCAGGTAATAAGGAACACACCTTCCTCATCTGGAAACTACTTTAGAAGCTCTCCTTAGTTTGATACTCATATTTTTGTGGCTTTTTTTGTCTTTAAAAGGTCGAGATAGGGACGACCAAGGAAAGCCTGGTTAGTGAAACTTGTTTATTCAATCTAATTATTTCCTGTTGAACATAGATACGACTAGGATGTATCTGTTATAACTCTTTACGCTCGCCTGAACCTTGTGTCTTTGCTCCAATTCTAGATAATAACAAATACAAGGGTGGAATCTACATGGTCTTCGAGTACATGGATCATGACTTGACTGGGCTTGCTGATCGACCTGGACTGAGATTTACGGTTCCTCAGATCAAGGTAGTGCACGGCTAGATACCTTGCTGTAGTAGCCTTTGCAAAAACCTATTTGTTCTAAATTTGTCTGACATTTCAACATATGTAAAAAAAAAGTGTTACATGAAGCAACTCCTCACTGGGCTTCACTATTGTCATGTGAATCAAGTGCTTCACCGTGATATAAAAGGTGATTATCGCTTAAATACATTGTTGACCGTTTGGTTCTCTCTCTCTTATTTGCTACTTAACCTAAAATATTTTGGTGCAGGTTCTAATCTCCTTATCGACAATGAGGGAAATTTAAAGCTTGCAGATTTTGGGCTTGCACGGTCATTTTCTCATGATCATACTGGAAATCTTACAAACCGTGTCATCACATTGTGGTATAGGTATGTATGCTTACAAACTTTGAAGTTATAAACATATAAGAGAGAATAAGTCTTGCATTTTCCTGCATCTTCTTCTTTATCTTATGTATCGGTTATTGCGGTAGGCCCCCTGAATTGCTACTTGGTGCCACAAAATATGGACCAGCGATTGATATGTGGTCAGTTGGTTGCATATTTGCTGAGCTTTTGAATGGTAAACCAATCTTGCCAGGCAAAACTGAGGTCAGGGTTTCATCTGTTGAATATTTCCAGTATATGTTAGTGCAGTAAACTTTGGTATAGTATTTTTACTTAAATGTTTGTTTCTCCAGAATGAACAATTGAATAAAATCTATGAACTATGTGGATCACCTGATGAAAACAATTGGCCTGGAGTTTCAAAGATGCCTTGGTATAACCAAATGAAATCATCTCGGCCCTTAAAGAGACGTGTCAGGGAGATTTACCGACAGTAAGTATAATCCGTGATGTATTTGTGACATTTTACTTTGATCCAGGAGAGATCTCATTTTGGTTTTATCTATTCTATTTTAGCTTTGATCGCCATGCCCTCGAACTTCTGGAAAAAATGTTGGTGCTTGACCCATCTCAGGTACCAAACTAATCTTGACATATTAGCAAATTACTGGAATTAAGAGCCTTTGGATTCCTTACGTTTAAGCCTTTTGTTGGTGCAGAGAATATCCGCAAAGGATGCTCTTGATGCAGAGTACTTTTGGACTGATCCATTGCCCTGTGATCCAAAGAGGTAATCGAATGTTTATGTTTCTTGTTATCGTTTATGAATATTCATTTGGTTCATATGCCCACACAATGTTTTTTTGTCTCTCAAACAGTTTACCAACATATGAATCATCACACGAGTTCCAGACAAAGAAAAAGCGGCAACAAATGCGTCATAATGAGGAAGCAGCCAAAAAACAGAAACTGCAGCATCCGCAACAGCAACACTCTCGTTTGCCTCCACAGCAACACGGTGTTGGTCAGTCTCATGCGGCTCCACATTGGCCCACCGGACCAAACCACCCTATCAACAACCCACCACCACCACAACTACCTGCAGGTGGACCTAGCGGCCACCACTACTATCCAAAGCCCCGTGGTGGTGCACCTGGTCCAAACCGGTACCCTCCCAGCGGAAACCAGACCGGTGGTTATAATAATCAGAGCCGTGGAGGTTACAGCAGTGGATCATATCCTCAACAAGGTCGAGGTGCACCGTATGGCGCCGGTCCTAGAGGACCTAGCGGTGGCTATGGTGTTGGACCGCCTAACTACTCACAAGGAGGTGGTCAGTACGGTGGTTCTGGTGGATCCGGAAGAGGACAGAACCCAATGGGTGGTGGTAGAAACCAACAATACGGATGGCAACAGTAAAGAGAGCTCAAAGACTCATATGGTGTTGTGGTCTTGGCTTGATGTCTCCGAGCCAATTGTGATTCGATTTGTAGTAACGAATATTACCTCTCTTTGAGAAACAGAATCTGCGTTCATTTGTTTTCCTGTTGCCATTTTTCCAAACATTCTGTGATGTTGATGAAATGGACAGTGAATATGTATGCCTAAATGTATGTTTAGATATTATTATTTTTTGCATGTGATTGCAGTTGTAATTGGAATTACACATTCAAGCTATATGAGAACACAGCAAACCAAATTGGGAATTTCCAAATCTTATTATTTTTCTTGCAATCAGGTTTCACAAACTACGTGTATGGTTTTGTGAAAAAAGTGGGGAAAAAGCTTCAGAGTAAACTAAAAAAAATGAGAAAATCTGTCCTCTCCTCGGAAGCAATAAGAACAGTTATTGTGCTGACTCTACCTTCATGACAACTTTCATGAACTCGTACACAAAGTAACTGATAGCCGCGGAAGGTAAAACCTGCAAATATGAGATGATTAACAAAGCTGTTAGAGAGAGTATTTAAGAGATTAGTTTATGACTTAAGAAGGAAGATTAAGGAACTATACCTGCAATAAGCTGGGAATCAAGCCAGCATACAGAGCAGGAACACCTCCATGTTCAATGATCTTGACACAAGTAGCCACTGTGCTTAACTTCTTCGCATGTGATTGCATTTGTAAATGCCTTCTCACAACTTCAAACGGATAGGTTGCTGCTTCTGAGCAAGCCCCTGCGATTGCTCCATATAACAACGTTCTCATGGGACCAAGCTCCAGTTGATCAAAAGCGTTTAGCTCCTCGCCTTCTTGTTTCATGTGTTCAAGCCGTTTCTTACCTTCCGGTGTGTGAAGGTAACCTGATTTTAAAATATCGTAGACACCGTAGAACACAGCTCCCGCTGGAGCCATACTAACAAGTGAAGGCACAAGACCTTTGTATAACGAAAAGAAACCTTCTGTTTGGATCATGTGGCGGAATGCACCAACTACACCACCCAATGCCTCTCCTCCAGGTGCCACCATAACAGTTCTTATCTGCAATTCGATTCAAAACCAAGCAAGTTCAAGAAATGTGAAGAGCTCAAGGAAGAAGAAGTTCGTTTTGGATCTACTTACAGTATCAAGTGGTAGACAAAGCAAACTGGCTGTTACTCCGGCAGCTGCACCAGCGAGAAACCTCTCGAAATTAGTAGTCTCTTCGTTCCCTGACAATTTCAGAAGCTGGCCTCTGTATGTATCGTATGCATAGAAGTTGATGGACTTAAAAGGAGCGGTTCGAAGAATATTAACCAAATTCCCTTTCCAAAACCCTCTAATCCCTTCCGTTGTAGCAATCCTCTGAATGAGTCCAAGAAGACTCCGTTGCTCTCCACGGACTATGTACTCTAGCTTCATCCGCTCAAGAGGTGCAATGCAAGTTCTGCTCAAACCAAAAACCTAAAACCCAATGAGCCACCAAACTTCAACAACCAAATTCTCATGTAAGCATACCACAACACTTAAAAAGTCTACAACTTTAGGACTAACTATTGAATCTATGATACAGAGTCTAATATTAACCTCATGGGTTTCATAAGAAAACAAGTAAAGGAAGAAGGAAAGACCTTGAAACCATGGCTGCAAAAGCTCCAGCCCATAAATGCTTTGTGGTATTGAGAGCTCCTGATCCATTTTCCTTAACCCTAACCTTCTCCGCCGCTTCTTGACCACCACCGATCAACACCGAGTCTTTCACCGGAAGAGATTTATAGCCGTTTTGACCATTATACCCTTCACCGTCTTCTTCCTCACCGTTACTCTCCTTAATCGATAAACTGACTGACAAAAACAGAGGTCCTTTGGTCCCGTTTCGTCTCCTAAACTTCAAAATACTCGACTTTTGGATAAATCGACACGAATTGATTGAACAATTCTTAGAGGGAACGAAAGAGACGGACGAGGAAGGAGCAGATTCGTCGAGAAACAATCCGCCGAGGATTTGACCATTGTGATCCAATGGTTCTGATCTGATTACGTCAGCAATCCATCGATCAAGGCCACGCATTTCAGGTCTGGGATGAATTTCACTGGGTTTCGATTAGAAATCTCGACAGATTAAGAAAGCCGAAAACTTTCAGGAGACCCAAGAAGAGAATCAGATTGAATCAATAGTTGGTGGATCTAAAGGAGGAAGAAGAAAGATGGTAATGATTCGAATACTGATGACAGCTTATTCTAGTTCTTAGTACTTGCCCTTTCTCAGGCATTATTGAGCTTTCATCTCACACTAGTCTCACTAACATCGTTCTCGCCGCAGAGAGAATATTTAGGTAGGTTTTGGTGAAAGTGTGATTTGTGAGTTGTGACGTTCTCTTCTCTTTTTCTTGTGACGATGGAAAGTCATTGACACGTCATCATTCATTTCTCATGAGAAATGGGGTAATTTTCAAATGAATCGAAAGGCATTTATTCAGTTAAAAATCTCAAGAAGAGTGCGCAATCTGAAATATTGCAAGAGTTAGGAGACATCTCACCAAAATATGCAAGTTACAACATCTAAGTGAGCTACGTTTTAAAGGCTAAAGACTACAGTTTTTGCTCATATAAACCAATTCACAGTGTTAAAACTTTGGTCATAAAGTTGCATGTACGTTTGACTTAATGCAGTTTCTTTTAGATGCTTCCTAATTCCACAAGACAATAGTATATTCTGTTTTTCGCTCTTTGTAAAGTGTTCAAAGGTAATATATTTTTGTGTAGAACCAGTTGCAAAATTTCATGACGATTTTCTTCTTTTACGTTTCTGAATTGGTTGGGGCATTTCAAGTCAAACTATACTATTCTTTTGTTTTTGAGTACGATGTAAAAAAGATATACACGATTTATAATAGATATGATTTTCTTGACTGACGATTATACATACGAGTTATATATTGACTTAAATGACTGTATATACTTAATAGATATGCTCAATATTGTCTTCTTGTGTTTTAATTTCTCTAGATACATTTCTAAAAGTCTCACGAATACAAGCTGTTATATGGATTCCACTTACGAAAATGGATGTTTGGGTCAGATCCGATCATATGACCGCGTCAATTCTTTCCAATTTTTAACCTTGATGAAAAAACCCTAATAAAAATTTGTTATAAGATAAATATTTTCGGTTAAAAATAAATCTAAGAATCAACTGACAAATAATTTACATCGGGGATGAAGTGTATTTTGTATTGCAAAAAAATATGTTCATCCTGAAGCTGGATTTTAACATTTTTTTTTTCTAAAACACGAAAATCAATTCATGCATTGATATTATCGCTATTTACATATACAAAAACAACTAATAAAGATGAAGCTAGCATATTTTTTAAAAAAATGAGGGAGAAAGAGAGATAAAAACTACTCACAATAAAAGCATATATATATATATATATATTCATGATGTATTTGTTAAATTAATATTAAATTATTACATTAAAATCTGTATTCAAATATGAAGAAAGCAAAAAATTGCGAACAAAAATTAAATTTAAAAGAAAAACAACCAAATAAAATATCATAAAATATATACAATTACAAAATCTTAAAAGAATAATGGTAAGTTTTTTTCTTTTTAGGTGATGTATTTGTTGGAAAAGCTTAACCTACAACAATACAAAAAACAACACCAGATTATGCGTTATGATTTGATTCAAATTTTATTATTATTATTATTATTATTATTAATTTTTTTTTTAACAAAAAGTCGATTGATTTCTATTAGTTGTAAAAACAATTTGAATATAGGTAATCTCTAACGAACAAATAAATTCAAATGGCTGGCGACCATATCCGGTTAGTTTTACAACTAATGTAAATCTGATCGATTTTAAACTAATTCAAGTTTTAATGCAAATATATACCCAAAAAACATATATTTTTTTCTCAAAATTTTCTTCTCTAGTAATCTCTGCTTCCTGATTTTATGTTGTAGAGAAAGTTTAAACCTACAACAATACAAAGAAAACACCAGATTCCGTGTTAGAAATAAATTCAAATTTTATTTAGTGTTATTATTATTATTATTATCATTTATTTCCAAACAAAAAATTGATTGATCTACATTAGTTGTGAAAACAAATTGAACATAAATAATCTCTAACGACCAAATGAATTCAAATGGTTGGATACCTTGTCCGATTAGTTTCATAACTAATGTAAATCTAATCGATTCTAATTGATTTTAAACTAATTCAAATTTTAATGCAAACATTTACAAAAAATAAGAGAATAGAAAACATATCTTTTTTTGTCTCAAAATTTTCTTCTCTCGGCATCTCTGCTTCCTGATTTTATTTTGTAGAGAAAGTTTAAACCTGCAACAATACAAAAAAGAACACCAAATTTCATGTTAGAATTAGATTCGAAATTTATTTAGTGTTATTATTATTATTATCATTTTTTCCTAACAAAAAATCGATTGATCTACATTAGTTGTGTAAACAAATTAAACATAAATAATCTCTAACAACCAAATGAATTCAAATGGCTGGATACCTTGTCCAGTTAGTTTTACAACTAATGTAAATCTAATAGATTTTAAACTAATTCAAATTTTAATGCAAATATATACAAAAATAAGAGAATAGAAAACATATATTTTTGTCTCAAAATTTTCTTCTCTCGGCATCTCTGCTTCCTGATTTTATTTTGTAAAAAAAGTTTAATCCTGCAACAATACAAGTTTAAACCTGCAACAATACAAAAAAGAACACCAGATCCGTGTTAGAATTAGATTCAAATTTTATTTAGTGTTATTATTATTATTATTATTATTCTTATCATTTTTTTCCTAACAAAAAACCGATCTACATTAGTTGTGTAAACAAATTGAACATAAATAATCTCTAACGACCAAATGAATTCAAATGGTTGGATTTCTCAACTAATGTAAATCTAATCGGTTTTAAACTAATCTAAATTTTAAACCAAATGAAAAAAAAAAAGGAAGGAGAAAACATATCTTTCTTTTTGAGTTTGGAAATGGAAATGACTGCTCTCCTATGTATCTCGACGAACTCTGTTGTCTTTCTGACTCACGGTGTTGTGGAAAGTAGAGAAAATTACAGTGTGAGGGATTGCATCAGATCCGATTTAAACAAGATATGAGTTTTTTGCATTCTGTAATGTAAAGAAGGTTTTTTGTTTACCGAGTGCTTAGAGAAAGGCCCATCATCGGAGTTTCTTGATGCCCAAGCCTTCACGCGGTGTAGTAGTTATCGCCTCAACTGCACCTGAGAACCTATCGAGTATTTCATTTCCTGCACAATAAATAACCATTATTAAGCCTGCGGGGAATCGGCTTGAGATTTTTTTTTTTAAAAAAAAAAAAAAAGCAAAACAGAGAATGAAATTTACCAGCATTCCTCTCCGGTTTTTCGACCTGCAATCAAACCGGGTTCCACAGCTGTATGATTCTGGAACACATGAAAGATTTTATCACTTTTACGCTTGAATACAGAGAGAAAACTTAAGAGTAAGGCGAATAGATTATTACCCGTGTCCCTACTAGAACTGGAACTTGAACAAATTTGCGGATACTTGAGGACTGTCCAGTCAAATACATAATCAAACTGATAACCTGCCATTGATAGTGAAATTTGAAAGAATCCAGAAATTTGGAGTGACGAAAGATTATTTGCTAGAATATTGAAATGTGCGATAAAAACCATCTCGAATAAACAAGTCGCGTAATAGCCTCTTCGGGTAAGAGTGATCAGGCTTGTCATCAAACCGTAGAGACCGGAACAAACTAAGACACATGACCTGTTCTTCACACATCATTTTTGCTATAAGTCATCAAAGCTAGACAATGAATCAAAAGCTTAATAATGTCAGATTTTCACATACCTCTACAGGAGTTGCTACTTTCTTCTCACGTATTATGTCATACTTGTGCTTCTTTGTTCCGGCTTTTAAACCCTAGGCCCTGAAGCAAATACAATACACATTAACATTTGTTCAGAATGAGATACCAACCCAAAATGGAAGCTCTAGACTCTACCTTCCTTTGAGGAAATACATGAGCACATAACCAACTGATTCCAAATCATCCCTTCGAATTTGTTCTTTTGGTCACATGCAAAAGTCCGTATCAGACCCCATTACATAACTGTCACTAATATAAATCCTACATGAAATAAAAAAGCACTTACTGACTCCAAGGTGGGTGTTCACATTTTGCATACCGAACTGTTCCTGTGAGGTTTTTGTTTTCTCTGCCACAAAATTTCATTATCACACATGTGTTATTGATATTAATAGTTACACAGATACAGCAACAACGGAATAATCTTTACTTGTACAGAATGTGCCTGTGAGTCTGAAGGTCTCTGTATTTCTTCCCCAATCCAAAATCGATGATATACACCTGAGGTAGGGAAAACAAATAAATCAGGAGATTCTTAAGTTTAACCCTCCCAGTTTTCCTAAAAGAGCACATAATTATGCTGTCCAGGATATGAAATGATAACAAGTTCATGTTCAAGAGCAGTTCTCCGAGATGGCACCTGATTAAAAAGTTGTCGGGATTGATCTCAAGGTGAATGAAACCTCTAGTATGCATATACTCAACTCTGTTAATCTGAAACCAAGGAAAGATAAGTGTAAACATTATGGATGAAGACATGTTATTCAAACCGTGCAGATATGACTCACTAGTTTATCTGCAAGCATGAGAGAAGGGTTCTCAAAGAAAGCTTTCTGCTACAGTAGTTGAACTAGAATGTCAGTAACCATTACACTGTACTCTCCTTCAACTCCGTACCACTAGATATTAGGAACACCACCTTCTGTTCTGAGACCTCCCAAGACCTACAGAAATATAAAACTAAGAACATCCAATGAGAGCTTCCAAGCAAATTGAGATCCTAGATTTTGTTTCCGTAAATATTAGATCGCATATTCAACAATGCATCTGATAAGCTGAATCGCCTCAATTAAAATAAAGACTGCATCAAAATCGAAACACCGAAAGGAAGCAGACAAAAAAAAAGATAGTAACTTTATCAGAAAGTAGAAAACAGAGAGATAATTATTACCGGTGCACGGTTTTGAGGTTGATTGAACCGACATCTCGACGCAAACACCGGTTCGTAAGTAGTAGATACAGTCCGGCTCATCGGGTCGCTCCGGGTACGATTCACCTCCACCTCCACCGCCTCGCAACCCTAACCGCCACATCGAAGCTACAAACACCGCATTTTGCGGGAAGGAAATCTCTCGTTGGATTCTCACATAAACGCTAATCGCATATTTAAGCCCGAGAAATCAAGCATTTGCAGAAAGAGAAAGATATAGTAAATGCAGGAAACCCCATCATTATTTAACGTTATCTTCGATACCCGTTTCGCCTCCTGGAGCGGTCCATTCAAGTGGTGGATCCGACCGCGAGCCATCTTCGCCGGTGCGATCATACCGCTCCATGTATATTTTAAACCCTAATCTATCTTGTAATCGCAATTGGAATCGATTGTTTCTGATTTGGAAGCGTAATTTCACAAAATTGGAAGCGTAAAAACAAATTCTCAAAATCTCGTTTTTTGTTTTCAATTTTAAACATGAAATGAAATTAGAAAACTAAATGAAAGAACGTGTAAAAACTATAAATTATTTTGAACGGGTCTTTTATGCAAGTTGCATCTAGTGAATCATGATGGAAGAACCAGAAAAAAATGCCGTTGTGAAGAAGATGATGACGTAGAGTTTTCGGCCTATTTAACTTTTGGGCTTTTTATAAAATGTAAGAATTCAACCATATTTCTACAACGGTCATTTTGCAATTAATCAATTCTTTTATTTCTATAGTAGAACATTTATAAATTAATATTCGATAAATTAATAATTACTATAAATTAATAATTTTTGTCAGTTCTAAGTCGGACCAGTGTAAAAATTAACAAAATTCGATAAGATAATAAAATAATACTTTTTTAAAAAAATTGTATGTAAAAATATAGTCCCAATAATAATATAAATTAATAATTTATACATTTAGACATATATTAATAATATAATATAATAAACTATGATAATATTGTTGTCTCAAATTTATAAAATTTATTCGATTTATCTTCTAAATTCATAATTATGACATTTTTGAGTGAATTTTACATTATTGAAAATATTGATTTTATTTTTTTGATGAATATTAAAAATTTAAACTAAAATATCTCTATAAATATTAATTTATAGATTAATTAATAACTCTATAAATTAATATAATTTAAAAGTCCCAACATTATTAATTTATAAAGATTTTACTATATCTATTTTTATGATATATATCCTATTTTCAATTAATCAAATCTTTCAGTAGTTGGCTCTTTCTCAGGCTTTGAGCTTTCATCTCACACTACTCACTAACATCGTTCTCGCGTTAGGTAGGTTTTGGTGAAAGTGTGTCTTGTGTGTTGTGACGCTTTTCTTCTCTTTTTCTTGTGACGATGGAAAATCATTGACACGTCATCATTCATTTCTCATGAGAAAATGGGGTAATTTTCAGATGAATCGAAAGGCATTTAATCAGTTAAAATCAAGTTCAAAACCGACTTTTACAGAGAGATATCATATTGCACACGAAAAGCTCTTCGTTGTAACATTAAAATTTCAAAACATATGAATGTTTATTTTTCCATGTTCCTAACTCTTTAAAAAGCTATGTATAATGTATAATTAACAAGAACAGTTTCCCTGTTGTTGCTCTGCCTGAGAAGAACCGGTTATTGGCTTTAGGTTCACATCCACCAAATCTTCTTCTTTCGTCAAAGTAAGTTTCTCAGTTCCCTGTAACGCCGATGCAATCTTACAGAACAGAGGCTGCACTCAAAAACAATGTGAAGATTACTTAAAACGAGAACATATCACACCGACTTGTGTGTTTGTTTGTCTGTTTACCTTAATGTTGAAGCCAGCTTTTGCACTAGTCTCTATGAACAAAGCTCCAACCTCACGAGCTTTACTATCACCTTCCTCTATTGAAACTTGCCTGTTGAATCAATCAATCACCAGAACAAAACTCATTTGAATTCTGGAGCTACAAAATTTTACAATCCCCAAAAATGGTCATATCTTTTAGTTTTAGGGTCTGAGTTTGATTTTGTTTACCTTTTGTGAACAAGATCGGTTTTGTTACCAACAAGAACAATGATAACCTGACTGCCTCTTTCTGCACGAACATCTTCAATCCACTTGGAGGTGTTAATAAATGATTGCTTATCTGCACATTCAGAGAATTATAAACAAACAAAAAAGTTAGATCTTGTGTGAACCTATTGAGTACTGAAGAACAAAGACAAAGCAAGAAAGGTTTTCTAATATCCAACACATGTCCTGCTAAAAGCATTTCCTAGAGTAAAGTCTTACTTGCAACATCATAGACAATTACAGCAACAGAAGAATCTCTGATATAACTTGGGATTAGACTTTTAAATCTCTCTTGTCCAGCAGTATCCCTGCGCATCAATCATACACATGAAATGGTAGAACATAAGATGAAATCTGAGAATCTTTTCCATGGATCCTATACGTATGGCAAGTGAGTGAACATTAGATGAAATACATTCAGAAGAAGAGGAAGAAAAATCAAAAGATGGATTACCACATTTGAAGACGAAAGGTCCTATCTTCATGCCGCATTGATTTGGTCAAAAAATCAATTCCAATTGTAGCCTGCAAATTGCAAACCAAATTGAACACACATGTTGTTACACAGTCAGCTCTTCATATGCAAGGAAAATAATCAGAAGAATAAAACCCTAAATTCGAAGAACAAAATTGATCTCCTTTGCCAAAGAAAAGCGAGGAAAGAGGAGAAAACTCGAATCGAGACAAAAACAAGCTATCTGGATGATCAAAAACACGAATGACCCAAAAAAAAATTGGTATGTTATGGAACAATTTTTGAATCTGTGTCGGAATCGAAGAGGTAAAATCCAGGTAGATCGAGATGGAGTTTTCGAACCTGATAATTGGTGTCGAAGTTACCGTACATGAAACAAGTGATGATGCTGGTTTTGCCGACGGCTTGATCGCCGAGGAATACAAGCTTGTATTTCGCTAAATGTGGCATCGTCGCCATTCTTTTTTGGATTCCAAGGATGATTATTCTTTTTGTTCGCCGTTGATGAAATCGCGTTTATACGAAATACCGCCAATTATTCTTATTCAAAACATTTGCATTTTTTTCCTTATCAAGACAATTGTTCACTATTCAAAGCTATTTACTGTGTTTTGACTTTGTAATCAATTTTAGTTATGGTAGGGATTAGATTCGCATTATTGTCGTTACCAATCCAAGAAACATTATAAACATGTTTCAGTTAATTCTTCCGTTGTTCCCCAATGTGAGAATGGGATCAAATATTATGGGCCCAATTTCAAACACATGGGCCAAAATCCGAGCCAGTCCATGAATATCGGCCCTAGACAATCACATTTACGTGAGAAACGAATAATCAATAACTAAAATGGTAAAACTCAATACTCGGATTCAGATCATTACAGGACTCATTCCATGTATTAACTATATCAATGTAATAATACAAAAGTCTTTTGAATGGTCCAAGAATCACTATCATCTAGTTAATAATAATGTCATCAAGAAGATATTTTCATTGTTGAATTAAAGCAGCTAACCTGTGAATAGAGAAGATGGGGAAAAGTTCTTAGACCTTCTTCTTCTTCTTGTCCAGGTATGGATATTTCTGGTACAATGAGATACTACTGATCACCAGAGGAAGTGCCACGAGACAATACGATGAAGGCGGTTTTCCTTCAAACGCAAACTGAAGTAGCGCGGTCACAAGTAATGCCGACACAATCACAAATCCCTGGAAACAACAACAACAAGACAGAAGAATTTGATTTTAGCTTTTGTTGAAGAAACTTTGAAAGCGTGAAAAGTTGGTTTTTGTTTTACCTTTCTTACGCCACCGGCATGTGATGTAACTAGGCCAACGAGAATTCCACCGAGGGCATTGCTTATTACTGGGACCTGTAAGGAACAGTCACAGTGCATACAAACATTACGAGATAATAATTTTTATCAACAGAGACAGAGACAACAGTTTAGGGATCCGTTATTACCATTGTTAAAGCAGTCCAACCATGGAAGAAGCCAAATCTTTTAATCGCTTCACCATCTGGAGATTTAAGGGTACTTACTAACAAGCAGAGGCTTCCAACAATAGACATTTCGACTGTCATTAAGTACGATGAATGCTTCTTCACCTGTAACGGTGAGACAGTAGGGCTGTGAATGAATTGTACTACAGTTTTTTAAAAAAAAATTGGAATATAGCATTTAAACTCTGAATGACCTGAGAAGCCCATTGACACAGAGATGAGGCTAAACCCGAGAGCACAGACGCTGCCAAGACCGGGATAATTCCATGAAACAGCACTTGATCTGGACTAAAGCCACTTGAACTCTTGTTTGAGCCTTCACCAAAACTTAGAAGTACTGCAGCCATGATCAATAAACCCAAAGCTCCTATTTGCTGAATTGATTGTTTCTGCCTACAAGATGTAATTTGAGACGATGATGTCTTACAATACTTTTCAAAAAAATAACTGAGTCACCGCAGAGAAACAACCAAACAAATTTATTCAGGCATTCCCACGAATTCAAGACTCTGAGCAGTCGAGCACACAAACAAGAGAAAGAAGGGTACCTTAGTATGATGAACGTAAAGAATGCTGTGAAGAAGATTTTTGTCTGATTCAGAATAGAAAAAGTCAAGGAATCAAGACTCCGGTACGAGATCTGCAGCAGACTGTTCTGAAGTGCATAAATGGCTGCAGGAAGTCCTGATGCAGTCAAGGATCCCATCAACGTCCACTCTTTAGCTAATCCCTTCAAACTACCATCTCTTGCCATGAGAACCAGAGCACATATGACCTGAAAATAAAGGACACACAAGAGAAGAATGAGAATCCTCAGAAACATTATTTCATAACTGTAAAAATTTCAAAAGTAGAAAGGAAAAAAAAAAAAACATTGATTCACAACCTTAACAATCTCGCACGTCAAAACAGATGAAGTTACAATAACCTCCTTCCTGCAAAACATCAATCCGAACCATGATAAAGAGGCAAACAATCCATTAACTGTACATGAAGAAGCCTAGTAGGTTCTAACATAGCTTCATCTTCAGTGTCACACTGAGCATAGATGTCAAAATCTTCCAAAGTAATTCAATATCAAGTACTAGACTATGCTAAATGTTACATAGTACCCTGAAAAAGCAACATGAACAACCAAAACACTATGATGATCAACTAATTCGATACTCCAAGGCACCATTGGAGCAAACTAGTGTATTCAAATCCATCCCTAACACTTAAGATGGTAGGAAATGGTTTAGTATTACAGTGATCATCGTCTTCTCTAACAGTAACAACGAGAATACATCAGAATCGTCGCATTAGATTTCCATATACCTTCGAATTGTGAGTTTACGCCACTATTCTGAATCACAATTCTCAGATTGAATCGATTAAAAGCCAGCAAAACAGATGCCAGAAATTGAATTCCGTCTCCACTAAACGTAATTCAAACCGAATCTCGCATTTCGCGGAATAAACACACAAAATTACCGAATAGAATCACCAGCATCAGAGAATTTAGAGGCAAAGGTTGTTCGCAGATACCGTACCCGATGCAGCGTTTGGAGATCAGAGGCTGGGCTCCGTACTGAAACGTAAGCAATATAGAATAAAACAAAACCATGGGGCCCATCCTCGACGGACTCTTTGCTCCGTTAGGCGTCGCCATGACTCGACGGCCACCGAGAATCCAGAAGATCGCCTTCGCTTTGGTCGTGAATGGGTCTGTGCTGTGTAGAGAAACGAGAAGAAGAGAAGAACGCTTTTACTCTTTTCTACTTTATACGTCTTCTTCTTCTTCTTCTCACGAGAGTAACCACACTAAAACGGCGTCGTACTGTATACGCTTGACAAGTAGTTTTAAAAACATTTTATTTCTTGATAAGGTAACATATCTTTGGGAAATTATGCAGAATCCATCAACTTTTCCATCTACTAAATTCATACCCCAATACAGTTTTATTTTAATCATTATGTGAATTTTAGAAAGATGAAAATGTCACAATACAAATGTAGCTAATCATAATTATTGTTCTAGAATCCGAGTTCAAATTGATTTGTACAAACCAGAAGAAGGCCATAGGAATGAGAAATGAGACGTTGTTGCATTCGTCTAATCCGTGATTTCCAAATGTGAAAGGCCAAATTTGAGTAATGCATGTGTGTATTCTACTAATTGACAAACAAACCAGTGGACCTTTGTGACAATGATCCATTGGATGTGAAACAGAATTTCTCCCAATCACAAAATGAGTCCATAAAAGATTAGGGTTAAATAGCAAAATGAGACTCTTAAATTGTTAAAATCAACGGCCTTGATTAAAAGCCACCCTATAAATTCACACTTGCACTTCCTCTTCTTCAATCCAATTTTATCAGAGAAGCCATTGTCACCACAATGTGTGGGATTCTCGCTGTTCTTGGTTGCATCGACAACACTCAAGCTAAACGTTCTCGTATCATCGAACTCTCTCGCAGGTATTCTCTCAATCTTCCGTTTCATTGAATCACCCATTGACTTGTTCTGTCTCATTGTCTGAATGATCTATGAAGCAATCCGCAGTGTTACTGGGTATCGTTTATTAATTTTTTTTATCCAAAAGGTTTCAACTTTCAATGGGAAATATATTCGTTTAATCACCCAAGTGAAGAGTCATTGTTTTGCTTTGGTTTGGCTGTAAAAGAAAAACTGATCTTTATGGAGTAGATGAAAAACATATATCTATAGACCCGAACTGAGTGAGTAGGTCCATTACCGTTTGTGCAGGTTAAGGCACAGAGGTCCTGACTGGAGTGGACTCCATTGTTATGAGAATTGTTATCTTGCTCATGAGCGTTTAGCCATCATTGACCCAACTTCTGGAGACCAGCCCCTCTATAACGAAGACAAGACCATCGCTGTCACGGTACTTCCCTCTTGTGTCTGAAACCAATTATCATCTCAAATTATAGACCTTTATTTTGCATGCTTGCTTGCCAAAAGTAATAATATCTGAAGAATGAATCAAATGGGCTAATGATGTCAGGTCAATGGAGAGATATACAACCACAAGATCTTGCGAGAGAATCTCAAGTCCCATCAGTTCCGTACCGGCAGTGACTGTGAAGTGATTGCGCATCTTGTAAGTATGCGTAATTGGGAACTTACTGAATAGTTTAGTTGCTCTGGCTTACCAACATTATTGCATAAATCTCAGTTTTGGCAGTAAGTGACTCTGTAATCTGAGCATCTCTCTATCTATTGTTGCAGTATGAAGAGCATGGAGAGGAATTTATTGACATGTTGGATGGAATGTTTGCGTTTGTTCTTCTTGATACACGCGACAAAAGCTTCATTGCTGCAAGGGACGCCATTGGTATCACTCCATTATACATTGGATGGGGTGTTGATGGTAGATACTCTGACATTTCCCTAAGCAAATTCACTTTAATTGATTAAAGCTTATTCTTTCTTGTCTAATCAATCAATGTTTAATAACCCTTAACAGGTTCTGTCTGGTTTGCTTCTGAGATGAAAGCCCTTAGTGATGATTGTGAACAGTTTATGTGTTTCCCTCCAGGCCACATCTATTCAAGCAAACAAGGTTTTGTATACCAAATAAAAATTTGAGGCATTTTTCGCTTTGTAGTTTTGTTGAGTATTGTGGTTCCTTACTATGTTCTTGTAGGAGGGCTTAGGAGGTGGTACAATCCTCCGTGGTACTCTGAGCAGGTTCCTTCAACCCCATATGATCCTTTAGTGCTGCGCAATGCCTTCGAGAAGGTATGTTTGAAGATTTATCCTTTTCAAGGTCTTAAATTTTCAGTCTTGTTGAATGTGAACACTGTTTTTTTTTCAGGCTGTTATAAAGAGACTAATGACTGATGTGCCTTTTGGGGTTCTCCTCTCTGGAGGATTAGACTCGTCCCTCGTTGCTTCAGTAGCATTACGCCACTTGGAAAAATCGGAAACTGCTCGTCAATGGGGTTCACAGTTGCATACATTTTGCATCGGTTTGAAGGTTTGTCTTCAAATTTTTAAACATATTATCAGATTTCTTGAAATGTTGTGTGCCCTTCAAGATCCTTACTATATATATATGGTTCTGTTATTGTTTTCAGGGATCGCCGGATCTTAAAGCTGGCAGAGAAGTTGCTGACTATCTTGGGACTCGCCACCACGAGTTTCAGTTTACAGTTCAGGTATAAAACTTCACTGAAGCAGAAACTCTCTTAGCATTTATATATCTTTACAAAGACAGGCTTAAGCATTGTTTCCTCTAATTATAATTATAATTCCAGGACGGCATAGACGCGATAGAGGAAGTCATTTACCATATTGAGACCTATGACGTGACAACTATAAGAGCTAGCACCCCAATGTTTCTTATGTCGAGAAAAATCAAATCTTTAGGTGTAAAGATGGTTCTTTCTGGGGAAGGTTCTGATGAAATTCTCGGAGGGTACTTGTACTTCCATAAGGCACCCAACAAGAAAGAATTTCACGAAGAAACGTGCCGAAAGGTCTTTCCTTTTCATTACATCAAGAACTTACTTTGCTGCTCTGCTTTTCTCAGTCTTGTTTATGCTTTGTTTTACTTTACAGATCAAAGCTCTCCATCAGTTTGATTGCTTGAGAGCCAACAAATCAACTTCTGCGTGGGGTGTCGAAGCTCGTGTGCCTTTCCTAGACAAAGAATTTATAAATGTCGCCATGAGCATCGACCCAGAGTGGAAGATGGTCAGGCCTGATATCGGGAGGATCGAGAAATGGGTGCTACGCAATGCCTTTGATGATGAACAAAAGCCTTATCTACCAAAGGTTTGTTTGCAACAAAAATAAACTGTTTGTGTCTTCTCAAGTCAAAAACTGTATATGTTCTAACAAAAATCCCTCATCTTGTGGTGAATTCAGCACATTCTGTATAGACAGAAAGAACAGTTTAGCGATGGAGTTGGGTATAGCTGGATTGATGGTCTGAAAGATCACGCAAACAAACATGTAAGGCTTTTTTTTCTTTTCCCGATAAATGTTTAAAACCCTTTTGACATAAACTTGCCTATTTCTTGGTTATAAAGGTCACGGACACTATGCTGTCGAACGCAAGCTTTGTCTTCCCCGATAACACACCTATGACAAAAGAAGCTTACTACTACAGAACCATCTTTGAGAAATTCTTCCCTAAGGTAATAATAAGATGCCCACAAAACAATCCAAGTCTCTCTCTGTTTCGTCATTTCTTCAATCCTCTCTGTGTTTTGTGAGCAGAGCGCTGCAAGGGCGACTGTTCCAGGAGGTCCAAGTATAGCTTGCAGTACCGCGAAAGCGATAGAATGGGATGAAACTTGGTCGAAGAATCTTGATCCGTCAGGACGTGCGGCTCTTGGAGTTCATGTTGCAGCCTATGAGGAGGATAAAGCTGGTAAAGTTGGATCGGGTTCAGTAGATTCTCTTCCTCAGAAGCTAGATGGATTAAAAGAGAAGATTGCAAGCGTTGCTTGAGGCGAGGAGAAAACAAGGTTTTTCACTTCGGCAGAGACCGATATAAGTTAATGTGTGATACTATCATCTTCCAGAGGGATCAATGACTAAAGCTTTGTCCTTTTTTTCTCTGTTTCTCTTTCACTTTCTCAAGTAATACACGTTGCTTGCATCTATACCTAAGCTTTTCTGCGTATTTTCTTGTTCTTGTGTGTTTTGGACGTTTGATTTGATAAATACGAATTCGTTTTATCGCTTAGTTTTGGGTTTTGTATCTCTGCAACCTTCCTTTTATCGTGCCTATTACGGTAATTTAGTTAACATGCAGTCTAACAGCAAGCAAGACTTCGTGGCCCAATGGATAAGGCGCTGGTCTACGAAACCAGAGATTGTGGGTTCGATCCCCATCGAAGTCGCTGTTCAACTTTTTTAAAAAACCTTTTTCCTGTCATTTTCGCTTATTCTTGTTTTTAAATTGTGGATAAACTTTCACACTCATATTTATTTCATTTTATAAAGACAGGTGACCTAACATTTAAGTTTTTTTGAACTCTTGCATTTGAGTTTTTCCTTCATATTAGTATATATTTATCAAATTTGAGTAAACGAAGTAACTGCTCCCCCCTCAGACTTGAGCTTCTCGCCAACCACGTGACTCCACCGTCGTTTTCTTTTATATAACAAAAACATTTAAAAAAATTAAGAATTGAAAACCCCATTTTTTAATGTACTTTTATAGTCAACCATCGCTTTTTCTAGCTATATAGCTGTTCCATAATAGCATGTTTTTAAAATAAAATTTTATTACTTTTCAACGCCATTAAGTAAAGTGTGAACTCATCATGTTCGCTTTCCACATAGTATTTATTTAAAAAAACAATAAATTGAACTTTCTTTGTTGTTGGTAATGTTAAAATAAATACATTGAACTTTCTTTAGTAAAAGAAACAGATTGATTTTGGACCTATTCGGGATAGACAGAGTGTAATGTGCCCGTTCACATCTCTTCTGAATTCTGATTCACAAGTACTCCCAACACACGTTTTAAATCACATTAAAATTGTACCGGTCGATTTATATTTAGTTAATATACAAATATATAATTTTTAATTTTGACACGACTAGGAATCGGCTTTTTAGTTTCTCCTCGAAATTGAATTAGAGCAAAATTTTGTGATATTGATTTTGGTTACAGCCTGGTTTGAGAAGAATTAAAAACTGAAATAATTTATACATTTTCCATCTTGGTTTATTTACATTAAACCCAATTAAAAATAAAATCTTATTAATTTGAATAGATGTGCATAAAACAAATTATTGGTTTTTTACATTAAAACCCAATTACAAATAAAATCTTATTTCCTCTTTATTCAGAAACAGCGGTGAAAAAAATACTATTATAAAATATAAATTACTATGTCCATATTATTCTCATAAATGCTTTAAATTACCTTTTAATATGTAAATCATTTTGGGATTCCCCGTAACGTTATAAGTAAGGAAGACGTGCGTCTGCCTTCGTCTCATTACAATTTCAGACAGCGAAAACACATAGAGAGAGAGAGAGAGATCTCAAGACAAGACTGATCCCTAAAATGGCGTCTCTGAAAGTCCCCAGCAATGTTCCTCTTCCCGAAGAAGACGCTGAGCAACTCCACAAGGCTTTTGCAGGTCTCCTCTATCTCTCTCCATTCATCGATTGATCTAAAGAAAATTTTGGCTTTAATTAATTTCTTCTTCTGCGAATCTAATCTATAACCGGTTTAGTTATTTACGTCGCGAGAAAATTGATCCTTCATCTCTATCGTGATTTTGTTTTTAGGTTTTGCTGATCCGGGATGATTTAGTTGACCTTGTTTGATATAATCCGTGTTCACTAATTACTTTGTGATCCGCTTCTTACATTGCTCTGTTATGTTCTTCAATCACAAGATCAGGATCGTATATCATCAAACGATGTCCGATTTAGTTGATTATGAAGAAAAACTAAATTTGTTTAAAGTAACCATCTTTTTTGTTCAGCGATCGAAAAGAACAAGTTTTTCAGAGAGTGCAACTTAGAGAATGGAAAAAGAGAGAACTTTATTTGTTTGGTTTGGTTTGGTCTGAACTCTGAACATGACATGTCTTAAGAATGTTGTTTTGGTTTGTCTCTGAAACACAGGATGGGGTACCAACGAGAAGCTGATCATATCAATTCTAGCTCACAGGAGCTCATCACAACGCAGCTTAATCCGCAGCGTTTATGCCGCTACTTACAATGAAGATCTTCTCAAGGCTTTAGACAAAGAGCTTTCTAGTGACTTTGAGGTTACATATTACTCTCTCTTTCTTTAAAGGGTCGAATCCTTAAGATGTAATATTGATTTGGTCGTTTTTTTTGTTTGTAATAGAGAGCTGTGATGCTGTGGACTCTTGATTCAGCGGAGAGAGATGCTTATCTAGCTAAAGAATCAACCAAAATGTTCACCAAGAACAATTGGGTTCTTGTTGAAATCGCTTGCACAAGGTCTGCTCTTGAGCTTTTCAAGGTCAAGCAAGCTTACCAAGCTCGATACAAGAAATCACTCGAGGAAGATGTCGCGCAACACACATCTGGAGACCTTCGTAAGGTAAATTCATCAAGTCAATAATTAAACCAAGTTTTGATTTGTGTTTGTTCTGTGATTCTTGACAAATTTTCCAAACATCTTTGATTCTTTGTTTGTCTTCTCTTTTGTAGCTCTTGCTTCCTCTTGTTAGCACTTTCAGGTACGAAGGAGACGAGGTGAACATGATGCTTGCTAGATCTGAAGCTAAGTTACTTCACGAGAAGGTCTCAGAGAAAGCTTTCAACGATGATGACTTCATCAGAATTTTGACCACCAGAAGCAAAGCACAGCTCCGTGCAACTCTCAACCACTACAACAACGAGTATGGGAACGCCATTAACAAGGTTAACTTTAAATTACCAACTGCTTTTGTTAATATGCTGCAAATTTATAATGTACTGTTCAGACAGCTGATTCATGTGTCGAGTTTTGCAGAACTTGAAGGAAGCTTCGGATGACGAATACCTGAAACTACTAAGAGCTGCAATCACGTGTTTGACATACCCTGAGAAGCATTTTGAGAAGGTTTTGCGTCTGGCAATCAACAAAATGGGGACAGACGAATGGGGACTAACCCGAGTCGTGACTACACGAACTGAAGTTGACATGGAACGCATCAAAGAGGAATATCAGCGAAGGAACAGCATTCCTTTGGACCGTGCTATCGCCAAAGACACCTCTGGTGATTACGAAGACATGCTTGTTGCTCTTCTCGGACATGGTGATGCTTGAAACTGATTTCAGTTTCCGATTTCTCCTTCTTTTTTTTCTAGTTTTCTGGTTTGTTTTAAATAAAAAGAGTTGTGAAACTGGTTCTGCAATTCTATCTATCGATGTTCTTTGAGTTTGTTAAATTTTAATGAAACTCTGTTTTTTCTTCTTCTTCCAATCTTTATACTTATAAATCACAAGTCAGTTAGCAATTGTGAGATTGACAAGTGTCCCTTTTTAATGTTTTAAACTAATTTACTTTTTATTTTTTTTATCACAGCAATTTATGTTTTTCTAAAAAAAAAAATCTCACATTTATTGCATAACTACACATGATCTTTAATTTAACTTTTCATTTTCACAGCATATCATCGTCACCCTCATCATATATATATACATATTGTATATCAGAAATATTTAACCCATATAATCTTTTAAGAATTTGCAAAAAGATAAAGCAGTTACTATAGGTATTCTATTGATTTTTCGATTTTTGGGTTTTAATCTAGATATTAGTGTGATTATTTACAAAATAAAACAACTACCAGAAACACACCATTATGAAAATGGCAAGATGCAAATTTTATTATTCCTACAAAAAATTTTAGGTTCTACTTAATGATGATAACATTTATAGATCAAATATATTGGGATGATATATATTTTTTCTTTTTCTGTGATTTATCTTTCTGAGTTTTAGAAAAGAAGTCAAAAGGATAAAATAATATGCAAAATAGACATTTATTTTTAATTTTTTACTTATTATTCTTTTAATAGATATTTTGTCGTGAGAAAGTTAAGTAACAAACCAAAATCATTTAGTCCATATTTAATTATCTATATACCAAACACTAAAATATATTATTATTGTTATTATTATTCTATATTTAATTGACATTTATATATTTATTTAAACTAATTAATGAATATTTTTAAATTTATAAAACACATAAGCTTACTACTATTGAATAAGTATGTTTACTTTGTCTTTCTATTATCCAATTCTCAAATTTAAAATATTTCAATAGTAAAAATGTTAAACTGTTTTAATTTCAAACATGTTATCTTTTATCAATTTTATAAATAAAAGAGTTATTACTTAAATACCATATCAAACTGTTTTGATTTTAAACTTATTATCTTTTATGTTAATTTTATCTAAATTTTATTAATTAAATACCAATCCCCCTGCATAGCAGAGGGCAAAATTCTAGTACAATCTAAAGCACAAGCTAAAGCAAAAGCTTCGTAATCTAAACAATTGCAACTTCCACAATCTCTACTGCTACAACACACACAAAGCTTCTCTAATCTCTTCTCTTTCTTGTTGATGATCAACATCTTTTCCATTTCTAAAGCTTGGACTTTTAGAGCTATCTTCAACAAAACAGGCTTCTCATCTTCAAAACCTCCGATCTCAGTGACTTCCTAAGCAACGACGCCTTTTTCTTCCTCCGTAGCTCGAAAACGGCTCTCTGCTGCTTCAGTTCATCGACTGCTGCTTCGTTCCCTTGACACTCCAGACCAAAAGATTGATCCCAAATGAGGTTGTCTTATTTAGAAAAGATCTCTCTCGTGTTTACTTCGACCTTTCTGTTGTGTCCTACAGAGAGATAGAATCTAACGAACAGAGTACTAGCTCGTGACTTGATCTCTACGTTTCTTGCTTCTATTATTCTCACTTGGCATTTTAGTGAGCGAAGTTTCCTCCCCATAACACCCATTTTTATTTTTTCGCTTACAAATTCAAAAATGGAGGTTTTGGCCACCGCCGCGACGGCGTGATTGGTTTTGCCGGAGATGTAACTCTGTTTGAATTTGGAGGACTTGAGTGGGAGTGAGATGGTTTAGCCCGATAGGACCGGTTTGGTTATTAGGAATTAAGGTTTCTGGTTTTGATAATAAAAGGATTATTGAAAAACTGATAATATTTGTAGAAACATATAAACCCTTACGATGTACGACGAACACTGAACAATAATATATGGCTGGATCCGTGTGTGCGTAGAAAGAAAGCAGGAGCCTCTTGCTTGTAGTTTCACGAAAAAGGAAAATCAATCAATTTCCCTTTTCGTTGAAAGGAAAAAGGAAAATCAATCAGATTTCCTTTTTCGTTGAAAGGAAAATCATCATCTATATTAACCTAACGACGTTACTGTGAGTCGTATTATTCTCTTCTCTGCTTCCTCTTGTTTCGTTTCCGCCGTAGCTCGTGTCTAGGGTGTTGGTTCTGTCATCTGCACCAAAATCATCATATCTGGAAATCGTTTATCTTTTGCTTCTCGATTGCGTCTGAAGAGAACAAAAACTCTCTCAACGAGATGGAATGTAACAAGGAAGACGCCAAAAGAGCACTGCACATCGCACAGAGAAAAATTTTACAGAGCGATTACAAGGGGGCGAAGAAATTCGTTAACAAGGCTCGGAAATTGTATCCGAAGATCGAAGGTTTGAAACAAGTCTCGACGATAACGGATGTTTATATCAGAGGAGTCGAATCTGATTGGTATGGAATCCTCGGCGTGGATCCTTCAGCTGATGATCAAACACTGAAGAAACAGTACAAGAAGTTGGCTCTCTGTCTTCATCCAGACAAGAACAGGTTTAATGGCTCGGAAGGTGCGTTTAAGCTGCTTTCAGATGCTTGGTCTCTACTATCCGATAAAGCAAAGAGAATCGCCTATGATCAGAAAAGGAAATCGAAACCACCAAAGCCACAACACGCTTCTTCAACGTCAGCGTCTTATAACGCAAAAGCGTCTTATAACGCAAAAGCTGCTAACGCAAAAGCGTCTGATAACGCAAAATCATCTGATAACGCAAAAGCTGCTGATAACGCAAAAGCTGCTGAAGAAAAATGGAAAAAATGGCTTAAAGATGTTGCTGCAGCTGTTGCTGCTAGAGCAAATGAATGCGAAGCAGAGAGTCTCTTCAAGAGACAGATGAGGAAAACAGGAAATGCAAACTCCACTCCGGAAGCAGAAACGCCTTTCAAAAATCCGGTGAAAACAGCAGATGCAAAAGCATCTGATAACGCAAAAGCTGCTGATAACGCAAAAGCTGCTGGAGAAAAATGGAAAAAATGGCTTAAAGATGTTGCTGCAGCTGTTGCTGCTAGAGCAAATGAAATCTCTACTTGCGAAGCGGAGAGTCTCTTCAAGAGTAAAACGGGAAGCAGCCAATGACATATATTATAGTATGATTTTTTATTTTATTTTTTATCTTTGCTTAATTGTGTGACGTATATTATAAGTAATAAAATTGTTTCCAACGTAAAATCGTGTTTTTCCTCTTCTGGTTTGTTTGTAACGTAGATCACACATGTGTCTACACTTAAATGCTCCTACAAACGCAACTATCAGCACGAACAAAACCAATAGACACGAAATACATATATCAGCAAGAACAAAACCTATAGGCTTTTCAAGAAGCCGATAATGACATATGTGAACTAAGACAGCCACACGTATTGTCTTGTACGTTTGAACCGATGTGGATAAAGTAAACACAAATAAGAAAGTTTAATACAAAAGAGCAAAAGAAACCTTTGCACCAAGGAAGCATAATCAAAAGTGGTAGCAATGGGGGCGTAGTGCATCAGCCTGGCTTCCGCTGATGAATATCAAAGGAGGCTCATCGAAAGTCAATCTAAGCCAGAGCAATGATCACTCAGTCCACGATAGGTCTAGGCCTGAATGAACGGAAAGGAATCTGGAGAGAATCGATCCGATCACTCACTCTGTGTTCGTACTGTAACTGTTGAGACAAGCGACGATGTTGGAATCAGCCAATTTCGAAAAAGACTTGCACCGGCATCGAGAGGATGTGAAGCAGAACAGAGTGTATAACAGGACAAAACAATCAAGAAGAGAAGACAAAGCTTTCTTTGAAAGTCGAGGACTCTGATAACAACACGAGTGTGGAACTGAGTGGTGATACTCTCTACTACACGCGATGACGCAAACCACTCACGTCGTTGACGATGATGAAACAGAGGTGTAGATTTTTTTTGTGCATTGAGAATAGCTTTTAACTAGGCAGGTGGGTTTCGGATGTTACAATCACAAAACTCGCAAAGCATCTCATGGACCTGGCTTATGTTTCAACGCAACCGAATGAAACAGAGGAATCGTTCAGGATTCTCAGTCTGATGCACATCTCCATAGCTCTCAAGTTCAGCCACATCCTCTACGCTCCCAAGAAGCAGAGGCTATTAGGAATTAAGGTTTCTGGTTTTGTTGAAGATGGCGACTAAGGTTTAAGTGCGACTAATACAGGAATTGTTTTTACAAAAACCTCAACAACAAAAATATATATTTGATCCATACATCTTTTCAGATCAAAACCAATTTCTCCTTCTTGTTTTTAGTTTCCTGTTTTGTTTTTAATAAAAATAGTTGTGAAACTGGTTCTGGAGTTCTATCTATCGATGTTCTTTGAGTTTGTTAAATTTGAATGAAACACTGTTTTTTCTTCTTCTTTTAAATACAATCTAAAGCACAAGCTAAAGCAAAAGCTTCGTAATCTAAACAACTGCAACTTCCACAATCTCTACTGCTACAACACACACAAAGCTTCTCTAATCTCTTCTCTTTCTTGTTGGTGATCAACATCTTTTCCATTTCTAAAGCTTGAACTTTTAAAGCTATCTTCAACAAAACAGGCTTCTCATCTTCAAAATCCGGGATTTTCGATTCACCCATCACTACGAATCTCTCAACCTCCATGCCCGGCGACTCGAAAACCGATTCCCATGAAACCTCTCCTCTACCCAAAACCTCCGATCTCGATGACTTCCTAAGAAACGACGCCGTTTTCTTCCTCCGTAGCTCGAAAACGACTCTCTGCTGCTTCAGTTCATCGACTGCTGCTTCGTTCCCTTGACACTCCAGACCAAAAGATTGATCCCAAATGAGATTGTCTGATTTAGAACAGATCTCTCTCGTGTTAACTTCGATTCTTCTATTGTGTCCTGCAGAGAGATAGAATCTAACGAATAGGGTACTACTAGCTTGTGACTTGATCTCTACGTTTCTTGCTTCTACTATTGTCACTTGGCATTTTAGTGAACGAACTTTCTTCCCCACAACACCCATTTTTTTTTCTTGCTTACAAATTCAAATTAAACCAACAATTAAAGATGAGGTTTTGTTGATAGATATGTTGATGAAACAAAGACTCTTGTATTTATATACCCGTATGATGGAAGGTGATTGAATATTCTAATAGTTTATGTTTTCAGTAAAACATTATTTTTGTATTTCTTAGTGATGGTTGTAAGATTCGGGATCTTCGTAAGTGGTCATAGATTTATTATCGATTGGGGAATTCCAAAGAACAACAACACTTCGTCACATTCTTAGCTTTAAATAATAAATACTATACACTAGAGGGTTTATATAATAATACATGGGTGGATTAGATCATGACTTGGTACATATCCTCGTTAGTCCAATGAAATTTAGCCCTTGTGTTTTGTAATACGATGATCTGTAAAATAATAATGAAGTGAAACTAGCTTTGATCTTCTAGATCCAATATCTTATCAAGAATCAAACTACAAAATCTTTCATCTGGACCCACAATTTTTTAGCATCTTATGGACTGTGTCATAAAATCACTGATACTACACCAGAAGACTGGTCTCGAGATGGACATTTGACAATTATTTAGAACAAGGCTACGAGGAAAGACAAGGTACCCTATGCTAGTAGGCCCGTTTTAGTCGGCCCATTATTCTCGACCCACGTTTCTAGACAATTATATTCATTCCCGTTTACGTTAAATCAAAAAAGAATAGGGGGAAAAGTTCTCTTAAAAACTTCGGTAAAATTTTCACGATTTTCATAAACATACATAAAAAAAATTTCTGTTTGAGGAAAAATACGAAAATTAACTGTTGTGCCTGGATATATACACAAACGATTTTTGCATTATAAAAAGAATAACATTATTTGTTAAAAAAAAAAAAAAGAATAACATTACGAAATATATATATTCTGAATGTTATCCAAGACTAACATTCATAAGCCTGTAAAGTGCAAAGTCCGTTATCTTGAATAGTTCAAAACATTAATTTGTATGTTAGTATATCGCAATTTAGTAAATTGTTGTATCTCCAATATGGATAGACAAATTGGTATTTATAAAGGATGCTCAAACTGATAATATTTCTGTAGAACCATATAAGAATATAAGCCATTGCGACCAACACAATGAAATAACAATATTATTTCTAGTAATCTTTAATATTAAGGGAATTTTGCCGGCCAACAGGAATTTCTACTTAAAAAAAGAGAGAAATCTTTTGGTTTTCGTCACTCAAGATTCGATACATTTATTTATGGAATTTCTCAGAACTGATCCCTATCACAAGTCCTATTTAGTATTTTCTAGTTACGTATCTAAGAATCGGTCCGTCTGATTATTATAATATCACAATACGTCGTCTATTATATTTCCTTTTCTTTTGCAGTTTTGTGTTACAACAACTAGAAAACCACCTGAAATTACATCAAACATTGATATTATGTTATATATTGCATATTACAAAGAAAAATCACACGAACAAGTCAAACTCAATTACTCGACATCTCATACATTATCATGTTTTGGATTATGATGTATAATATGGATCATTAGTCATTAATTACAATCATTTAAACTCATTTTCTCGTCTTTTTTCGTGTCTCTTTTTTTTTTGGTCCACTTTTTTGTGTCTCTTATTCTTTATATACAAAACACCAAACGTATTAATTTTACTCGTAAGGAAAAAAACAATAATTATTAATTTATTATAGATCACAATGATCAATTAAACCCGGATTGGTTTCTTGGATAATACGGCGCGGGTTTTTACTTTTCTCTCGTCCAGCTTAATTTGCTTCTCCCTGCACTCTAAGCTACAAAATGCGTTGTCCCCTCTACAAAAGCAATACAGTATAACAGTTTGTATCAGATAAAGAACATATACAGGCAATCAACACGTAATTCAGGATAATTTGAAAGGGTGATTAAGAAAAATAAAAATCGTACCTATACATATAAATGTCACGACGATGGCAAAGATTTCGTTTGCAAAGACTGCAAATCCTCAAGAAACCATCGTTCTGAGTAGCCATCACCGTCAGATTATGACGAATGGTTAGATGATCGGACGGCTGAGATGCATGATCATAGATCATGTCTGTATCGACTGTGATCATTTTCATACTTGTTGTTCTCTTGATCAAAGAGTTATGACGTTTTCCCAATACCATTTTCTCTTTCTCTTTCTCTCTAAAAAGAAGAAGAAAAAGTGTGTAGTGAGAGAGGCTGAGAGGGAGAAGAAGCAAGGAGAAGGATGAAGAGAAGAAAAACACAAGATATTTAAAAAGAAACAAAATGGAAAACTCTAATCATAGAGATAATATTGTTTTAATTTTATAATATTCTTTAGTTAGTTTTTTTATTCATCATTCTTGTTTATTAATAGTGATTTATATTGGTGGTATAGCCGTGATAAGTAATGAACATTGAGATCAAAAATCAAGAGTTAATAAATCGGAGATTGTGTAACAAAAGTCTGGCACTTCGGCTTTCAAATTTATTTTATCCGTCACTTAATCAACAAATACTCAAGAATTATCATTTTGATATTTTTTTTCCTCTGTTTTAAACAAAACTATGAAAACTCAAGCAACATAACTTACTTGGATAAAATATAACTTAAGTTCAGTCCGGTCTGTATAAAGATAGCCTTGTGGACTGGACTACTCAAGTCTTCACTTTTTTAGTAAATTAACTGCTAACCAAATGAAATTCAGATGAAATTTGCTATCCATGGTTAAACCGAAACCAGACTAAAGCAGAACCATGTCTTATACAAACAGAACTAGATTCAGCCAGACAGATCTATTGCAACTACCCAAATTTATACATAATTTTATAAAACAAGGAAAATAACCCAAAAAGAAATATGAGATCATAAGCATTCGGAACAGGACAAAAGTTAGTGCGGTAAATGGATCAGTACGTCACCAAAAATGTCCAAAAACTTTTCGACACATACGCCTCTTGTTATTAGCCGCACTGTCGACTTCCCCCCAAATATCATTTTTTCTTCATTACCTCACACCTTTTTGTTTTTGTTTTTAGCGAAGTTAACTCATTCAGAGTGAAGTAACACTTCAGATTGTTGACGAAAAATGATAATCACTCGATCGAAACTCGAGTACACTGTGATCATATTTTTTATAAAAAAAATGAGAGGGCAAAAAGTTAAAAACTTCTTAGATATCAAAAGAAAAAAAAAGTTTCGAATTTACGTACATAATTTAGTACAATCAAAAAGTTAACTCATTAGAATTTAGACAGCCCTCCGATTGTAAGAACTTTCTGTTACATCAACTTTGTGATTGATAATTTGAAATCATGTAAAGTATTAAATAAATGAGCGGAGAATCAGTGAATGTACATGAGTAAGCAATAAAGTGAAAACCAATATTGTGAGAGCACAAACGGACAAATGTATCAACAATGGAACCCATCAAATGACCAATAGTTTCCATGAATCTCTTGACCCTTGAAAAAAAAGCAAAAGCAAAAGCTAAACAAGTGTTTGGTTCTATACCAATAGATTCCCTTTTATTTCTTTCTTATTATTAGTTTCTCAGTCTTTTTTCTTTTTGACATTATTAGTTTTTACCTTTTCTCAATCTGAATATGTTCCTACCAACTTGAAAGAAAAGGCATACAAGTGTATAGTTGTGTATATCACTTTCTATCATTCTTAAGAGAATCACCCTCTTATGTATACATTTCCCAGAAGTTTTAACTTTTTGACATTTTATCAAAAGCAGTGAAAAAAATATTGACAGGACAGTAATATCCATGAGTCCTTATCGAATGACTTATTCAGGAAAATCTTCCTAAGACACTTTAACTGGTGACCAATTAAAAAAAGAATAAAAGAATAGGAATGAAAAATAAAAGAATGAAAGAAATAAAAGAAAATGAATGAATAGGAATGAAAAATAAATAAGGAAGTAAATAAATATATTTTGTTTCTCCCTAATTTTAATAAAGAATACATTTGTTCTATAATTCCTTATATGATAAGGAATAAGAAAAAATGATAGAGAAATATTATTACTAGCAAATGGTAAAAATTTTAAGGAATGAATATGAATTCATTATTCCCCCTCATTTCCTTGGTCACCAACTTAGAGACAAGAACTTGAAAGTAACTTGCAGATTTTGCATATTACACTTACACACACAAACAAAAAGAGGAAATTTGAAATAGTAATCACCAAGACAAGAACCTAGATGGAGCTAAAACAAGAGTTTCTCTCTATGTTTTGATTAAACATCGAGACACTGAGCATAGCCTGTAGAATAAAACATTTACTCACAGAATCATTCTGGCTGCCAAAATTTGGCATATTGTGTTTGACAACAGTATTATGTGATTCACCTAATTATGGTGGGTGGAACTAGGGAGTAGCTACTTAATGGGCCAAAGCGTTATCGTAAATTATAATGAGCTTAACTAATATGGGCCTTAGTTAGCTTTGGATTGGCCCATTTATTATAAGCCTAACGATCGTCTTCCCAGGTACCGGTTAAACCCGGTTTGGCTCGTGGGCTGATTCTGGTTCAGCTGATCACGTTAGGAAACAAACATCAAGATTGTAGAATCCAAATTATCATTCTTATTGAGTCTTGAGACAGAACGTGAACGAGTCATGGCGGAACCTACGCCACGGACGAGCCAACGCGGTAAGCTGGGGGTGAGATCAACCTCAGATGATCTGATTCTCGTAAAACGGAAGAAAGCCGTTTTGACATTTTCTTGAAGTGAGCGTTCTTTGTTCTTCTACACTTCTACAATGCTAATTTATTAACATTGATTAAACCATCTTTTAAGAGTGATAAGCTATGAGTGTGTATCTTTACTCTTTCCTTGAAACCGGACTCAGAAAATAAACCGTTTGGTATTTCGGCTCATTGTATTATTGGTCGTAAACCAACAATTTGGTATAAACTAAATTTATTGTTGATAAAACATAGTATATAAAATTTTTTTGAAGGGATTTCAGTTACTTAAATTTAGAATTTGTTGCTGGTTACTTTTTTTTAATTTAACAAAGAATATCATTTTTTTTAAATGTCCTATTACCTATCCAATATACTACTTTTCTAATTCAATTACTATTAAACCAAAAAAATATATTCAATTGCTAGATTTCTTATTCAAAACTAATAAACTTTTAATTTAATTTATTATACAAGATAGTAGTACTATATATAAGAATGCTTTATTTATGATGGTTGTGGGGTTTTCCAATTGTTGACCATGAATGTATAACATAATCATTAACGATAATCTGATCAAGGTATATATAAAAAAAATTATGCAGAAGAGATTGATTTGGCATACGATTCAGAGATTACTATACCAACAAATACAGAAGAGATGATTCGAGAAAAAAAAAATCAAGAAACATAAGAATATGTTATAGCATAGCATTTAAAGTTTCTACTTTGATGACGATTATAAAAAAAACAATTAGTGAGTTAATATTTTGTTAAAGAAAAGAAGCGTACTAGCGTAGAATATAAATTTCACACTTTTAATGATAATATTTTTTTGTAATTTTATGAAGTTAATGGAAATACTGTAGACGTTAAAAAAAGTAAGATTTATTTAGGAACTAAATTGTTTTTTTTTCAAATAAGATAAACCCAACTTTTATTGGGATGATGATGGGGACCGGTCCAACCGGTTGGATTTTAAAGTCAAAGGCGCTCGCCGCTCGCTGGAAATTTCAACATGCGTAAAAAAATACGTGTCTCTTCGACTCTTCCTCTTCCTTAAAACGCAGCGTTTCCACTCATTACTATTTTTTTTGTTCTCTCGTTTAACCAAAAAAAAAAAAATAGTACACTGACTTCGGATTTGTGTCATTTGTCCCAAAAAAGATAACAAAAACGAAAAAAAATAAAAGGCAACAGACATTGAGCGTCTTGGGACATCAGATTCAAATTAGGGCACAAAGTCTTATCTGAGAAAGAAGCGATGGGAAGAAGAAAAGTGGAGATCAAGCGAATCGAAAAAAAGAGCAGTCGACAAGTCACCTTCTCTAAACGACGCAGTGGTCTTATCGAGAAAGGTCGACAACTCTCGATTCTGTGTGAATCCTCCGTCGCTGTTCTCGTCGTCTCCGCCTCCGGAAAGCTCTACAACGCATCCTCCGGGGACAAGTAAGCTACTTTTCCTGTTCTGAGACTCACTGGACTTTTCTTCTTGATCTCTTTGTTTAATTACTCCCCCGCTATGGAAACTTTCAAATCTAGGGCTTTTCGTTTCTTTCAAATCAACTGAGATTTTCTCTCTATTTTTTTGTTAATGAAGATAGTCTATGCGTTAGCTCAAACCTAATTTGAGATTAAACAATGTCGTGGCCAAGATATGTTCTTGGTGTTCGTTTTTTTTTTTTTTTCGTTTTATTAATAGGGATTTTTATTTTCCATTTTACCTTTAGTTTTTACGAATTTTATTATTGCATGTCATTCAAGAATTTTGTCTACACGTGTGGATTCATGCTCACTGTTTTTTAAGTAATCTGTGTATAGCTACTTCATCTGTTGTTTGCTCTTAAGTTCCTTTTTATAAATCTTATATACGATTAGAAACATTGTACTTTGTTGAAATTTTGAGACTTGGTTTATATATCCAATATTGCAATGCATATCCTGTAGATTTGTTGAGAGATTAACTGGAGTTAATGGTAAGATTGATCACTAATCTTTGGTTAAAAATTGGATGCCACATTGTGCCTTACAGTTACTGATCCAAAATCTATCGTAGATTGTTTGTTTTGTAATTTCTCTTGATTAATTTGTTGATTTAGTATCGTTTAAAGGTTTTAAGTTGATTTTGATGGCTGACTGTAGTGTTTGGATGTTTTTTCACATTGACACTTGCCACACATGCTACAATACTTATCTATTCGGAGCCCCTTTCCTATATTTGTGTGGAGATGACACCTTACTATACACATATATGTCTAGATTAATAAGCGTTTCTTTTTTTTATGCATTTCAAGATGTTGTGCCTTTTCTTGTAGCAAATGAATTTTATTTTGGTTTCTCTGCTAAAGAAACTATAACTATAACCAAGTCTACAACACTTGTTCAATGAGTTTAGTATTCTTCTATATTTGGTTCTGGATATTCCTAACCACATGGGCTTTTGGTACTTTTTTCTATCTAGAAGAAACTCATTCTTCTTTAACATTTCAAATTGCTTACAATGACACTTGACAGTGTGTTTCATATATATATTATATTTATATATATATAGATATATTCACACTTGACAGTGTGTTTCCTATCTTAAGCCGAAAGAACTCATAAACGGGTTGTCACTATGTGTGTATATCGCTCCTTCCCATTGCTTTGATATTAACTCCATAAATGATTGTAAATTTGTAACTTACAATATATAAACTAGAATTATTAGGAACCGTACATTGGCGTATCCGTAAGTCTCTATTTGCATCCATTTCACATTAATAGTTAAATCTTTAGTTCTAGCTAGTTCGTTTGGCAGTTCTTTCTACACCTTAACTTAGTGGCACTTTACAAAATGTTTTTACCTGAGATTAGGATTCTTGCGCCTAATAATAGTTTAGGTTTTCTTCATTTTGTGATCAACGGTTAAATTACTAATTCACAACTTAAGGTGCTGCGAACAAAAAATAGGATTTAACTCATAACCTTGAAATGCTAAATCCAATTTGTTGGCTCATCCTTTATGGAGTGACCTGACATCATCACTTAGCCGAAGGTTTTGTTTTCAATTTCTCTTATTCGGCTGGCTCTATGTCTGAAAGCTTCAATACATGGGCCTTGGATTGCATACTGGAAGAAGTCTCTCAAGCTATCCATTAGCTACTTATAGTTTTCTCAGATATAAATAGTCAAAATATAAACTGTTTACACTAACTTCTAGAAATTCTCCCTAAAGTACGAACATGACTTTCATCAAGATTTTGTCTTTAGGGAAAATGTCTTTTATAATCTTTCCGATTTTACCTTTTTCGTCTATTATAAAAGAACAAAATTATATCCATTTTATCACTTTGGTTTAGATTTGATTAGAAAGGAAGGTAGTTAACTAAAACCATGGGGAGGAGTTACAAAAAAAGGTGTTCATTTTTAGTTTTCTAAAACCTATTCGAAATCGAAACAATGACTTTCATAGAGTGAAGTTAGAAACTAGAGCGTTATAGAGTTCCAGGCTAACATGAAAATGAAAGAAAATTATGGTGGGATGAAAAAGTAAAAGTAACATTGCAAAAAAATAGTAACTGGTTTGAAACAAAATAAAATTATTAATAGTAAACAAACCTTGTAGTGTGCAGTTGACTTCCATTGTTTCTATAGATGCCTCTTTTGATGCTATATTTAATTCGTAGTCTTAAAATGGACTTTCATTAACCCATTCTGATAAGCATTTTTTGTTTTGTTCTTGATATCTCCAGCATGAGCGAGATCATCGATCGTTATGACATACAACATGCTGATGAACTTAGAGTCTTGGTAAGTTAGCTAATAAAACGTCATTATAATCTTCTACTGGATGCGGTTATTGATGTCGTTGAGCTTGTCATACCGAACTAAATCTCTAGGGGTTACAGTTCTTGTGTGAGTCTCTTGGAAACACAAGAACTTCACAATCTTTCCAACATTTCTATCTCTTTTTATTTGTCATGTGCAGGATATTGATGAGAAAACTCGGAACTATCTTCCACACAAGGAGTTACTAGAATTAGTCCAAAGGTTAGCACTAATACATCTTTTTCTCCTCTTCTTCTGATCGAAAGAGATTTGTTGTTTTTTTCTTGTCAACTTCTGAATATGCAGCACCCTTGAAGAACCGAAGGTTGACAATGTAAGTGTAGACTCTCTAAATTCGGTGGAGGATCAGCTCGAGGTTGCTCTGTCTATAACTAGAGCTAGAAAGGTATTTTTGGCCGCGACCAAAAGTGATTGGGCCAATTATTCCATAAAATCACTTCTATCTAGTTAGTTTCCAAGAACGGTCTATGAACCTTGCCTGACTTCAGATCATGTTTCTGGTTTGACACAATCCTCTCATGTCTTGTTGCAGTCAGAGCTGATGCTGGAGTGTGTGAAAACCCTTCAAGAGAAGGTTAGTGCTTACTGCCTAATATGGTTTTTATTCGCCAAGTCGGACATATTGTAGCCAATATGATTCTTGAATCCACTTTAAATTCAGAGTATGTAGATCAGTAAACCAGGTTTAGCTCTCTGGATATGTCCTTTGGTCTTGTCATAGTTCCTGATTTGTTTTTTGGCGTCATTTGAATGAAACCCTAATGAGAAGGAAAAAAAAGCATATTGCGAAAATGTTGATTAAAGTTAACTTTTCACCGAATTGTAATGATGATGTAATATGTTTCGACAAGGAAACCTGTCTGCAGATAGCTTTATGTTAGAACTTGTTAAAAACTAATGGATTTGTGATCTTGCACAAACAGGAGAAGATGATGATAGAAGAGAATCATGTTCTGGCTAGCCAGGTAACAAAGCCTCAATCTCTTTTGCTTCTAGAAGCTAACTAAACTTATTTCTATAGATGGACGTTAGATACATACGCACGTGCATAAATATGAAAGTTCAGGACTTTGATGGATAATGATAGACAATTTTGAGTGATACCCATAATTTCTTTATTTTGAATTATTTTGTCTTAATCATGCTTCCAAATTTATACTAATTTACTTTTTGGTTAAAGCTTCCAAATTTTAGATTTGTTGTAGATATTTACTTGCTTGGTGGCAGTAGGAAAAAAAAAAGAAGTATTATGTAGGAAAAGAGTTCAAGGATTTTTGATGGAAACAAAACAATTTTGACCGTCAATTGAAATTTTGCAAAAGAAAAGTTTAGATTTTATATGACAATAAGTTTTAAGAAAATTTACAACGGTTGGAAGTTGCATAATTTTTAGTGAATTCCATGGTTCAATTTATGATATTACCCAAAAAAGGTATATAGAAAAAGAAATGTAAAAAAGTTTCTTACAGATGGGGAAGAACACGTTTCTAGCGACAGAGGATGAGGGAGCAATGTCACCGGCAAATAACTCCGGCAACAACCCACCAGAGACACTCTCGCTGCTCAAGTAAACCACCATGATCCAAAGGCTGAGTTTTCACCTAAACTCAAAGCCTGATTCAGAATTAAAAATCAGATCTGTAAATAATAAAAAGCTGCATAAACTCAAACCTTTGGTTTATCTTCCTCTAATGTGGAAATTAAGATAAAAAAAAAAAAAAGGACGGAAGCTCTTTTCCTGTTAAAGAATTGTAAAACTAAGATAAAGTATCGATCTTTATTGTACCTTCGTTGACAAGATCAGACTGTGCTTGTTTATGTTGTTTTCTGAAAGTACGGATTGGATTTTAAACTTTTTTGCTTTGCTTCAGCGTGAAGAACCCTAGACCTTATTTATTCTTTCTGTTTCCTTATTTAGTTGCTAGTTGTTTTGATTACTTGTCTTACGCCACGACACGTGGCAAAGTTGAAAAGGATTTTTAGTTGTTGCTTGTCATTTAATCTATTACATAGTTGTATTTTTTTTTACTTTGATTAAAATCATATAAAAATCATTTGTCATTTATGTAATTTTTTTGCTCTACTTTTGGGCTTTAAGGAACTGCAAAAATTAGGTTTTCCAATTAAAAAAAGGAATACAATAACTTTCGACCAGGTAAGTAAAACTTCCGCCTGGCCCATCATGTAAAGTTTTAACAAACGTGTTATGATTAAAAAATATTGGCCCATAATATTTTTAAACGAACGTGTTACATAATACACAACGTACGACATCGTTTTAACGAGTCGGAACCTGCGTTACGGATGAGTCAACTCGAAAGGTACTTTAACATCTCAAGGAGGTGAGGTCCAGTTGTCACATCAGTTGTTGGATATAACTGACATACAACGTACAATTCCGTTTCCTCACTTGTTTATTTTATAAGTACGCATTCTATGTATAACGTAAAATTTTAACAAATGTGTGTTATAGTGAACGATAAATTTCAACTCAAAACATGTATTCTTTTGTTGATTTGTTTCTAACTTTCAACATATTCATCTAGTTCTGTTTTTACGTTACTAACGAAGAGATAATAACTAAGATTTTAACGGAAAGAGATAAAAAAAAAAAATCTCTTACTCTTCCACTGAATAGGCGAACGGACAGCTCTTGAATATATCAAAATCCAAAATAAAATATATTTCTCTTCCTCTTCCTTAAAACGCATCGTTTCGTCTCATTACTATATAATTTTTTTTTTTTGTCTCTCTCTCGTTTAACCAAAAAAAAAAAAAAACCACACTGACTTTTGGATTTGTTCAAAGCAAAACCCCTAAAAAGATAAACAAAAAGAAGGCAACAGGCATTGAGCGTCTTGCATCAGATTCAAATTAGGGCATAAAGTCTTATTGGAGAAAGAAGCTATGGGAAGAAGAAAACTGGAGATCAAGCGAATCGAGAACAAAAGCAGTCGACAAGTCACTTTCTCTAAACGACGCAGTGGTCTTATCGAGAAAGGTCGACAACTTTCGATTCTCTGTGAATCCTCCGTCGCTGTTCTCGTCGTCTCCGCCTCCGGAAAAGCTTTACAACGCAACCTCCGGCAGCGACAAGTAAGCTTTTTTTCGTCTCACTCGAGTTTTCTTTTTAATCTCTTTGTTTAATTACATCCCCGATATGGAAACTTTCAAATCTAGGGCTTTTCGTTTCTTTCAGATCAACTGAGATTTTCTCTTTATTTTTTAGTTATTGACGATAGTCTATGCTTTAGCTCAAACCTAATTTAAGATTAAACAATGTTGTGGCTAAGATATGTTCTTGGTGTTCGTTTTTTTTTTTCGTTTTTCTAATAGGGATTTTTATTTTCTATTTTCCCATTAGTTTTTCCAAATTTTATTATTGCATGTGATTCAAGAATTTTTTCTACACGTGTTGATTCATGCTCACTGTTTTTTTTCAGTAATCTGTGTATAGCTACTTCATCTGTTGTTCGCTCTCAAGTTCCTTTTTTTCTAATATACGATTAGAAACAGTGTACTTTGTTGAAATTTTGAGACTTGGTTTATATATCAAATTAATATTGCAATGCACTTACGGTAGATTTGTTGAGAGTTTAATTGGGGCTAATGGTAAGATTGATAAAAATCTTTGGTGAAAAATTGGATGCCACATTGTGCATTACAATTATTGATCCATAATCTGATTAATTTGTTGATTGTGTAGATTGTTTGTTTTGTAATTTCTCTTGATTAATTTGTTGATTTAGTATCGTTCAAAGGTTTATAGTTGATTTGATGGCTGGCTGTTGTGTTTGGATATTTTTCACATTGACACTTGCCACACATGCTACATTACTTATCTATTCGGAGATCCATTTGTTATACTTGTGTGGAGATGAGACCTTAATTACAAATACATATATGTCTAGATTAATAAGCGATGCCTTTTCTTTTTCTTTTCAAGATGTTGCATTCTTGTGGCAATGAATTTTATTTGGGGGTTCTTTGCTAAAGAAACTATAACTATAACTAAGTGGCCTAGTGGCTTCCCACTGAGTAGAAATCGATGGCCGGTTTCTACCTATCTGGTGATAACATTATTTGTTCACTGAGTTTAGTACTCTTCTTTCTTTAGTTGTGGATATTCCTAACCACATGATCTTTTGACATTTTTTCTATCTAGAAGAAATTCACTTTTTTCTATAACATTTCAAATTGCTTACATTGACCCACCCAAAACGAAACTACACTGACAAATCTATGTATATTGACAGTGTGTTTCCTATCTTAAGCTGAAAGAACTCATAAACGAGATGTCGCTATGTGTGTATATCGTTCCTTCCCATCGCCTTGATATTAACTCCATAAATGATTGATCACTAAAGTGAATGTGTTAAATTGTAACCAACAATACACAGCCTATAAATTAGAATTATTAGGAACCATACGTCTCTATTTGCTCTATTTCACAATAGTCAAACTCTAGTTCTAGCCAGTTTATTTGGTAGTTCCCTCTACACCTTAACTTAGTGGCAATTTACAAAATGTTTTGACTTGAGATTATAATAGTTTTAGGTTTTCTTCATTCTGTGATCATCGGTTAAATTACTAATTCACAACTTAAGATGTTACGATTAAATAGGATTAAAGTCATAAGGTTCTCTGAAATGCTAAACCCACTTTCTTGGCTTGTCCTTTATGGAGTAACCTGACATCGTTAAGCCAAAGGTTTTGTTTCTAATTTCTCATATTCGGTTGGCTCTATGTCTGAAAGCTTCAAATACTCTATGGGCCTTGGATTGCATACTAGAAGAAGTCTCTCAATCTAATCCATTGGATTTTTATAGTTTTCTCAAATATAGATAGTCAAAATATAAACTGTTTTAACTAACTTCTAGAAATTCTCCCTAAAGTACGAACATGACTTTCATCAAGATTTTGTCTTTAGGGAAAATGTCTTTTATAATCTTTCCAATTTTAACTTTTTCGTCTGCTATGAATGAACAAAATTAGATCCTTTTTAACACATTAATTTAGCTTTTATTAGAAAAAGGAAGGTAGTTAATTGAAACCATGGGGAGGAGTTACAAAAAAGGTGTCATTTTTAGTTTTCTAAAACCTATTCGAAGTCAAAAAAACGACTTCCATCTGCTGCGAAAGTTGAGTTCCAAGGCTAACATGTAAATGAAAGAGAATATGGTGGAATGGAAAAAGTAAAACTATAACGGACATTTGCATTAATATAGTAACAAACATAAAATTACTAATAGTAAACAAACCTAGTAGTGTACACTTGACTTCCATTGTTTCTATAGATGCCTCTTTTGATGCTATATTTAATTCGTAGTCTTTAAATGGGTTTTCATGAATCCATTCTGATATGCATTTTTTATTTTGTTCTTGATATCTCCAGCATGAGCCAGATCATCAATCGTTATGACATACAACATGCTGATGAACTTAGAGCCTTGGTAAGTGAGTTAATAAAACGTCATTATAATCTTCTTCTGGATGCGATTATTGATGTCATGAAGGGATGATAGAAGTGCTGGTTGAGCTTGTCTTACAGAATTAAATCTCTAGGGTTACAGTTCTTGTGTGAGTCTCTTGGAAACACAAGAAATTCACAATCTTTCCGTCTCTTTTTATTTGTCATATGCAGGATATTGAGGAAAAAACTCGGAACTATCTTCCACACAAGGAGTTACTAGAATTAGTCCAAAGGTTAGCACTAATACATCTTTTTCTCCTCTTCTTCTGATCGAAAGAGATTTGTTTTTTTTTCTTGTCAACTTCTGAATATGCAGCACCCTTGAAGAACCGAAGGTTGACAGTGTAAGTGTAGATTCTCTAAATTCGGTGGAGGATCAGCTCGAGGTTGCTCTGTCTATAACTAGAGCTAGAAAGGTATTTTCTGCCGCGACCAAAAGTGATTGGGCCAATTATTCCATAAAATCACTTGTATCTAGTTAGTTACCAAGAACGGTCTTTGGACCTTGCATGACTTCAGATCATGTTTCTGGTTTGACACAATCCTCTCATGTCTTGTTGCAGTCAGAGCTGATGCTGGAGTGTGTGAAAAACCTTCAAGAGAAGGTTAGTGCTTACTGCTTAATATGGTTTTTATTCGCCAACCCAGCCATATTGTAGGCAATATGATTCTTGAATCCACTTTAATACAGAGTATGTAGATCAAACCAGGTTTAGCTCTCTGGATATGTCCTTTGGTCTTGTCATAGTTCCTGGTTTGTTTTTTGGCGTCATTTAAATGAATGAAACCCTAATGAGAAGGAAAAAAAGTATATTGCTAAAATTGTGATTAAAATTAACTTTTCACCGAATTGTGATGAGGATGTAAAATTGCAGAAAGCTTTATGTTAGAACTTGTTAAAAACTAATGGACTTGTGATCTTGCACAAACAGGAGAAGATGATGATAGAAGAGAATCATGTTCTGGCTAGCCAGGTTACAAATGCTCAATCTCTTTTGCTTCTAGAAGCTAACTAAATTTATTTGTATAGATGGTCGTTAGATACATAAATATGAAAAAGTTCAGGACTTTGATGGATAATGATAGACAATTTTGAGTGATACCCATTATTAATTTGTTTTTAAATATTTTTTCTTAATCTTCCCAGATTTTTTTTTTTTTTTTTTTTTTTGGTCAAAGCTTCCAAATTTTGGTTTTCTTGTAAATATTTACAGTTTACTAACTTGGTGGCGGTAGTAAATTGAACACACAAAAAAAGTAGTTGTAGGAGAAGAGTAAGGATCTTTGATGGGTGGGTGCAAAACAATTTTGAGTGTCGATTGAAAATTTGCAAAAGAAAAGCATGCTTTTAAATTTTATATTACAAAGTAAGTTTAAGAAAAATTATAACGGACGGAAGTTGCATAATTTTGAGTGAAATTCATGGTTCAATTTATAATATTACCCCAAAAAAGGTATAAAGATTAATTTCTTGTTAATATTTTTGGTATCTGTAGAAAAAAGAAATGTAAAAAAGTTTCTTACAGATGGGGAAGAAGACGTTTCTAGCGACAGAGGACGAGGGAGCAATGTCACCGGCAAATAACTCCGGCAACAACCCACCGGAGACACTCTCGCTGCTCAAGTAAACCACCATGATCCAAAGGCTGAGTTTTCACCTAAACTCAAAGCCTGATTCAGAATTAAAAATCAAATCTGTAAATAATAAAAAGCTACATAAACTCAAAACCTTTTGTTTATCTTCCTCTAATGTGGAAATTAAGATAAAAAAAAAGAAAGGACGGAAGCTCTTTTCCTGTTAAAGAATTGTAAAACTAAGATAAAGTATCGGTCTTTACTGTACCTTCGTTGACAAGATCAGACTCTGCTTGTTTATGTTGTCTTATGAAAGTATGGATTGGATTTTAAACTTTTTTGCTTTGCTTCAGCTTGAAGAACCCCTTATTTATTCCTTATTTAACTGCTAGTTGTTTTGATTACTTGTCTTACGCTACGTGGCAAAGTTAAAATTTTAGTTGTTGCTTGACATTTAATCATAATTTACATAGTTGTATTTCTTTTAATCATATAAAATCAATTGTCTTTTATGTAATACACAGTACGGCATCGTTTTAGCGACACTATAATAAAACATTTACATAAATTCAATTAAAATAGAATGATTTAACTTAGTTTTTTTTATAAAAGAAAATGAATATGACGTAAAAAAAGTTTTAGAACCGCGTAATATGATGAACTTATTGGGCCTATATTTGCTTATTACAGGTCATAATTGGGCCTAATCAAAATGGGCTTATAGGTCATTTTCCCGGGTTACAACCTAAACCAAAAGACAAAAGGTCGGCGCAAAGGGATAAACCAAAAGACAAAAGGTCGGCGCAAAGGGAACGTGCGTTAAGGCTGAGTCAACTCGAAGGATAATTTTTTTTTTGGAAGTTTACACAACTCGAAAGTTTCTTATTAACATTAAGTAAAGTACAACTGTCACATCATTATCATTAGTTGAACGTTGTGGTCTTCATAACAAATCCAAATCCTCGTCTCATTATTATAAATTCGCATTTACTTGATACTACAAAAATTTAAGAAACAGTCATATGATGCGCTGCAGATTCAGTTCTTAACATTAGAACCAATAAAAGAAGGAAAAAAGTTTCAACAAATTGAGATTTGTGTTTCTTTTTATTTTTAACGAAGAGAATTAAAATCAACAGAGATTTTATTTAATTGAAAGAACTTATTGTTAGAACTAAAGATGACCAAAAAAAACTAACATGATTGAAAGAACTAAAGATGACCAAAAAAACGCGCCCGCAGGGAATTCGACATGCGTTAATACGTGTATGGAGACTATAGACTCTGTTAAAACGCATCGTTTTGACTTCTTATTGTTTTTTTTTTCCTTCTCTCTCGTCTATACCAAAACAAAATAACATGATACGCCTTGAATTTTGCTCAAAAACGCAAAATAAAAAAAGAAAGGAATAAAAAAGCAAAAACTTTGAGTGTCTCCGGCGAGTTGTACGGACATTAGGATCAAATTAGGGGATAAGAGTGGTCGGAGAAAGAAGCCATGGGAAGAAGGAAAGTGGAGATCAAACGAATTGAGAACAAAAGCAGTCGACAAGTCACTTTCTGTAAACGACGAAACGGTCTTATGGAGAAAGCTCGTCAGCTCTCCGTTCTCTGTGGATCCTCCGTTGCTGTTGTCATCGTCTCCTCCACCGGAAAACTCTATAGCTCCTCCTCCGGCGAGAGGTAACAGTACCTTTTGCTCTTTTGTGGATTCACTTTTGTCAGAATTTATCAAGAAATAATAGAGACTAAGAAACTAGGGTTCTTTCTTTTTACCCTTTGAATCTTTAAAGTTTATTTAATCTATGTCCATAGTCAATGTGTAGATTAACCAAATTTAAGACTAAGAAATGTGGTGGGCGAAGATTATCTATCTCTGTGTTCCGTTTTGTTTTTCTTTTTCCATTTCTTATTGTTTTGAATATTTTTGCAGGGGTTTGTTTTTTTTTTTTTTTTTTTTTTTTGAGAATATTATTGCATGCGCTTGCAGAAATTTTTCAACACGTGCTAATCCGTAGTTTATGTTTATCTATTAGGATTTCAACTTCAAGTCATTTTAATTCTGTGTTGCTACTAGAGTTATATAAGAACAATGTACATTGTTTAATTTGAGATTAACTTGGGCTCTTTTTCTTCTTTACACAATTCGATGCGCCGCTCAGGTAGATTTGTTGAGAAATTACTTGTGTAATACTATGGATCAAGAATCTTTGGATTGGAATTTGCAAATTTTGGCTAGTTACAAGCGTATACTAGATGATTTATTAGTTTCCCTTTGTTTTGTTATTTTGCTTAAGTAAAGGAAGAGTATAATTGATAGCTTTCACACATGCTGCATTACTCCTTTAGTCGGTTATCGATTTCACTTTTTTTTTTTTTGTCGATGACTCACACTCGCACATTTACGCATTTGAACACTAATCATCACACGGCAGTGACACTAGCACAAACCACTGGTTACATGTCCTTGCCGTCAATTTTCTTCCTCTCTAATTGTATTTTTTTGTGTGAATATAACAACTTGCATTTACAATACTAAATAGCTCTTTTTTTTGTTCTAGAATTGTTCCCTTTTCGCTTGCAATTTTCTTTTGAAGTTATTAGTCCTCATGTGCCAAAGAGACTGAGCCTCTACAATCATGTTTCAATACATTTCATCTTGCGTTTTCCCTTTACAATTTTTTCCTGAGTGATTACAATGAACCGAACGGATACCTTGTAGAAATGAGAATGTAACCCTTTGTCACTATATATATATGAAGCTTCTTAGCATTGTGATACCACAAATGCGTGGTCAAGACTCTAGTTTGATACCTTAATTTAGTGGCACTGCATAGAAGTATTTTGGCTTGAGATTGTGATTCGTGCCTTACTAATTGCATAGTTTCAAATCACAACTTGGGATGCTATTAAGAACATGACGATCAAGTTAGTTAAATTCACTATAAATTAAAATCTTGCAATAGATAAAAAATAGATATCTCGCATCGGATGGGAAGAGAACAAACTGTAATGCCTTTATAAGACCTAGAAGCACCCTCACGCTTAAGCTAGCCTTTTGTGGAGTATTTTGGGGTTGGTTTAGGCTCAATCCTATCAAATGATCCCTTTTTCTTGACTTATTGTTATAATCTTCTGGTTAGATTGTCAATACTATATGGATGGACGTTGGAGGGTAGTTATAGATTTGCATATACTAATTGTCAATATTGATTTCACTAACTTTTGGAGAATTTCACCAACGGACATGCATTTCATGAATTATTTTCTTGATCGCTGTTAGTTTCTTAAAATAACAAGAGGTAGATCACTGATTTATAAATAGCAAAAGGTAGATCAGTGATTTAGCTATGATAAGAAAGTAACTCAATAGGATAGTAAGACAGTGTTCGCCTTGTGCATGTATACCCGAAACCTTTCCAAGTCGAAACAAATTCAGCGGCTGCAAAGTTGATTATATATAACAAAACTTGGAGATGAACTTCGTTATTATTAAAGTTGTTGATTGAAAAGTTAGAAATTAGAACATTTGAGCATTAGATTTTTATAGATTTACTTTTTTTTAGGGAGTAAATTAACCATATACACAGTATATGCATTAAAATGTACATCACAATATATTTTATATATGTGTGGACTCTGGATATATCGTTAGAAAAATACAAAGAAAAAACTATTAGATATCAAACCTTGTGTTAAGCGATATACACACTAACAGTTCTATATATAGCCGTGAGTGAGGTTAATTAATTACGAAAACTACAAATCAGTGTTAGTAACATAAATTGATGCTATATGTTATAGCTGTTACGTCGTTTTGAAATGGTTTGGTATCGATTGTTTCTAATGCCTTTTTCTTTCAACTCTCTCTCTCCAGTATGGCCAATATCCTCAAGCGCTTTGAAATACAACATGCTGATGATCTAAAAACCTTGGTGAGTTTTTCTTAAAACTTTGCATGTCGGGTCAGGGACATGGGTAGTTGGTTACACATATGTGCATATGTAATGGAGATGAGCATTTACAAGCTGGCTTATAGTCCTTGGCGATAGCTGTTATGTGGATACGTTGTGTAGTGCCTCATTGTGGAGAAGGCCGGCATAAAAGTACTTCGTTCTTCACTCCCGGTATTGCACTAGAATGTCGACGACAAGGTTCTAAACTTGGCGTATACCAAACTTGAACCTCGAGGGTTAGAATCATTGGCGTTTCTTGGAACCACAAGAAATTCACAATTCTGACCTTTCCTTTTTTTTTTTTATGGCAGGATTTTGCAGAAAAAACTCGGAATTATCTTTCACACAAGGAGTTACTAGAAATAGTCCAATGGTTAATTAGCACTAAGCGCCTATTCCCCCTTTTTCCTCTGATTAAAAAAACATGATTTTTTCCTTTTGTTGGTTTATGAATATGCAGCAAGCTTGAAGAAGCAGAAAGCGATAATGTAAGTGTAGATTCTCTAATTTCCCTGGAAGAGCAGCTCAAGGCTGCTCTGTCTGTAACTAGAGCTCGGAAGGTATATATATATAGTGCTGCTCTCAGCTTGCTTGACTTTGTTTCTAGTTTAACACAATTCTCAATGTCTTGTGGCAGACAGAGTTCATTACGGAGCTTGTGAAGACCCTTCAAGAAAAGGTTAGTGCTTCGGTTTTTGTTCGCGGTCCATTTGTAGGCTATATACTGATTCTAAACCCTCTTAACCTCAGAGTACGCATATCACTAGAACCGAGTTTAACTCTCTAGATGTGTGTTTTGCTCTTGTCTTGGTTCCTAATTTATTATTGGCTTTCATTTAAATGAAACTCTAATGAGAATCAAACAGGAGAAGCTGTTGAGAGAAGAGAACCAGGTTTTGGCTAGCCAGCTATCAAAGGTACCATCTCTTTTGCTTCTAGAAGCTAAATAATCACTTTTTATACACAATTTTTTAGTGATATTTAGTAATATTTATAGAAAAAAAAATACATAGAGAAATACTTTTGATTTTATTCTAGATTTCTTGTTAGTTAATATGTAGTATCTGTAGAGAAAGAAGTGTAAGAAAGCTTCATACAGATGGAGAAGAAAAGGTTTCTGGAGACAGAAGATGAGAGAGCAATGTCACTGGAAAATAACTCCGGCAACAAACCACCGAAGACTCTTACGCTGCTCAAGTAACCACCATCATCAACGGCTGGCATTTGACCATCCTGATTCAAAAAAAGAAATTGTGAAAAAAAAAATCAGATTGTTAAATCATAAGGAAGCTACATATCTTAAATTCTTCTTCTTCTTCCCTTGTGAAACGGAAAAGTTTTTGAGAAAAAAAACTCAACCAAGGGAAAGCATTAAATTAAATAAAGTTGACAATCTATGTTGTTACCTTCACAGTTTCACGTATTTTTTGTGTTGTTGACACGAAGTAGGATAGGTGAGAGGGTTTATATACTAGTTTTGATTGCTTCAGCGTGAAGAACCCTAAATGGCCAAAATTATTAAATTTTGTTATTATTAAATTTTTTGGAAAAAGCATTCCTGTTAAATTTTTTTATTTAAATGCTTAGTTGTCACTTTACCTTCGTAGCAAAGCTACATCATATGCTTCTTACTTCTTAACTATGAATTTAGATGTTTTTTATAGAGCGAATTTAAATCAGAAAGATATCAGATAATTCTGTTTTTTGGGAAATCTAAAAACTGTAATAAAGAAGAAAAAAAAAACTGATTTTAGGAGGAAAAGCAGGTAAAGACTTGTCTTACCTGTCAATGTCTCAGATGGGGCCCCTCGTCTCACCGCAGCAATAGATGAGATTGAAGCTCGCTCTGCGTTTGCCAACACTTTCTACTGCTCAGTTAATAAAACATTTTTTTTTTTTTACTATAAAACTGAACCGAAAACCAAACAAAATTGTCATAACATTATTCTGAAGTAAACCAAATAAATTAATACTAACATTTTCTATTTTGTCTGGGAAATGATGAAACAACGTTTAGTATGGAAGAGAAGTTTGCGTTAGGGGTTTGGTAAACTTTTATGGGCCTATATTTCCTCATTATAGGTCATAATTGGGCCCCACAAAAATGGGCTTACAGGTCAGTCTTTACGCTTACAGCCCCGAAACGAGTCGGCGGAACCTGCGCGAATATTATTAATATTAATTAACATTAGCAGAGTACGAATGTACAATTGTCACAACTAGATATAGGGCCAGAAATCCAAAATCTTTACTTATCATAAATTGGCATTTATTTTGACGGCAGAAAAGAAAGAAATGGTATATAAAGCGATAAATTATTAATATATTAATTTTTTTTTGTTTTATAAACGAAGATATTTTTTTTTGACAAACTGATGAAAACGAAGAGATAATATAACGAAGATGTTAATCGAAAAACACAAAGAGGTCAAAAACGCTCCGTAGGGAATTCGACATGCGTTAATACGTGTCGAAAGTCTAAATGTTATTAAAACGCATCGTTTAGCTTCTTCTTTTTTCTTTTTTCTTTTTCTTTTGTTAAATTTTTTTTTTCTCTCTCGCGTTAACAAAACAAAAACAACATTAAAACGTAAAAAAAAAAAAACATACAGTATTGAATTTTGCTCAAAACCCAAAAATAAAAAATAGAAAAAGGCAAGGAATCAATAAGCAAAAACTTTCAGTGTCTCCGGCTAGTTATTCGGACATTAGGATCAAATTAGGGCATAAGACTGGTCGGAGAAAGAAGCCATGGGAAGAAGAAAAGTGGAGATCAAACGAATTGAGAACAAAAGTAGTCGACAAGTCACTTTCTGCAAACGAAGAAATGGTCTTATGGAGAAAGCTCGTCAACTCTCAATTCTCTGTGGATCTTCCGTCGCTCTTGTCATCGTTTCTGCCACCGGAAAACTCTATAGCTCTTCCTCCGGCGATAGGTAACATTATCCTTTGCTCTTTTGTAGACAGATTCCTTTATTTCCTTAATTTTTCTCGAGAAAAATAGAAACTAAATAAACTAGGGTTTTTTCTTTCCCCCTTTGAATCTCTAAAGCTGATCTTCCTGTTTTGCTCATATCCCATAATCGATGTGAAGCTTTAACCAAATGTAAGATTAAACAATGTGGTGGCCAAAGATGTTCTTGGTGTTCGTTTTGTCTTTTTTTTTCCTTCATTTTTTGATTGTTTAGTTTGTTATAGGGATTTGTTTTACCATTTTTCTATATATTTTTGTAGTATTGCATGTACTTGGAGAAATTGTTCTACACGTGGTAATCCGTACTTTTTAGTTGTCTATGGGATTTCTTAATTTTATCTTACTGCTGCACAAGAACAATGTACATTGTACTATAATTTAAGATTAATTTAGGCTCATTACCCTCTTCACCCAATTCATTACACTTCCCATATAGAAATTAACTGGCGGTGGTACTATAGATCAAGAATCTAGCATGAGGATGATGCCGCTTTAAAAAAAACAATCATTGGGTTAAGTACAAGTCTAGCTGTTTTGATTTCTCTTTTTTTTATTATTATTATTGGTTTTGATGGTTAAACTTAGTGTTTGGCTTAAGTAAAAGGTTTGTTGTCGATTCTGATGGTTAAATTTAGTGCTTGGATAACTATTTAGACTTTTGACTGATAGTTTTCTCACAAATTTCATTACTCTCCTTTGATAAGATATATCTTTTCTCCCTTTATAATTATAATTTTTGTGTGTGTGCATATAGCAATTTATAACATGCATGTCTATAGTACTCAGTGCCTCTCTTTGTTTTTCTTCTAGAATCGTTCCCTTTTTTCTTGCAATGTATTTTTATTTGGGTCTCATGGGCCAAAGAAACTAAGCCTCCACTGAGTCTTATTTGGTTCCATACATTTTATCTAGTCTTTGAGAGACCTTGTAGAAATGGAAATGTAACCCTTTGGCATTACATATAAAGCTAGCTTGTTAGTTTTGCTTTGATAATTAACACCACAAATGCTTGATCATGAAAGTACATATGTTAAGTTTTTTTTTTGGTAAAATACATATGTTAAGTTGGTAATTAACGCGCATAAGATATAGATAGGACCAATGAAACTTTTTTGTTTTTGTTTTTGCTTCAACTTTTACAATATTCAAAACTCTAGCTGCATGTAACGAGTTTTTTTTTTTCTTGGCGGTTCCTCTACTTTTAATTTAATGGCATTATACGAAGCGTTTCAACTTGAGATTGTGATTCTTGTATGCCTCACTAGTTACATAGATTCAAATCACTTCTTAGGGATCTTATTAAGAACATGAACATCAAGTACTCTATAAATTGAAATGTTGCAATAGATCACGGACAACACAAAGTAGGATTGACAATACTGGATATAGGAGGACAAGCTATATTGCTAGTTTTGTGGCGAGTCTTTGTGGGCTTGATTCGGGCTCAACCCTATCAGTTTGCAAGCGTCCTTAAAATGCTCAACCAATTTTCTTGGCTTATTGTTTAAGAATCTTTTGTGCATAGTAGTCTTAAGGTTTTATTATTTTAGTTTCCCAGTTCGTTTGATTGCATGAGAACTTCATGCTCTGTAGATGTTGGAGCTTTTCATATATACAGTATTGATTTGCCAACTTTTGGAGATTTTTACTAACGGACATGAATTTCAACGATATTTTTTTGTCTTACACGGGAATATCTTTTTAATCTATCTATCTTGTTATTCTTTTTTTTTACTGCTGTTAGTTTGTTAGAATAGCGAAAGTAAGCTTGATTTATCTTTTGACTGCTGTTAGTTTGTTAAAATAGCAAAAGTAAGATTGATTTATCTTTGATGAGAAGATAGTGTGGTTAATTAATTAAACTCATAGGAAGAAATTCTTCATCATGTACAGATATATAGGACAAACTTGATTATATATATCCAATGCAAAACTTTATTATATATAACGTGTCTCTAATGCCTTTTTTCTTTCTTTCTTGATCTCTCCCTAGCATGGCTAAGATCATCAGTCGTTATGAAGTACAACATGCTGGTGATCATAAAGCCTTGGTAAGTTTTTTCTTAAAAGTTTGCATATCTTGTCATTCAATTATAGACACTAGCTCCTTGCTCTCAAGCAGTGTTATGCATATGTCATTGAGAATAGTCCATCGAGATGGTGGTTATGTGGATGCTTTGTGTAGTGCCTTAACCATTTGGAGATGCACTAGAAGGTTTTGGAAAAGTTAAAAGTTGTACTTAGTACTCAAGTGTTATAAATCATTTCTCTCTTGGAAACACACAAGAAATTCATAATCTTTACGACCTCTGTCCCTTTTTTTTTGTTTATGGCTGCAGGATTTTGCAGAAAAAACTCGGAATTATCTTTCACACAATGAGTTACTGGAAATAGTCCAATGGTTAGTACCAAGACTCTTTTATTTCCCTCTTCCTCTGATTAGAATTGTCTTTTAGCCATTTTGTTGATCTGTGAAAATATATGCAGCAGGCTTGAAGAGGCTAAAAGCGATGATGTAAGTGTAGATTCTCTGATTTCCCTTGAAGAGCAGTTCAAGTCTGCCCTGTCTGTAACTAGAGCTAAGAAGGTATATATATATATATGCTTCTACTAAGTGATTCCGCCAATTATTTCATAAAATCTTAACTCTAATTTGCTTTCCGAGAACTGTCTTTGGACCTTGCCTGACTTTGGATCACGTTTGCAATTTCACACAATCCTCAATGTCTTGATTGCAGACAAAACTAATGGTGGAGCTTGTGAAGACCCTTCAAGAAAAGGTTTGTGATTTGGTTTTTATATGGCCGTCTCGGCCTCAAGAGTATGCAGATCACTAGACCAAGTCTAGTTCTCTAGATATGTCTTCTTGTCTTGTCTTGTCTTAGTTCCTGGTCTTTTCTTGTTTTTTCTTCCTGATCTATTTTTCTTGGCAATATTTAAATAAAACTCTAGTGGGAATAAAATAAGGGGTTCGTTAGAATCTTGATAAAATTAGACTAACCCAGATTGTGATGAAGGATGCTTAGAGCTTGTTAAAAACTGATAAAGTTGTGATCTTGCTCAAACAGGAGAAGCTGTTGATAGAACATAACCAGGTTTTGGCTAGCGAGCTCACAAAGGTACCATCTCTTATGCTTCTAGAAGCTAATAACTAATCATGCTGTACAATGAACATTAGATAGATACACTTGCATATATACATAAAAATACGTAGGTTGACAATTTTGAGTGAAAATTGTAATTAGATTTTTCTTCAAAAATTTTATAAGAAAAACATGCTTTGTTATAGATACTAGATTTCTTGTTAATATTTATTAGCTGTAGCTGTAAGGACTTTAGTGGTCAGGATACTACACAATTTTTAAGTGAAGCCATGGTTAAACTTTCAAAGAAAGAAAAAAGCCATGAAACTATACCTAAAAATCTAGATTTCTTGTTATTATTATTTCAGTAACAAAAAATGTCAATAAATTTGCTTACAGATGGAGAAGAAGAACGAGTTTCTGGAAACAGAGGACGAAAGAGCAATGTCACCGGAAAATGGCCCCGGTAACAACCTCCCGGAGACTCTCCCGCTTCTCAAGTGACCACCATCATCAACGGCTGATTTTTCACCATCTCCTGATTCCTGATTCATTAATAAAAATAAAATTGTAGGAAAACCTGATTTGTTAAATCATAAGGAAAGCTACTTATCTTAAAGTTCTCTTCTCCCCTGATACGGGTAAGTTGTAATCTAAAGGAAAACATTCAATAAATTATATCAATCTTCGTTGTTACCTTCGGAGACAGGATCACAGTTTCGTTTATTTGTGTGTGTTCTTGTCTGAAAGTAGGAATCGATGAGTCTATAAAAAAATTGATTTCTTCAGCGTGAAGAACCCTAAAGGCCAAAGTTATTAGTTTTTGTTATTTACATGCTAGTTGTCACTTTATCTTCGTGGCAAAGTAATAGCATGTTCTTAGCAAAATTTAGCTGTTAATTTTGAATGGATAAAAAGAAAAAACAATATTTGAGTCAAGTAATCAGAGAATAATATCAGATATTGGGCCTTGTTTTTAGGTGGGGATCTGGTAAAGAGTTGTCTTATTTGTCATGGTTGAGCCCAGAATCGGCCCATTTATTAGATATCTCGGCCCATCGCAATACTTTTTTCCTAGTTGTATCAAATAAGCTCATAATAATGACCGAAATGTTCTTGAGCACTTTGACTATAATTATAAGCTTTACTTCAACAAACATAAATGCATATCAAAAATAAGTACCTTGTAAAAATTAGTATTAATCAACAAACAAAACAAGTGCCGTACTAAACTTTAGGAAACGCTTTACTTTTGTAGAAATATAACAACCAAAATCTAAATTAGTGTTTTGATTGCAGATGAGAAGAGGTATGTATGAGGGGGAAATCGTGGGGGGAACTCAGCAGAAGCCTTGGGCCGAGGACAAGGGCATTAAGTAAAGGCCTTTGCTCTCCAACAAGCTAGTCGCAGCATCAGGATCATTTGCAAGCAAATCTTCCATCATTTCCTCCAGAGGTTTTGTCATCGCTTCCTCGTGTTGAATGTAGTGGCCGTATCCCTTTAACAAACAACAGCACAATCTCAAATCTATCAACAGATTCAATTTTTGAACATTTATGTTTGCTTCAGATGTTTGTTTACTTGCAATAACTTACCTCAACGAATGTCATAGGATGAGTAATAGGCTCTCCTACCAACCTGCTTCGACTTAATTCCTATCATGTCACCCAAAAATGTCACATCAGCAAGTTTCTCGGGTTTGTATTTGGACTGCTTTGGTTTTGAGTTGGATTAGTTCCGTCCTTCTGAAACTATTTGCTCTACATAAACAAGGTGAGAAAGAAGAAAAGATGAGAGAAACAAGACAGTACCTTCATCTGTAGCTGCAGAAGCTTAACATGATCAACGATATCATTCAGTATCGATTCAGAGGTATCCTCCTACAAGGTCACATACATCAACAATTTCAGTTTCAGTAACGAGGATTATATGTGAGTGACAAGCTCTGGTGGCGACAAATACAATTCTAAGAATGTTTAGTTTTATACCTCAACTTCATGTGGGAGCAACTCCGCTAATGCCTTGATGTTGTCTCCAATTCGCTGCTTGCGGTTCTGATAAACCGCAGAACAAATGGTTTATATATATAACATCAAACAACAGATGGAATCATCATGATCATGACTTCGTATGTGGAACTTACACGCTCAGTGTTGTAACATTTGTTCTTGTCTTTGTAGAATTTCTTCGAGGGTACATCTTTGGATTCGTCATTGTCACGGTTGTTGTTGCTGTTGCATCGTTTTTTCCAACTTCTCAGCTTCTGATACAATAAACGAAAGTTAGCTCCTCAAGAAGAGAGACTTTTCAGATCAAAAAAAAAAAAAAAAATTACGTTAAGAAAGTGATGAACTTGACACCTCAGAGTAGTTTTGGGACCATGGATGCGTCGACTTGCGTGGGGATCGTCCAGCCACAGGAGCCTTACTGCTACTTCCCTGACATAAAAAGATGCAGCTAGACTTTTAGTACGAATTGATGATGCGCTAAAGGATGTAAATTTGAGAAATTCACAAATAAACATGTATTGAGATGCTTACTGAGAGGTCATTGCTGGTGCGGCTTTGTACACGGATAGAAGGTTTCACCATGGAGGAAGCAGTTTTGTCAGAACAAGTGCCGCCATTTTCAGAAGCTGAGTACAGGGTTCGGATTCCTCCTCCTAGTCCTGGACCAGTTGGTGCATCACGACTAGGAAGAACCACTTCCTTCACAACGTAATCGAGAGGAGGTTTCTCATTCTCATCAGGTGTTGACTCGTCGTTGAGAAACGCGAGGTAACTCTGTGGAAGCATAGATGGTTGAAGCCACTGAGACAGCGACAAACTCCCGTCTTCGTTTTGCACATCATCTTCTTCTACTGCAGTTCCAACAACCATGTTGAAAAAAAAAAGAGAATGGTTCGAATCTAAGGTGTGGAACAAAGTAACCTCAAGCTTGGAGAGACTAGAGCAAAGTACCTTTGCAGTCCAGTGGAGCTTTGAATTTCTTGTTCTCAGGTTGATTAAAGTCGTATGCCCAGTTCTGGGATAACAAAGGAACAACCTCTGAGATGACTACAGCCGCAGCTTCATCAGCGTCCGCTGGGTGCTCATTTGCAACAGTTCTAAGAATCCTCGAATCAATCTGTAGAAAATTTGTAGCATACAATCCATGATTTTGTGAAAAAATCGTCAAAACCACAATCATGAACGAGATAATGATACGAGCTTTTACCTGCGGGAACAATTCCGTGAGAGATTGAAAAACCGAATTGAAACCCATCAGCGGAAATGAGCTAAAATCTGAAAGGAAAGCAAGCAAAGCATTATTCATCAAAACCCACTAAAAACTGGTTGGAGACGAAGGCAGAAAAGTCGCTGCATCAAACAAAATCAAAAGCGCGAAACGCCTAGACTCTATGCGATTAGGATTTTCCAACGAAAACTAAACAGAAGAGAGGGAAGAAGCAACCTGAAACACGAATCAGTCAATTTCGATGTTTCTGGAAAAGAGAGAGGGAAACTACGAGCTGATCAACAGAATAACTGGTAGATTACCAGAAGCGAAGAACAATAGATCAACACTGACCTTGTGAAACCTTGGAGCTGATCATCAGAAATCGGTAGTTTGAGAAGTGTGAGAGTGAGTCCAGTGACCGTCTTTCGGCGAAGAAGGGCTAATTCGTCATTACTCGTAATCTTCATGGATATTTTGGTCAAAGCATTTAGTTCAGACCGACTATGATTACTAGCGGAGGCCCAATTGGCCCATTAGTTTTAATTTATTTTTCATTAGTTGGCCCATTAGTTTTCATTATTTTTTTCTTCAACAAAGAAAAAACTAAATATTTTGGAGAAGAAAGCTAAAGCTTTGCTTAGTGTATGTATAAAAGTATTATTCATTAAATCAAATATTTGCATCATTGATAAGAAGTAAAAAAATCATAGCTGTATATAATTATTGGATATAGAAAAATAGTTGTGAATTTTATCGTTTCTATAAAAATTATCAGAAATAAATGAAAACAGCAAAAAAAAATATTATTTATTCAAATTAATTTAATTTATTTTGTTAGCCTTTGTGTTTTCATATAATAACGCAAAATGTCACACAAAGGTCAATATGCTCGGACTAGTGGTTTTGAAGTATAATATGACGTTTCGATCTGACAACACAACATCTAACCTTTTTGTTAATTTTAAACACAAATTATAAATCGTACTAGTACATCTGTAGTTATTAAACCTCCGAAGGAGCTGGCGCCAAAATCTGATATTTTCAAACCGATTTAGAAAAATTGTTTGATTTTTATCATCCAGAAAGAAAAAGAAACATTAACTTCCTTCTGCTAAGTGCTAAGTAGTGATTAATTTACCAATCTACTAAAAAAAGAAAAATCGTCTATATAATCAAATATTTAATAGTCGTGGAAAATTGGAACCCTAGAAACAAAAATAAAATCAAATAATAAATGTCCTTCTCCGCACGATTTCCAAGATCTATTAACACGCATATTAATGTTTTAAAATGTTAATAAACTCATCTGTTTCCAGATTGTTTTTTTTAATATCTGTTTAGAAGAATTTGATGAATGAGTTCCAATAGCGACTCTGAGAGCAGCCTCCGAAGCGAGAAGAAGAAGAAGGTTCTCTCTCTCTTTCTCCTCCTTCAATTATTCTCTTCAAAAATGTCACGACGTGAAACCCATTAATTCGATTTTCTTTTTTCTAAATTTTTTAAAAAAGTGTTTTCCTTTTTGGTGTTTGTGGATATATTTCTGTATAGTCAATTCTTCCGAAGATTTTCGGATCAAGACGATGTGGTAAAGAAGAAGAAGATGCGTCAAATAATATGAACAACAGAGGAAATCATGATGACAATGACGATTTCTATGGTATTTCTTCTTTAAACGATTTTACGTACATCACAAGGAAAAATCAAAATTTTGCATTAACGATTCGTTTCGTCAAATGGCTCTTGGATCTTGCTTGATAGATTTGGATCGACGAATGGCTTCTCGGAAGAAATCGATTCTTGACAACACTTCTCCGATGATTTGGAAAACAGTTTCTGGTAAATTGATAATTTCTGTCAAAAAAAAATTCAATGTGTGGTTGAGAATAATTTGAGATTTTGGGTAACCTACCCAGAAAAATTTGCCATTTTTCACATGACTACGAAAGCGAAATAAATCGTACATTGTCAAAATTTTGGGGATTTTTTTTCTTCTTTATTTTGGCTTTGTCTCTTCGTCAACGACTTAAACCAAATTTAGGGTTTTCTTGATCGCGAAAGAAATCTAGGGTTTTATTGTTAAGCAATGTTAAACTACTGATTTTATTTGTTTTTTTTTCTGGTGAATCCGTTAGAGAGAAAGTCAAGTCCTGGAATCGAAGGCTTGAATCTATCGATTTTCGATAGGCCTATGGCACCAACAACAGAGATTCGTGAACTCAGGTGAGAAAACCAATCAATCTCTCTGTTTTTATTAGTTCTTTTTTTTATTCTTTTGTCGGATTCAAATTTCTCTGCTTTGATTTTTTAACTTCAGGGTGTTTCTAGCTACGTGGAATGTAGGAGGAAGAACACCAAACAACGATCTTAACCTTGAAGACTTCTTACTCGTTGAAGGCACAGCAGACTTATATATCTGTGGGTATGAAATGAAATTGGACAAATTTGGATAAGTACCAAGCTTCATAACAATTATTGTATTGTTTTGTCATGTTTTCTTGTTCTGTGTCTCTCAGGTTTCAAGAGATTGTTCCCCTAAGTGCAGGAAATGTATTAGTAGTTGAAGACAACGAGCCCGCAGCTAAATGGTTAGCTCTAATAAGCCAAGCTTTAAACAAACCGAAACAAGACTCTGTTTATTCAAACGCAGCTTTCTCTGCCTCAAGAACAACAACTTGTAGTAGTAGTAGTGGTTGTGGTCATGAAGAATCAAGAACACCAACTAGTCTAAGTTTCTTTCAAAGACCGAATCTTAAAGTCTTGAGCAGAAACTATCGAGTTGATTCAAGTCTGTTGAAGACTTGTAACTGTCCGGTGATCGATACTTCGGTCGGTTGGGAAGCTAGGAGATCAAAGAAGTTCAGTGATCCTGTTGCGGATAACAATAACAATGTGGAGCCTGAGAATTTTAGGGTTCATGAGAATTTCTTGTTTGATGATGTTCCTGCGACCACGAGGATGCCAGGACAAATGAGCTATCGCCTGATTGCGAGTAAACAAATGGTTGGTTTGTTTTTGTCTGTTTGGGCTAGAAAAGAGCTGATTCCACATATATCTCATCTTAGACTTGATTCTGTTGGAAGAGGAATCATGGGTCGCTTGGGAAACAAGGTAAAACAACTCTCTTGTTCTATAAATAAAAGATTATATCAACACAATCTAAAACATATTCTCTTTTTACAGGGATGTATCGCTATAAGCATGTCATTGCACCAAACAAGCTTTTGCTTTGTGTGTAGCCATTTGGCTTCTGGTGAGAAAGAAGGTGATGAGCTAAGAAGAAACGCAGACGTAACTGAGATTCTGAAACATACTCAATTCCCTAAACTCACCAAAAACCCTACTTGTCGGGCACCCGAAAGAATCGTTGATCATGAGTATGCATTTCGTGAACTTCATAAGCATTTCTTTCAAAACAAGCAAATTATAAAAAAAAACGCTAAAGACTCTGTTTTGGAATTGCAGCCGAGTGCTTTGGCTTGGAGATTTGAATTACAGAGTTGCTTTAACCTATGAAGAGACAAGATTATTACTAGAAGACAATGATTGGGACACTCTACTTGAGAAAGACCAGGTTTTGTAGTATTTAAAAATCTTGAAAATCCTCAACTCTCTTGGAGATTTACCATTACCAACTTCTCTGATCTGTAATGATTTCAGCTTAACATGGAAAGAGGAGCAGGAAGAGTCTTCTCTGGATTTCAAGAAGGTCACATTTTCTTTGCTCCAACCTATAAATACTCTCAGAATTCAGATGCTTACGCCGGAGAAACGAGCAAGTCCAAGAAGAAACGCCGTACTCCTGCTTGGTACTACCCAAAATTCAACTCTAAACCATGTTCATTTCGTTTTTTGTGGTGTGTTATGAATCTGGAATGTCTTCTTCAGGTGTGATCGAATTCTATGGAGAGGAGAAGGAATAGAACAGCTTTCATATATTCGAGGGGAATCACGGTTTTCAGATCACAGACCGGTTTGTGCGATCTTTGCAGTAGAAGTTGATGTGAAGAGTCTGAGCAAAGGTAGATTCAGGAAGGGTTATTCTTGTGCGGCTGCAAGATCGGTTGAAGATTGCAGCATTCCACAAAGGCATAGTTTTTACGACTAAGACTGTTACAATTCTTTTTTTTTTAAAAGGGTATTATTTCTTGATTGTATAGCTTTTGGATAACAAACAAACAACAACAAAAGATTTCTCTGTTTATTCTCTTTAACTCTGTTTTTGACACATTGTAACTTAGAGAATATATTCCAAAGTTGAGATCTTTTTCAATCTTGAGACATATATATATCTTTGTCTTCACAACCCATGTCCCATAACGAGAAATCTTCCTCGTTCATGGTCTGATTCGAATCAGAATGATGTGGCAATTGGTTTAAATCCACGGCGGTTGTTTGATCAGAACAACTAAAGTCATGTAGCCTCTCGGACCAGAGATAATCTAGCCAGTTTCCGTCTTGATTGTGGTAATCTCTAGTGTCCTCTGCTTTCGAGCTCGCGCTGTAATCATCGTCACTCGTTGTCATCGACCGAACAAACCCATCCGAGCCGCCGCTACTCTGGTTTATCGGTTCTTGAGTTCCGTAGAGACACTCCATCTCGTGTCCTGTCCTCAAATTCTTGTCGACAAATCCTAAACTCGCATCACTCGAGGGACAACTCGAGTTTTGACAAGTGTATACATTAGATAACATCGGTTCTTGCTCCACACACTCACCTTTTCTCTTGTTTCCCAACTGTTCTTGATCTTGCGCTACAAGAAAACAGGCATTTAGTGACGATTCTCCATCAACACTTTTGTCTTTCCACGTTAATCTCGCCAGTTCTTGATCTTTCGCTACAAGAAAACAATCATCTAGCGCCGATTGATCAAGAGACATGAATCTTGCCAGTTCTTGATCCTCCTCCTCTTCGTTGTCGTCAGAGATCTTGAGGCGTTTGAGAAGAGCTTCTTCTTGGTTCAACACACGAGACCAAGTATCCGTTTCTTTAGCCATCATCTTATCTTGCAAACACTTGGACTGCCTCGCGAGACGTCTCACTCTCTCCAAATTCGGTGACATGTGTTTAATCACAGCCGCTAAAACGCTAACTTTCCAAGCTTTTCTAAGATCGTGCGGTTTCCTATATGGCGGCGGACCGTGCTCCAAAGCCCCCGCTCCTTGCTCTCCCCACCATAACTCCGTCCCGTCCGGCCACCACGGCGGAGCCAAACCTTTTTCCAGTGGAAACCGCCGTTGCGGCGGCACACAGTGTTGCATCAAAGCTGATAGCAAAGACCCCAACGTCGTGTCTTGTAGCTCGTGAAGCATGTGGATATACGAATTCGGATCGAGAGATTTGTTTGATGAGATTAGCTGAGCAGCCGCTAATGTTATGTAATCGGAAACAGCGTTTGGAGCGGTTTGGTCGAACTGAACGTTTTCTTTCCACCAACGCCTTAAGCTGTCTGAAGATCCGGTTACCGGTTTACCCTTTTCCGGTACGATTCCGTAGACGAACCCTCGAGCTTTGCAAACTTCCATTATCTTCATCATGTACTTCAAAACCGAATCTTGAGATCGGGCCATCTTCTTGCGGCGTGAAGCTTCTGCTCGACGCACGATAACGGATGAGGATGAGGATGAGGAAGATGCTGACGTGGACGGCGACGGAGAAGAGAGAACGGAGTCATCATGATTAACTTTCTTCTGTTGTTTGAGTTTGGACATGAGGTTTCGATCTTTCCACATTCGTTTCTTGAGATCGTCGTAGCTGATATCTTCACCGCAACGGTCAGATTCGTCATCTTCGTCTCCGTAATCATCGTCTTCGTCGTCATGGATTGGACTAAGTGGTTCCAAATCCTGGACCTCCACCATATCTAGGTTTTTTGAGTGTTCTGTATATGTTTTGAGAAACAAAATGATCCCTTGCGATTGCCCGAGTTCCCGTTTTATACGCGGTTGATTGATATTATTGGCGGTTAAGTTCCATAAATATGGATAGATTGTGAGTTCGAGATCTTGTGTCATGATGTATCGATTTTTTTCTTAAATCGGATATGATTATTTAATGTGGAGAGGAGGAGGTGTACAATGTGGAGAGAGCCAGAGAGGGTCGTGTCGAAATCTGCTCGTTCTGTCTGAACTAAACTGCGTGTCCTAAGAAAGTAAAAACGAAACAAATAATGTTTCTTTTCTCCCAGCTAAAATAAAATAATGTATTCATGCGGTCAAGAGTTACCTTTGGGACTTAACAAAAAGGTAACCTACAATTCCGCAAGTGATCAACTTATTACATCATTAGGAATGTCATCCGACAGTTTGATATAAAAAAAAAAACATAAAAGTGTGACGGTAGCGGTGGAACTGAAAGTTCATATTTAGAATTATATAATGTATGTGAATTTTATATATCACATGTGAAGGATATCTATATATATATACGAAGATTGAGCACAATATTTGGGTTTTGGATGTTTGTGAAGGATTTTAGGGATTATATGACCTCTGCAATATATATATACCTTACGCCCACCACGTTTTACCCACGTCTTAGTAACCAAACAGAACGTCATGAAAATCGCAAATTCAAATCTCTTTAACAAAATTAATATGATTTTTCGGAAACTTCCTAAAAATCATCAAAACTGTTTGATCTAGAAATCGTTTTTCTGGATTTTTTTATTACCTCCGTGAAAACAAATAGCAACGAATACAAAGCACACATACCAAGATTGCAGATTTTCTCATACGTGCTATATAACTATGTATATTGTTATTTTTGCTTCGTATCAAAAGAGATTATTTGCGACAACAATCTGGTATTCCTTCACCATTTTTTAGAATCCAACAACTTGCGTATACTGTGCATAAGCATCAGATTGCATAGCGATTGGTGCTCGAGTAACGTGATCAGGTAGCTCGAACGCGTCCACTAACTCCTTTGCCACATTTCTTACTTGGAAACTCAAATACTCTGTCAACTTATGAATCGCCTGCAACAAAACAAGAACACAATTTTACCACTTAAATCGAGAGAGAAGAGGTCGTTAATACAATTTGTGAATCATACAGCAACAACAAAAAAAAAATACCTTAGCTTTGTTAGGCGCCACATAATCCACGTTACGGTACGTTCCTATATCTTTCCAGATTCGGTCCAATGCATAAAGATCACATACTAGTTTCAAAGCAGCTCTTGCACTTGGGTCCGGGCAGCTGAAAATTAGAGACGGTTTTTAATTAAAAAGAGATTTATTTAACTTGATGGTGTGTGTGTGTGTGTGTTGTTACTTACCTTTGAACAGCGTCAATGAACTTGGCGAGAATGACTGACTCAATGTGAGATTCTGCAAGTGTCAAGAGATGATTCAAGCATCTGTTCCAAGCACCGAAAGTTCCAAGAGTCTTGGAGTGTTTTTTCAATCTCATTGCCACACTTTGTAGGAGACGCGATGTCCGATACTGAAGAGAGACAAAAAGTCAAAGACAACGAGTGTGAGTGATGGATGAAGGCAATGAGATTCAGAGAGATTATATATATAAAACAATAACTAACTCACCCTGAAAGCATCTAGTTGGAATTTAGGATCTCTCAGATGATCTTCACCTTCCCAACGAGCTGTAACGGGATTTGGCTGAGCCAAATAAGAGTTCATCGATTCTCTCAAGTAGCTCCATGTGACTGTCAATGTCCCACCTTCGAACTTCTCTTTGTATTGCTTCAATAAATCACCGGCCACCTACAAGAAGAACCAAAACTATATGAGCATATGATTTCTTCTCAAGAGAAGAGGTGAAAGTTTCTTTGCAAAGAGTAAAAGGAAGGACCTGTTGCAGAAGCACTGTGTTGTCCCCTTCAAATGTTTGGAAAATGTCATGGTCATTTCTCAAGCTTCCAAACCGGTTAACAGCAGCGTAACCATGTCCTCCACAGGCTTCTCTGCAGACCGAGAGGGCCTTGGCGGTGTAAGACGTTACATAAGATTTGAGCCCAGCAGAGAGTGCGTGGACATCAGCAACCAGTTGCTCGTCGTGCGTCTTCTTCATCTCTGAATATTTCTTTACAAGATGCACAGTTGCGAAATGGTACGCATAGGTCGAGGCTAGCATCGGCATGAGCTTGTGTTGGTGAGACTGGTAATCAAGAATACTGACCTCAGGTTGCCTTGGAGGACCGAATTGCTGCCTCAACAGCGAATAACGAATGGCAATAGTGGCGGAGATTTTAAGAACGCCAACAGATGCATAGGCAAGACCAACTCGGCCACCTACAAGCTCACCGAGCGTTGCAGCAAATCTTTTATTGATCGTTGGTAAGCTGCTTGTGTACTTGCCATCTCGGGAAACATCTCCAAAGCGATTGAGGAGGTTGTCTCTGGGAATTCTCACAGAGCGGAATCTCAACGCACCGTTGTCCACTCCGTTAAGGCCCACTTTGTGTCCACAGTCTTGGATTTCGACTCCTGGGAGCGTCTGGTGAGTTTTCATATCCCTTATTGGAACGATGAAGGCGTGAACACCCATATCGGAGACCCCTTTGGAATCATGAGTCGGAAGGATGAGCCTGGCGAAAACGGTGGCGAACTTCCCGTGAACTGCAGCGTTTCCGATCCACCATTTGATAGCTCCATCATGAGGTGTGTCGATCACGAACTCGTCTTTCATTGGATCGAACGTGGCCGTGGTCTGAAGACCTTGAACATTTGACCCTTGAGGAACGAAAGAAACGATGGTTAGAAGAAACTCATGACACACACACACACAGACACAGAGGCAGAGCATTATTCATCAGTTAATATCACTCACCATGGTGGAGTTCGGTCATGGCAAAGCAACCGGTGTATTCGAGGTTGTCAATGCCTTCGAAGTACTTGTCTCTATGCTTCTTGGTTCCCAAATTAATCACAGAGCCTCCCCAGAGACTATTCATACAAAAAAAAGTCAATACAAACTATGAATTCCCAAGATTTACCAAATCCTATGTTTATCAAAACTTCGAATGAATTCTTATACTGCTACTCAAAATACATAACAAGAATACAGATCCCATGATCAAACGTTCAACAAGAACAATACCAAAAAACCAAAGTTGAAATCTCCGAATTCCCAATTATGGATTTAAAACGATAAAACTACTAACCTGAATTGAACGCCCATCTTGATCCCAAGCGACATATCCACACTTCCAACGGCTTCGCTAATCGCGAAATACTTCTCGGGATCGTCCGCTACATACCTAAACGGCCTTACCCCAGCTTCTCGCACAAGCGCAAGCAGCTGCCTCATACACAATTCGCGATGCTCGTCCGTCGAGATCTCGATCGGCGTCTGCAAATCTGGGCGGGAATTGAAGAACTCGAACACTTTTTCCTGGACATCCATGTGTTTTCCCCTCATGTGGAGAGACAACGCCTCGCCATTAACCTCCAGCTTCTTCAACCGCGAAGAACACGCCTCCGTCTGCACCAGAGGTAGCTGCGACGGCGCCGTTACGGCGGGGGAAATGTGTGACGTCAATCGCTGGATCCGCCTCGCCGCAGCTAGCTCGGAAAATTCCTCCTCCGCCATCAGATTACCTCGCTGCGATTCCATTTCAGAAAAATATCAGTGTCAATTTGTAACCGTGGAGGAGAGGAAGAGGAGACCGATGAGATTTTTTTCTCCAATTAGTGGATAACGAAAAATAATTAAGAAAAGGAAAAGAATCGTCCGATTTAAAAAGTGAATGCTTTCACGGCAATACAGATGACGTGGACATATAATCATCGATGACGTGGACATTTATCAGTGGATAAAATTTTGGCTTTTTTGGCGCTCTTTTCGAGAAAAGATTTTGTTTTTTTATCCCATCTTCAACTTGAAGTAGTCGTGTATCGTTATCAAAAAAGATTTGGTTGAAATTGGGCCCCCGTAAACATTTGGGCTTTTCGTTTATGGGGTTAGATTAATCAATTAAGGCCTACTAAGCAGTGCGGGACCGCTCGCGACTCCCGAGTCCGACGCCAAATCGTAATTCGAAACGCGGGTCAAAAGAAATCTAAGATCGGAAAATCCGCACAGGTTCCCGCCTGAACCACCTCAAAAACCCTAATTCTCTACTCAGACCGATACTCTTTTTCTCCGATTAAACGAAGATTTCTAAGCCCTCGACAGATGCTATCGATCCATTGGTCAGTAACTCAAACTCAATTGATTTTGTCTTCGTTGATTCTAGGGATTTCCTTCTGAATCTACCGAATCGCTTCATTCTTCTTGCATCCCATCAGTTTCTAGTTCCGAATTTAAGGTTTCGAAGCGGGTTCTGTTGAATCTCTCATTTGGGGTATTAATTGTACCTCGAAAAAAAATTAGGGTTTTTCTTTTTGATTTTTTTGGGTAAAATATTCATTATCGCAGTATATTGGTTTTCGGAATATTGGTCTGAAAAATGAAAAGTTTTCTTCTTTTTCTTGTTTGTGGGTGATTTTTAAGATGACTGGGGATAGCAGCAGCTTAGCGTCCAAGGAAACCCGCCTCCCTTTGTGCGATATGACTAATGTTCCAAGCAAAAGAGGGATTTCCTCGATTTTGGGTGATTTTCTTTTGAAATCTGGAGATGATTCTGGTAAAGCCGTCGCTCGTGAAGGCTCAGGGGTAAAGTTTTCAAAGAGGCTGTGTTTAGTTGTAGACGACTTGGTCAAGGAGAGTACTAGGACTAGTGATACAAACGATGGCTCTTGTTCGGATGATAAGAACAGTTTCGGTGATTCCCCTGTTGTTGATGGTGACTCTGAGAATTTCGATCTCGTCGATGTTAAAGAATCTCAGGGCGAGACCAATGCGCTGGATATCGGTGGTGTTCAGCATTCGAAAGGTGAAGATGATGGTGTACTTAGCCAGAGAGAGTGTGATGATAAGGACTCGAACATGACTGTCTTTGGAAGCCAAACGGATGCTGTTACAGGTGAAGACGTGGCCATGGCTGTGTTCAGTAGCAGCAATAGCGAAAGTGATGAGAGGTTGGCGATGGTGGCGACCGAAGACACGGGTTTGTTGTTGCCTGATTCTCAGGACATTAAGTCGTTTAACATGAACAGATGTTCGAATTTTGACAGTATTGGGATTGTAAATCACGCTATGGAAGCTGATGATGAGCTTAAATCCTGCTCTTGTTCTTTCTGCCTCAAAGGTTGTCTGTTTCTTTTGTATTGTTTTTTTTGTTAGTACCATCTTTGTTTAGTTCCCAATAACATAATCTAACTTGCTTTGTGGATGTAATGAATTCTTCAGCTGCATATATCTGGTCAGATCTTCACTACCAGGATATCAAAGGTCGATTATCTGGTAAGTTCTCATTCAATTGCAGGACTCAGAGTTGATATGATAATTGGTAAATTGTATGTATGGTCATATTGAAATTTGTGTTTGACTGCAGTGCTGAAGAAGAGCCAGAAAGAAGCTAGTAGCTTGATCAAAAGGAATGGTAAAGAAAAGCCAGTGGATATTCATGGATCTGAAAACTCCAACAGCTCCACAAATGCAGAATTCGACGCCATGGGTCAATGGACATCTCTCTTTCTTAACATGGAGGGTATCTTGGCTCGTGAAAGCAGCCACCTTGTAAGTTCCTCCAGAGCTTCTATTAGATTTTTCAGAACAAAACTTCAAAAAGTGTTCTCATTGGGTTCTGTGTGTTTGATGTCCGTTGTTATTGATAATCTGCAGGATAATAGCTTCATAGCCATGAAAGAGTTGAGAGAAAATTGCAAGATTGATCTGGAGAGAGCGATGAAAACACCTCAACCTAACAACACTTAGGTACTGTTGTTGTTCTTTACTGGTTTAGATGTTGTAAGGCTCTGTAACCTTCTTTATATTTCAAGCAGCTCATGTATGTATCATAACTTCTACTGTCATCATTTGATTATTGCATCTATGTTAGTGATAAACTTGATTCTTCCAGCAATTTACGTCTTTTCTTTAACAAAATTGTTACCATATTGGTCTCTGTGTATGCCTCTTGACCATATTTCTATTTGATTTCTCATCCTTTTGTTACTTCAAATGTCCCTTGATTACAATCTTTGTGTTACGAAAACAGAGTTATTATCTATGTAAACCTTAATAATTAGGTGATTCAAATTGTCATTTAACTATTGTTGGAATTCTAATTAAAGATAAGAGGTAGCAGCAATCGGTGCGAGTCCACTGTTACTGATATTCTGTAGGATCCATTGAATCATAATGAGTATTGATTAGCTACCTAATCATGTCTCTTAGATTAACAATGAACTAATTAAGAATAGGGGATATTCATTTGTTTCTGCTTTGACATAGAAAAGTCAACTATTTAATATTTTTTTTGAAAAAGGATGGCCTATAGTCAACTCGTTAGCGGTTTCATCTCGAGTTCTTTTTGGTTTTATGGTTTTTTTATTTTCGTGTAGTAGAACTCACATATGCGTACTATCATATTTTAATCCAAATGCTACATAGCTGATGTATTAGCTAAAAATGCAAGAGCGAAATCCCCAATTCAGTCTTTTTTTTTTGTAAATTAATTTATTTATGAAACACAGCAATTTGATTCAAAACAAATTTGGGTTGATTTAAGTATATTTTGTTTTCCCTTTACCAACAATATTATCTCCATACTACTAAATTTTATTATTGGTTTAGTGCTTCGTTGTTCAAGTTTGTTTGGTAGCAAAATCACAAAAAAAAACAAAATGGTACGAAATTAAATTATTTTTACTTTTAGTTCGATTTAGCCATTTTCTTTTTGCATGCCTTAAATCTAGCTCGAAATGGTTAGCCGAGTTTTGCGCTCCTATCTATAATGATTGTTCGTAAACAAATTTTACAAGGAAAAATGATAATAACCTTTCACTTTGTTGTTAAAATAAGTTGATGGTTTGTATTAAAATATCTTCAAAAAGAGTGATGGCAAAAGTACAGAAGATTCAGGAGAAGCAACCTAAAGTTCCACGCTTTTCCTGAAGGAACCAAAAGCTGATAAGGAATTCAAAAATAATATCTAAAATTATATTATAGACATTGACCGTTTTTCCTATATATTATGGTTTGACATTGGGCCTCATTTCTTTTGTTAATCCAGCCTCATTTCTTAAATACTATGTTATCTTATAATTAAAAACCTCATATTCTAGTTTTATATAAAAACGTATAATTTCTGAACTAAAAAACAATCTTTGTCGGTTTTTAAATAACAAAAAATGACTAAGAAAGCATGAGGTGAAAAAATTGTTCTGCTAAAATGAGACTGAAGATGATTGAAGAAGGTTCCTTCCGTAGTTTACAAGTCAAATCCACGTAGGACTCAACGTGTGAACACGTCTATGTGGGACCCTGTAGAGTTTGTTTTTGCAGGGCCAGTTTGATTTCATACTCGAAGCTGATTGGTTCCAACTTCCAACTCTATTTGGTTCGCTCACATGATATTATCTCGCTTTACCCATTTTCCTTTTTTTCCAACAAAATTGAAACTGAGTCCATTATACAACATTCAAAAACTAATTTTCGATTATGGGATCATATACAGATTGGTCATTGATGCTGTTTACTTATATACAGATTGATGTTGTTTGAATCGTATGTACACTTGTAAGAACAAGGAGAATATATAATTATATTCACATAATGCTATAGTGATTATGTGTTCCATTCGAATTCAATAGGCAAAATAATTTAACTCGTTAGTAAAATTCCATAAAAACATAAACGAATTTGAGTGGACATTATAATTGTCAACACGGGAGTAAATTACTCGAGACACCAATAAAACACAAACGAATTTGAGTGGACATTATAATTGTCAACGCGTTTCTTTGTTAATAGTTTTACCTCGGTGCATTTATTTTCTTAGATATATGCATTTGTTGTAAAGACATATAGTATTTACAATATACATACACATGACGTCACCAACATCATTGACTTCACCACAGAAAACTCCATGCTCGAAACAAAGACATATATAAGCCAAAGGATATGGCGAAACTATCAAACACAAGAATATTTCAAATCTAAACAAACAGACAAAATCAAAAATCTTCCTTCCTGTTTAGGGCTCGTGTGTTTTTTCTTTCTTTCTTTAGTCAATTTATTTTCTCAGCAGGGCTTCTTCTTTTTTTCTCCAGAAGCTCCACTTTATTTCTCCCATTATTTTATTTTTTTTTCGTTATTGTTGTGCAAAACTACAAATGGAAATAGCTTCAAACACGAATGGCTGCATAGAAGAGTTCATGAAAGCTCTTGAACCGTTCATGAAGGCAGCTTCATCTTCTCCATCTTTATCTTCATCAAAACCCTTAACTCCTAATAACCAAACCGGTCCAATTGGGCTAAACCAGCTCACTCCCACTCAAATCCTCCAGATTCAAACAGAGTTACATCTCCGACAAAACCAGTCTCGCCGTCGCGGCGGTGGCCAAAGCATCAATCTTCTCACCGCTAAACCAACCCCAATGAAGAAAACCGACGTAAGCAAACCGGCTAAACTATATCGAGGTGTAAGACAACGGCATTGGGGCAAATGGGTTGCTGAGATTCGTTTGCCTAAGAACCGAACCCGGTTATGGCTCGGTACGTTTGAAACCGCGGAAGAAGCCGCATTAGCTTACGATCAAGCTGCTCACAAGATCAGAGGAGAAGACGCTCGTCTTAATTTCCCAAAAATTGCTCGTTACGGAGAATATAAACAGTCATTGTCTCCGTCTATCTGCGCGAAGATTGAATCCATCTGCAATAGCTCAGAAACTCTGCCTGAGCTCAAGAAACCGGCGGAAACAGAGGAAGGGCTCTTTGGTTATCATTATACGTGTCCTAAAACGAAGCAAGAAGGCGAATTTCCTGAGAATTTCGGATCCGGGTTTTCGGGTTCCTCTCCTGAGTCGGTTATATCATTGTTGGATTTCTCAAGCGAATGGATGAAGGAAGAAGATGAGAGTCTTTTTATGGGTTTGCACAAGTATCCTTCTTTGGAGATTGATTGGGACGCTATAGATAAACTCTCTGGATCCATTTAAGCTTCTTTTTTTTTTTTTTTTTTTTATACTAGTTTTGGAAGTTTCTTTTTTAGAGCTTTGTTATGATATTATTAATGGGCTGGTTAATGGGCCACTTTTTTGGAAAAGGCCTATATCTTGAATTTGCTACTCATTGAAATTTGCTTTTCTCATGGACTTAATATTAAAAGAATGCCCTACCAATTTCATAATTATTTGCTTGGAGTTCATTGTTTTATAACCGAAGAGAATCATACAAATTTTCGAAGTAATGTGAAAAAGTCGACTATTTTCTATGGAAACATCTAAAATAAGATTAGTACTTCAAATCGCAGTATAATAACTAGTCATTAGAGCCATAGTCTCCCCAGTTTACAAGTAAATTCTTTAGTGAAACATCAAAGATCAGTTAATTGTTTCTTGTTAAGGTGACAAAAACAGTGACACTGACACGTGTACATTGAATTTGGCTCCCCAGTGATAGGGGGCACTCCTTCTCATGCATCCCCCATGTGCACGATGAATTCATATACATATGTTCCTTTTAAAAGTTTAATGTGAACATTAATGCTGAGATAGACAGATCAAAGATCTCGGAGCGTGAACCGACATTTCGAACGTTGACACGTGTAAATGATCTACGCGAGCTGCCATGCTCCGACATGCAACATTTGCGCATGGTGAGAGGGAAATAATATGGACATAAAGAGGAACACGTACTTACTTAAACGTATGTTTTCATACTGTGCAAGTAACAGACGAAGAAATTGTACTTTTTTAACTTTTTAGGTTAAATTGTACTTTTAATTCAAGACTGAAAAAGAATACTTGGAAGTTGAAGTTGTTGTCAATTCTCAGTCAATATCAGCACGTATGTTCTCATGTCGTGGAAAAAGTAACGGACCCACCAAGGATGTGTGTCTATTTCTCACTAGTCGACAATCTACATCCCATTAATCTTCGCATTAAATCATTTTTAGTTATCTATTACTACTTCGTTTAAAACTAAACGTTATTTCATAATTTTATTTCCGATTTTCATCATATATTTTTCAATATTTAAAATGCATAATTTAAAGAATGGTTCCCAAACATTGATGAGGAATAAAACATACAAAGAAAGAAGCGCAAAAATACGAATATTTAGGAAAACAATGCACGTTTTCTTTAGAATTTTACAAAAGATATATATACCCCCATATTCCCTTACAACCGTTATTTCCTTAGTTTAAAAGGTAAAATCGCCTTCACGCAACAGAGTTAGAAGGCTATAAAAAGAAAGAAAAATATATCCCCACTTTAATAAAAGGTCTTGTTCATCTTTTCCCAAAAGAAAAGAATTATGATGAACAAGATCAATCTATATATATATATATATATATGGGCATTTTAAGAGCTTGCCCTTATATATCTTATAAAATGTTCCATTATAGGTTAGGGATATACTATATACGTATATTACATGCACCTATGATAATGATTATATTTTTTCTAAAGTTACTCCAATAGCATTTTCACGTTCATTGCTAAATTTGTTTCCACTCTACCAACCGCCGCAAGAAATCCATCACCTGTATATGATAGCAAAAACTATATCGTTATAATTGTGAAACCATATACGTATAAATATACGGCATGTACATATAAGCGTAAATGGATAAATGTGTATATTTAGCTTTACAGATATTTGTATATACATTGTACTTGCCTCAGGTGGGTCTTGCAACGAATACGACGCATTTGTGTCTTTGGGGAACTTGGAGACAAGAATACCAAAGCCTTGTCCTCTCTCTTGAAGTAGCTATAATTCACAGATTAAAACGGAAACAAATACAGAATTAAGTTGTATGCGTCGTAGTTTTCTTTTTGTTAGAATTAATAGTTTTCAATATATATAAATGACGCTTTTACCTTAAATGCATCTTCATCGGTTCGATCATCACCAATGTAAATCGGGAACACATCGTTAGAATTCTCAAATCCTGCAACAGCCAGAATTTTAAATTTAAAAATGATATATATATATATATATATATAATTGCTTTTTTTTGTCGGCAATTGATTGTTTTAATATCAAAAGGACTACAAGAGCCATATTATTTATTATTGATAAAAACTTATTTCTGCAAAATATATATGTGCTTTTTTTTTTCTTACAACAAAAACGCAAAAAGGTGGAATATTTTTAATCTTTTATGGAGAAAAAAAAAACTAAACAAGACAAGATGGAAAGAATATCTTACCAAGTGACTCTAACAAAAACTCAAGAGCCTTGCCTTTGTCCCATTTAATCATAGGTCGGATTTCAAAAACCTGTAGGATGTTCAAGAATAAATATAACTTAAATTAATTTCACAACGAAAAAATTATAGATACTTAAAATAGACATCCACCAACAAGAAGATGCCATATCATACCTTACGACCTTGTGACAGTTTCAGTGTCGGATAGTTCTTTACCACCGACCGAACTTTTAAAGCCAGTTCGCTCCATTTCTGAATATATTTTCCGAGGAAAATAAGTATTTACATTAACATAAGGGAGAATTCGAAATTTCAAAAACATAAAATAATATACTGTATATACATAAATCGGAAACTTTCGTAATTGTACAATGATAATTACCTTCTCGTCGACACAACGGAAGTGCACAGAAAGACAGAACTTGTTGTTCTCCACTTTGGCTCCTGGTGTTGATTTGGTTTTCTCCACTAATTTTTTATAAACCTACAAAAGTTAATTTAATTTAAATACTCAATCATAGACATACAGAGAGCTAAAAAAGAAAAGTAAATAAAACAAAATTCCTTTTACCTCATCGATCATGGGAAGAAAGTCGCCGGCTGGTTGATAAAGAACAGATGGCTTATCCTAAAAAACAAAGTAAAATTGCATTGAAATAACAGAAAAACAAACTAAAGAAAATTGGGATTGTAATATAGTAATTATTCGAGTTTAATAATCTAAGACTTGTATACCTTGTTGTATCTAGAGAAACCTTTTGTTGGACCTTTAATATCCATTCCATGGCTTCCAGCGTAATACAGTTCTGCTAGCTTCACAAAGCTATAAACCTATAAAAAATATATATATATTTTTTAGAAAAGTTAATTAACTAATGATTGTTTGAAAAATAACAAATTAACTTAATTTACAAAAATGTACCTTATCTATGCATCTACCGGTAACTATAGAAGTTGGAAAAGACTTCGCAAGCTTTTTCACTGTCCTTCTCATCTGTGAAACACAGAACAGAGATTGAATATGTTAAAAACAAAACAAACAAACAAAAAGATTTGAAACGGAAAAATTGGAATTTTATCTGGTTTAATGACAAGAACCTTGCTGGATATGAAAGCTCTGTCTGGATCATCGACGATTGGAGAAATAGTACCGTCATAATCAAGAAACATAACGATTTGTTTACCACTCGAAGCTTCGATGATTCGTTCGAACATGTCAAGTGCCGATGGATGTCGTTTCTGGTTGAAATTAAAGACGATAAAACAAAAACATTAGGCATTATCTAAGGAAAACAAAAAAAAAACAGAGTTTCTCTGAAAAAGTGTGTGATGGAGCTTACAATCCAAGAATTGAGCTCTTCTTGTGAAGAAAGAGAAGGAAGTGATTTGAGATGTGTAGGCGAAGAAGCTCTCATGGAGTCAACCCAAGAGTTGAGTCTCTGACTTTGAGCGCCATTGATTTCGAGGTTTTGGAGTAGTTTCTTCTTTGAAATTGAGATGTAACCAGGAGCAGTCGGTGGTTTCTGAGCGGAAGGAGTGAAGACGGAGGAGTTAGAGGCGGTGGAGGCGGTTATGATTCCAGTCTTGGCGTCTGATACGACGACGTTTTGGCTCACCATTTTTATAAAACTATGAAACAGAGAAGGAGAAAGCAGGGGATTTCAGAACAGAGGAGGTGAAGTGAAATTAGCTGGTATCGTAGACAAGACCGAGAAATTTGAACTTTTCCCAATCGGGAAAATCAAGAATTCTTCGGCTAAGAGAATGGGATCGAAGGAGAAGTTAGAGAAATGAGGTTGGTAGGGAAAAGAGGAAGGAGAAGAAGAAATTGCTCTGTTTTTCGAATCTATAAGTGGTTTTTGAACTGTTCGAAGAGACGAGAGAGAGAGATAGTGTGGGAGATATACGAAGTCCAAGAGGTGGCTTATATAGAAGCACAAGCGATCACAAGAGTTAGAGAGAGAGTCTTGACTGTCTTGTTACAAGTGGGAGCCATGGGACCGAGGTTCTTGAGGTGGGACCTACAAGCCGGCCCAGCTTAAGGAGGTGGTGACTCTTCTCTTTCTTTTTATAAAATTGGTCCCACTATAACGCCACGTGTCCCAGATGGAAAGGAACCACTTCTCTCTCTCTCATGTTCGTGTAACGTCGTATACATGTTTTAATAAGCTAACGTCGCCGAATCATATGATAATCAAGTAATCGACTTTAAAAAAAGTTCCGTCACTGTCCATTTCAACATAGATATCGACCTTTTTTCTCGTCTTCCAGTTGCACATATTTTTTTGACTATATGTACAAATAATTACTAACTGTCATAAAGATTTTTATACGTTTTTCCTACAAATATCGTTTGGGTTATATTTTGTCCTCGAGCATGTATATATTTTCTGTTTTCACAGCTGCATGCATGCCATGACACATGTATATTCACTAGGATGACACATTTTTTTGTGACAATGTGATATCCTATGATATTAACCCGAAACTTATCACTATAGACAAATTTTATTTGATAAGAACCAACGCCCAAATGGGGTCAAGAGAGTTCATCAATGAACAGAAACGGTCCAAAAACCTATACCCACATATATGCAAAAAAAACAAGAAGCGTTATAACTTACAATCAAAATTCAAATTGTTCTTACAGGTTCAAAGATGAACTAAAACTCCCTCGAAAGGTCATTCATATTGTTCGTGTGTCGCAAATTATACATTTGACTTTTTATACGAGGGATAACGTACCATCCTTAAATTTGTGTTTCTGTCTAACCTAATTATATACAAGTCGTGCATGATGCATGCAAATATTTTTTTAAAATAACAGACTTTTAAATTTCGTTTTTGATTTGTGTACATCTATCTACTACTCATATTCTCCCTAAAGAACATTTTAGACAATTTTAATGATAATCCGTTGTTACAAACCAAAATAAAACACACTTATAAAATTTACAAAAGAGGTAGGTCCATTTGTGTTGGATGTAAAAGAGGTATATGACTATATTCAAGTTCAACATCGGCCAACAAGTTTGCAAACCAAAAAAATAAAGTATCGCGATTACTGAATATTTATAGATCGTGAAAGCTAATCATATTTTTAGTTATTTTCTTATAATAATAATCTTTTCCAGAAATCTCATATCATTTAATAGTGCTATATTGGAAATATTTTCAATTATCTCCATTTATCTTAGATTAATCTAACATGAAAAAATACGTTAGAATATTTTTGCTTACACTTCCAATAAAGCTTATATAAGAGCCTTTTTTATTTCATTATGTTTAGTATTATATATCTCATTACGTTTAGTATTATTAAGTTGAAAGCTGAAAGCAATAGTTGTTTTCGTTACCAAGGATTTTATAGGAGATTAATTACAAACCTATCAAAATTGTATTTTCTTGTAAACTATTTCACGAAATATATGAGATACGTGTGTATATATATAACAATTGTCAAACCAGTGGACTCTATTATGATATGCATGTAAACAAATCGAACTCGTGGATCGCGTATAGGAATATGCTTTGATTACATCCCTGTTCTTGGATATAAAAACAAAAGAGTTTGGTACTCAGTCAAAATAATCAAATTATATATCGATTCTGCGTTCTATATACAGATTTTTAATTGGTTTTTCTTAAACGACCTATCTATTGTGTTCCTTTTTAATCAAAGTTCACCGTAATGAGACACTGAAATGAAGAAACACTCGGTTTTTGTAAGAACTCTCTAGAAACTCCTGAGAGATATAAAAGAGAAGGTCAAAATCAAAACCAGTTACTCCTACAATTACTTTTATAATCGGAGGAAAGATGGTAGGTCAAAAATTCAAATTCCTATACAAGGATCCGTGTTCTTCGAGTTTGATCACGTTCATGTTCTAAATTAACTATCTGGTCAATGGCACGAAATTCTAATAGTCTTTCTGTTTGTTTGACAATAAATCGAATAAGATTCTTCGAAATCGGAATGGAACGTTGACTTCTTAACCAACTAAGAATATATATTGAAGATACTACATTCTAAAAAAAAAAGGAACTAGATTGCTTGTTCTTAAGAATGAAGATATTTTTGTGTTATAACCTTTTTATGTGTGGGATTAACCCCTATACTGTGGTATAGCCAACATGTGAACTTAACCCACTCTCATAATATAATGCATAACCACAACAATATTTTTTTTTACAAAATTATAATTAGTTTTCTAAAAAAATTATTTCTGTTCGGCATACGGTGAGAACCAATAATCTAATATCTTTTTTATGTGCCTGATTAAGTTTTGATCATGTATTCATGTATAGTGCCATCCCTCCAACAAAGTGCCAAACTTTAAAACCGAAAAAAGGGAAAGGAAAAAAAAAAAGAACTTTTAGAAAAGAAAAGCTTACCAAAACTCGGATACAAATTTCAACATAGCCATCAATTCTTTTTATTCAAAATGCTTATTGTTCAATCAAATAAGCTATTCGCATTTTAACTCTTGTTTCGCAAGCTATATATTCGTATCATACTAGATTACCAAAATCAAAATAAACGAACTTTTTAGATGCTCATCTACAGATTCCGTAATATTTGCTTAATTATACAATGTTGACCAAAAATTATTCTTTATACATGAACTATATGTATATGTGAACAAGAACATTCAAACCCTCGGGAAATACTAGATGGTCAGTCTTGACGAATCAGTTTTTTCTAACCCAAATATATATATATATATATATATATATTAAATATATTCTTGATTTGTTAGGATCTTATTCGTTCTGCCATGTGCTTCTGCTTCGATTCGATGTATGTTGGAAAAATTACTCTAGCCTGATGTGAACGTGATCAATAGTATATAAATCATATATTTATTAAACATATCAACAAGAATGATACTTTTCCTAATAAAAATCTGATTTCTGAGGTTTCAAATGGTGCAAATGTAAATTGCGGAGAAAGATTGAAATATGTTTATTGTTTTAAATACTTGGCATATGAAATAATTCGATCATCCAAATGATGATGACGTAAGCGCAGATGTAATGTTGAAGAAAGAAGTGTTTCACGGGCGATCCTAGAGAGATTCAGATTCTTCGATTCTTTGACCACCGTTGGTTTTGATTTAATTATGGCATTTACACTTCTTTTTTTTTCATCTTTTGGCATTACAATTTACATATTTTAAGTAGAAGAAAATTAAATAATGCTGCAAATAAGACATTTATCATAGTTTCGGACTGTTACCCAATTCTTTTTTTTTAAGTTAGAGACCCGTGTTTTCCGGCTGAATTAACGCCTTTGGTCATCTTCTTATATTGTTGTCAGTCTTAATAAGCTTTAGCTGTTTTTTAATTCGATCTTTTTCGATCTCAAAAAGTTAGATTGTGAATTAGTTAGCTACACATGCATGCACATCCACGAAGTTTGCTAGTCTTCTCTTAACCTTAAAGATGGTCCTTCGCTTAAAATGATGTTCGTCAACAAGAAAATTGCTTACCACGTTAAATTTTTTTTTTTAATTATCATAATACTGTATATGACAAATTGTTCCGAGTCGAAAATTTATTGTCATCAAAAAGAAAATGACTTAGTAGAAAATTTACAATCAAACTCGGCCTTATTCATAAGACGAGTTGAACTTCATGTTTGATCCTTTAACCTTCGAATCCTCTTTTATCGTTTTCCCCAACCCATTCCCCCAAAAAATATATATATAATAAAATAAAATTTACCACTATAATTTGAGAGTCTAAGGGGACGACATCTGGTTTTCATATTTTAGTGTCTTTTATTGGTCAACCTCTTTCACAAGAAAAAAGCATATATCTATTCGATTGTCTCAATTATTATAATTACGTAACGTTGCTCTTTAGTCAATTGAAGTGTCAGGCAAAATCGCCGGCCATGGACCGGACCGAGTCCGAAAAGATTCAAAAAGGTTCATAACGTGTCAGGAGCTTGTCTTTCGCTTCCCAAACCATATGACTCGTCTGAATCTGTCGTTCTTCCGAATCCGACATCACACGTGTGGTCTACACTCGGTACGTGTCCCTATTGGAACACAAACCCTCTAGTGTGGTCGGCATATTATTTTCTCTGGTTTTCTTTCTTTTACACGCAAGAAAAAAATATAGCAATTAAGTAAAATTATAAAAAAAAATAGTATAGTCAATTAGTCATGCATTCATCGTACGTGCACGCACCGAGTCCACATGCTCGGTCTCTTCCGACTGATCGCATTTATAGCACATTGTTAATATTTTTTTTATATATAACTAATTTTTTTTCAAAACTCGGGAAGTAAATTGCCGTAATGATTATGGTACGTATTGTTACGAATAAATATGCTTCCTCCGTTTTTAAATATACGATGTTTTAGTTGTAGCACAGATTTTAAAACATTTTATTTTTTAAATAAACGATGTTTTAGTTGTAGCATAGATTTTAAAACATTTTATTTTTTTATTACTTTTTTACTTTCCAATATAATTATATCAATAAAATAAAAATAAAAATAATATTTAATTTAAAATATATCAGTTAAAGCTAAAACATCAAATTTTAAAAAATAAAAGGGAGTATACATTTTGTTTTTACTGGTAAATGTAGGGCAAACTATATTATATGTGTGTGTGATTCAAAAAGATATGTTGAAAGTGCAGCTTACAATTAGTGGAAATAATAGAGGGTCAATATCACTTGGGGACATTCAACGTGTGTAAATTGACATGAGGTTTTTGGCATATTTTGTCAAGTTGATATGATTTTTGAGGAGTATTAGAAGAAAGTAGAGAAATGAGCTGTAAAGAGTTGTAATGAAGTGAGAAATGAGAGTGTGATTACATGTAAAGAAGCTTATTCTACGTCGTTGGTTTGGTGTGTTTCTCATCGCTTTCCTATCTTTTCTTTTTCCGTCGAAGCATTATGGAGCTAACACGTTTCGATCCTCTTCGTGTAAATATAAACTTGTTCTTTTGAAAATTAGGCAATTTTATTTAATAAAAGATGTAATTCTGAATTAATCGGTTTTATCAAACCTACAATCAAATAGCCAGTAGAGAAGAATAATAACTATACATTAGAAAATATGCGAAATTTTATCGAACCAAATTATTTAGTCATATACTCATCACTTGAATTAGACCGACTATATTTCATATATAAGAAAAAAATACTAGATACAATATTAAAATGATAAGATCTTCAGAATTCATTTCAATTTTATATGCTTACGTCTGATGATATTGTTTCGACGACCTACATGAAAATTAATGATATTGTTTTATTAGTTAATTGATACTAAAATAATAGATGTATCTAAAACTTTCATGTTTTTATTTTTAATTGATGGTCCTGAGTCATTGTTCCGATCAATACACCAAAAATGTGTATAGTTTACTCGTATCGGAATAATGAATGAGTGAATCCATGTTTTTCTTGAAATCTCATGTTTTATCTAGTAGATCGATCTATTCATTTTGCAATATCGATTAATTCCAAAAATGTAAATAACAAGTGACAAACATGCACACAAATAATACATAAAGAATATCGAATCCTAACAAACGTATGAATGAAAGAAAAACTATGCATTATAATTATTCTTGGACCATAGCAGTTCCCTATCACGTGGAATAAGGATGAGGAGAAAAAAACCATGGGACATAACTCATAAGGAATTGTATTCTTTATTATTTCATATACTTTATCTTTGTATATCTCTTTACATTTTTTTGGGTACTATTTTTAGTTTTACTTTCGATATGTATATAACTATATAGGAAAAAAATATTTATTATAGGTATCCAGATTTGTTTTGAGTACTTATGAAGTGGGGAAAAAAAAGAAAAGAAAAATTAAAGTAAATTGACAGGTAAACGGAAACAACTGCCAAAGCCTAACGGTATCGCTCCTTTCAACGTACTTTCGGTCGCGGATATGGGCCCACTTCATCACCCCCACGGATATCGTTCCTTCTTGGCCCACAGGCCCATAACATAATATATACTACTTGTTTAATTTATTTTAAATCAAAAATAGGGATGAACCTTTTAATTAGTGGATATTGAACTAGAAGACAAACTGACTTTTAAAATAAAAACCATCATATAAATTAATTAATATTAACAGTAAAAGTGATTGTAATACCTAATCGACATATATTTGATAATAAAATTTCTTCTTCGTGAAATGCCATTCTTTCCCTTTCATTATTGATACATGCCTTATAAAATGTTGCATAAAAAAGAAGATGGAAAATGAGTTGCCACTTATTGTCGGCCCACACACACACTGCTAAAAGAGAAAAAAGTATATTGAAAAAAAGGTAGGATTCTTTTGTCATTATATGATTTGCTTTTTTAGACTTCATGAAGTTTGCTTTATACTCTTGTTTTGAGTATGGATTTAAGCAAACTCTAGAATTATATAGAACATGAACAGAAATGCAGGTTTGTTTTTTCATGGTTCGTTTTATGCGTTTGTAAACAATCTAGTACGAACTAATAGTCTGTAGATTTCAGTGGAGCGAAAAAATCGTACTACAGTTAGAATTTTAGTTATATAATACGGATGTCAAATAAACATTTGTTTTCTGTTAGTTAGATTTCCTTATGTAAGTATATCACGCGGTCGTGGAATTAATAATACAAACTCATATTTACAACTACATAACATAAAAAAATAACAGGTGCATGAAAACAATTACATTCAAACAAGAAATGCTACCTAAAGAGAGCAAAAACCGTGATAATGATTTAATGATCATGGACCCATATGATCAATTTATATACTTATATCAAGATTACGTCCGGAACCAAGGAGAAAGAAAACCTTGGAAAAAAAAAATGGTAGCTAATCCTTATCCCTTTGGGTTCAAAATAGTAATTTATAGATTAGCTATAGTAATTAGTCATGATGATAACAATCCAACGCATTAACAACAACTTATATCCTATAAAATATATATCATAAAATTAAATTGGGAAATGCTTCCACAATGTTATTACTATTTTTGTTGTCGATGTAGTTTGTCACTTTGTCTTCTTCATTTCCAAAAAGGAAATGATAGTATATGCTTTTTGTTATCGACTTATCGTGATGAGGCATCTCTGATCTTTCCTATCTTTTAAGAACCTTGTTAAATTGATTACATCAGCATTAACATTTCAAACACAGTAGATGAAAATAAAAATTAGGTTAGATATATAAGTAATTAGCTAGTGTTACTAATTAATATTGGAAAATAAAGAAAAGAACCGGTGCCGCTTTAGTAATGGGGACACAAATTGAAACATCTGCCTTTAAGAATCTGAAGAGGGCGAGATATCTCCTATAAATCACTAATAAGTGGAAAAATTTTAAATTGGAGAGAAAATCGCATGGTTTGCAAAAATGTGTGTTTAAAAAAAAATCAGAATATTCCAAGAAAATCAGGGAAATATACTAAATCTAAATGCGCCATAACAGTTAAATGGCTAGTATTCAACTCCGATTAATAGAACTACGTTTACTATAAAATATACGTAGCATGCCATTTGATGTTTCCATAAAATGTAAATGTAATAGAACTACGTTTACTACGCTCTGATGTTTATTTGCCTTAGCTTATGTCTGCAAATGTTAAAAGGCGAGTTTAAACATGTGTGTTGACCAAAAAAAAAAGTAAAATACTTACATTCCATTAATTCCGTATGCTTGTTAAATTTTGGGTCGCTTCTTGAATCCATACATTTAGTCATTACAAGAACAAATTAAATCCTTGTTATATATGGCTCTAAGTAATATTTTAAATAGTACGATAGATAAATAGTAGTACATGGTAAATTACTGTATTCAATAATCTATACGATCAAAAGAAAATAGCGAAACCATAGTTCGAGTCGAAAGTAAAACCGGTTACAACTATTTTTGAGGTAACATTACAATTATTCAACCATTAGTTTGTGGTCAAGGCATATTTAGTATGAATTACAACTTACAAGTGGGTGTCTTTAAAACGATATCAGATTTTGATTTGATGGAATCCTCAACGGTTCACAAATCACCTCTTTGATGTTTTTTATATAGAAAAATATTTAAAAAGCAAGAATTCGAATCTATTTATAATCAAATGTGATGTGCCTTGGAACTCTTATGATAATTAAATCTAGGCCGTCTAACTTGGTGGGATCACACAACAAACTTGGTTTCAGCTGGAATATGAATATATATGATAATAGCAATATAAAAATTCATGCTCCGAGTTTCGAAATAAGAAACTCGTTTGGAAAATAAACTAATGTTTTCTGTTGACAAACAATTAATATCCAAAGAGCATATTGTTAGTTCATCAAATCGTAAGGAGCATATACTTTGATAAAAAAAGCATATGCTCTATACCTTTATAACTATTTTTTTTTCCCAATAGAATTAATTAGACATTAACTGTATCTCTATGGTGGAAGAAAAAAACGAAAAAAGACATTACATTGTGGAACTGATTTATTTACTTTTTGTTAACGATTTATATTTGTTTTTGTTAAGATGAATCATAGTAAGGCCCAAAACAAAGCCCAAATTCTGATTTGGGGTATATTTAGCCCAGTTGCAATTCTGAGATGCAGTTGACTATATATATATATATAAAATAAAATAAAAATAAAAAAAAGTCGAAGAAACAGTCACTAGTTCAGTTGCAACGGATTCTACACCACCGGTATATCCACACAAAGTATTAATAAGTTTAAGCTGTCAAGCCACAAAAAAAAATATTATACAATATGAAAAATAATAATCTTCGCTTAATCGAACAACTAAACGATTAGAATAAATTTCAAATTTTCTACATTCCACGACATACACAATTTGGCTCTACCAACCAATAAGAAACCTAGTTATAAGACGTCGACGACAATGTTAAGCGGCAGCTCCACCGTCCTCCTCTGTCTCCTCCTCCTCTCCAACGTCGCTCTCGCCGTAAGTCGCTTCCTCGCATATATACACACTAATCGTACATTACGTACAAATCAATCGTTACATTTTATGATTAATAATATTGTTGAATTAGTTGGACAATGATGACGACAAGTGCGTGTTCACGGTTTACATAAGAACCGGCACGGTTTGGAAAGCCGGTACAGACTCCGTCATGAGTCTCCGTCTTTACGATAGTTACGGACGAGACGCCGTTATCTCCGATTTGGTGTCATGGGGAGGTTTAATGGGTCCGTTTCATGATTATTTCGAGAGGGGTAATCTCGACATTTTCACCGGTTTAGGTTCTTGTCTCTCGGGTCCGGTTTGTGCGATGAATTTGACATCTGACGGCTCTGGCGACCATCACGGTTGGTATTGTAACTACGTGGAAGTGACGATGGGTGAGAATCGTCGGAAAAGTTGTTATCAGGAGAAGTTCACGGTGGAGCAATGGTTGTCTCGTGATGCTTCGCCGTATGAGCTGTCGGCGATTAGGAACCACTGTTCGGACTTTGCCAAGAATCTGCGAGTCGTTGTTCCCACGATGTGAATAGGATTATCTATTTTTTTTTTGTATTTTCGGGGTCAATGAAACATGATGTGATCATGCTTAGTGTGATTGAGATTTCGTGTGTTATTTTTATAAAGCAAATGTGTTAATGTATCGCAATGCTTGAGATTTGAGTGATTTTTTATATTCTTTTGGTTCAGGGACATCTGACTCTGACTGATTACCGTGTTACAGTTCAACATACGTAATCATGTTTTTATGAATATGGGTCTTAAATGGGCCCTATTTAAGGTCTGACTGATATTGGACAAATTTTGTTTTTGTTATAAAACCTAAATACAGCGTTACCACAAGCTCTGCATTTCTATACAAACATTTTAATCATAAAAAGAATCACACAATTTAGTCATTGAGGTGTCACTCGCCGGCCCAAAAAAAAAAAAAAAAATTCGAAAAATGAATTTTCCGGTAGTGTTTTACTCAATCCATATTTAGCCCTCACAATGATTTTCAAATACCGGAAAATTTATCAAGAATCTTGGCCACGGCGTTTCATGAGTTGTTGTTGGGCCTCCGATAAGCCTCTCGTCACTTGCTCATCCTCTGGCGTCTCTTTACTCAATATCTCGTAGTCTGCCACCGCCAGTTCCCATTTTCGGATCTTCACCACCACAAAAACACCCGTTATAATTTATAATTACAAAAAAACCCCATTTTTATTGTTCCTTTCAAAATTCACCCGCTGAAAGTTTCTGTTGTTGGTTACCTTGGCGTTACAATCGGCTCTTCTGAGTCGAGCTTTGCGGTAACCCGGACGGACAGATATCGCCGCCGTACAATCCTCCACCGATTGTTCGAATTGACCTAATTTTGAAAGGCAAGCCGCGCGATTGCAGAGCAAAACAGAGTTTCGCGGATCGTGGTCTAACCCCTCACCATAGGCGGCGCACGCCTCTTGGTACCGCCCTGCTTTAAACAGCTCGTTTCCTCTAAACCGAGCTTGGGTCACCGCCTGAGCCCGCCGTAACACCATTGTCACCTCCCTGTTATTCCCATCAAGCTTGCCGGCGCGTTGGATCGCCTCCACCGCCTCGTCGAATCTGATAGAATCAAATGTTAAACCGGAATCTTTCAAATCAAATGTATATGCTATACCGGGTCAAAACAATAAAACCGAGATTTGATGCCGGTACAATATCTATACCGGGTAATAGTATAAACCAAGACTTTGTGAAGAAGAAGCAAAGCAAACCTGCCAGAGGCCAAGTGAACCTGAGCACGGACGACCAAGAAACCAGCATAACCGACTGGTCCATAGTACCGAGTACTGGTTTCGACATCGAAAACCGGACATCTGGACAAAGCATCATCGGCATCTTGATGTCTATGCGTCTTCAACAATGCTTCTGCTTGCAATGCGTACACCTGTGGAGCTGCATCGGCTCCTGAAGAGATGGTGTTTGTTGTCTCTGCAATCAAACCATTCCAATCTCGTAATCTCTTTGCTTCTGTGCACTTACTAATATACGTCTGTACTGTTTTCGCCTTTGCAATGTCTTCTGGATCAGTCTCTGGACCCGAATGCTTGAAATGATACAACGACTTCTCGACTTCTCCCAACCTATCAAAGGTACAACCTTTGTGTGATGTATAAAACGTTTTCTTGTTGTTATGATTAAAAAGTTTTTGATTTGTGAAGGCTTTGAGATTACCTGAGGTACAAGTTTCCCAACCGATGATGTGCTCTATGGTAATGAGGCTCGATTCTGATTGCTTCTCTGCATTCGAAGACCGCATCGAGAATCCTCCCCAGTGCGGTCAAAGCCGCGCTCTTGTTGCTTCGGTACGCAGCTTTATTCGGATCAATCGCAATCGCAGCGTCATACAATGCCAACGCCTCTGCGAAGTTCCCGTTCTTGTAATCTTCATTCCCCATTATCTTCAACGTTTCTGGATCCATCCTCGTTGAGATTGCTCTGCACAAGGATCCTGACTGTTCTTGACTCTTCGTTGTCACCGTGGAAGCAGCCACAGTCGTCCTGCTCACACCATATCCTCCACCAGAACTAGCGTAATTCTGAGTGTTGACATTACCGTAACTCGCTGGTCCGGACTGGTTCAGATTCCCGAGGTGTCCGAACAACATCACATTGCTAGAGGAAGCGCGAACCAATCCATTGGCTCCTCTCGATTTCTGATGATCGGTGATCATGCTTTCAAGCTCACCAGATAAACCGATGGCTTCTCTCGGCACTATCCTCTGTCCTGCTCTGTACGGTTCAATGCTACTGCTATTGTTGCTGTAACTAGTGCGTTGCTGGTGATGATGATTCTCGTGGCTCCCTAATTGATGGTTATTAGGGTATTGATTCGACGAGGGTTTTGATGGAACCACCGATCTCTGAATCTGGATCTTCTTGTTCTGGATCGGCTCGGCGGAAACCTTCTGATCGTCGCGAGGTTTCTTCAACTCCGTACCGGGAGATTTTGTGAATTGAATGTCGCTTGTGGCGGTCGCTGTCGTAGATGCGCTTTTCTGGCTACCATTATCGGCGGCGGTAGGTTTCTTCGACCACAAACCACGTCTACCGAACATTACGTTCAATAGACCACAACCGGATCTTCTCTCCGCCGCAGCCGCCATGTTCTCCTCCATCCCAAGAACTGGCCCGGGAATTCGGGAAAACCCTCTCTCCCTCCAAAGGATAAATCAAATATCCAGAAATTGAAGAAGGTTTTTAAGGAGGGAAAGAAGAATAGGAGAAACCAGAGATCAATGGCGATGAGAAGAGAAAGAAGATCTCATCTTTTAATAAGAAGAACAGAAGAGGAAGATGTGATAAGGCTTTTCTCGGCCGGACGGTAAAGAGGAACGAAGATTCTTCCGTTTCGTGTTTTGTATTGGTGTCATAAATTTAATATTTAGTGTCATTATGATTTTTTTGGATTATCGACGGAAAATGAAAAAGGAAAGGACTATTAAGCGAAAAAGGGAAAGAAAAATAAAATGACTGGAAATTTTATATTTTGTAAATTCGATGTCAATGAGTTGGTTGGTGAGTTTCAAAATTCATGCCGATTCACTAAAATTCATCCATTTCTCCTTCTGTCGGCTCTTCTTCCATTTTTGTTTTTGTTATTAGATTTTGTTATTTCGATGGTTGTTGCGTGCTGACTCGGTCGTGTAAGAGAGAGAGAGAGAGAGAGATGGGAATAATTTAGAAAGAAGGTGGGCGATTTGTCCGTAAATTAATCCGTGTTTTTCTCCTCCAATTGATTCTGTTTTTAGATGATTTTGTGGTGAGCACGTAGTTTCCTTTAATGTAACAAAAGGACTAATGTTTCTCAAAACGTTATATCAACAAAGGAGATACATATTCAAACATTAATTGCCTAACCAGAGAGAGAGGCTTTTACATAGGTATAATAACCGGACAGGACCGAGTCATGGTCCGGCTAAACGTTCTCGACCCTCTTGACCGGATCAGGGAGTATATGCTTGGCCTTCATCTTCAAAATGGCACTAGCTGGGTTAAGTCCTTTAGGACAAGTGGCCGTACAGTTCTTGATTGCTCTGCATCGATACACTTTCCTTTCATCCTCTGTTATCGCCTGGAGCCTCTCTTCTCTAAACTCGTCACGGCTGCGTCAAACCAAATAAAAGCAAAAAAACCTAACTTAAAAGATCGGCAATAACTAATTAAAACCGTTGATTTTAGAACTTTTTTTTGTTTTTAACCTGTCGCTGATCCAACGGTAAGCTTGTAGTAGAGCGGCGGGTCCTGGAAACTCCTCGGGATTCCACCAGTAAGAAGGACATGATGTGGTGCAACATGCGCATAGTATGCATTCGTACAACCCATCTAGCTTCTTCCGGTCGTTTGGTGACTGTCGGTGCTCACGTCTGTCTTTTGGGGGCTTCCTTGTCTTTAGCCATGGCTCCACTGATCTTTGATTTTAAGCAAACAACACAAAACGTTTGTTGTAGAATTTAGCTAATCACAACGATTCATGTTCAGCCATCAGGATACGTTACTTACTTGTATTGTTGGTAAAAATTAGTGAGGTCGATGACTAGATCTTTGATGACGTACATGTGTGGTAAGGGAGTGATAATGGTGGCTTTCGACGTATCGGAGTTTATAGGTTTAAGACATGCGACGGTATTAGTACCGTCGATGTTCATCGAGCAAGATCCACAGATTCCTTCTCTACATGATCTTCTGTAACTCAAACTCGCATCTTCCTCTGCTTTTATCTTCTGCAACACGTCCAACACCTAATGCAACACATCATGTTAGTTACGAATCACAGCTCTTATTATAAATCAACGATTACAGTTAATTACCATGGGACCACAAGTGGAAAGATCGACCAAGAAAGATTGAAGAAACGGTTTAGTGTTTGGCTTGTCAGGGTTCCACCTGTAAATCTTGAACTCCTTTTTAACCACTTGGTGTTGGCCTGTCGGAAAATCAACGGAATTCGATAAAATCATTGCATCTTTCAAACTATTATAATTTGTTTTACAAAAATTAAAATATTTTCTTGGTTTATCCATACCTTCTTTGTCTTTGGTTATCTCATGGGACTTTAGAGTGTCTTTGGACAAGTCTTGAGCCGCTTTGTGACCTTTTAAGATTGGAAAATCTCCGTTGCCGCTTAAGCTGCTGCTCAAACGTACTTTCTCCGCCGCCGGATTACTGATTATCCGCCGCAGCTGCAGCAACCGCAACATCTCTGCTCGCTTGATCGAGAGCTGTTGAAGCGTTTTTGAAATTGTCTTGGCCTAATTCGTTTGTGAGAGAAATTTTGGCATGGCGAATACACGTGGAGAGACTTTCGATTTGTTTCACTTACACGTGGACACAGTGGTGGATGTACTTCGACGACTAACACCACGTGTGCAGCGGCGACGTTTGAAGAGGAATTTTTGATTGCATCATCTACTTATAAAGCCCGAATTAAGCCCAGTATTTTTATTCGAGGATTGGGTTTCGTGTCGGGTCGGGTCGGGTCCAGATGTGGTGGTCCCTCTTAACTATAAAAGCCGTTTCTTAAGAATTTTGACAAAATGGTGTTTGTTTGTTTTTGAAAGCCAGGAGCATTTTGTCAATTGCATTGGATCTTGAGCTTCTTATACTATATACATCCACAAAAGTCAACAGTCCAATTTCCTGAAAGATAGACGCCACGTGGCATGTCTCTTTGTCTGGAACAGAACCACCTTTGACCAATGACGCGTACCCTTCTTCATTGAGTTCACTCTTTTGATGAATGTTGCTTGTCTAAATGCCTCTGTAGGATTTGTCACGTACTTATGATTACTTCGAGTGTATATATTGATATTGATGTTATTCCATTTCCACGCTTCTAATTATTCATATATAGCAAAGTAGTAGGAGTACGTTTCCTATTTCAGAATCAACTTTGTTGCAGTTCATTGATCAAAAACATTATATATAGGTTACAAAGTTATTATAATTCAGTTCAGGTTAATTTTGAATGTAACCCTAAAGAAAAGTGTGGATTCTCAGCGAGTAATTAACTAATAAGTTGAATTATCTCCACGTGATTTGTTTAATTATCAGCTAACATTGTTTGACAAAGGGTTTTTTTCAAGAGTCGAAACACCTTTCTCATTTACTAGCTTGCAGTCGCAACTCGAATAAAATAAAACATATCAGGAGAAAAGGGTGATAAAGTAGATATTGTATGATCTTAATGTACTTATTGTTCTGTAAATTTAGATATCATGGTATCAAGTGTGGATTCTCAATGCCTTTTAACCCCCAAAAAAGTGTGGATTCTCAGCGAGTAATTGGATGTCAAAGAATAAAACCAGTGTGGAAACCAACAAAAACCTAACGGACAAAACAAAAATATTCTTATAAGTGGAAGGAATAATGTTTGTTTGAAAATATAATTATTGCTTAACTGTACAGTGGGTAACAGCTTAGACATTCTCTCGAGCAGGAAAATAAAAAGTACTACTTATTTACGTAGATGTATAAGACTATTTATAACCAAAATTAATCGTGAATTTCATTTCCAACTAAATACATTATCGGAGTTTGAATTTGGATAATAACAGAATATCTATATTAACAAAAAACTGTTAAACCAATGTTATGATCAATTAATTATGAGTTTCATTTATATGCTTCTCTTATTATCTTATGAAAATATTATATTTATCGAATGATATTCGACGAATTGTTAATATAAATAATAAATTTTGTTATGACCATTTATTTATATTTAATTTATTGTATTTTGTGGATAAAATAATACATGCGGTTAAATCATCAAACATAAATTTTCGATTCACTAATTACTTGTCAGTTATATTTTAAAGACTATTATGGTTCAAAATTTAGAAAAACAATTACATTATTTAGATATTGTGTAGCACACCGGTCAGTTTCAACTGTGTTTGTATTAATTAATACTTTCCAGGGGACCATAAAAAGCTAACACCGTAACAGTTTCATGGGTTATGTTAAAATTGTGATTTTATAAAGTGACGGTCTAATCAATCTAATATCTTTTCTCATATGTCACGATATCTTCATGAAAACTGTCCTACATCCACCGTTAATATCACTTTTATATATTTATGTATATATTGCTTTCATTTATGTTTAAAAAATTACCATCATTCCAACTTCCTAACGTTTTTGTTGTTTACTCTTGTTATATTCGTTCTTAATTAATCTTGTATGGGATACTTGTATAATAATTATGAAACGTTTAACCTATAAAGTAGTTACTTAGTTTAAGCATCCTAATGAAACGATATATATATAATTAGGTGAATGATTTGATATATTGATAGCTAGCTCTAACGTACCACAAATGTAAAGTTTATGTCCCGATTCAGATGTAACCTAATATTATACATGTGAAATATGCGTTGTGCATGAACTTTTTAACTTCAAAGGATATCTTACTAACAACTCAACGATAACAGTGGTTTGGCCAATTATATGTAACATGTTAAAGTTTTAGTTAAACATAGCACACTTAAATTTTATATGGTATTTCATTTTTTCATGTAGACACGCTAGTAATAATGTTAGACACCGGAATGAATCTACAACTTAATGCAATCAAAATAGAATGTTTTATGTTGATATAAACATATACGTACGAAAAGCGAAAAAAGGTTGATAATAGTTTGATAACAAACTCTTATTTCGAAAAATAAATATAGTTACTATCAAACTAGTGAGAAAGTACGTGAAGATATTGGTATCTCGGGGTTTCATCTCAAGATTTGGTCTTGGAAGAGGCAGATCTAGGCAAGTATACAACAGCTATGAAATAGTACGACAATGACCTGGAGAAGTACCAACTGCCTATAAATATAATATATCCATAAATAATAATTCCATTGATAAATCTGTCAAAAAAATAATTTGCTGTGGCTTCAAATAGATTTTTTTTTAAAACTTACTACAGTTTAATTGTAGTAATTAAAATGTGGATTCTCATTAAAATTATTATCTAATTAAACTGTAGTAAGTTGGATTCAAATAAAAATGTGATTAAATCGAGAAAAGATTATCAAGATTTTTTTTTAAAGAAAAATTACAAAACATAAACGCATTATTCAACTTTCTTGATTTGGTCTCACGGATCATTGACCCGGTCAAAGGCTGTGCTCTGTTTTGACAACTTCTGGTACATGTCTCTATTAAACATACCAAATGTTGATATTTCACATGTAATTACGCATCTACGTACATATAGGAGGAACACATATAGATGTCGACGGTTGAATTGTAGTCTCTCGTTAAAATTCTACTTTAGGAAACACGGGTACGAATACAATTCTGTTTTAATAAAATAAAAATAACTCTTCTACATCTAAATATATTATAGTTAAATCTATGTAAAAATGAAAAAATCTTAAAAGTATACAAGAAAAAAAAAGGATGCCTAAAAAAGGTAAAAAGAGGAGCGATGGTTAGCTTGTATGAATGTATCCTTTTCCATATACTATATAGACTAACAACCCTTTACCCAAAATTTTAAGAGCTTTTTTCTACTATTACCGTTTATTTGTTTAACTAAGTTAAATTAATTATACATTCTAATTTGTAAAACCATATTTGTATTCTACCCCCACCCATAGTCAAAATAATGATAAATCCCGTCTACCATTTCTCTTATTCCATTCACATATGGAAACATCAATTCGAGGCACTCATTGAAAAAGCAACGATAAATGAAACAGATTAGTAAAAGAAAAATCTCAAGGCAAATTTGAATTACTATCAAATAATTATATACACAAATTTGGTGGTGCCGACTCAAGGCCAATCACTTAAATAATAATAATTCAGAAAAAAACGGAAATGTCACAACTAGTTGTATATAAAATACTTGCATAAATATTAACGGTACAAACCTGTACAATTGTAGATATGCATAATGTTGTATATAAAAATATTTTGTCTTAAACCAAAAAGTTGCTAAGTTTTGTATAATTGTGATGCTAATTTCGATTTTATGTTGTAATATACTTCATAACTTCAATAGGTTGATAGGTGTATCTACGACGAACCACTATTTTGCCTTGTGAGCGACAAGAAGAAAAAAAACGTAAATTTGTCACCCTATCTCTCTCTTTCACTCAATTTTTTATATACCAAAATGTAATTTAACCCTAGGTTCACGTTTCAAAGTTTCAAGTTTCAAGCAAAGGAAAAAGGGGGAACAAAAGGTAAATAGTGAAAACTTAAGAGTTGGAAAAAAAGAAAATAAAAAAGCTGTCCACTTTTTATTGGCTTTTCTCTCCCACACAACCATCAATTCCTTTCACACTCTCCTCCTCCTTTTGAAGTTTCTCTGCAACCAAAAAACTCATCATAACCCTCTCCTCTTCACTTTCATTATTCCTTTCTCTAAACCATCTTCTCTCCCTTTCTCTCTCTGCATCTGTATCTGTATCTGCCATGGATTCCGGCAACAGTAGTAGCATGCAGTCTTCAAGCGGCGGTGGTGGTGGAGGAGATCAAGAAGAGTACGACTCACGCGCCGATCAATCAATTTCTGCTTTCTTCAACAACAACAACAACACAACCACCGTCTCTTCCAACATCACCGGTCAAACACAGCTTGACTCTCTCATAGCTAACTATTTCAACGCCGGTTGGTCAATAGATAATCCTCTCTGGTCAACAACGACTACGAAGCCCACCGATGGCTCTAGACCACCACCACCGATCTCACCAGAACCAGTCTTCTTCACAAACCCACCTCAGCAAAACTCGAGAGCCGTCTCAGACACAAACACAAGTAGTCCCATTTGTTCTGTCCCAACCGACAAGAAAAACGGTCTGGCGACAACACGGAATCCAAAGAAGAGATCTCGAGTCTCGAGACGAGCGCCTACCACTGTTTTGACCACCGACACTTCAAACTTCAGGGCCATGGTTCAAGAATTCACCGGTAATCCTTCAACTCCTTTCACCGGATTATCGTCATCGTCTCCTTTTCCAAGATCAAGATTCGATCTCTTCGGTTCTTCTTCTTCTTCTTCAGTCTCACGCCCCTTGAAACCCTTTCCGCACAAACTCGTCTCTCCATCAACGGTGAATCATCATTACCTTCTCCCTCCTTCAGAGTATCATCATCAGAATCCTCTCCTTAACACCAACACGCAAAACATCGCAAACCCTTTTCTCAACAACCAAAGTCCTAACAACACTTTAACGGATCATTCACTTCTATGTCAAAAGTCGAAACCTTTATTCGATCAACCGTTGAGCTTGAGAGCGAGTAATGGTTTTGGACACGTGGACGTGGGAACAAACTTTGAAGGACTTCACAACATTGTTGCCTCTTCGCAGCCAACCCTAAATATCATTAACGGGCCAGACAAGAATTCTGAAGCCGATAATGATCTGCTCAGATCCGTCAACGGTGATGATCAGTCCATGGTGCAAAGATCCGATGGTTACACACCGCCGGTTGCTTCTGGATCGGAGAATAATTTAGCGGCAATGAGAAACGAAGGTATGGTGGAATTATCTTGGATATCTTCTTCTGATTAAATTCAATCTAACTTTGTTTATTACATTATGATTTTATTTAGTGTTATAGCCGTATCTTAAAAATGGAATGATGTATCTTTGCGAAAAACATCTGATCAATGGAATATTAATTAGTGTATGGAAATATATTGGAATCTTAATGTTCCAAAGCTTCTGTGTATTTACAATATTTTTTTCTTTTAATGTTATATCGGTTTTTAATCCGTCTATTTGACTGTATATATAGAACTGGACTACAGTATATCTATGTGATTTTGAACATCGACTCAAGAAGGTTGGTATACGTTGAAATATCAATGGCCTCGTGGTAGAATTTGAAATTTCTCTAGTTTCAGGAATAATTACAAAAGAAATTAAAGAAGCGTGTGCAATTGAGAAACATTTATCTCACCAAGGGACCCATATAACATGTGTGTTCTAATTTGAGAAAGAGAAATATGTTGGCTCTCTTCTCTTGTTATTAGGGTTGTACTTCGTATATATGAACCCTAAACAAGAACCTTGCATTGCTCTGCAACATTATTAGTTTATTTGCCTAGAATTATAAATATATGTAGAGAGAGAGGAGAGTGATTGGTGGCGAGATCTAGGGGAATCGTTTGCCGCCGCTTATCCATCATAACATTTATTTGAAACTCACATAGTCACATGACACTTCCCAATCTTTTTTTTTTGTTTTGTTTAATAATTAAGCTTGTTATTTATATCTTTATTCGCCATGTCGTTATAATTAGACAATTAGACATTCGTCATTCAATACGTCATAACGTCATGTCCCGTAATTTCTTCTAATCGTACGTAGTTCTCGTCATCCTAATCCATCAAACAAAATTTCGATGGTTACATCTATTGGCAGCAGTAAGCAAGGTGATTCAATCACACATAGACAAATAAAAGTCTGTTAACTTGATTTAATCACACAGAAACGACTCAAAACCTGTTTATTACGATGTGATCTTCTTCTTAATATTACTTTTTTTTTTTTTTTCTAACAGAAATGGCTAAGAAGTTATAATCGTGTAAGTATAATGTAAATGATCTTGGTTTTTAACTCAACGTTCATTCTCTGAATCTCGTATTGCGCCACCATCATTGGTGAGATCAGTATCCATTTTCCCGCCAAGAAAAATTGTCAGATTTTTTTCAGTGTACAGAGAAGATGTCAGTTAGATTTGCACTGTATCCACTAATACGCGTGAAACGACAGCGTTTTGAGGAAAGTAGGCATAAATCTATCATATTTTCTTACAAGAATCCCTTTGATTGATATAAGAAGATCTTCTATTCTTTTTGTACTTTGAGGTAGTAATAAATCAAATGGTTGTGTTCTCGCTTCATTAGTTCAAATTATCTCTGCCTTTGACACTCATTTATTTACACAAATTCTTTTAAAAGAGAATAATAAAGTAAGCAACTCAGAAAAAGGAAAAACACTTTTTGATGTATCTATCAATTCTATGAATTATATATACAAAAATTTGATGATTGATAAAAACATGGATTTTTGTGAAAATAAAATAATATTTCTTATCTCTTTCTGGAAATTGGAAATCCAAATGATTAGGCAAGGGATTTTTAGAAGATTTAGGGGGCAAACAATTATATCCCAACAAGAGAGATAGAGGGAGAATAAAAAAGGCAAAACAAAAGCAGTTTTGTTGTTTTGCAATGATGTTTCCACGTTCATATTCTCATATATACATGTAACTCGTATGCATTTGAATCTATATTTGTATTCAGTTGTGCATTTTCTTATTAGATTATACGAAAAATCTGAATTCATATTATTTTATGTCAGTTGAAATCATCAATATATATAATCATTATTCACCTGCTATTATTTTGGTTAAAGACTCAAAGAAACAAAAGAATTAATAGATCATATGTAAGTGTAACTGAGAAATTTATATAAAACTGTAAATAATTCAAAATAATATATGTATTTTTGTACAAGATCCACAAGTCGAGAAAAAAAAGGTTGTGGAGTATATAATGCGTTTTTCCATAGGCACGACAGGACAGGCCTTTTTAGCAGTAGCTACGCCCCACTATTTTTCTCTTTACTGATTTCGTAATTTTGAAAAGGTAAAAACCTTTTTATTCATTGCCACCGATCACAATAATATATATATATACCTTTATAAGTATTATATTTATATATCCCCACTAATATAATCGACTTTACGTAAAATTTAGACCCTATAATAACGTTTTAAATCAAGATATTAGGTATACAGTTTTCGAATGCAGGGAATTAAAGGGGCCATTAGTGATTCATGTAAAATGGGACATCATGTCCATAAAGTAGAGGAAATGTCAACTCCAATGTTATATCAGATGATTAGACAGCTACTCAATATTTAATTAAGAGTGTAATTATTCAAAAAACTGGTCATTGATTTAAAAAATAATTATATTAACGAGTAGATATTGTGATACTTGACTTCTTGTATAGTTTAAAACTCTATTCAACGTATCTCCAGTCATGCAGCGGGTAATTTTTACTATTACGTTACATTTTTGTCGTTTTTATTTATACATATTCGCAAATTGTTAAAAACACATTGTTCCATGAGAATATCACAAGTTCACAGCCAACCAAACAATTTTCACCCATGTATACATACATGACAATGACGATATATATAGAACTACTGTTCTCGAGAGATATCAATTACAGATATTTGTATGATATATTATGATGTGGTATTGTCCGCTTTATAATCAGGTACATAAATTTTTGATCAAAACTTAAACTAATAGAAGTTGGAACTCGTGCAAATCAAAGTTCAATTTATTAATATATATGTTTTTTTTTTCATACCAACTAACAAAAGCGATTGAAAACTCACGATACAATTTTTTTTTTCACGTTTTCATATCTTTAGGTTCTAGTGTTATATGCATTTGGTCTGTGGTGTCGAAATAGATTTGTCTCCCACGAAACCGAAGTTACCAACCAAACTACAGTTGATCCTGTCCAGTGTATGTGTACTTTTTTATTTATAAAGAAACAAAAAATACTTGTTGAATTTTCAAAAAGGAGAAAAAATAAACAAGGGACTCGTGGACAATTTCTCCACTACGACCCATGTTTATTCACGTTAATTCGTTGCGTCGATTCAAAAATACTATTCTTTTATTATTTGTTTTTTTAATAGTTGGGATGGCTCTTTGTGTGTGTGTGAACTCAGAACTCGTTGGGGATGACTCCTCTTCGAAATTTTGATCGAGATGATGATGATGATGATGATGCAATACTATCACTAGTATCACATCTACCTTTTTTCTATTATCAATTAAAATTAAACTGTTATGATTTGGGTCTAAATGCTAGATCTTATGGTCCATAAAGAAGCCCACTGGATCAAACTATGGCCCAAGATAAACATTCATTTTGGTCAACACACCCTATTAACTTCTTATTAAGGGGTCAAAGCCGAAACCCATATTGTTTCACGGGATGTTTAACCATGGATGATGAGAAACAATTACGTACCATTTTTTTTTAACTTTGCTCGTCTCTTACACAAAATTTTCAGGATCAAAAATAACAAAAAAGTGAAAAAATAAGAAAAACGAGAAATGAATAAAGGAAAAATCTAAATTAAAAAGTGAAGTGAAATTAATAATGGTGTTAGGACAAACTGAAAGAGAACACTTCCTTGATTTGTTCCCTGCGATTACCGCTACTTGTTTCTCTCCTGTAAGGATTAGGGCTTGATTCTTGTGTCAAACGTCGTCGTCTTCCTTTCTCCACCTGTTTTTTTCAAGGGTCTGGTTTACGCTCCGCCGTGAGATTTGTCTTCCGCCGCCGCCGCGTTTTCCGTCGAAATATAAGAAAGAGGTTCTTCCTTCCGCCAATCTCTATCAATTTCCATTTTTATTAGCCTTCTAATTCGGGTAAAACCATTCCGGGTTTCAGCTTCTTCTCATTTATTTTTGGAAGTCACTGTCTTTTTTCTTCTTCTTCTAGGTTTCTTGTTCTCGATTTGAGTTGGGATGAGTAGTGAATTTAGTGAAGAGATACTAGTTGATAAGCTCGCCAAGCTCAACAGCACTCAGCAATCCATCGAGGGTATCCTTTTCCGAAGAAAATTAAGTTTGTAATTTCAGATTTTTAATATGTTCTACTTAAATCTAATATCTTGTTGCTTGGTTACGTATGTGGGTTTTGTATATTGTGCTGTTCTGATTGGTTGTTGTTTGTTTGACCATTTCTGGATAAGCTCATTCACGTTGGTCTATATCTCAGTTTGTTGCCTCAATCTTTAGTATGTTCTGCTTTTAAACCTCTTGCTGTTTTGATTACATGTGTGTGTGATGTTTGGTTCTTGACCCTTTTTCTGGATAAGCTCTATCACACTGGTGTATAGTCCATCGCAACGAAGCTGAGTTAGTGGTGACGACATGGGAGAAACAGTTTCAGAGGACAGAGATGGCCCAGAAAGTGCCTCTCTTGTACCTTGCCAACGACATTATTCAGAACAGCAAGCGCGAGGGCAATGAGTTCGTGCAAGAGTTCTGGAAAGTCCTCCCTGGGGCTCTCAAAGATCTTGTTTCCCTGGGAGATGACCGTGGAAAAGGCGTCGTCTCCAGACTGGTAAATGATTAAGACTTTGAGTATGTTAAGCCATTGGCGAAATGACATGTTTTTGGAAATGGGTTTAGATTTTGAAGTTTTTGAGAGTATTTAAGCTGATTCATCATGATTATTAGGTTAATATATGGGAAGAGAGAAGAGTCTTCGGATCCCGTTCAAAGAGACTTCGAGATGTAATGCTCTCAGAAGAAGCTCCACCACCGCTTGATGTCAGTAGAAAGCGATCACGTGGATCCAAATCTTCGAAATCTGCCAAAACGGTAACTATTTGTTATCTTTGTTTCTATAATTAAAACCGTACTTATTTGTTCCCGGGATACATTATCTCTCTACTTGTCTTTTTTATTTTGGTACCAGAAATTATCAAGTGGAGGTGTGGCCGAGAAGATAGTATCTGCGTTTGACATGGTTCGTGCAGAGAGCTCAAAGGAAGAGACAGAGTTGAACAAATGCAAGTCTGCAGTTAAACGCATCAGAAAGATGGAGAAAGATGTTGAAGATGCCTGCTCCACTGGTAAACAATTCAGCAGATATGTTTAGTAATCACGTTTGCGTTTTGGGTTTATCAAACACGTACTGGTTCTCAGTCTTTTTGATTGTATTCAGCAAAAGACCCCAAGAGAAAAACTTTGGCTAAACAATTGGAAGAAGAAGAAAACATTCTGAAGCAATCTGTTGAGAAACTTAAGTCTGTCGACGAATGTAGAACATCCCTCGTCTATCATCTTAAGGAAGCGCTACAGGAACAGGTAAGAAGAAAAAAAAGAAGGTCTTTTTCATTTTCCTTGCTTGGACATTACAACTTACTGAGTTTTGTGTGTGTGTCAGGAATCTGAATTGGAGAATCTTCAATCTCAGATACAGGTTAGGATTCGACTTATGTTTCAGTGTTTCTGCCATCTTGATGACAAATTAGTATTTTCTTGATCTTATTCATCAGGTAGCACAAGAACAGATCAAAGAAGCCCAAAACATGCAGAAGCGGCTCAACGACGATACACCTGCGAACAACGGAGCATCAGCAGCGAAAGCCACACCTGCCTCAATCGCTGCAATGCTGACCGCATCAACAAATTCGTCGATGATTATGCATTCTGTTCTGTCTTCATTTGCAGCCGAAGCTACACAGACTTCTGGTCTAACCAAATCAAATAGCTCAGACGCAAATGCATTTGCTCCTCAGTATCATCATACAATCCCAAACCCGGCCGCTTCTCAACAGTTTGTACCTTATGGATTCGGTAACATTCCGTTAATGCCGCCTGGACCGCCTGGAACGCTGCCGCCGCATATGATGAGTAATCAAGCAAACGCAGGTCAGCAGCAATCGCAACAAAATCCGAGTTTTCAGCCACCGGGTATGATGTATTTTGGACCTCCACACCATTCTTAGTTTTTTTCAAAGTCTGATTAGTATTAGTTTTAGATAGTTTCTGACCCACTTTTTATATTAGATGATGATGCATTGTTAGAATGTAGAAGAAACGTAATCTCTGTACCAAAAGCACCTGATGCTGTTTTGTCACTATCTGTTTGTTGTAATATAATTGTTCACTTGCGTTACATTCATGTTCGGTATGCATTTGTTTCAAAGAAATTCACTAATTAAAAATTCTTCATGTTTGGTGTTTTTGTGTTTGGTTTTTAACGTTTACATTGCAAAATGCAGAAATTACGTTTGTGGAACATTCGAATCTTTAGTTTCCCATTATTAGAAACCTTTGGATTAATTATTATATTACAAAATGCTCACAACAGATATATATACACACACCATCATCACTAATGCTGCTTTTTTAAATTCTTTTCGAGTCACAAGGTTACAAAAAAAATTAAGATCACAAACATTTTCAAATTTTTTTTTCTTGTCTGTACAACAACCACGACAATAACAAACAAATGGAATGTTGTGAGTCTTTAGAAGCCAGAAGAATTCTGAGTGAGCATTCTACCAACTCGGAATCTCGACCGAATCGACCCGTTCGAGTCGATGACTCTGTCCCAATCAATCGATCCTTCGTCGTCTTCTTCTTCTTCCTCCGGGACTCTCTCTCTCATCAACCGAAGAATCTTCTTCGCTTTCTCTCTCGCTCTCTCCGTTCCCCTCTCTTCCACTTCCTTCAGCACTTCCACTGCTCTCGCCTCCTTCGCTAGCCCCTTGAACCGAAGACTCTCGTGGCTCAACGCGAACAACGCCGCCACGCAATTCTCCCGCGCCGACGAAGACGAACGAGTTTCCGTCGGCTCCGTCCTCTCCTCCCGTAGCTTGCCTACGAGAATCGCGACTGCGTTCGCATCAAGCATCGCCGATCGTCCTTCGCTACAGCAAGCTAGGTTACAGATCACCAAAAGCGCCCGGCTCGCCGACTCGCCGGACCTGACCAGCGAGAAAAGCGCCGGAACCGCACCGAGCCTGACGAGCTTCGACCGGTTCGTCTGGTTCAGTGATAGATGGTAGAGAGCGAGAGCTGAATCGTGGCGCGTCCGGTCGCTCTCGGCGGCGCGTAGCGAGTGGAGAAGTGGCTGAAGCGCTCCTAAAACTCCGATGGGCATTTTGTTGTCGTCTTCTAAGGAGAGGCTGAAAATCGACCCGGCGGCGTGTTCCTGCGCTTCCTTGGATCCCGATTTCAAAACGTCGATCAAAGGGGGAACGAATCCTAACCGTACGATCGTCAGTTTGTTGTTCTTCTCGAGCGATAGATTCACAAGCGAGGCTAGAGAGTTTGTCTGCACCAAGCTGTACCTCGAAACTATCATAACCTTGAGGAGAGCGAGAATCCGAGGGGAACAGAGTGAAACCCTAGCTTCGTCTTTGGTGCGAGTCATCTTTCTCATCATAATCAGGCCTTGCTCTTGGTCGAAAATGTCAGTGCTATTAAGCTTGTTGTAGATCTCTTCCTCTTTGGGAGAATTCGCGGCGGCGGCGGCGGAAGCAGAGGGAGAGAAGAAATTATCATGCGTCAGGGTTTCGATTTCGGAGGAAGAAGACGACGGAGAGAAGCAAGCGGGTCGGGTCGTTAGGGGAAGAGGAGTGAATGGGCTCTGAGCGACGATTACTGATTCATCGGAAGAGCTCGTTGAGTTGATATCTCCCGCCGGTCTCCTCCTTCCCATGAGCTCAGAGTCAGCGTGGTGAGTCATCATCGGAGCTCGGTCCGCCACCGCTCTGAGAAGCTCCTGCTCGGAGACACGAATCTCCGCATCCGACGACGGCATCTGTTGCCGTAAATTGCTCTCGACGGCGGAGTAATCCGGCGGCTGAGGTCGCTCGGCGCCGACGGTATCGCACCAGCCATCGATGGTTAATTTCATATTCCGGTTGGGGATTATGGTGGAGAAATCGGGTCGAGAGTCGTCGTCGTCTAGTTTGGGTACAAAGCCTAGGTCGCGACAGACTTGAACACAGACCCGTTCGAAGGTTTGACCGGAAGATACAACAACAGGGTCAGACATTATTGTCTTTGAAATCGGACAGAGGAACTCGACGGGAGGTTGTTGTTGCTGGTTCTGTTGTGCTCTTGAAGATGAGGAGGAAAAAGACGATCTGTGGCTAAAAGGGTTCCACCTGAGCCGTCCGCTTTTACCCATCTGCGAAAATCAACGGCCAGAAATTTGTGGTGAGTATTGATTTCCGAAAACTCTTTCTGGGGGTTTGGTTTTTTTTGGGAGAAATTAGAGATTTGAATCCATCTTCGTGCCTAATATTTTCTGGGACGAAGCAGGAAGAAAGAAGATGAGAGGAAAGAGAGTCGTCTTCTTCCTCCTGAACTGAAGGACTTTGTGGCCTACTGACTTTCTTCTTTTTCGTTTGTTTTTATTTTAGTTTTAACTGATGATTGGAATTTTAACTTGGACATTTTAATATTTTCAAAAATCTTGACCATGGAATACTGTATTAGTTCATGCATTCTGAGAAATCTTTCTTTTTCAGGGTCAATTGTACAAATAACTAATTAGAAAGTATCTAAAATCTTTTATCAAGAGTAGTCTAAAATTGCCATGCAATTGAAATTTACTTTATGTAATCAATCATTTTGTAATGTAATCTAATATTACTAAAATTCGAATTATGCCAAAAGTTAAAGGATTTGATATATAATACAAGTGTAGGTAAATTGTTTCACAACACAACACAACCATTATGGAAAATATGGACCTCCACCTCATTCTTAGCTTTATGAAGCTTTAGATAGATTTATTACCTGGGTTAGCTAGCTTAAGATAAGATCCATAATGAAGTCTCAATATAGGCTGTGTTGGGCTTATGGGTCCATTACAAATCACATAAAATTTATGTAGCTTGTATTCAGCTTGTTTCCATAAAATGTGGGTTATGCAACATTTTTACTTGTTGGATTACATTCAAACACATTCTATTACCCAACTTTTGGTCCTTTCTTCATAAAGCTCTTAGTCAGGAGAAAATCTTTGATGAAGATGGGCATATGGTGCATGATCGCCATAACCGTGGATAACCTTCCCGTAGAGAACCAAGCCGGTGGGTTTTTCTTCAGCACCACCGACACAGTCTGTTTCGCAAATGTCTCTGCAGGTATCGGCTTTATATTTTGCGACAAGAACGCCCTCTCACGGATAGCTTCTTGGAACGGTTTGTATAGTTTCAGTTCAGGCAACTTGTTGAAGCTCGCAATCCCCGACTCGGCTATGTTCGATTGAATGCCTCCTGGGACAATGTTGATTACATCAATCCCAAATGGCCTAAGCTCCAACCTTTAGGAGAAGAGACAACACACACAAAAACAAGATAAGAGTGTTTTAGAATGTTAATGATGAAGCTGGTGAAGTAAGTTTTTGATGAAATCGAAAACCTTAATGTGTCGGTAAGAGCATGAAGAGCAGCTTTCGATGCAGTGTAAACCCCAGCCCATGGTCCTGGTGCCATTATGCTGATACTTCCTATGTTCACAATCTTTCCCTTCTTCTTAAACGCCATGTGAGGTACAACAGCTTGAGTCATCCTCATGGAACCTGCAAATTAAAAAGTTCAGTTCTTTAAAGAATCTGTCACAGCCCGAAATCACCAGAATGTTCACTGAGTCAAAGTCAATCGATGTAATAGCAAAATCGGACATGAGAACGAGTTTGAATTGCAGGAAACTGAGTCAGGAATTATAACAAACACGTGGTGATCACTAGAGAAGTTTTTTTTTTTTTGTCAATTTACCGAACACATTGGTGTTGAAGGTGTTTTCCATGGCTGAAATTGGAATCTCCGCCAGAGGTCCGATACATTGAACTCCGGCGTTGTTGACTAGAACATCGATCTGACCAAATTTGTCGATAACTCTCGACACGACTTTACTCACGCTCTGCTCCGACTGAACATCGAGCTCCTCCACTAACAACTTCGGATCTTTCTCCAAATCGGCCATCGTGCTCTGCGATCGACTCGTCGCCACCACTCGACACCCATTCGCAGAGAACTCACGCGCCAGCGCGTGACCGATTCCTCCCTGAGAGCATCCCGTGATGAGAACCACTGGCATCTCGTCGCTGCTTCCCATTCCTTAGCTCTCAAATGTTTCGGATAAAGCAAGCAACTATGGGATTTACAATTTTGTTTTTAAGAATTTATTCTGTACAAAAGAAACTATGATACTTCTTTCAAGAGAAATACGGAATTTTAAGGGTCCAATTGCAAAAATTACGCCAGATTTTCTCAACACGACAAAATGATGATGAAGTTTTCGAATTTTAGGATTCATCCGCTTGAGTTTTCTCCACGTAGGAGCGAGAATTCCCTGAGATTTTGCTTTATCTTTCACTTTCAGTGATTCGCCGGAGAAGACAAAGTCGCAGATAGAAAGAAAATCATATCCGAAGTTTGATTAAATAAACAGAAAAATACATTTTACTAATTCAGATATCGGTTCATATTTACATTTTTACATAAACTCCCAAAACAAAGCATATGAACAAACAAAAAGCAGAGAGTAAGAAACGAAATTACATATGAACAAAGTGGTATCAAGCAGAGAAGAAGCCATGGGAGATAGCGACAGCAAACTGAGATTTAGCCTCAAACTTCTTCATCAAACTCTCAATCTTCTGCTCGTTGACTCCTATAGTCATCTTCGCAGGAAAAATCTTCCACCAATCAAATTCCACCGACGGCGATTTCGAATCCGCCGTGTGTTTAACCCTACGCTCATACTCCTCCGCCACCAAAATTGCTATGTCCGCCATTGAATCGATCGATATCCCTTCTCTTGCTTTCGGTTATCTCCGGTTTTCTTCTCTATCACGTTCGGTTATCTCTGGTTCTCTATACCAATGGATAGATTAGATAGTTCGCCCAGAAGGTATTTTATACTGCTTTGACGTGCGGTTTTGGATAAGGTTGGGTCAATATTTCTCTTGTTTAATATTTTTTTAATTGATATACAACTTGGTTAATGGTATTTAATAGTGCCGAATCTGTTGGTACAGGTGGTTTTCGTGAGAAGGTGGGCACGGTCGGTTTTGTTTATTTATTTTTCCACTGGAAATGTTTTTTAAATTAATCAAGGTTTATCTTCTTTAAAACCAAACTAAATCAGGGATTATTCAAAATATTAATTTTGTGTGGAAGCTTGTTGAGTACGTGTTACCCTCGTATGGATTACTATTCTTCTTCGTTATAGGGTTTGTCAAGTTAAAAGTTTTCATAAAATATTTGCTAGATTAATATATAATTACAATTTGTATTAGTTCAAGTATTATCCAAAATCTCTGTAAAACCAATAATTCTAAATATTAATGTGAATCCGCTATTAGTAGTATCGAATAGAAGCTAGTTTCAGTCTCGGATTTAAACTTAAAACTATGGGTCGGGAACCTGACTACAGTTGACAAGTGTGTATTAAGCCCTCTAGGTTCGTGATGCAAACCTAAATTGCTTCAGGCCCAATAGTAAAACTAAGCCCAATATGTATCCATACTGCTGTTTCCAAGTGTATGACGTGGGCCTAATGATGAAGAGCATCACATCATTAACATTCTTGAAAAACAAAGATTAGACCCAACTTTGAAAGTTTTCCCTTCTTTATCTACACGTAAATAAAATACTATTCCATTTGAATACGACTAAATTTCAGGATAATTACATTCGTCCGACGAGTTTTGTTCTAAAACACGTCTGTAAGTATGGAGTCTTAACATTTGTGAACATGATAATCTATTTGAAAAAAAAAATTCCAATAAATTTGAATTTCTAACTGATATTAACTCTGATCTAAGGTTTGCAGGGATTAATGGATAAATGATAGATCTAAAAGGACAGTTAACGATAATTTGACCCCAAAAAAAAGGACAGTTAACGTAGCAAAGAAAACGAAGTAATCTTAAATCGAAATAGTTTCCAATTCCTTTGGTGTATATACTTTAACTTTTCCTCTTTTTTGTTCCCACAAAACTTCTAGTAGACTTGTTATTTCTGACTATCTTATCAAAAATGAAATTTAAATTGTTGACTAAAAAACAAAAACAAAATAAAAACAAAAATTGAAATTAATAGATTCTATCAAGTAGAACTGTACTAATGTATGAATTTGTTCTCTTTTCCAACCCATCTTTCCTAGTCATGTTTCTCCTATTTTCTTGCTTTCCCAGTGACTTTTTAGAGAAGAACAGAAAGAGAAAATGATCTTTCTAAACTTATGACCCTGCCGTACCATTATTTTGTGTTATGACCATATTAGTTTTTTCTGAATTCTGTAAATATATTTTTGAAATGATATTGGGTATGACTGGTATGTCAGATGAATAACAGAATAGCAGGATAATTGAAAAAATAATAGTGGAATGAACTGAATTGAATAATATTTTAGCTGAATAATTATGAAATACTGAAAAACTATTTTTAGTAGATTAATCATGTTTTGTTTTTTTTAGTTATATTTTTAACACGTTAGCGGAATTACGTTTCAAAAACATAAAAAAACGTAAAAACGTGATAAATAACACGAATAATAAAAAATAACAGAATCAAATTTCCAAAACGTGAAAACGTCAAAAAGCTGCATATCATTCAAACCCATTATATATGCATAGACGATGGTTGTTTATTAAGCGCTTACACGATTTTGTTGCTTTTGAACAGAATAGAAGCTTAGATGATTCATGATTACAAGTCTTTTGTCTTTGTTTTGTCGACTGTTAGGAGTCTAATTTCGATTGGAAACAAGTATAGCAGCTGATATTATTTATAAATTAAAATCGAATATTTATCTAAAATATTCACTGTAATACCCAACTTATTAAAGCATGACACCTTTACACCTAAGTGGATAAGTGGGATCTACTTCTACCCTATGAATGAAGTCTTTTCCGAGGCCCGTAGGGGCATGGATCCCCTGACTTATATATCTATATCTATATATATTAATCCGTTTCTTAAATATACAATTAGTATTCTAAATTGCTGGGTAATCTTTCTTTCTTTATCGAGAATCTTTTCTCGAATTGTTCTTAAAGCACTCGAATTCTTTAACAAAGAATCAGATCTAGAAAATATGTGTTAACATGATTTGTTATTAGCTTGCCAATAAAAGTCTATGAATATCGCAATATTTATTTTTACGTAATAAACTTATAGGGGTTTTGGAAAATTATTCCAAGAATATAAAAGTGCCCTATGTAAGTTACATGGGCGTATGACGCAAACAATGACCCAAAATGTCTTCTCAATCAACACTTACATGTAGATACATATATATAAAAGCACATATCAATGTATAATAATCATAATATTAAACTATCATATAATAAATCAGATATGGTCTAATGATGGGGGCCAAAGGTTGCTTTACTTCTAAGTTCTAATAACGTCCCTATGAAATTGGTATTTAAATGTTTACCAAAAAATGATTTAATAGAAATTTGGTATGCTTTCACGTTGTAATTTTCCACTAATTCTCCTATTGGTAAAGTTTGCATCTCTTTTAAGCGCAAGCACGTGCCATTGCATGAATCCAAATCTATCAAATCAGAAATGGATGATTTAGTATATATGTACATGTTGTTAATATCTGCACAATAAAATAACCTGATACCAATTCATTTGTTGCAACTATAGACATGTATATATCAACCAATAGATCATGTAAATGATAAACTAATAGTTTATTGAAAACGTATATAAATAGCTAGAGTTTCAAACATTACACAAGAAAGACCAGCTTAGGTAACTAGTATTTAGTAACTCGCATCACGTATAAATAGAGAAATAATCCTGTGATATGTACTTTCCTTTTACCAGTTACATTATTCGTAAGAATTAAAATGTGTATTCCACCATTTTACTATATATGTTCAAAACTTATAAATTGACAATCTTTATTAAAAAAAAAAGCTTATGAAATGACAAGATTTTGTTTGTTACTCTACGGGGTTTTACTTGAATTTAATTTTTTCTTTTCCAGTTAACTTTGTTCTACTTACTTCTTTCGAAAAGACCGTACCCTATAGAGTATTGCCAATTATTACAATTGTTTTTATTATAAAAACAGATAAATGAGTACTGTTTTTTCTGTTAGAATATATAAATTGGTACTCGTATAAATATTTGTTTTGTAGGGATGTGAAAACCCTCGTTTATGCCAAAAATATGAATTAAAAAGAGTGAAAATCCAAACACGAGGTAGCCACTCGTGGTGGCAAACCACTTTATAAGATAGCACTTGAGAATAATTCTACAAAACAGGGCAAAAGCAATGTGTTTATGCGTGACGTCTCTTTTTCTATCTTCTCGTTTTTATAAATATTAGTATATTTTTCCTACTCGAATAAATATTGCTATATTTATATGAAGTAGATAGAGTGTGGAACGGAAATTCACCAATATCTATCATCCATTAGATCATACGGCTAAAAAGCCACCATCATATGAATTGTCTAACTTTACACTCACACATCATTTGCACGATCGAAGTTTAAACAAAAATAGCGAATTATCAGAAATGTTATTTACTTATTAAACTTATCCTGTTGTAGTTAGTTTCCTCCTACTAGACAATCCAGTATTAGATCATGCATCTTTTACAAAATACTATAATATATATAATTTAATAATATTTTCCGTCTTTATTGTACCTAATTTATGAAACTTATCTTCTTTCTCTATGTATATGCATGTCGATGAAACATCACACGTCATGTATTGATCGTAATTCGTAACTCTAAATGCTACAATTATTTGTGATAAAGTAATGCTACATGCATCCATATAGACATCCATGCATATACAAGTGAAAGAAAACAAAACGAATATTACGCTTCGCCACGCAAACACACACGCACAAACATTTTATAAACTTCTAGGATCTCATTTGATTAGTTACGTTCTAACTTCTATAAGCTAGATCCAATTAATGTGTAATGATGGGTTTATGGTCTAAGTCTAATTGTGGGAATCAACGAAGACATGTACAACTTTTCATTATATGTCCACAACCAAAGAATTCTTATTTAATCATATAATCATAGTTAAAGATCCACAATGTCTCCTATGGTGCTTGAAGAGCCAATCTGTTTTAATACATCAATTAAAGGTTGCAATATTAATTAGGTGATTCCTTCACCTAATTAACTCTACTAATCTAGCCTGTTTGGACTCCCAAAGGCTAACAATCATTTTAATTTTAAAATTTTACTCGTATTCTACAGTTATGGCTATTATTATTATTAATTCAAGAAGAATATATGGATCTTTTATGGCCATATAAATTAAATCTCTACATTAAAATACTAACTACATTCCACTAATTAAAGATTATTTGGGTTTCAGGTAAGCTGTGAACGTAGCTGAAAAAAGCAAAGGCGGTTAACATGATATTAACAAATTCGATTATTATCTTAAATCTTACTAAAATACAAACCTTGCTTGTTTGGAACAGTTCATGCTGGTCGTTTGCTTATTTGCTTAAACAATGTTATCAGCATGTAATATAGACTAATACTACTTGTTGGAAAAAAGAAGAAGAATATAAGCAGTTTTTGTTTCTTATAAATAATTTTCTAGAGTCAAAAAAATATTTAATGAGACAGCTATGATATTTGGATAAACATCGTTTTCATTTTTTTTTTTTTTTGCTTGTTCGTATAAATTAAACAGCTTGTTGGAAAAGAAAAAAGATTGATCGATTAGTTTAGTTTTCTTATTTAGAAGTAGCCGTTAATACGTCACTAGGATCGAAGTAGAATCTCGGGTTATCCTTCTCACTACCACTCGCGCAGACAAACGTATACATCACGCGCTCATTGTCGTTCTATTATGGTAACTGACAATTTCCTTCCCGCGAAACCATGGTTGGACTTTTTAGCGCGTGAACTTAAACTTCCCGTCAATGGAGTTGCACCGCCGACGCATGCGCAGGTTAGAGAAGCTGATAAAATAGAAAACCAAAATCTCAAATTATTATAAAGAAAAAACTATAAAACGCAGAATGTAGAAGAGAATAATAAAAAAAGGATCTATCTGGTGCGCACATCAGCGAGAGAAGTAGTGGAGACATGACAACCGAATAAAAAAAAACGAATATCTAGCAATACATTTAATCTAATCACTTTTTAATAATGAATATTTAGATTCGAATTAGGCATATTAATTCGCTGCTAATCAATTTTTTTTCTTCCAGAAATTTTATTTGGTGCGGAAAACAGTTTGTTCTCTTTTTCCTTCTTTTCCCACCAATCCAGAACAAAGATGTGATTAAAATGGTTTTTTGTTTTGTTTTCAACAAACGGATTAGTTCAAAGTCGAGCAAAAAAAAATAGAATAGAAACATGTAATAATTGGTTTTGTTTGACTAACTGTAGCTGCGTTATGCTGAAAGACAAAAATCACCGAGAACCAACAAAAAAAAATTGTAAATTTTAAATTATAAAGATATATATATATATGTATTTATTTATTAAATGTATTTATTTGACGAGAAAATTTAAATAACTCCGTCAAGGTCTCTCATTTAAAGTTGTCGTGTCCTCGCATGATTCTTCTTCTTCTTCAAGATGATGAGAGTTGAGTTTCAGAGACAGAAGGAAGAGCTTTTAAAATCCCTTCTGTTTACGGTCGGATTCGAACTCCGGACTTCTGGGCTTTACGTCCGTTCTTGTCGCTAAAAATCCTCTCTCTTTTTTTTTTTTTTTTTTACTTTCATGGTTTTGGCGACAAAAGTTTAAGCCTTTTTCAAACGCGAGAAACCCATCACAAGGTTCGGCTTTAGATCTCTCTCTCTTCTTCTGGATTTTGTTTCTATTCTCCGTAGTGAAAGCGAGAGAGAGAAAAAAAAGAGAGAGTGAAAAGTCAAGAGATTTCTCGGCGTCGTTTAGGAAACAAATCCTTACTTTGACTTTTACTCTGTTCCATTCTAATCTTGTTATCAATCAAAAGTCTACAACTTTTTTTTAGCTTGCTTATTGGTTTTTTTGGTTAATTTTGTTTCACCTTGTTTTGCTTCCGATCGATTGTATAAACTCAATATGATTTTCCTTGGTTGCTTGGAATTGAAGCTGGAACTGATTCCAGTAATTCCCCAGAATTGTATTGTATAAGGGTTTTTTGTTTTCAATCTATATCTCAATTTCTGGATATGTATGTTTGACTTGATGATTGGCTTTTGCTTTTTTTGATTGCACCTTTCTTCTACAGTTGCGTACAAGAATTTAATAAACCAGTGAATAGAAATTCCTCTTTTTTGGTTTAAGAATGTTTAACTGTTAATCTTGTGAAGTTGGTCCACCGTTAGTGCTGAAATAAAGTGACATTCCTAATAAGTGGAAACTTGACTTGTGAAGCTTTTTTTTTTTATCTGATTAGCACAAATTATATGATCTTATCAGTTAAACATATATCCTCCAAGTACTACTGAAGATAGAGTTTTTCTGTGTGTGTAGGCAGGCAAGTTTCGATCTTTTCGTTTTTTATCGATCGGTGTAGGTTATATAGATCGTTAGAAAAGTTACAACCTTTCCGTTCTTTTCTCTGTCACCAATGTGATCTTTTAGTGTTCTCCAAGATCTTAGGGAATCTCTATTCACTGTCAGTTTTGTTCTTTCACCTAAAAACTCTGGAATTTGAGTTTTTGTTATTCGTCATGTTTTGTTTGATGAATTTTTCTCAACAAGCATCACAATGTTTTACTCTTTTCTTTACTAGCTATGTTTATTTGACTCAGCGTGATCTAACTTTTGTCTGAGACCTAATAAACTCTTTGAAATTCTTGATTTGCTTGGTTTTATAAGCTTATGTGTATTTTGCTTAATTTTTCAGTTGAGGGAAAGGCATGAATTCAACATCGACACATTTCGTGCCACCGAGAAGAGTTGGCATATACGAGCCTCTCCATCAAATTGGTATGTGGGGAGAAACTTTCAAGAGCAACAATCTTAGCAATGGGAATATCAACACTCCAAGCCACATTATAATACCCAATCATCAGAAACTAGACAACAACTTGGTATATAAACCTTTTTCCTTTTGCTCCCATTGTTTTTCAATCTCTTGATTATAAAACTTAAAAGCCTTCATTTCTTGAAATCTTTTTTTTTTTCTAGTCAGAGGATACTTCACATGGAACATCAGGAACTCCTCACATGTTTGATCAAGAAGCTTCTACGACCAGACATCCTGATAAGGTAATTTTTACTTATGCTTCTACTATCATCTCTCACGGATCGTATAGACTGAAATATTTATATTGTTTACAGATACAGAGACGGCTTGCGCAGAACCGCGAGGCTGCTAGGAAAAGTCGTTTGCGCAAGAAAGTATGCAAAAGAAAAGCTTTATGACATTATTTTAAATCTTGTTTCTGTATTTGTGTTTTTATTCAATGGGAGATTATGTTTTTTCTCTTTGCAGGCTTATGTTCAGCAGCTGGAAACAAGCAGGTTGAAGCTAATTCAGTTAGAGCAAGAACTAGATCGTGCTAGACAACAGGTTAATGAAGCAAAATCTATATCCGGTTTCTTTCCAAAAACATATATAGCAAGTTCTTATAGAATCGGATGATTTTTTCAGGGATTCTACGTTGGGAATGGCATAGATACTAACTCTCTTGGTTTCTCTGAAACCATGAATCCAGGTTTGTATCAAGAACAGTTTAAAGAGTTTTTTTTTTTTTTAATACAAAGAATCATAAATTTGAACATCAAGATTTTAATGGTATAGGGATTGCTGCATTTGAGATGGAGTATGGACATTGGGTTGAAGAACAGAACAGGCAGATATGCGAGCTAAGAACGGTTTTGCACGGACACGTCAGCGATGTCGAGCTTCGTTTGCTAGTCGAAACCGCCATGAAACATTACTTTGAGCTTTTCCGGATGAAGTCAGCCGCTGCGAAATCGGATGTCTTCTTCGTCATGTCAGGGATGTGGAAAACTTCCGCAGAGCGGTTCTTCTTGTGGATCGGCGGATTTCGACCCTCGGATCTTCTCAAGGTATGTAGAAGAAAAACACACAAACAAAGATGAATCACGTAAACGTTTTTGTTGAAAAATCGAAAAGAGACTACAATGTTTTTTTTCTTGTGTTGCATGCAGGTTCTTTTGCCACATTTTGATATCTTGACGGATCAACAGATTCTTGATGTATGCAATCTAAGACAGTCGTGTCAGCAAGCGGAAGACGCGCTGTCTCAAGGTATGGAGAAGCTGCAACACACTCTTGCTGATTGCGTTGCGTCCGGACAGCTCGGCGAAGGAAGTTACATTCCTCAGGTGAATTCTGCAATGGAGAGGTTAGAAGCTTTGGTCAGTTTCGTAAATCAGGTAAAGGAAGGAGGATACACTAATCTCTCTTTTTCTTTTGTTTTGTTTAATAAACCAAAACACATGTTAAGTTCAGTTTCTTGATTTGTTTTGATTTGTTTTGTAATGTTCGTTTAGGCTGATCATTTGAGACACGAGACATTGCAACAAATGCATCGGATCTTGACCACGCGACAAGCGGCTCGAGGATTATTGGCTCTTGGTGAGTATTTTCAACGGCTTAGAGCCTTAAGTTCCAGCTGGGCAACTAGACATCGCGAACCAACATAGATTCGAGTGTTTTTTTGAAAACAACAAGAAAAGACCACAAGAGTACAAGAATCAAGAATGAAGATGTGAGTGCATCTTGAAAACAGAGAGCATTACTCGGGAATAAATGGGGGTTGCTGCTGATGATTATTTTTTTAATTCTGCGGCGGAATCAGTAAAATTTGAAAAACATGTATTGATAAGTTGTAAATATCAGAAAAAAGGTGGAGGGGTTTCGGGTGCAAAAATTTGTACTTTGTAGCTTTTAAAGAGACAAGTTTTTCGGATGTTTGTTTGATTATATATAAAACTTGGTTCCGAAATAAATAATAATAATAATACATAAGCGTGTGTGTTCAATTTACTGAAACAATTTATTATCGGGAACGTTTTGTAATTGTAAATAAATATCGAGACAAACGGAAACTGAAGAAGATAACAGGGGCTTTATCCCAATTAATACAAACTATCGGGTTCCAATCTGCAATTTAGATACTATTGGGATGATTTAGTAATTAAATATAAGTACAGGGACAAAAGGAAATATATAAGCGGAGCCTTATCCCGTCAAGAGCTTCCTTCTTTCGTTATCCTCAAAATTCGCGAGTAAAAACTCCACTTCTTCCGCCATAGCCACAATGCTTAGTCTCTCTATTGCCTCGCCGGGGACGGCGGTGACTTTCCTTCGAGGAAATGCTTCCGCGACTTCAACTTCGTCTTCGTTCCATGGTGTCAGAATCCAGCACCAGGTTGCTTCTCGCGTGCCGGCGGCGACGGTTTCTTCGTCTCGTAAACCCATGGCGGCGAAGGTGGTGATGATGTCGAAAAGAGAGGCGGAATTGAAAGATATCAGAGCGAAGACGACGGAGGAGCTTAACGAGGAGGTTATTGACCTTAAAGGAGAGCTGTTCATGCTCCGTCTCCAGAAATCGGCGAGGAACGAGTTCAAATCAAGCGATTTTCGCAAAATGAAGAAACAAGTAAGCTCCTTTTTCTGTGATTTTCCCTCGTTTCTGCAAAATTAGTCGCGAATTGAATCAAATTTGCTTGAAGTTTTTACATCGAAACTCCTTTGTTATCTGCTCGAATTTTCGCAAATTATCTGTATCTCTGTTTACTTCCGATTGGGTGTATATAGAATCGATTTCGTAGAGTCCAAGAGTCGTTGAAAGGTATAACACATTTGGGATTTATGGTTTCTTGATGAAACACTCAAATCATAACCATGGAAAAGTGGGAATCTAATTTGAAAAATGTTAAGCAAACGCTTTAGCAAATGTGGGTGCTACAGATTGTAAACTCTAAACTATAAAAATGGTAATTTCAGTGTATTGAGTCATTAGCTAATTTACAAGGACAATACTTTTGTGATACTGTAAACTGCAGGAGATGGAATGGAATTAGAGATCTGAAATTCATTCCATTCCATCATCCCCTTTGTCTGTGTAGAGGTTAAATTCGAGATTTTTCGATAGAGTCTTGCAAAGAGCTTCTACTATGTTCTTATAGCAGTGAGCTTTTGTGCCATTGCCTGTCTGGTCATTTAAGTGGCCACTGTACCAGAGTAACTTTCGATGGAAACTAAATTCAAGTCGAGCTTTTTTTGGCTTTTGGCTTTACCTCTCTCTTTGATGGTACTAAAGATATGATCTTTTGGTTGTGGGTTAATATAGGTTGCGAGGATATTGACGGTAAGAAGAGAGAGGGAGATCGAAGAAGGGATAGGGAAAAGGTTGTCGAGGAAACTTGACAGGCAATGGAAGAAGAGCATCGTAGTGAGACCACCTCCTTCTCTGAAGAAGCTACAAGAGGAAGAAGCAGCAGAAGAAGCAGCCGAAGCTGCAAAATCTGCTTGAAAAACCGACATTTGGATGGTCTCTTCTCGTTGTTTGTTTCCTCCAGATGTTACTCTCTGTTATTGTTGCTAAGCCCTGTTGTTAATTTTGTTCTTCTGTTTGGTGTAAACTTTCCTCATCAAGTAGTTTTCATGAATTGAATATCTTTGCTTAATGTTAAAAAATAAAAACATTCAAGTGTAGTAGAGTGGACAAGCAAACTCCAAAAAATTGGCGGGAACATTTATATTAAAGTCCAAAAAATATGAGTTAAGTCATGTTTCATTTACAAGTAGGTCACTATGAGTTCTTGACAGTCATTTGTTGTGAATTAGCTGTGGTGGACTCACATGTTTTACTGATTTGTCATTATCATTTTAAATTTGTTGGAATAGCAGTGATCTGGTCCACACTACATTTTACCTAATACCTTACATCCAAGGTTTAAAGTCAAAAGATATGTCTGCTCACAATTATATTATACATATGATCACAAACCAATGGTCAAAACCGTATATGTTTATCTTTGACAGCTGCAAAAGAATTTTTATCCTCACATTTCAAACTGACCAAGTCGTCAATGTTCTAGCATACATAGATTTACGATTACTCTTATCTTTTTGTGGTGCTTTTCTGTAAGATTGGCTCTTGTTCTATAAGTGCAAGAAGCTTAAGACAAAAATGAATATCTAGAGGCGATTTTTAGAGGTATGCTTAATGGATAGCTTTATCTTGTTTATTTGGAACTATTTTTCTGAAGACCTGTCTATTTACCAACTCCAGCCATGTGCTTTAAAGGTCTGCACAGCTTTCTATAATGCTTTTGACATAGATTATTCTATTATGTAAGCGTCTTACGTATACTTTCATGCAACAAAGAGAAAGATCTTGGTACTTCTGGATCACAACATGTGACTTGCTTTTCATGCAAAAAGCTTCCTCAGTCTTTTGTCTTGCTCTTATACTTTCGTGAAAAGACCAAACCCTTTTAGTCTGTTTACTTTAACAACTATTTTTCTTAAAAGCAACAAATGTTGCTTGTGCAGGGTCTTTCACATTGTCTTATTGTCTTCTTCAATTGATGCTTGTGAAGGAAACGATGAACAAGACTCACTCTCTTATATCCGAGGTATGTTGATGCTTCTGCCTATATTTGTGAAGTTATTCTCTATGAGCATTCTGAGTTTTTGCTTGCCTTTTCAGCTATTTATCTTCTATGAAAGCATCCTTTATATGTTAATAGGTGCTTTGTGACAGAGTTGTGTTTAGATTTGGTCATGCATCGAGCCAGTAGATGACTAGTTCCATGTCATCTCCTTCTCATATATATAATTATAGCAGAAATTTGCTGATCAAATGCACGTTTTCTAATACATGATCGCCCTCTAGTCCCTTAGCAAGTCTTCTTTTTTTATCTTTTCTATAGTAAGTTTTCTTGAATTTAATGAATATATTGTTTCTGCTGCATTGCTTCACTCGAATTCTGCATCATTTATTTTACTAAAATGATTCTATGTGGAGCTCTGCTTAAGAGCATAATGACATTATTGTCTCCCTCTTTATCTTTCACTGTCTTTAGCTGTAAATTGACGTCATCAATGAAATGAATATAGCCACCTAAAGTTACATGTAGTGGTTGATGCCTAAGAAAACAACACTTAAGAAGGCCCACACAATTTGGGTCAAATAATACTAGAGAATGACTCTATTTTATAAAATACGTTCGTATTATTCTTGTTATCTCTGTCTCATATTTGCGAGGTTTCTTGTGAACATGAATTTGAGCAGATGTAACGTTTGAGGAAAGTATAATGATAGAAGATTTTGAAGGGTGAGTTCTTGTAAATAAAGAAAGATTTACCAGTCTTAAGACCAAATGACCAAAACATATTGAAATACTTCTGCTGACTTCTGCTTTTTCAACAATGTTGATTCCATGTGAACAGTTGAAAAAAAAAGGGTTTTAACGTGTTGTTTGGATATCAAGAAATTAACAACTAGGTCGAGAAATGCTCTTTTGGATACACACTCTGTATGTGTATCTGACTAATATAGTTCGATGCATCATCTTCACATTTACAGAAATATATAAAGAGAAGAAGTGAAAGTTTATTTCAAACATGGCTTTGAAAGTCAGGGTTTAGTTGTGTTGGTTAGGAACTAAGGAGAAGAAGCAAATCAGTTTTAAGAAGCAAATCAGTTTTACTTTTTAGCTGACAATTACAACCATTTTTGTATATTAGAGGAAAAGAATATGGTCTAAGTGACGTACAACATATGTCACAATTAAGTTAATTTAGTATATGAACCTATTGCCTTCCTTATTTCTTTAATAGATTTAATGTATACCTGCTTCCTCCAGTGAGATTGTGGTGTGGTCCACTATGAGAAACCCTAGATGGACAAGCCACTCAAATCTATAATAATTTTCTAGGTTTCTCTCCTTTGTTTAAACTTGTAGGCTTATCTTTCTTTGATATGACGAAGCCTTTAAAACTTCACAGTAATCATAGGCCTATGGTACACATTATCATCCAAGTGCTGCCTCGAAGTTTTCATTATTTGATGAAATATATAACTCAATGTCTCTTCGAATTTGTTTTTTTTCTCTTCATGAGGACAAGTTATCTTTCATTTAAAATTTTGTAGGTAATCATTTACTTTTTTTGGAGAAGACAGAGAAGAAAAAGACAAGAAATGTGCAATTTGGTCCAATGCAGAAGCAGTGGGGAGAGAAAAGTCTTGTAGGTTTCAAAGATGGTGGAGATTTAGATCATTTTCTGCACCAACCTCTCCCCTAACAAGCTCCTTCCATTTTTTTTTTCAACAAAATGTGTCACATTCAAGCCTGTCACATTCTCAACAGTAACGTCTGCTTCTCATAATATACCAAAATGCTACATTGATACTTTTGTCGGTCGTCGTTGTCTGCCCCTAATTGCTGTCTATGCATATTCTGTCATACTGTTTTTTCAATGAAGCTTAATTATGTGCTTATAAATGAAGAAGGATTGATCTTTAGTATATGATCACAAAATCGATAAGTTCTCACGTATCCTGATATGTATGCTCTTAGTTGCAGGTTTCTGAGTTTAGCATCTTTTTTTCTCACCAGAAAAAGCATTTTTGAGTAGGAAATCTCTGTAAGTATTACCTAATTTTGCTATATCGGGACTTGCTCAAGATCAAACGAAATGTGTTAGGACTAACGAGTTTCCTTATTAGACCAATTCTGCTTCTTTCTTTTGTATATTTTAAGACTCTAGTAGTATTTTTAGTTAATTTTCTCAGTTTCATTTGTCTCATCCTCAGATACAAAGAGCTATATATTAGGGTTCATGGCTTGATACGGACTAAATACAAACTATAAGATTTGTTATATATATATATTAAAGAGAATACCAAATACATAAATGAATCATGAAATGTGATGATGACGCAATCAAAAACCTATCTTTGCGTGCCAAAGGAGATATCTCTCCAGCCATCCTTGAGGTGACATCTGTTGTTGGCGCTGACTTCTTTATAAATTCTTTCTCTTTTTGATTTGTCAGCCAATCATTAAAAAATGATTTAAACAGTTTAGCTCTCTTCTTCTCCCCCACCTAAAGCTTACTTTAGAAACTTTGTAATATTTTCTGTAGCAGGCAATGAGATGTTATTATGTTTGCAGGGTCTGAATCCGTGAGAAACTAAGGATCACGATTCACGAGATCTTGAATTGTGTCCGAGAAGAAGATTGCTCGTATTTCTCACGACTGTAAGTGGTTAATGCCGTACGTATATAAGAGAATAAAGAAGAGAGAAAGCATATACAAGGTTGTGAAAGCGACATGGGTTTGTTTTGTAAGCGAATAGGAAAGAAGCACGTGGTTGAATGGACATTGAAGAGAGAGAGAGGGATATTGGTCGACGTAATATAAATACAAATAAGAAGCAGTTAGTGGTTGTGAAGAAAGGAGGCAAGCGACCAAATCTTTTTTGAAGAGAATAACAATAAGAGAGAGAGAGAGACCGTTGTTAATTAGATACAGGAGTTCATCAAACATGGGAAGATCTCCTGGATCAGATGAAACCGGTATGAAGAAAGGTCCATGGTTGCCTGAAGAAGATGATAAACTCATCAGTTATATTCACAAGCATGGCCATAGCAGCTGGAGCGCTCTTCCCAAGCTCGCTGGTACTATATCCTTACACAAGTCCTTGATGAAACCTAGGTTTTGTCTTTAAGTCTTGCCTTGTGAATATCTATATCTACATGCAGGTCTTAACAGATGCGGGAAGAGTTGTAGGCTACGATGGACAAACTATTTGAGACCTGACATCAAACGAGGAAAGTTCTCTCCAGAAGAAGAACAGACCATTCTGAATCTTCACGCGGTTCTTGGCAACAAGTAAGATCTTTTAGATTCTTGTTGTTATCTGGATTATTTTTCATTGTTGCTTAACGCAATAGGAAACTGTTTGTATAAGGTGGTCGATGATTGCAAGCCACTTACCAGGAAGAACAGATAACGAGATCAAGAACTTCTGGAACACTCATTTGAAGAAGAAGCTGATTCAGATGGGTTTTGATCCCATGACTCATCGTCCAAGAACCGATGATATCTTCTCGAGCTTATCTCAGCTCATGTCTCTGTCTAACCTAAGAGGACTTGTTGATCTTCAGCGACAGTTTCCAATTGGAGACCAAGCTTTTCTGAATCTCCAAGCTGAGATGGCTAAGCTTCAGCTCTTTCACTACCTTCTTCAACCTCCTCCTCTTCCCATGAGCAATAGCAGTAGCAGCATTAGCCCTAATGAGTTAAACATTCTCAATCTCCTCATCAAAGAAAACTCCAATACCATTAATCTCGACCAAGGTCTCCTCAATTCTTGTCTTCAAGACTTCAGCAGCAACCTCCCATCCCTCAAAACCCTAGACGAGAATCATTTCAGTCAAAACAATTCTCCACTATGGCTCCATGAACCACAGAGCTTAACCCAAACTATGTTGCCTTCTCATGATCCTTCCGGTCTGAGTGATGATATGGCTCGGAGTGTAGATGGTTTTGGCTGCAACCTGAAGGCTTCCTCAAACCATGATCAAGAAGGAGCAGCCACAGGCTCAGTAGATTGGCCTGATCTTCTCTTTGATGACTCCATATTTCCAGACATTCCTTATCAATCTTGAGGTATGGTTATGTATATGTATCTGTTTCCAAGGAATTTGTTTGGTGTTGTGCATGTGGTTCTATATCTATACGCTGTTTCATGGTGTGTGCTAATGTCTTAGTATGTACATGTGTTTTTATGTATAAGTACACATAAATATTGTTGAGATGATTTTTTAAAAATTTGTGTCTTTGTTTCATAAATATTCAAAATCGTGTGTTATACAACAGATCAATTCATTGATGTTTGAAAACCCAAAACGACTTTGATTCTTCTTCTTCTACTTTACAATGTGATCACATGATTCTTCTATCTTTTAAATGAAAGCTATACTTTTTTCTATCTTCCACCAGATAACTCAATGGCATCTTGATTGTTAATAGAATCTTCACCCCAATCAAATCTCCTCTGCAACCTCTGAAACTCTTCTTGTCTCGTGACTTCAAGATTCCGCCATTCTTCCCATCTCTCTGCAAGCCCTTCTCCTTCGAGCATCCTCACAACTTCCGACATCGCTGGTCGTTCTTCAGGTGCTGCTTGCGTGCACAACAATGCTACTTGTATCATCATCTCAACTTCTTCCTTCACATAATCATCCTCAAGCTTCTTATCCACTATATCTCCTAATCTCTTCTCTCTTTCCAATTTCTTCACCTGATAGAAACCAAAAATATTTGTCTTATTTCACACTATGATATAAATCATCTAAAAAAGATCACAAATTTTAAACATTTACTTACATGGTCTAGCAACAAGACATCATCTTCTTCCTCTAACCTTGAGAAATCAATGGCTCTCTGTCCTGTTACAAGCTCAAGAAGCATAATCCCATACCCGAAAACATCGGTTTTCTCTGATGACTTCCCTGTGGATATACATTCAGGCGCAATGTGACCCATTGTTCCACGGACCTGAGTGGTGACGTTGGTTCTTCTAACATCAACCAATTTGGCTAAACCAAAATCACCAACCACTGCTTCAAAATCTTCATCTAGCAACACATTTGCTGCCTTCACATCTCTGTGTATGATCTTCGGGTTGCAATGCTCATGAAGATACTCGAGCCCTCGTGCTGCGCCTAGAGCAATCTGTTTCCTCCTGAACCAGTCCAGTATAGGCTCGCCTCGTTTAATCTCTGCACATATCCATCATAACCCATTTTCAAACTCCAAGAGAGTAAACTTTGCTTCTTCTTTTGTTTGTTTGTTTGTTTGTTTACCTCTGAGGCGATATGCAACACTTAGATTCTGCATGAAGGGATACACCAAGAGGCGTTCGGTTTGAGTTGTGCAAAAGCCGATGAGGCGAAGCAGATTCCTATGAACAGCCACGCTTATCATTTCGACTTCTCTCTGGAATGCTTCGTCTCCTCCAGGACGTTCGAAATCAGTCAGTCTCTTCACTGCCACTTTCGTGCCATCCAAAAGCAATCCTTTGTAGACTTTCCCGAACCCTCCTTGTCCAAGAACGTTCTTCTCGTCGAACTCGTCCGTAGCCAGTTGAAGCTCTCTCCATGAAAACCTTCTCAACTGTCCAAACGCAATCCTTCTGTCCACTTCACCTGAAATCAAACGAAACTTACAAAAAGTTTTTTAACATTTTTAAGCAGAAACGAGAAAGATTGATTAGTAAATTGTCACAGACCTGCAACATCTACAAACACGTCGCTTCTGTATCCTTTATGCTTATCCTTGCAGAAGAAAAACAAGAAGAATCCAAGGAGAATAACTGTGATCCCGCTAACAACTCCAGCGATAATACCAGTTTTTGAATTGCTTGAATCACCTATCAGACCAAAAACCAAACTCTCTCCATAACTCAGTACATGTGCAAATGCAAGTAAAGTTATAATGGCAACAACACAACAACATAAATGTAGTTTCACCTGAAGGATTGGACTCTGTTACGCAAAGGCGAGGGTAAGTGCCACCACAACTCAAATTGTTTGCTGTGAAACTATTAAGTTTTGTAGAATCCAAATCAGTCTAATGGTAAGATAAATGAAAAAAAAAAAAACCAAAGTAGTCGTGTTTGAAACCGAAACTACTCGTACGTACTTGTATTTGGGAATATTGAATAAACTCTGAGGAATCTCACCGCTGAGATTATTCGAGTCGAGCAGGCTGCAAATGTTGTTTGTAAGCAATAGCGTTTAGAATATTACTGAAGAGAGTGACTGTTACACAGAAGAGCCACTCACATATTTATCAGTTTTGATAGGCCAGTGAGTGAGTCTGGGATAGTCCCATTTAGGTTATTCCTACTCAGTGTCCTGTTTGTGCCAAACAGAGGGATAAAGACATGAGCAGCTTTCTTTCTTTGTCCAAACAAGTTTCAAGACAGTTAGGAAGAAGAATTTACTTACAGGAACTGAAGGTTGTTGAGATCACCGAGAGTGGATGGTATGCGACCAGTTAAGTGATTATCCTCCAAATCCAAGCTTGTCAAGCTTGACAGGTTTCCTATGGATTCTGGTATTCCACCCGTTATTCCATTTCCCTTCAATGTACTACGACCAAAAGAAAAATTTACTACAAATGCACAAAAGAGATTTAACTTCCCACAAGTTTCAAAGTAAAGGCACTTACAGAGTCTTGAGAGTTTTCAAGATTCCTATTCCTGAAGATAAAGTTCCCGAGAAGTTCATGTAAGACAATGTTCTGCAAATCACAACCATATAGCAAAAAAAAAAAAAATTTCTCTCAGACCAAAATTTAACTAAGTTTTTGACCAGTTTTGCTTAGTGTGTTATCAAACTTACAGAGAAGTAACATGCTTCTTGTCGGCACAACTAACTTGAGACCAAGTACAAGGATCGACTTGATTCTGATTCCAGTCACTTAGCTGTTCAGGAGATGCGCGTAACGAGCTCCTTAGCGCAAATAGCGCATCACCTGAAAATATCAAATTTGCAAGAGTTATTAACAAAATCCATTCTACAAAACCGTTAAATTCATTTACTTGAGGGAACTCTGAAGATATAGAGAGAAATGAATTTACCTTGATCATCTGGTGACACAGATGACCACAATAAAGAGGCAAACACCAAAGAAGTGATAAAAGCCAGAGCCATTTTGCTAAGAGCTAGCAAATTTCAAAATGCTGGATTTGTGAGCACTTGTGCCATCTACAAAGTCACATTTTGAACAAAGTTACAACATATCTTTAAGCTTCTTTATCCAATACGTGGATATTAAAGCTTCAAGTATACGAATTCCACTGTAAAGGATAACGATCTGAGACTTCATTAAAAAAAAACAGAGAGAGAGAGAGTGTGAATTGACTGCAAATAAAAAAATTAACCTTTTCAGTTACCCAGAGCCCCAGACGATGAAGGACCAATTTTCTCACAGGAAAAAAAAAAACCAAATCTTAAGACGTGAAATTTGAGAAACTCAGATTTGGGAACAGAACAATTGGGTCCCAAACAAAGAAACTGCTTGTAGCGGAGAAGAAAATCTAAAAAGGGAAAAAGAATATCCTCCACAGCAAAAGATTCACTCTTCGAATAAATCCAACAAGACTTGGATGGTTTCACTTCCGAATTAAAACTCTTGGAAGAGAAAGTAAAACTCTGTACTTTAAGAAGATAAACTCTTTTTTTTTTTCTTTCTTTCTTCGTTTCGTTACATTTTTCCTTATTTTAAGTTAGACGGAAAGTCTTGTAAGCAGAGAGCCATTATGACAGTCACAATGGCGAGTCAAAGAGAAACAATAAAGAAGAAGCCGACATTGGTCGTGAAACTGCTTTTCCTGCGTGATTAAAAAAAATAATTAATCATGATAATGATGCCTTGAACTGTGATTAACGAAGAAACTGGAGAGTATTATTGAACTTTGAATGTGTGTCATTATTGTTTTTATGCCATATTTGAGTAAAAGCTGAAAAAAAAAAACCAAAATTTGGGCTGAGAGAGGCTCGAACTCTCGACCTCAGGATCACTCAGTAGCTATGAGACCTACGCGCTAGCCAACTGCGCCACCAACCCTTTGATGTTATTTCTTGGTATCATGTTTATATTCAAACCTCTCTACTAAATTTATCGAGTGACAAATATGTTTGTCTGAAGCTGTTCACATCATCAGTAAGAATTCTCTATTAGTGGTAAACTTAAAATTTCGAAACAAGTGAAATCTACAAACCAGAAACAATGATGACAATACATGAACAAAACCACATTTGAGTTATCAGTATTCAGTGCTCTTGCTCTCTTGGTTCCAAAGACCCCAGGAAACAGCTTCACCCGACAAACCTTGCACATAGTCATTCGCCGGTTCTTACGTGTTTGCATTATGTCTGGTTTCATTGAAAGAGTATCTGTTTGGATGTCGAGGGCTCCACTGCTTTATTAACTTTCTGTTCATTAGGTGCTTGCTTGTTACCACTGCTCTCAAACAGCTTCCCGTTCTTTGCAATCGTAAGGATAAGCTCGAGTTGCTTCCTCTGTTGATCCTGCAAAGCAAACAAACCAGCTTTCATGAGCATAAAGTAAAAACTAGTATGGACATAAGAAATAGGGAAACAAACCAGTTTCCGGTTTGTACCTGCATAGCAAGCAGCACTTTCTGCATTTCGCCAAGCTCCTTCTCTAGAATCTCTTGTTGTGCAGCTAATACTCTTGTGGCCTCGGAATTCTTCTGAGCCAAAGCTGCAGTCTTTGGACAAAACAAACCAAACTCTTGAGATACATACAGCACAAAAGAACTAAACTTGATGCAAAGACAGCCGCATTGATCATTGATCAGTCAGAAACTGGAGACTTCCAAAGATATCCAAGTCTTTCTGCAAGATTATACTAAGTTCCATGTTCAAGTGAGGAAAACTAGTCCACTATGTCGCAATCCAAATATCCAAAAAGTCTTAAATCAAACACTAGAACAATCGTTACTTCTTCAGGCATTTAATAACTCTTGATCAATCAATCCCCAAATCACGACTTGTTCCTTTCTTCCGGTTTCACCTATGATGATGCATATGAATCAAAGCTTGAGAAAAGCAAAATCGGAGCTTTACCTCGGAAATGGGTTCCTTAAGAGCTTTTCGGGTGACCCGAAACCGGATCCCTAGTTTCTCCAGATGCCTGGAAAGAACTCTAACAATGGTGGTCGAGCTTTTTAAATCCTCTTCAAGTTTCTCCAACCTTCGAATCAAATTCGTGCCCTCGCCTTCTCTCGTTCCTTTGCAAATCCTCATCCATTGCCGTCGTCTGAGCCACGAGCCAGACGCGACCGACCCAACCAATCCGACAAAACCCAATGACAAAACCTTTTTCCCAATTTCACCAACCACCGCGTAATTCACCGCGAGAACTACAGAAATCACGGCGGAAGATATAATACAGAGCACCTCCGCGAAAGAAATAAAGCTTCCCAAATCGAAACCGTCGGAGTCAGCGTCGGTAGAAGAGGAGCTGTCCTCGAATGATCCGATAGAAGACGCATGAGCTCGACAATCTCGCACGATCTCCAATTTTGACCCAGGAGAGGTGACGTGGCGGATGAGGATAGGCTGGGGGGACAATTTCGTATCCCGAGGAGAAGTTCGCACAGCGGCGACGGCGAAGCAGAGGTTGGTCCTGCTGAACCGAACAGGAGTCGAGCCGGAGAAGAAAGAGTATCGACAAGGAAGCGATAAGGACATTATTGTCTTTTCGGAACTCCAACAACTGAACTGACTGAAACTCGGGTCACTGCAAGAAATGGTTATGACTCTACTGTCCTCCTCAAGAAGAACCTCCACGCGGCGCATGGTAGCGATGTCTTAAAATGCGCCGTCAAAAATTTCGTATTTTTAACCGAACATTTGGGCCAGCATGAGAATTTGATGTATTTACCGAATATCCGAGTTTAACTGAATCAACGGAATTAACCTACTTTCATTTCACATATTTCAGCTAATATTAAAGGGACCCAAAGGCCAAAGTCATTATGTAACACATGAGCCAAATAAGTCATCATATGATTCAAATAAAAACGATATGAAACTTAAACACCAGTAAAAAAAGTTCAAACTGTTTACGCGCAAAAGTTTTAAAACCGAGAGAGACCAAAGTCTTATAAGAAGCTCAATAAAGGATGTATTTAACCCATATTACGAATCCGATATATGCTTCACCATGACATGTTTTATTGATAAGGCATGTAACGCATTGGCCTTCTGAACCTAGGAGCTTTCCTGCATAAATTTCACCAGCCCACAAAAAAAGTCTTCATGTGAGAAATGGAGGAAGCTTTGTAACCAAATATATGTCGTAGACAAAAACTTACCCGTATCCATATGGAGAATACATATACGGAGGCATGAAAGGTCTGCGGAACCGGTAGCCCATGTACGGGTTGAATCGTCTTCCACGGTACTGTTTCATTCCAGGTACGTTTGTTCTCTTAGGCAAGACCTATTAAAAAAAATTTACACAGATGAGAAAACAAATGGAATCATTGGTAAAAGTGTTTTGTTTAGTGGGAATAGTAGTAAGAAAGAGATTTTTGTATAACCTTTAATTGACGACCATGCAACTCTGATTCATTCAGTTGTAGAGCCTCTTGTATAGCTTCGACTTCCACAAACTCGACATAAGCAAATCCCTTTGGCTGCCCGAACTTGTCTGTCAGAATTGTCACCCGGTGGACAGTGCCGCATGATTGGAAATGTTGCTGCACTTCTTCGGGTGTACAAGCGTAATCAACCTGCACAGTGATATATACGGTTATAGAGTAAACAACAAACAACAAGCAAGCATAACCCATGGCGTTTTTCACAGTGAGAGAGCACAGAGAGCAATACATCAGATAAACAAGATTCAGCGGAAAAAAGAACACCAAGCAAAGATATTCCTCTTTGGCCATCCTTCGTTAAACACACCACCTCTACCTTTTCATTCTTTTCATAGGTGCAAAAATGAACAAGAACACTAAGCAAAGCATAGTGGAAAACTAGTATACTTGAGCATCCATTAAGACGAAAAGATCCCTTACGCTGTGTACCAAGCATAAACTTTATGACAATCTTTATATTTTGTTAGCATCAAACACCAGCCTCTCACCAAATCTCTGCAGGTAGCAGCTACGCGTCTCGACTGGAAAGCATCCAGCATCTTGTAGCAGCTCTTCAAAGGCACTCCTTAAGTAAGGATTGCAAAATACTCCACTCAACTGTTTTCTCCTCTCCAGATTTCCGTTTCTTCTCAAATTGCATGAACTTTTTCCTTTTCTAGATTTTTTTTTTTTTTGCTCTAAAACGTATTCATTTCTTTTTTTTTTTTATCTATTTTTTTTTCTTTTGCATTTTTTAGCTTTTTTTTTTAATCATGTTCCACAATAGAACAGAGCAGATCAACTCTATAAAAATAAAATGTAGAGACCCCACAAAACCTAGTTGATAACCCAGTGCTACTAAGAACTTCAGCTATGAGAACAATCCTGCGATTGTAGTGAGAAAAGTCATAAGAAAAGCAAAAACTCAGCAACAAAAGAAAAAACCCTCACAGACTTCATAGAATTTGAATAGACAAAGTAATGAACATGAATATGAAGACTCCATCTCCTTCACTAAACCCACAATGACTAACAACAAAGATGTGATATTACACCAAAAGTCACGGTTAACTATTTATAAATTCAATCACTAGATTTGATAACATGCCATGTAGAGAATACAGCAGTAAGAGAACATAATCAGATTATGGACTCACAGTTGAACTAAAACACTTCTAACATCCAAGACTAACAGAGCTTTTTATCAATAGAGGTAATCATCTCCGGGCAATTCAAAGTCTAGGCGAATGCACACTTGGTCAGTAAGAGGTCAAAAACTATGAAAATCAACCAGATGCTAAGGTGGTTCGAAGAACAATAGAGACAAAGTAGACAGCAAGAAGCATAAGCATTAGCATTCTTACATTGCCAACAAAGACAGATCGAGCATCCACCTCCTCCTTGCCTGCTTGATTTGCTGCTATAGTAGCAGGGTCTGCGATCAAAAGTCGAAAAAAACAAATTGAAGTGAAAGAAGTAAAACAGCTAAATACAAAAAAAAAAAAACTCGCAGTTCTAAGAATCCGAAGATAGATCCAAACACCAAGCAACAATCAGAAAAGCGTAGCGAATTACGAGAATCAAATGGCACATGAAATCGAGGAATCTGATTATAGCAAACATAAGTAAACAGAAATCAAAGAGACGATAAACCTTGGGGTCCCATTTCCTGCTCGACCTTAGCCTGCATCTCACGCAGAGCATTAGCCTCGTCCTCAATCTCCTTCAACCGTTTCTTCATCTCGTCTAATTCCTAGTAATACAACAACGGAAATACACAGCTCAAACGGATATAAACGCGATCACAGTTCATTCGAGCATCAATCAAATTCGCCATAGATTAAGATGAACGATACAGTTAAAGGGAAGAGTAGCAGACCTTGTCCTTAGCCCCATCATCATCGGCGACAGCCATTTCCATATCAGGATTAGGAGCCTCCATATCACCATCCATCTCTCCGACGTCGGGAATTTCTCCCCCATAAACCTCGTGCTCCTCTTCCTCCATCGCCTCTCTCTCTCTCTCTCTCCGTCGCGACGTTTGCTATAAAAACGCTTAGGGCACTTTTTGCCGATTTGGATAGCGACAGGTAATCATATAATCCGAGCCATTTATTATAGCCTAGTGGGCCTCGGGCCCAATTTTAAAGAGGCAAAACTTTTTCATTTATTTCGATTCGACCCTCGGATTATCAGAAATTACCTTTCTCGATGACATCATCATCACCCAAAACATCCCGCCTGACAGAAAGATAATTGGCGATCTGTCAAATCTCACCGCTAAGAATCGAACCGTCAGAATCCAACGACGAAAACTTAAACACGTCACCAATAATCAGAAATATTGACCAATAGTTGACAGCGACGACACAAAAAAGACGACCGTATCAGATCTCTGCGTTTAAAAACTTCAGAAAGCTCCCTTTTTCGGAAAAGCTCTCACGCTTCCATTGTTGAAAATTAGAAACAGAGGATTTTGAAACGAGAAGAGGTTGTAACTTGTAAGATGGCGAGTGGAGGAGGAGGATACGGAGACCCGTCGCAGAAGATTGACTACGTGTTCAAAGTGGTGCTGATCGGCGATTCGGCGGTTGGGAAATCGCAGATACTGGCTCGGTATGCGAGGAACGAGTTCAGTTTGGATTCCAAGGCCACTATCGGCGTCGAGTTCCAAACTCGGACGCTCGTTATCGACCACAAGAGTGTTAAGGCTCAGATCTGGGATACCGCCGGTCAAGAACGGTAATCTCCGACCTCTCTCGAACTTTTTCGCTTGAATCGCTTTTCGTGCGGTTTGCTTTAACTTAGATCTCATACGATCTTGTTACCTCTCTGGATCCGATAGATAGTAGGAGTAGCTCAGTCTAGGATTTCGAATTCGGGTAACTTCTGTCGATCTGTATACACAATTTTTGAATTTTCTCGGGGAATCTGAAGTGAAATCAGTAAGCTGGATCATTGAGATCCTATGAATTGGAGTTCAAACGACGTGTTAGACTCTGTATAGACTAGACTCTATAGTTCATGTCAATATTAAGAAAGTTTTTCTCTTTACTCACTAATGAAATTGCTTCAAGTTTTGATCTCAGACCTTAAAGTGTCATTGTTATTAATCAATGACCTAAAACTCTGGAATTAATCAATCTACCTAGCACCATAGAATATCCCTAATCCCCACATTTCATGCTTATCATAAGCTTTTACATATGTATATGGTTTCTTTTTACAGCAGAGTCTCTTTTATATATTAGTGACTTTTGGTTTGTTTGTATCGAACAGGTACAGAGCGGTAACAAGTGCGTACTACCGAGGTGCTGTTGGGGCGATGCTGGTTTATGACATAACCAGACGCCAAACCTTTGATCACATCCCAAGATGGCTAGAGGAATTGCGTGCTCATGCGGACAAGAACATCGTGATCATCCTTATTGGGAACAAGTCGGATCTCGAAGACCAACGAGCTATTCCAACCGAAGACGCTAAAGAGTTTGCGGAGAAGGAAGGATTGTTCTTCTTGGAGACATCTGCGTTTAACGCGACCAACGTTGAGAGCGCTTTCTCAACGGTTCTGACCGAAATCTTCAACATTGTGAACAAGAAAAGTCTTGCTGTGAGTGAAGAACAAGAGAATGGTGGGAAACCCGGGTCGCTTGCTGGTAAGAAGATTGATATTGTGGCAGGTCCTGGTCAGGTCATACCCACGAAGAGGTTCATGTGTTGCAACTCCTAGATATATATAACCAATTCAACTCTAATATTTACGTGACGACATATATATATATATATATATAGAGATATTTGTAAGATTCTGGTTGGCAATGTTTCTCCTATCCACCAGAGAGTAGCGTTATTCATTTGTTGCTTCTTCATCTATGGGTGTTTTTGTGGATTGAACCGAGTAAAACGGATGAGTTTTGAAATGGTCTTGTAACTAAACGAGCATAAATCAAGAAACACAGATCCAATTTCAAAAACTACTGAAAACATGTATGAACTCGAACGAACTCTCCATCTCTTCTTTGCCAAACTCTTCACTCCCCTTGTCACGCTGTAAAATTATTATATACAAGAAGAATTCACAACTTTTCTTACACTTCTCTTTTTTTTCCCTCCGACCAATTCTTTCTCACTAATTACGCCAAACAGAAAAAAAAACGTTATCCCGAAAAATTGAAAACCTATCGTCCGATTCTCAACTTGGTCGCTCTATTACTGGATCGCGTGATTCAGTTTATTTTAAGGTAAGCTTCGAATCCAACTCGATCCTTGTGTGGTTTGATCCTCAATTTCTGGATTACTGATCTGATCTGAAGCTCTGTGATATATCTGTACTATATCGGCAAATGGGTTTTTTCCTGATCGCTAATTCACTTTGGGCATTTTCTATTACTCATTCATATAAAGAAAAGAAAAATTGATACTTTCGGTGTGGGTTTTCGATTTGAGTGAAGAAATGAAATGGGTTTGATTTGGTTATAGATAATTTCCCTGGAGGCTGGAGGGAGAGAGATCCAATGGCTGGGTCAGCAGAATTTGTTGAGGCAGATAATGCAGAGGCAATAATCACGAGGATCGAAACCAAGTCGAGGAAAATTGAAAGCTTACTCAAACAGTTCAAACATGTGGAAGCTCTTAAAACGGCTCTTGAAGGTTCACCTCCGAAAACTCGCGATGAACGTTGCAAGGTCTCTGTTTCCTCTGCATCACTAGTCTCCTTCTAGTGGTTTTGGTTTGTTTCATGACCAAAAAAGTTGATGTTTATTTTATGATGAAAAATTGCAGTCGGCTAATTGGATAGTTGTGCACAGAGCTATAATGGCGATTAAGGATATCGACGGAATGCTGAATGCTCTTGATGTCGAGTACTACGACATCCTCATGAAGTAAGTCCCTCCCCTTTAATAATAGGTCATTTCTTGTCTAGATTGCAATTGGAAATAGTTATGGAAGTTGGTCATGATATAGACATGGTTAGATAAGGTTTCTGCAAATGGTTTTGTTTTGTATGAACATGAAGCTCATTGAGGGAATGTTACATTTAGCTTAAGCTTCATGAGTGAGTGTGTTAATCTTTTGTTTGCTTGAAAACGTGTGGAAACAGGTACTTGTACAGAGGTCTTTCTACTGGGGACAGACCCACATGCGATCAGTGTTTGAAGATTCACGAGAAACTCACAGAGAGAGCTGGTCTCGGCTGCATTCTCCGTTGTCTTACTGATACTATCAACGTTGTTTGATCCATCATTTGTACTATTTTACTTTATAGTGTTGGTTGAAGCATGTCTCAGTTTCAATAACCACGGAGAATCTAAGACCATTTCACAAAGATATCCGTCGAAAACTAGCCTGGTATTGAATTATTATTATATCTCATAACCAGGAAACTTAGAATCTACAGGGGACACGAGATCGAACCAGAGACATACTGGTCCAGCCAGTCCTCGAAAGAGCGAGTGATCGTGTTCAGCTTCTTCCCTTGTAGCATTCACGAGATCTCTCGCATCACAACACAAGTAACTAGCGAACGCCTTTGCTCTCTCTACGTATACGACATCTCCTGTTAACCGATAGAGCGATAAGAAAGCGTAGGCATTACCGGCAACTCCATCGGCTAAACCTACCTTCTTCACCAAGCCACTCTTCCACACTACTTCTCCAGCTTCAATGGCTGCTTCGCGGAAATCCCTTTCATTCGGAAACACCTGAGACGCCTTGGCCAAAGTAATCGCCATGCCTGTCGCTCCATGAGCCCATTGGACCAGCTTATCTCTCGGATTGCCTTCGCTGCACGGGTAATTCCCGCTGTTGGGAAACCTATTACTCATCATGTACCTCAACGTCCCTTGCACATCCTTCACATCCTCTTCCGATAATGGAAAATGTAACAAGACGTGCAAAATCCCAGCTAATCCATTAGCCGCACCCCAGAATCGCGTCCCATGAAACCTATATAAACCACAAACAGAAAGAATATATAATTTTTTTCTAATCTTGAACAGTTCTTGAAATAAATGTTTATGTCTAAGTAATTGCCTGTATAGCAAAGGGCAAGCTTCGTGATCTGCGGCTCCAACTCGGCCACCGGATAAGATGGCTGCGACGATGGGAGATAAGAGATGGTAAGGAACAGTGCCTTGACCGAGATATCGGTTAAGGAACAAAGCAGCCCAAAGAAAACCCGCTCTTCCATAGAGAAGGTCATATGACATCCCAAATCCTCCTTCCTCTGGTCCTGCTGGTAGCTCTCTCTCTTCTGCTACCTGTTTGTAAGGAAACACACGGTTACATTAAGTTTTAATAATTGTCACGTGTGATCTTAAGACCTACACTACTTTTGTCTGAATGTGGTGGAACTATAAAGAAACGTCAAGTAGTTTAGTTAGAATAAAAGAGATAGGAACCTCAAGAAAAAGACCGAGGAAGAGGTCACGCTTTGGTTGGTCCCCTTGGTAATTGGCTACGATTGCACCCAGCGCATAAACTCCTCCTCTTCCACATAAAAACGTCACGTGCCTATTCATGAACATAATTAAATCTAGTAATTAGATAGAAAACGACACTTTTTATTTAAAATGGGCGTGTGTACATATTATTTTCACAAGTTGCGAATTTACATATTATTCATGATTTTGTTATAGTCAATAACTGGTTCAGAAGTACTCAGACCAACTATTCAAAATTATTATTTTCAGGACATTTCTCAAACTGCTAGATGATAACATTTTTTCCTTTTTTTATCTAAGATTATTGGCTAAGGATCAACTTAGTGGCGAAGATATTAGAATTTTCACCTGGTCGTGGCACGTGCAACGTTGGCACACGTGTCGATCATCTCAGCGCAAGTTAGCAGATCCTGATGGTTCCTCGTTATCTCGTACGACTTCAAGCAAGTGAAAGCTGTGCCGAGTCTGCCTGTGTAAACAGTCGGATCTAACACCAGACCCGGATTCGGAACACCGCCTCTCCACGTGGCCTCTACAACCTACACAAACACCGACCGTCACCGAGAAATATATATGAGCCACGTAAGGGATATGGGCTTACGTTAGCCGTCTGAGGCATCACGTTGTTATCTTACGCACCTGGTCCTTGAGTAGCATTGCTGCTCTAAGAAAAGTTTCCGTGGACAGAGAAATTGTGGGAGTTGTTGGTTCGGAGGAAGTTCGTAGAAGCAAATAGTCAAGCTCGCCGTTCTCTACTGTTTCTCCGTCGTTATCATCACCGCGTCTCCGTTGCTGTGCCATAAACTCCACCGCCGACGACGACATAGTTTTATCTCTCTTTTCTCTCTGTCTGTCTTTTTTTCACTCTCGATCTATATATCTTTAAGAAAGAGAATCAAACTGAAACGTTGTACTGTATTTATATAATAGGTTTTCTTACAAAGGGTAATATTATATTATATCATTTCTTAAGATAAAAACATGGATGAGCCCAACAAAATAATTATGGAGTTACCCTTTTTTTTATCAAGTATAGAATCCTAAGTACTAATTACATATACATTTTTAAGGGGAAAACATTTAATTAAATTATATGGATTGATAGCTATTTAATTATACATTTATAACCGAATAAAGTTTTGCAACTTGTTCAATCCACTTTTTAGTTTGGTTTTGCCGGTTATAAAAAAGGCGAATGAAAAATAAAATATTATTGAGTTTCGTTTGATACAATTTAGTTATGTTTTGTCAGTTACAAAAAGAATAAAAAAATTTATGTTGTGTAGAATAATTTCGTATTGAGTTATACCAACTTTTTCCTAGTACGGTACGATTCTGGTTCCACACGGGTCAGTTTAATCAGGTCGTCCGTTTCTGCGTAATTTGGTGAAGGGTCCCACCAGTCCTTAAACAATCAATATTATATGACTAAGCATCCTGAAAAATAACGTGATGACACTGTTAAAGTACCACGGAACAAAGGAAAAAGCCGAACGTGGGACTTGGCGCGGTATAGGATTCTTCTGGTTGCATGACATGGCGGTGATACACGTGAACCGAGTAGACCAGTGTTTACGTGTCGAGATCTTGTCGGCTCTAATCATTTTACGAAGCGGTTCGCCGCTGGATCTTGGCTACGGGATATGGACTGATAGAGAGGACGGTCGATGCATCAATCGGTGAAAATTCATGAAGGACTAAAAAAACTAATCGAATCTTGATAAACGGATAAAGAGATTATGGGTGGAAGACTGTACGATTGTCCGAATAAACGTGTGTTGTCTAATATATATATCTCACAAAAGTCATACAAAAAAAGTAGAGAGAAAACAAGTATTCTATTTACTATTTAAAAAAAAAAGCTAGAGAAAGTTTAACCATTTCAAGAAAATTAATTAATTAATATTCTTCTACTACTACGCGAGAGGATTATTCGCTGACGATATATTTTTTTTAACTTGATTTGACTATTTCTATACATATTTATTCTATTGGATTTTTAGTGGTATGTGGGTAACTGGTAACCATTTAATTCGTAATCTTTTTTGAATATGAATATGGTACAAAGTGGGAACGCGTATGAATATGATTTTTGTGATATATATATACATGGGCAAAAAAATTATTTTTGTAATTTGGATATTTTAGTGACAAGGATCAGCTGACTTGGAAACACGTATGGAGAACGTGAATCACGTTACGATTTTAAGCTCAACGATCAACAATTCAACCCTCCGTTTAATTAGATCAGATTAAATTAAACAAGTGCAACCAATATTCCTTCTCTGTTAATCAAACAACAAATTTAACTCTGACGAGAAACCATTTAAAAAAAAAAACACTAGAGGTGTTGTGTATTATGTATGTTACACTAATCAGGACTAAATTTCTGTTAACCAAGGTTAATTTTGATTACAGCACTGAACTCAGCAGATGTATGACTGGATCTGCCCATGCAGTCCATCACAACAAACGAAACTGTAATGCTTATTGTGACAATCTTGCAAGATTTTGTTACCCATGCATCTATAGGCCCATATTCAAACTATACTTTGGTGTATTGACCCAGTTTCTAAGTATCAATAGCGCAGCCCAGTTCCGACTACTTCCTTAGGGGCCTAACTTGTTGAACAACAATTTTCTTCAATTTCAATTAGTGGAGTTTTTTTAAAAACAAAAAGAAAGAACCACTAAAACGTAAAAACGAGAAATTCCTTTAATTTTCATTCGAAAATGCGCAGCATGATCTCAAGACTTCGTGCCTGCAGAAGAAAAAATTAATCCAAACAAAGGTTTTTGAAAAAGGGTTAATTCATCCAAACAAAGGTTAAAAGTACGTAATCTGTCCTAATCGCTGTACAGATTTACTAAACGTCAAAATTATGATCATCAGTTAATAAATGCATTTGAATTTGATGTTTTGTTTCATAACGCAAAAAGTTCATGTTGTCTACTACAACGAAAAAAAAAACAATTTTCTTATTTGGTATTGAAACTATTTAATGTGGAAACTATATTATTAATAATCGCCATTATCATCGGACTGATTCTTCTCAAAGTCCCAAACCAACAACCATAATGAAGTTGAATATTTACGTTTTATTAAAAAAAGGAAAAGAAAGAAAATTACAATAGAGCGTGGAAGCTGTTTCTTTCTTCGTCCTCAACGAACCGAACCGAGATCGAACGGAGAAAAGAGAAGGAAAGTGTGAAGAAAACGAAAAGGAACAGAGCGAGAGAGACCCTTCTCTTCAGAGGCGCGTTTCTCTCACGCGCACGCACGTACACAGAGTCGAGTCGAGTCGAGTCGAGTCGAGCGATCTCGCTGATAGCGCGTAATCGGATACCTCTGAAGGTCGATTGTGTTACGTTTTTGGGCTTTGATTGATTCCTCTGCGCCGAGAGAGAGAGAGAGAGAGAGAGAGAGAGAGAGAGATGTGGGTTTTCTATCTGATCTCGCTGCCTCTAACCCTAGGATTAGTTGTCTTCACGCTCCGATACTTTGCCGGACCGGAGATTCCTCGGTACGTTCTTATCACCGTCGGATACACCTGGTTCTGCTCCGTCTCCGTTATCATCCTCGCTCCCGCCGACATTTGGACGGTACCATTCGTTCTCCAGTTTTCGTTTTTCGGTTTTGGAATAATGCGATTCGGATTGAATTGGGCATTACGAGCTAAAAAAGTTTTCACCTGCGTGCTTAAATTGGAAATTGAAATCGTGGGTTAGATATATATAATTGAAGGGTTTTGTTTTTGATGCCTGTAAGTTTCATAGGATCGATCATACCTTTAGAGTTTGCTTCATTCGTGTTCCTCTGTTATGCAGACGCTATCTCTGCAACCTAATCATCCTGAGAATGGAGCCATTTCCTTCTTGTGGAGTTGGTCATACTGGAGTACGTTTCTGCTCACCTGGTATGGTCTTTGTCCAATTCTTTCACTGGCTTTTGCTCTCACACTCGTCTTCCCCACAATACTTGCAAATCAGTAGAATGTGTCCTGTTTATGATCCCATGTACATTGTTTTTGTAGCTAATAGGTGTACGTGACCTCATTATATTAAACTATGTTGCCTCTAAGCAGGGCTGTGGTGCCCCTTATTCAGGGTTTCGAAGATGCTGGAGACTTTACAGTGTCAGAGAGATTGAAGACTAGCGTGCATGTCAACTTGGTTTTTTATCTAGTGCTTGGGTTCATTGGTCTTCTCGGCCTTATCCTTCTCATCATGATGCACCGGAACTGGTGAGTTGTCCCTTTCGTGAAAGAATATGCTTCTTGTATATTTCGTTCATGGAGTGTTTGACCTGAGGCGTTCTTGTGTGTTAAACAGGACAGGAAGCATTCTGGGTTATGCTATGGCTTGCTCGAATACTTTTGGGCTGGTCACTGGTGCATTCCTCCTTGGCTTTGGCTTGAGCGAAATTCCTAAGACCCTCTGGAGGAACGCAGATTGGACCACCCGCCAAAAAGTTCTCTCGCACAAGATTGCCAAAATTGCTGTGAAGCTTGATAATGCACATCAAGAACTTTCAAATGCGATTGTAGTAAGTATTATTCGGGTTAAACAACTTTTTTCGTTCTCATCTGCTAGGATAGGCCCTCTCTGCTTCAAACTTGATTGAGAACCTCATGTGTATCATCACCTTAGATCATGGCTTCCTCATTGGTGTTTTTCAAGATGTAGGGAAATATTCCATTTAGCAGACTTGTATTCAAATAGCTTCTCTTCGAAGTACCTTAGGTTTTAGCATTCCAAATAAGTATACACCCTCGAGAAACTGTGACTCGTGTTTTTAGCTTGTCAGACTCTTAATCGCTTCATAATCACTTCCTTGCTAGGTTGCTCAAGCGACTTCTACTCAAATGTCCAAGCGTGATCCTATGAGACCATACATGAATGTTATAGATGCTATGTTGGCAAAAATGGTAAGCTCTACTTCCCCCTATCCTTATATTATGAATATACGGTGGCAGTTCTGCAATTTTAATGATGATTCTCTATACCAGTTCAGGGAAGACCCATCATTTAAGCCTCAAGGTGGTCAATTGGGTGAAAACGATATGGACTATGATACAGATGAGAAATCGATGGCAACGTTAAGGCGGCACCTTCGAAATGCTAAAGATGAATATTATAGATATAAAAGGTATGGAGAGCTTTTGAATGGCCCTGACTAAACTTCTTTATAGACTAAGTTACTGCTGCACTATTTAGAAATCTGTAGTCATAAGTCGTTGTGGATGCTTGCAGTGAGTATCTGACGTATGTTACGGAGGCCCTTGTTCTTGAAGACACAATGAAGAACTATGAACGTCGTGATGCAACTGGATGGTCAGATTTCCTGTCTTTTCATCTCTTATACAATATACAGTTCTCTCTTCCATTAGTGTTATATCGAGTTTATGACGCCTTTCACCTTGAACATCATTGTTGCACCATTTTATCAGGAAATATATTTCAAGCTTCAGAGCCAGTCGAACCGGAAAGTTGGGGAATTTTCTTGATACGTTGGGTAAAACTCTTTAATTATTTTTGTTCTCATTCGCTTTCTGAAGCTACTGAACGCATTACTGAAATAGAAAAAAATCCATAACTATACCCACTTTGAAAAAAAAGAAACGAATGAAAACATCCTCGAATAGAATTACTGATTGGATTATACTTTTGCACGTTGTTTCTATCGGCAGAATTTATGTGGAGGTGTATACTGAAGAAACAGATTCAGATGGTGTTGGCAATACTTACGGGGATTATGTCAGCTGCAATTCTCTTGGCTGAGGCAACTCTCCTTCTGAGTAAATTAGACTTGTCCCTCTTCTCAATCCTTATAAGCTCTGTCAAGTCCGATGAACTGCTAGTGCAGGTGCGTTGTACTTTACATTCTGGTTCAGTTGTAGCCTAGTACACTAGCCAATTGTTTTAATTGCTCTTAAATCCTGATCACTTTGCTTTCAGGCATTTGCTTTCGTACCTTTGGTGTATATGTGCATCTGTACATACTATTCACTCTTCAAAATTGGGATGCTGATGATTTATTCCTTGACTCCTCGACAAACAAGTTCTGTTAATCTACTAATGATTTGCTCGTAAGTGATAATTTCATCCTCTTTTTCAAAAAAAAAAGATTACAAGAAAAACACTTTATATGCTTATAAATGATTTATATGGTATTTCTTTAGGATGATTGCTCGATATGCGCCGCCAATATCTTACAATTTTATTAATCTCATTCAACTTCACTCCGAGACTATATTTGAGAAGGTATACATAATTTTATCTCTCCCTATGCGCATTTACTGATCTTAGAAGTCTTAAGGAGTCGTATCATTAACTGGGTTTCTTAACGGTGTTTCTCATTTGGTTCTGCAGAAAATGGGAAGAATCGATGACGCTGTCCCGGTCTTTGGACAACGGTTCAATGAGATATATCCTCTCATAATGGTTATCTACACTTTGCTAGTTGCAAGCAATTTCTTTGATCGCATATTTAGTTACTTTGGTAGCTGGAAAAGATTTAAATTTCAAACAGAGACCGACGATATGGACGGCTTTGACCCCTCGGGGTTAATGATTTTGAAGAAAGGTACCCAACAAAAAACAAATTTATATTTTTCTACATTGAGCGAGATTACTCGTGCGTGCTTTTATGTAATTTTCATCTTCTTTTTATTTATAATCGTTAAGAACGAACGTGGCTTGAAGAAGGACAAAAGGTCGGCGAGCATGTTCTTCCATTAGCGAGGAACTTCAACGATGTTGACATTGAACCAGGAAGCAACTTCTCTGTAAGTTAGTCTCAACTTCTGGAGATTTTGACCTTCTTCCAAAACCTGACTTTGGTTTTTCTGAATCTTTTTTGGCAGGAAAACTCTTCAGTTGAAATGAAGATGTCGTCGAGCTATGACATGGATACAGTAAAAGGAAGTTCATCGAAAGACGATATGTCCCGTAAATACGGATCAGCAAGAGAAGCAATCACCAACAAATATGCAGCCATCAGAGAACAGCAGAACAGACACTCGCCGTCTCCTGTAACAAAACCAGAGAACATGGCTTCAGCTAAAGTGTCCTTACTCGAAACAGACAGCTCGGGTCCAAGTAACGGCGAAGGAGGAGGATCAGGAGAGCCATCTTCTCGCTTGGCTTCCACATGGCGAAACATGAAACTAGGAATCCAGAGTTTCAAAGAGAATGTAGCCACCAAGAAGTTTCTCCCACTAAGGCAAGGCCCAGAAGCAACAACAGTAACAACAAGCACAGGCACAAGAGTGTCAACTTCATCAATGCCTCAGTCGTTGGATGAGATATTCCAGAGACTGAAAAACCGGTCAGTAGAACACGGTCACTACCTCGACGATGATGATGATGAGGTTTGACTACGAAGGTGATAAAAATACTTATGAAAGCTGGGTGGGAGAAAGCAAAGCAAGCACCAGATTTGTTCACCACATAGTATAGACACTGATGAAAAAAAAGATGCTAATTTCAACGGTTTACAAATCTCACAACGGAACATTTGGAGATGGAGGGGCCCAATTTTTGTGTTGTAGGTTTTATATGCTTACAGTTATTGCATGTTATATATACTATTGGATCGTATCTTATACACAAACTATTCAAACTCAATGTAAAACTAACTCTTCGTTTGCAAACAGCTACTACATTATACTATGTCATTCACAACTAGAAACTTTTTTACACAAATGTTTTTGTTGTGTATGCGTAATTTTAGTATGTACTGTGCGTTACGTCCAAAATAAAAATGACACGTGAGAGGAGTCATGACGTGGCTTGCAAAAATATGAAATAGATACCCCTTAAGATATGATTGGTTGGTCAAATAACAGGGAACTTCAGAGCTCTACGTATCTTCTTTGGTCAAATTAAATTTGTGAAAAAACCAATCTCTATCATTATTTTCCTCCATTTGACCTTTCTTATCTGTAACTGTACACATCAAAACTAAAATTTCAGAAAGAAAAAGAAAAAAAAAAAAAAAAAAAATCAGTCATTTAATAGACTCTTTGCCGTGAAGTAACCAATCCTCCTCCGGCGTCGACTCCACCGCCTTTCCCTTTCAGATGAAGCAACTTCGTCCAAAACCCAGTCTTCTTCGCCGTCGTGGATTTCAATTTCTCCGTCGTCTTCTTCTTCTTCTTCGAATCCCTAACGATATACGATTCCCTCGGAACATGAGCCATGGATCTGCTTTTCTTCAACCCTCCACCTAAAGCTTCAATCAGATTACCACTAAGCGCTTCCCTCACAGCGAAAGACATCGACATCGAACCAGCTCTCCGGTGGTGATCCTTAACCGCCGGCGGCAGCGACGACGGAGAAGACGAGACGGTGGTGGAGGAAGAAGACCGATCGGATCGGTTTATGATGTAATACGGCGTCGTATTAGGTAGTCGAGAGAGTTTATCCCTTAAGCAAGATGGGCAAACTCCTCTGTTGCCTTGGTGGTTGTGTTTTCTGCATTCCATTTTCTTCTTCTTCCTCTGATTGATTAACTCTGGAGTATGTGATACTATATATATATATATATACACAAGCACGCGCACGTGCACGTGCGTACCTACGTGTGTATTGTTGCCACGTGTGCTTCAACGTCGGTATAACCAAAGAAAGTTCATTAAGGTATTGCTATAGTGACGGGGACTTTCGCAGAAGACACAGCTTTGACATGTGAAGGGGCCACTTGTTAAAATGACTTTATTTTCGTTTTACGTCATTGAAAATAAAATCATTGATGATGTTTTGCTTTTGATAAAATTTAAGAAAATACATAGAAAATGATTGGATCCTTCTCTTTTTTTGCGTCGAACTGCAGATAATGATTGTTATTCTGATAAATTATGAACTCTATCTATAATCATTGAAAATGTAAGAGAAAATAAATACATCTATACATCAAATTTTTCGCCAAATAAATTTTAGTTTATTTTATTCGTTTTTTCATTAATAGAAATCTCAGTCAAAAAATATCAGTCAAATATTTTAAATTAAATTTACAGGTGTTTTCAATCAAATATAATTTACTGCATTTAGCTAACGAAGATTATAGAAAGGGTGACTAGTGACAGACCCGTGACTCTAATAAAACTAGATTTCTCATTCACACTTCACACAATTAAACCATGTAGACGCGAAGAAGAGGGTCAACAAAAGAAACGCTGTGAAAGGGTGATAGCGATGGACGGTTGTGATTTAAACAAACACTCAACATGGCTCTGGGACCCACTTGTTAGGTATGATCTGACGGTGACCGTGGCCGGCCGACTCGGACTCGGACTCTGACTCGGTCTTGGACTCGCTCGTGACGCGCAACTAAAAACCCACTCGTGCGCATTAGACTCTGTATTGTTTCCGTTTTTTTTTTTTTTTTTTCTTCTCACCTTAGTTTAATTTGATTTTATTATTTACGTAATTTTGATTTGTGTGTATTTTATTTGTTTCTTGAAGAATGGTGCGCCGTAAACTTCAGTTTCGCGCGCACGTGAGAGTGTAGTCAAAAAGGACGACCATAAAATTTATGGGGAAATGAAATATTTAGGAAAACAAATTCTAGAAGTTTGTACTGTTCATGATCGTACGTGGGAATGTGTGATTTATCTAGGACCAGATTACAAAGTAGATCCTCTTGTTACTTAACTAAATCCGGAATACAATATTTATTCGATGAACCTTCCTAAACATTAAATGGTCGTTCTTGTTTTTTTATTAACATCTCTAAAATATGTTCTATGAACCACGTGGTTTTGACGAAGCAACAAAAAAACTATGTTAAAAAATCGATTAAGGAATTTCACCTTTTACGTTCACGTTTATTTCCGTCTATAAATTAAGCAAGTTTTGTATTTTTTCTAACATACTTCTTGGTCCTTTTTTTTTGTTTTGTTTACATCATTGCTTCTTGCTTAAGAATACATTTTTTTGTTATATGCTTAAAGATCACAGTTGCATTAAGCAGATATAAACCTATATTATACATTCAACAATTATTTTACTATAGTTTTTTAGGTACTTTCAAGTATGATTTTAGTAAACTGTTAAGAGTTGTTACAAATTAAAACACATAATGTGTTATGTGTATATTATACGGAACAGTATGATTTCACTCTTTTGGTACTAATATGGGCATAGAAATTAGTGAGAGCCCAACTATAAAAGATGGGTCAAACAAAGTTGGGTTCTTGAAAAAAAAAAGTTGAGTTTTTGGATAAATGGAGGCCCATAAAGCCCAAGTAAAAAAAACAAAGAAAAACAAAGAATCTAAAATAATATTTGGGGTGAGGGAGGCTCGAACTCCCGACCTCAGGATCACTCAGCAGCTATGAGACCTACGCGCTAGCCAACTGCGCCACCACCCCATGTTGTTGCTGACTTAATAGGCCACAAGATTTTAACTAGGAACATGAATAAAAATGGGAACCACTTGTTTAGGCACTTCCATTAACAATTTCACGTGTAGATTTATTCAGGTGAGACGCAAAACACAAATAAATTAGTCCGTATATATACTTTGTGAGCAAAATCTACCCCTACTTAATTTCGACTTTCATGAGCTGCTTATCCAAGTAGTGAATTTTAGTTAGGGGTTAACTTGCATGCAAAGCGAACTAAGGGAATCAAATAGTGTCTATAAGGGTTTGTATAGCTCTGATATAGCAAACGTCGATGAGTGTTTTATTTTTTTCGAGTTTCGTATAGCAGCTGCACATATTCCAAAATTGCCTATAGAATTCGGTTTGAGATCCAAAATGACACAAAATGCAGGAAACTGAGCCGAGCCGGATAGAAATGAGCGAGCCGGTGAAGAACCAAAAAATGGATGTTGTCTTACGCGCGCGTGAGAGAGTGAGTCACACTCTCTTTATTAACTCCGAGGCATATGGAAAGGGCGAAGGGGTTACTGCTGCTTACGTGACAGGAAGAGTCAAAATTGGCTGACGAGTAAAAATGAGGTGATGAATGTGGGTCCCACTTCGTGACATGACAAAAGACGAGCTTGTTTTCTCTGCGGACCCCACCAAACTACTACCCGTTATGTGAGTAAGTATTTGCTAATTATTAACAAGTTTACAATTGTTTCAACATTTTCTTTAAACGACTAATTTTTGGCAAAAAATACCACAGGACCATTTAACCTTAGAAACTGCCCTTCCTGATCTCGAATTCACCAAAATGACAACTTCTACGATATGTTTTTTTTTTTGGAGAGCAACTTCTACGATATGTTTGTCAAGTTACTTGGTTGCTTTATGCCTTTATCGTCCTAAAACAACAATAAAATAGTTTGCGAAATCGGAAAAAAAAAAAGTAACTGCGGCTATATGAGCAACATAGTCGAATGATAAAATCAACTGGAACTTCGGTTACTCAAACTCTCCGATAAATATTAATATTTTTATCCGATACAGACCTATATAATAAAATAAAGATGTGGATACAGCATATATCCGTAGGATATAAGTGCACATGCGCGGTTGGGAACTTGGGCAGCATCAAGTTGGCATCACACAAAATTCTCGACCAAAATCAGCATCTGTCCATCTACTTATTTATTACAATTGCATTTTATTTTTAACAGACATGTATTGATGTATAGTTTCTTTATAATAATAGTCGTGTACCGAAACCATAACTTTCTATTTATCTATTGTATTAATTACTTTTAAATAAAATAAATAAAAATACGAGTTATATTTTATATATATGCTTTCGCCGTTGAATGTCATTAAGAAAATCTATATTGGATCAATTTGCTGAAGAACTAGTCTCTCTCTATCTTGGGAACTCCCGTAACTTCAAACAACCACGAGAGCAAAGCTCGTTTTTATTTTATTATATTTAATTTTCTAGTGCTCTTATTATAGTTAATTAATTACTTGATTTCTACTTATTACGCAAGCAGAAACATCGCATTTAGCTACAAATATACAATATCAATCTAATTCCGTATACTTAAGAAAAAAGAAAAAAATACACGTACGTCAAGATAATAGCATATTAAATTCTAAAGCTTCGAAGGGATAACTTTATTAATAATCACGATTTGCAGATGAATTTTCCAATTAATATAAGCAGTAGTGGTGATGATTATTTAATAACTTTATAGTCTTTAGGCTGTATATATCCATAGATATGCCTAGGCGTAAACGTCCAACAGTGTCTGGACTTGATTTGGATTAAACATAATAAGTTATGGTGCCTGAACTTGATTTGGATTATAAAAACATTTGCTGATGGAACCCAATAGTTGTAGACTTTTGTAGTATGGTAATTGTTTTGTCGTATGGCTCGAGATTAAAGTTAATTATTCTAAGTGAATTTATATATTTGATGCTAGAATCTATTGTATTATCGGCCAACTTCAGTTAAACAAATTCGATAAATAGATAGATGTATAGAAGAAAATAAATGCTATTAAAAACAATAACATAAGTGGGAGAAAAAACAAATATATATACCGAAAACTACAATGTTAGCGTTGGTTAGACAGAGTGGAGCATGTCACCCCAAGTGTTAGCTAAGCTAATGATCAATTATTACCTAGCCTTATAATATAATCTATTAATTATCAGACATCCAGTTATAGTTATGATTCATAATTATTCCTTTTTTTTTAATGATTATAGTTATATAGTGCGTATATTTTGGGTTAAAAGATGAATGATGGTGGAAGTCGACGTACGTTTGATTGATCATTTACGCGTAAGCGACTTTGTTTATTTCAGGGAATGATACTTCTAATGCTAAATACATTTGAGTGTATTAAATGAACTTTTTGTTAAATTATTAACTGCACTGGTTTTTAGTTTATAAATTATAGGTCTGTATTTGAAAGCTTACAGAAAACATAATATATACAAAGTAAATACTATTGCAATTACTTTATCAGAATTATCAAATATCTACGTAGGATAAACACTTTTAGTTCATTTAAAATATAAGATATTTTTAATTATATTGTTTAAATATATAGATGCAAGTATCCTTACCATAATTATGTTATTTTTAATTTCTTATATTTATTGTCACTTTAGTACATATTTTCTGATATAAATAAAGTTATACGGAAATATGTAGATCTCGCTTAAAACAGAAACAATACAGACTTATCTTGTTCTTGTTAATTTAAAAACAAAAACTAGATATTAAATTATCCTTTTTTATCGTTCGCCAACATTTTCTTCCACTTTCTTTACCAAAGGAGTTTCATTACTCTTTTAAACTGTAAAGTTTCACGAAACAGTTTTTTCTTCTATTGTAAACTTTTGTAATCAAGCTAGTTTTTGAATAACTTTTTTTTGTTGACCAGAAAACAATCTTTTGACGGCGGTAAATGATGAGCAATTATATATACACGTGCATATGTAATAACCATTGTGCCGTGAAAAAAATATCAAAAGAACATGAAAAGAAGAAAAAAAAAAGAGAGTCTGCGAGATATACGTGTGATATAAACGGTGACGCGACGGCGTTAAAGTGACGTGTTCGATGTAAAGTGGGTCCTACATCACATGCCTCTCCACCAATGTCTTTGTCTGAAAGGGAGAGCGCAAAAGTCTAATGGGGTCCGCTGGCTTATAGGCGGGCCCTACCACAGCTTTTGGGTTTTGGCCTTCTATCCAACATCAAGAAAAAGGTTCCATAAGAGAAGATCTCCTGTGAATCTACCACGTGTACGGTTGAAACGTCTTGAAATTCGGTGATCAGGATACGTATCGCCGCATGGGGATAAAACCTCTGAAACTCGTTGAACAGAGAACCATGTGCAACATCTCTCCACTTCGTCTTGCCTGACATTTTTTCATTTTCTATTTGCTTTCTATAAAAATATGATCTTTAATTAGTTTTTGCATTTGGAATTAAAGGATAAATCATAATAATTTTTCCATTTTCAAATGTGGTATGAATTTGAATCTAGCATGATTGAAAATACTTTTTCTCGAAAACTAATCACACTGATATTCTGTTACTACCTGTTAATCGTTTAAACCAAAAAAATCGTTAAATTACCGGTTAACATCATATTTTCAGATGAAAAGTACTAAAAAATTGATCATTGATTCAATATATTCACAACTACGAAGTTTGTTACCAACTAATATGTGAGGAAGCTTGGCGGATGGAATCTGTAGTTGGATTTTTAAAACATAGTATTCGGAAATTCTTTTTTTTTAAGGAAAATGGCAAATATAAAAAACTTTAGGTTATAAAAAGCAAGTAGCAAAAGGCGAAAAAGGAACGGCTAGAAAAAAACACGGATATTTAGGGAGATCCAATTAGGTGGCTCGGCTTTTCATGTTTTATCTCCGTGTCCTTTACTCGGAAATTTTCAAAAGACAAATGAGAAAGAAAAATTATGCGTTGATTTGAATGTTTTTCCTTTTCCATGATTCGAATGTTGAACGTTGTCACTAATCCATTTACAAACAATACACTTTGTTCTTCCAAATGCAAATCCTTTTTTTTTAGTCAAAATTTGTAAATAATGGCCGAAAAATAATTGAACCCACGAAGATATTAAATGACTTTGGAAACAAACCAATGACATAACTAAACTTTATAACATTATTCAAAACGAAGACAGATTTCTGTAAAAGACTGTTATAAATTTGCAAGACTGTAGATTCTTTTTTAGTTGTGAATAGTGGTTATTAACCGACGAGGAGAAATACGAAAGAGAATAGTCGTAACTCCGCTCAGAATCTCCAAAACCCTTTGGAATATAACAATATTATTCTCATAACATTTAACTACGCAGTTATTCAAAACAATAGTAATATAAACGTCGTAAAAACGATTTCATCTTCACATAAATTGTTTTTTCCCCGATTATTTTATTTCAGACTTTTTTGTCCTCTCCTCTCTTTAACCTTGTAAGGATTACGGCCGCACATGCAAGAAACTTAGAAACCGCACGTGATATCTCAGTTATGATCCTCTTGCTCTCGCACCCCCCAACATTTTGGGTAATTCAATTTTCCAACCCCATATCCCTTAAGCAGTATTTTCCCAAACGCCCCTTGTTTTTTTCCTACATTTTCAAATTCATCCTCAATATTGTCTTTTGCATTACGAGTTCCACTGACCGGAACAATACCACTGCTCATTGTCCGCAAACAGCTTGCAAGCTTCCTCTCCACTAAAAAGATCCTCATGCTCTTCCATCTTTACAAATTGGCTAAAGCATCCCATCGTCGACATTTCAACCGCCGTGGCGGCCGCCGCCGCTTCAGCCGTTGTGGGACTATACTCTTCGTTCAAAACCGCGCTTGAGTCGCTGCTATCGGCAGGATCTTCTCTGAAGCTGTCGGTACGTGGGAAAATACTAAACATCTCGTATGCGAGCTCCGATGTCGGAGCTTCTATAGGAATATTTGGCGGCGGAGAACGGTTGGTTAGCTTTAAGACATCGTTATTAGCCATCACCGTCTGATTCGCTATCGCTTCCACCCCTTTTACAATGCCGTTTTCTTCTATCGACGTGTTACCATTTCTCCCGCTGGTCCGCTCAACGTTAAGTTTTGCTCTTAGCTCTTTAATCTGCAGAAATGTAACATTTAATGTGTGATTTGTTCGTTTTTAGAAATTTGTTTTAAAACGATATTGTAATGTGTTATTTGTTCGTTTCCTTTATTAACCGAGTTATTGATGTGTTTAGTTAAAATTACGTCTAACATGCGTTTTTGTGTGGCTAAAACGTTCAATTTTATTCATACCAAAAAGGTGTTTAATTTCTAAAACACAAAATTATACCTCAGTAAGGAGGGAGTCATTATCATGTTGAAGCGAGTCGCGGCTGCGTTTGAGTGCGTCGAAGTTTGACTTGAGAACGCCATAATCACGTTCGAGCTGCTTTGTCTTCCACCGAGCACGGCGGTTCTGAAACCAGATCGCCACTTGTCGCGGTTGCAGCCCAAGCTCTTGAGCCAGCTTAACTTTCCTCTCCGGCTCTAACTTGTTATCAATCTCGAAATTCTTCTCTAACGCTTTCACTTGCTCTACACTCAACCGCCGTTTTTTCTCCGATGTCGCCGCAGACGACGCGTGTCCGATGCCGATGTCATCTAGACTTCCGTCGTCTTCTAGACCGTCGAACATCGGCGAGTAGTCTCCGGCGCCGGAATAGAGAAAGCCGGTGGTTGGTGGTCTTGGACTTATTTGTTTGTCTGATAAAATCATTAATCACGGTAGTACATTAATTAAAAAAGTTACTATATCTCTAACTGATCTGAACGGATAATCTATATCAAATATGGGAATATTTGTGATGTCATGAATGATTACATTACATTTCAAAACCTTGTCAGGATAATATCTCGATCATATGAATTGTCAGAAACGCACATCTTTATCAATGTTAAAAATACCAAAATAATTATACAGATAACCTTTTAATGGTTCAAAAAAAAAAAATTATACAGAAAACCCCGGCTTGTACCAAATTCTACAATTCATTAGTATGTAATTAGTGATCAACATCAAGATATACTGAATTGCATTTCAAAGAAATTGCTTGCTAAGATCGATCATTCCCTCACTAAAACAGAAACTATATAACTAACAGGATTATTTACAGAACTTAAGTATATATGCGTTATATATTACAAGAAATGTCTTTTTACCTGTTGCAGAGTGGCAAATTGGCAAGAAACCGGATAAAGAATCGGAGCTTCCACGTGATCTTTTCATCTTGTTTGGTCGGAACTATTTGAGAAGGAATTAAGAACGGGAAAAGGAAAGAAGTTATGTTTAATGGTTAGAACAAGGCCTAGATCGTTTGAGATGTAATGAACGATCAGGATCTATCTACGACCAATACGAGTAGTAATATAAGACGAAGATACAATCCTCTCTCTTCTTCTCCAAAGAAGGATCTTTGCTCTGTGTCTACAATTATCCATCCAAGATAGAAACAGAGAATTGATCAGGATTAACTAATAATTACCCATAAAGATTCATCTAATACCCTCCAAGGAAAAAAAAGTAAGCTTAAGAGTTAAGACCATCGAATTTTCTCGGAATACTATAAGGGATAGGGGGATTCACAATCGTGTAATTTTGATTTCCCGAGAGAATCCGAATTTATAACAGAGAGAGAGCGAGAGAGAGAAAGAGAGAGAGAGAGAGAGAGATGGCCTCACAGTCCTTCTCCGGGTTTTAAATAAGACGACAGCTTAACCCTAGGGGAAGTGTTGGAGATATCTTGAGCTATTTCAAGAATTTTGGGGGGTATTTTATAACATAATCAAATTAATTGCAAAAACAAACTTACAATACTCGGCTATAGCCGGTTTATTCATTTCCAGGAACTGTAAACCGACTCCATGGGTTCAGCTCGGCTACTTTGAAGCCGGTATCGAATTTTATAGATTCATTAAACTAGACCGTAATACAAGGTTAACTGTTTCGTTTTCACATATATTATCACGTTTTTTTATTGATTGATGAAATGATAAGATTAAAGGTCGTCCAAATGGATTCTCTACAGTAGAATTGATATTTTCTAATTAAAATGTCCTAATCAATTGTAGTATTAATACACTGGAGTACTGGACCAACCATCTATTTTAATACAATATAGACATGGGTCATGGTTGTTGTTATATACAGCAGATACACGTAAAGAAATATTATATAAAAAGAAGTCGGTCCATGCAAATTGATTTTCTTTATACCCTTTAGATTTTAGATGAGTGTAAATGTGGGTCTTTAAGATTTATAATTTACAACGTGAATAAGGAACACAAGTTACCTATTATACTGTCATTCATATTCGTAAATTTATCTATTTCTGTTGTCATTCATTTAGATGACATATCGTGGAGAGTCGAGTTTGAATCCGAGTGTCGGTATTGAAATATATACCCCAAGCGAATATACACGAGGAGACTCTTCTCAAACTGTGGAACCATTTTTATATCATATTTACAATTTTAAGTAGCACAATTTAAACACAAGTTTTAAAAACAATTTGATTTTTAATCTAGTAGTTGAGTATAGTAATATACTAATATATCATCGCTTCGATATTTTTTTTTTTTGTTAAAGATCATCGCTTCGATATCCAAAACTAATTCCGATAAAATGTAGAATGTGCCAGTTCACAGTTGTAAATGGATGAAAAAAATTGTAAAATAAAGTTAAAATTTAGCAGCAACATAATGGTTGTGAACAACAAAAAATATATATTGATCGATATTAAAAAATTACACATTTTCTTGATCCAGTGTCTTTTCTTTTAATTTATAAAAACACAATTGTTTATATAGTTTTAACTTATGCAAATAATTTAGATATTTATGAATTATGATGGGGAGCTCTGTAGAATTGGAGGCTACTAAATAGTATTTTTTTGTAGTAATATGCACTTATTGTTTTGCTTTCTTTTGTCATTGGATGTTACAGGTTGTAGTTTCGATTAGACGATTGACCACTGATTATAATTGATAAAAATTTGTAACATGATGTAATGATAATTGTTTTTTTTTTGGGTTAAAAAATCTGTGAGAAAAGTTGAAAGTTTCTCAAGGATTAGGCTTCGCCTATTAGATACAACGAAAATTATACCTTACGATCGCCCAATAACAACGTATCTTCATCGATGGATTAATAAAACCGTCTTCCCATAGATAACTAGTTGTATACAACATGTATGTATTTTAGTGTGATTTAATTATATATACAGGAAGTGTATGAGGTGTACAAAGGATATTCACAAGCTGCAAAATATTTTAAAATCGGGCAATGGGTAAGGCGACAGAGCTTTGATGAGATAGCTGTCTGTCTCTGAAGTCTGTAACAATCTTCTCCTTCAAAATGTATTATTTTTAGTACATTTAAATTTTTATAACATAGTATATTTTTATAACATAATATATAAAAGAAAGCAATCATCTAACATATTTTCTTTTTTTTGGTAACTCTATATAAAATATTTAACATCGTTCTAACATAATTTCTGTTTTTTTTTTGGGGTATGAATAACAATTTTTGTTTTTGTTTGAAATGAATAACACAAATACTGTATGATTTCACACGTTGTTACGAAGTATTTGTGTAGTCGCGATTTAACACAATCATTTTGTTAATAATACTTTTTATATAAAATTTATCATCTTTTGTTGTTTAGCAACTCTTTTTATTTGGTCGTTTATAACAAAAACAAAATTATGCAAATATGTATATTTCAAATAGGTTTTGCTTTTGCAAGTGTTTCAGAATCAAACAATACACGAAAAACATATAACATGACGATTTAATTTCTTCTGTCTATATCATTAACAAAAGAAAAGGCATAAAAGCAAGGTGGAAAATAAAAGAAAAAGGTTCTTGGAGTTGGGACTTTTTGTTAATGTGTATATTAATAAAGCTTTTAGTCCTTTGTATAGTGACATACTAACATGATGATTTCGTATGTATCCATCTAAAATCTCAAAATAGAAAAACCTAAAGTAAAAGAGGTTTGGTGTTTCTTTAAATCAAGAATTATATATTATACGGAGTTTGGTTGATGAGCTGGTTATCCTATGAAAGCAACTAATTCCACTAGATTCTTGATGTCTATTTTTTATTTTTTTTTGTCTTCTAGAACATTGATCACGACATCAATGATCATATACATAATTTTAGAAAACCCAAAAGTCTGAAATATATATACCGTCCCTCATATATAATTTAGTGTAAATATAAGGAAAAAGTTAAGTTAAACTGTACCAAATACCTTTATTCGTTGCTTTTTTACTTTCTACCAAATATTTCGATCTACTATTGGAGAAAACCTGTAATTTCGGCGTCACAAAAAAAAAAAAAAAAAAAACGCAGAAAGAGGCCGCCCGTTCTATACCGGTTTATACCAAATTTCTTCTGATGATGAAATAAGTTCTAAAGGCCCAATAATCGCCTGAGAAGTAGGCCCATCGTTTTAAGGCCCAATTCGGTTAAGAATCATCGCTGCTGCGTTATTATTATTTTTCTTGTAACCAACAAGATAAACGATTGCCTCTGGCGATTGGATTCTTCTTTCTCTCCAATCTATTAAACCCTACTGTGGTAAACCTTATTCGATTGTATAAAAAGAAATATGATGAAGAATGGACTTTGACTGTCTGGATTTAGTGTGAAGCCTATATAAACTTGTTGACATATAATTTTTTTTTTTTTTTGGAATACATATTGCAACTTTATAGAAAATAGAATTTCTAAGTTAGTTGATACTATAGTAAACAAAGTTCAATTTTCCTTTTGAATTCTTCTAACAACGCCATGCACCGCATTTGCGACCTCATTAGCTGTAGTCGTTAATTGACACTCTTCCTCTACCTAATCCAAAAAAGCAATTATTAATTAAACATAATTAGATATGCTCTTTAAACATATATGTAGTTGATTAATTCTCTTAAACAATAACCTGAACAAAAGAAGAAGAAAACAATTACCTTAACGCTAAAAGTGAAGAGAGACATGTCTTTGGAAGTTGTGAGGTTGAGATGAAGTGTACTTAAACCTAAGGAGTAAAACTCATTGATAATCTTGAAGAGCAATTTTGGCCGTGTCTTTGTTAACACTTTAATGTTGGCATGTCTTTCCACCATCGTAACCTCCACGTCAGCAACCACCGCTAGTTGCTCCTGGTGGTGGTGGCTTGAGGCGGTGGCGGTGGAGTATTGAGGGAAGATGAAGAAGTCGGAGAATATGTTTGGTGATTGATTGGGTTTTGTGGTTTTTAATTGGACTTCGACTGATTGGAGGCGTTGTTCTTGCTTCTTTAGATAGTTAATAGTCCCTTCTATGATTGATGCTTGGTCACTCTATTGATAACAACGAAGAAAAAAAAAGCAAGTTAACTAATATGGGTTGCAAATTGTGTGTTCACTGATGATACAAAACATATTACTAATCGGCATCCTTATTTATTAATTGTTTACTAAAATAAAATATAGTATTAATTTGTTTTGTATGCCAAATGATTAACGGAAACGAAATACTAGAATGAACTAATTAATAACTGAAAATCATTTTACCTGTTTTTTTTGTTGTTGTCTAATAATCTAAAAAATAGTTTTAGTATATTAATATGATGTTGAATTTCTAGTTATCATTTTAGAAGGTCATACATAACGAGAGTACCGTGAATTAATCGTAAATTAAATATAAAGAATTGTGAAAACAGTGAAAACACAAAAACAAAAAAAATTGCTTAGCCTGCTTATATCTTATATCGACCTAACATATAATATAATAACTATGAAATAATGAGCTATAAGTATGGATTTAGTAAAAAAGGAATAAACTAAATAATAAAGAAACTCACACGTTGCGAATAAGAGAGAGGCATCATAGATTTGAGGATAGAGAGAAAATGATTCATCTGTCTTCTCCGGTTACGCTCGACGGCAATGTGATTCATCCTTTGGTTCTCTTTCTCTTCCATCTTCTTTTTATTTCTCGTTCTCCTCCTCTTCTTACGCGGCGGTTCTTCATCGGAAGCACATCGTGCTCGCTGAGATATTAAGTTTTCCGTCGAATGAGATTGCTTTTCTGCTATGGGGGTAGAGAGTAGCGCCGCTGCACAAGCAGAAGAGGACGGAAAGTGGGTTTGCTGTGACGTCACGTCGTGCGAGCCTGAAACGACGAAGTTTTTGAAGTAATCAAAGATCTCGTAGCTTAAGGATGTTTCATTGAGTGAAAAGCCATAAGGGTACTCTTGCTGGAGCATCATAGTCTCTCTCCCTCCTTCTCAAACATAAAAATTGAGAGGCTAACGCATAAGAGTTTAATATTTGGTCCCAAAAAAAAAAAAACGCATACAAGTTCATGGATATGTTTACAAAGTAGCTTTTATGTATATTTATAATGGGGTCTTGTTAATTTGTCAATTTAATTAGACAATCAAGATTCATCGAAGTTTATGTGAAAAAATGAATCCATACCTAGAGTCTAGAGACTATAGACTAACTTATAAGAATTAATTAACTTATAAGAATTAATTAACTAATGTCATGTGAGATTATAGTGTTTTAGCTTAATTATAAGTATAGCTGGCGTTTACTAATTGGGGATTTTCAGACATCATTAGTAGACTCAGTTCGACAAAATGACCCTACCCTCGTTGTAATTATTTATTAACAACCTCAATTCAATGCTGGTTTTGTGGTTCACACCTAAACAATAGAAATACCGGTACGCTCTCATTGCAATTTCATTTTCAGTAGTACATAAGACCTATTAATATATTATTATTTTTACCACATTCTACGCTTTATATATCGTCATGAAATCTTATAATTTCATTCTCGAATCTTTCACGTTTGACTAATAGGGTAGAGAACGCATATGTAAGGACATAATCAATTTATATTAATTAATCCATTTCAAATCATTTATAACAACTCGCAGTCCAAGTCCAATACACTACAAGAAAACGTAACCTAACCATTTCTTATAGAAATATTGTAAGAAATTAGTAGAAAACAGTTTTTTTCTATTAATTTTCTACGAAAATATGTTGTAAATTATCTCTTATAGGAAATTGATAATAATAGGAAAATCATAGGGAATAACAACTAATTTTGTTCCTTTCATAGCTGCTGGTTCAGTGACGTTTCGATGTCAATTTTGAAAAACAGTGATTATAGACTTCAGTCACTTCTAACTTGTAAACGGCCATCAACAACAAATAATTTTCTCAAATTCGAAAAATACTATGGGCTTTTACACAAAACCGCAGCACAACTAAAAACCTTTTGCAAAATGATGAAAAATAATCTGTGAGGAGTTTCTTTAATAGTATCATCACTAATCAAATATTCAATTAGAAAATCAAAGCAGGAAAGAATCTATTAAAGATACACAACAAAGAAGAATTAACATTCTCTTTCTTGATCATTCAATTACTTAATATTTTACTACCCTAGTAGTATTTAAATAGACGTAAATAATTTATTTATCTGTGTCGTTTCACATGATCGGTACTTTGTACCTAACAAAGAAATGAAAATTGCTACTTGTGATTTGAAAATTCGCAATTTGGTAACAATATTGGATCGTCGTTATCAATATGACATGAATTGTACTCTTTCAAATATTGTTGTGTCTCTAATACGGCAAGCTCGTTTACTACATTTGTCGTCACTTCCACGTATTCTCAATTATTGTGTATTTTCTTAATTAACTATTTATAACAAAAATTACTGCAAAAACATATGAACTTTGGATGCGTTTACCGTACTTATTTTGCCATGAAATATGTGAATACCCTCAGAATATTTTGTTTCAATTTTCTTAATAGTTTTTTTTTTCAATTTATAAAAAAGTTCTTCTAATACACACGATCAAAAGTTTCCTTTTCTCTTCTCTACCATCGAGAGACTAATAAAGGAAAATATCTGTAATTTAATAAGGAAAATATATGTAAATATGGAAACACACACATCTTAACTCGAGTTTCGTGATTAATAACGATGAGAGAGATGCCTATGTTTCCGTAGGGACCAAGAAATCTATATTACACATACATAGTTCACACTTCACAATGTTTCATAATTCTTTCTCTACGTGTTGCCTTGACAGAGAGAAAAAAACCCTAGTTTCTTGATCAATCAAGAAAAACTCACCATGCGAGCTTCTTCTTCTTCTTCTTCTTCTTCTTCTGCTTCTTCTTCTTCTTCTTCTTCGTATTCTAAATCATCCGCTGCAGCCAGTTTGAACAACAGACTTAAGACAGTCTTCAAGAAAGCTAACGAACTTTCAATTCTCTGTCAAATTGAGGTTTGCGTCATCTATTACGGACTAAACGGCGAATTGAAGACATGGCCTAAGGAGAGAGAGAAAGTTGTAGACATGGCTTTGAGGTACAACGCAGCCACGAAACGCAAGAAGAGCCTCAATCTCCATGAGTTCCTGGAGAAGAAGGAGACGGATAAGAAGAAGGAGAAGGATAATAAGGAGGAGAACGATAAGAAGAATCCGAAGAAGAAGACGAAGAGAGTCTCGGAGAGCGTCAATGGATCAAAGTATCGTGATTGGTATCCAGTCTTTGATCATTACTCTCCCCATCAACTCTCTCGGCTGATTCTGTCCTTAGAAAGGGTTCTCTCTACACTGCAAGAAAGGCTTCGTTTTGCCGAGGAGGCGCAGAAGCAGTACTGGAACACAAATTTGGTTCATCCCAATTTGACACCGCCGTTTGCGAACCAGCATCATCTTCAGTATCAGACACAACCCTTGAACCTTAGCCAGCTCTCGCCGTATACTCTCTCACAACTCCCATTCTCCGCACCATACTCAAACCAACTCATCAACTACCACAACCACTTGATGATGCAGCAGCAGCTTTATGGTATTGATCACAAACCCACCAACATAAACTTTCAACATCCTTGCGGCTCCAACACACAAGAATCTGGGTTGAAGAATCACTTGATGATGCAGCAGCAGGAGCTTTATGGTTATCATCAGAACATGTGTATGACGAATGATATCTCCAACAGCAACGTTCTACAACAGCCTCATCTCTCAAACAGAGCTCCAGACGAGTTCTGTTATGATTTCCAGAACAACCCTTGTGGTGATATGGTCGGTAGCAGTAACAACAGCTTCTCTCAAGATTTTCCGGAATTGCTTTCAAGCTCTGATGGGAGCAGACTGCTTCAGACATCTTCTTTACCATCTCTCCACACCATTCCTAACAGCTATTTTCTTTCAGACAACTCAAGATTTCTCTGATGAGAGAGAGTGGAGCTGTTTCTGCATCTAAGTTCCTCCTGCTACGTTGGTTTTCTATCTACAAATATATATATATATATATATATATGAATTCAGTTGCAGAACAGATCCATATATGGAGATTATTGTTTTGACACTTTTCTTTTTTAGTTTTGAGAAGTTACTATACTCTATTTTTTCGGTTTAGAACATTATTATTCATATATGTATGCACATCCAGATATTATCTTTAACGAAAACTTCCATAAAAAGTGAAAAAGGTTTCATCTTGCAAAGAGTTAACCTTTTTACTCTTGCATCTTCTAAACCCAATGGAGACAGTACCATCGAGGAAACTCAAAGAGAGAAACAATGTGGTTAGAATCAATGAGATCAATCGAACCCTTTTATAATCTAAAATGTTTGATCTCAATCGAGTCAATTCAGGGAAACCGCAGAGCATAGTCCAGATTCTTTATGAAATTTTCCTTAGAACACAGTACGAAAACCCCAATAACTCGACAGACAAAGAAGAAAACGGGAAAATCGGTTGGATCAAACATCATTCCAGCAAACAAGACGCAAAACCCACCACGAACCTTATCGCCGGAACTCAGATTCTGCCGGAAAAAATAATAGCAGAGACGAGAGAGAGAAAGGGATTCAAAATATTCAACCCTCCACCAGATTCTAAGGGCCCATTATTAAAGAGACTCTCCGTACCATTAGGCCCATCAACTTACAATAAGGCCTGTTTATTATTCCCATCAACTCGGCCCACGGCGAGCAAAAACGCCAATCTCAAACGCATATAACGTTTGAGCTTATCAATCTTGTATGACGTGAAACAGAGCATGGTGTGTGATGTGAGATCTTATGCTTTGTTCTTGGTACTAAGATTATTTTTAAGTGTGGTAAAGATTCTCAGGATTATTACGTTATTATTACCCTTTTTGAAAGCTTGAACTTCGAAGTGCATATAACTTCTCCTCTCAAAATCCGATAGTGAGGATATGCAAAATTTACTTGTAATGTGATAGATTGATTGATCAATAGTGAGGATATGCAAAATTTAATTATAATGTGATAGATTTGATCTTTCTTATGACAAAAAAAACAAAAGAACATTAGAAAGACAGAGGGAATCAACAACAGCTATGACAACCAGCTTGCCATTTTCTCTGAGCAAAAGTATAAAGTCACGAATGAATAATCTTATATATTTCGTTATTGTAAATTAATATTTTAATAGAAAGTTGTTAGTGTTCTTGTAGTGATGGATTCGCCGCGTGGACTCTTATTATTCTCCCATGACAAGTCTCGTTTGACCTCAACCCACGTACGAGTTTCTCTTTATTTTATTTTTTGAAAAGAGGTTTTCTTTATTTAAGACCAAAAAGCTAGTATTAGTTTTTTAATTGTTATGTTAATCATACAATAAAAATATACTTATTGAAAATAATAGACGACTTATATACGTGTGCGTACCTTCGTGTTTTGTAAATTGCTTTACACGTAAAATCGGCAAAAAAAAGGGGGAACAAAATGCCTATCAAATTAATTCTGTTGAAATTTTCGAATTAGTAACAAATTAACAATAAGCCGTATTGTTTTCAATCCACGAAAATATTACTAGTTATGTTGCCTGACAATTTCTAAAAAAATAACTGAATGAAAAAAGAAAAAGAAAACGGGCAATCCTATTTTATTTTTCTGGCACAATTCTGTTAATTGTTATATATGTTGGTCAAATAAAACCATAAATTTCGGTTTTATCTATAAAGACTAGCAAGATATAATAGTGCTGCGCAAATGCATTAGGCATATCATTTGATATTTATATGTTTGATGCTTGTATATCTTAGTTTGTATAACTAATAAACGATCCAATAAATGTAATTACGTGATCATTCAATTAACGTTGATTAGTTATACAATAATTCATGTTTGCTTATATATATATATATATATATACACATCCTATTTTTACAGATGGCCAACTAAAATTGTTAACTTTATTCCCCAAATTATTGACAATAATCTTTAACAAAAAAAAAAATTATTGACAATAATAGAAAGCAAATGTAAAGCTATAGAAGATTAAAAAGCCTTTGCACTATATGAAACACATGAACACACATGGTCACCACTACTGCATACAAAAGTTGAGATCATCAAAAGCTATGCTTATTACATTTTCATCTAATTAAGCACAGCTAAAAAAACATTACGAGAGCCACGTTAATCGGTTTAGTTTGCCTAGTCGCAAACAGTAAAAAACAAAAAAAAAAATCACCGATGAACCTCAAATTCTCAACAAATAGCATGCAAGTGCACCGATAGATGTCTTTCATGCTAGAAACAAAATGATCCAAGATCATTTTCGTGACGATCTAAAAAAGAAGATACTTAGTTCTTGTCCGATAATCCCACTTGGGTCAATGAGATGAAAAGATTCCGAATCAAACGATCCCAAAACTCGTTTGAAGCTCGCTCTTAAGTACATCATATGATCGCTCTTCTCTCGGTTAATCTCTTCTCCGTTCACAACCCCAGCTCCTTCAGCCACCGGAGTAAGCACCTTCAACGCGGCTAGCTCGGCTTTCGAAGGCTCTCGTTTGATAGCGAAACCGACTTTCCGACCGTTGCAATACATGTTCCATAAAGGTGTTGCAAGAAGAGAAGAAGAAGAATCTTGGTGACAATCATATTCGTCGTTATTGTTTGATTCCAGAGCGATTCTTAACACGCCTCCTCGCATTTCGCGGGCTAGTACCTCGGTGGGGACGGTGAGTTCTAAGAGGACAATTATTGGATTTAGGGTTTTGGAATTTGTTGCTTGGATGCAGAAGTTTATTTTGCCACGGCGGAAACCAAAGATGGTTCCGGTGAAAGAGGAGGAGTTTGTGGATGCGGAGGAGGTTCTTGGTTTGATTTGACGGTGATATTTGTCTTCTTGATTATCATTTGGATCGACGAGTGTGCAGTAGCAAGATGGGATGAGAAGTTGGACGATGGTGCGAAGGAGCCGCCATGAACGGACTTGTTTATGGCAGTCTACGGTTGTGGTGGTTGCCGCGAGGCGGCGACGGTGAGAGTTTGTGGTGAAGGACATGTTTTTTTCTTATAAAGTTGTGCGAAAAGAATGAGAAATTTATGTGCATATATGTGTGTTAGGGTTCAAGTGGCATGAATGTATATATATAGAGAAATGGTTGTCAAAAGAAAATGATATGAGCTTTTTGTTGTTTGTATTTTTCTGCTTTATTAATTTCATGCAAAGCAAAATCAAAATATCAAATGATCTTATATATATATATATATATATATATATATATAAATAAATAACTAAAAATGGTACCAGTTAGAAATTACTACGGTTGTCAATTAATTAGAAATAACCGAATGCATAAAAATCAGATGTTTCTATTGACAAAAAGTATCAAATACTCAAATGTTTCTATTGACGTGAATATTAATTAATTTAATGTTATAGTTTTGGCTAGAGTAGAATGACACGGTGGCTTAGGAAACTTCCGTACAACCATGGTGGACATGCCCCTAATCATTGAATCATCATTATTCGTCATTTCACCTTATATGAAGTATTAAGAAATTCTAATCGATGTAGTTTTATCTGTTAAATGATTATGCTCGTGCATACTTAAACAATAATATTGCTAATAATATCAGTTAAAAATGGTGTTGATAGTTTAAAAAAAAAACGAGTTTGATTCTCTTAGTAAATTTACAATGTTCGTACGTAGCGATTTAAAAGTTCCAGTCATTCGAATGCATCTAGCTATTACACTTAAATCGGTTAAGAAATTGATCAAAAAAATATTTAATGCGTTAATCAGATTATGTGTGCGGCTAACTCTTATTGGCGTTAAACAATTAGACAAAATTGATTAAATCTATGATATCGTTTCTCACATTATTTTTTCTTTATTTTCATGATAACTATATTTGGTTAATTTAACTCACTTTTTTAATACGCCAACCTAAATGGACAAACAAAAACTTATAAATACACGACAAAGTCAAATCAGCCGTCTATTCGAGCATCGACAAGGATTGATCATAGGGGCTGAGCTTGTTACCCATTTTGTGGCCCATCAGTGGCCCAATATATTCCTCCTGGTTCCCACTAAATTTGGACAATATACGAACCACCATACATATCAAATTCTCCGGAAATTTATTTTGTTGCTCGATGAAAAAGTATTCGCCATTGGAGTTGTTTGATTTAATAAACAAAAAAAAAAAATGATATGAACACTGAACTTAAGAGGTTGAAATTATATTTAATTTGACTATAACGATTCTTTTTGTCAATTTAATACCAAAAATTCAAGATGGTACACGTTTATTTTCTTTTAACTTTAATAATATATCTCTCCGCGTTGGAGCATTTGCATATATTTTTTTTCTTTTGCAACAACAACGACGTATGTTGGAGAATACGTTGTCGTCTTGCACTTTTGTGGCTTTGGTTCTTTCCACTCATAAACAAAAAACTTTTCACAATTTGGATATTATTACAAAAGAAATGACAACACAATATATCATTGTCCCAATTTATTCGACTGTCCAAGAACCTATTTTGGAATATCTCCTCGTTTTGGTAATTTCTCGTTTGTTCCTTTCATCTGAAACGACGCCATCAAACAATATATACGAAACAACAACGCAATTAACACGCATGATTAAACGAAATTAGAAATAAGGGACCACTTTTAATACCCTTTTCCAATAAATCTCCGACGACAATTACGATACATAGAAAAGTTTTTTTAAAGGAGATTAAATAAAATAGACATAGAGAAAGTGTAATTGCCATGCTGAAAAATATCAAGTAGTTGCTGGAAATACTAAATTTTTAAGCATTGTAATTTTTAATTAGTTTCCACATAAGAATTCATAAATTTAGTGGTTGTGACTCCAATTTTTCAAAGAAGAAATGGGCATATAGCATATCTCGTCGCACGCGTAGGATAATAAACAGATTTAAATAAGACTTGAAAAAAAACGAAGCAAAGCTTCATAGCGGAATTTCATCAAACAGCTTACGTGCAAATCAAAAACACAGATCTAAAGCTTCAAAGACCTAGACTTACATAAACCCATAAACGAATATATAAAAAAACCATAAAATCCAAGAACGCTAAACACCAAATCATCACAGTTTCCTCAAGCTCTCTCGCCTCTGATTCTTCTCGCCAATTGGATATCTTTAGGCATAATGGTAACTCTCTTGGCGTGAATCGCGCAGAGGTTAGTGTCTTCGAACAGCCCAACAAGATAAGCCTCGGCAGCTTCCTGGAGAGCAGCGACGGCACTGCTCTGAAACCTCAGATCCGTTTTGAAATCCTGAGCGATCTCCCGAACAAGTCGCTGGAACGGGAGTTTTCTGATCAAAAGCTCCGTGCTCTTCTGGTACTTCCTGATCTCTCTCAACGCGACGGTTCCTGGACGAAACCTGTGTGGCTTCTTCACACCTCCGGTCGCCGGTGCTGATTTCCTCGCCGCCTTCGTCGCCAGTTGCTTCCTCGGGGCTTTTCCTCCGGTGGATTTCCTCGCAGTCTGCTTCGTACGGGCCATTTTAGGAATTTCAACAGGTAAAAGTTTGAGAATTCTAGTTTTTGATTTCTCGAAATTGTTTTGGTGTGGAAAATTGAAAAGGCTTTGGGTTGATTTTATGGGGGATGCAAGAGGAAGAGGAGATGAACAAATTTGGAGGGAGATTGAAAATTTTGTTTGGAGGGAGAGTTATTTTGATCCGCTAGATTTGGTATCTAATCGACGGTGGATATTGAATAAAGTCTTGACGATCCTCGTGATCATTAAATCCACCAATCAAAATATTTCCTTTTAGCGGCAGATCGGTTTTATACGTGTTTCATACTTTTTAAAGTTTTAAAGTTTAGGCGCCATCTCCCAAATATCTGAAAAGAACCGGTTATCCGGTTCGCTCACAAATTCAAATAACGGTATAAGATGATGCAAAACCAAATCTGAACATGGCTAATTCAGCAGTTGATCATGTCATGTATACGATCCATATCATTTTACAGATTTGATTATAAGGATCAGACGAATCACGTTCTTGTTTCTTTCATTTATTTCGTTGAGTAATTGAGACTAATACCACACGATGAAAACGAACAATGCTTATGTGCATAATAATTCGTGATGTATAATGAAATTTGGATATGCTTTGCTGACGAAAAATTCATTTTGATAGTTTCTTCATCCACTTAGATTGTTCAGAAAATAGTTCAACAACTTATATGGAGAGATGTTAAGATAGAAATTGATTAAGATTCATTGAGGCAATTCATCGAACAACACAGACGCAAACCTAATCCAACACTCGAAAACGAAAGATGTACATAGAAGAAAACGTAAACGATTCGAAAAAACCATTCGATCCCAAACGTAAGAGTCTAATCCAGTTATCTCAAGCTCTCTCGCCTCTGATCCTCCTCGCAAGCTGGATGTCCTTGGGCATGATGGTTACCCTCTTGGCGTGAATCGCGCAAAGGTTGGTGTCTTCAAACAGACCGACGAGGTAAGCTTCAGCCGCTTCCTGGAGAGCTGCGACGGCGCTGCTCTGGAAACGCAGATCTGTCTTGAAATCCTGAGCGATCTCGCGAACCAAGCGCTGGAACGGGAGCTTGCGGATTAGAAGCTCAGTGCTCTTCTGGTACTTCCTGATCTCTCTTAGCGCCACCGTTCCGGGACGGAATCTGTGTGGCTTCTTCACTCCTCCGGTCGCCGGAGCCGATTTTCTCGCCGCCTTTGTCGCGAGTTGCTTCCTTGGTGCCTTTCCTCCGGTGGATTTCCTTGCCGTCTGCTTTGTACGAGCCATTTCGTTAAGCGAAAACTATCGAAAGAACGAGAAGATTTGATTATTAGGGTTTGAGGAATTGGGAGATTTGATTTTTGATGGTGAGTTTGTTGGAGATTTGATTAGTTTATATAGCCAAGCGTAGACGAAGAAAACAGAGACGAAAAAAAGAAACGTCTGTTTTGGTTCGTTAGATCCTTTATCATATCAACGGCTATGATTGTTTCAATTTTAGTGATCCGCGTCATATGTAGTTGAACCAATCATATTAGGTTTCTCTAGCGCTCAAATTTTTATAAGCTTTTCTCCAATTTTTTACGCGCGTGTTTCAAAATTTAATGAGTTTAAATTAAGCCTCGTCGGGGTCAAACAAAAAAAACAGTAAAGCCTCTGTGTGAAAAGGCCGACTTATGTAATTCGGTTGAGGCCCGTTAAAAGACGTCCAATACTTTGAGTCTGTTTTCAATTTTAGTAATAACTAATATTGTATTTACTTCTTTTTTTTTTAACTTTTAAATATTTGATTTACTTTATCGACTGTATTAATTTTCTTTAAATTTTAAAAGTACATGTAAACAATTTACTAAAAATGATTGTACCTTCAATTATTAAAAATAAACTGAGAGATAATTAAACCTTTTCACTCTAGCAGAGAAGTAGTTAATCTGTAAAGAAATTTATCTATATATGTCAATAGCATTTAGATTTGAAATCTTGATAAAATATTTGTCACATATATTTTACTTTCAAACTTTTAAAGTTGGTAAATCATTTTTAGCATTTGTTTATGATGATTAACTGTTTCATAGCTTAATATGGATAAAAAAAAAAAACAGTTCAAAAATATAATTGTAATTAATATTAAAAATCCATATGTATTCAATCTTAAAGCACATATATAGATAATGATATAAGATCCTGTCTAAAAATTAATCTAGTATGTGTCCTACAAAATATGACTAACAAGATAGGAACGTTTTTTTAAAAAAGAAACGAACCTATTATTAATTTAACAAAATATATAAATATTAAGTGAGAGCTTAAAATGTTATATAATGCAAACCCACATTGCTCAAGATACAACGATTTTAAAAAGATAAAATCGACTAAAATAAAACTGATCAAATGGGAAAACTCACGACCTTGAAGGGCAAATTAAAAGACGAAGGCTCTCAAATGAAACTCAATATGGTTCATTTGTGTAGCTCCGAGAATGACAAAATCATTGACAAAGCTATCTTCAAAGCCACGACTCATACCTCACACGACCCACCTTCCGACAAATACGTCACTTTCCTCCAGTCAACTGTTGACACGTCTTACGGTCCGCAGGCCGTCACTGCGATCGTGCAGAGACTGTGTTTGACGAAGGACGTGCGCGTGGCGGCTCAATGTCTTATTCTTCTCCATAAAATGGTTAAATCAGAAAATGGTTATAGAGAAGAAGAAGATAGTATTCGTAATTTGATTTATAATCAGGGAGGGAGCAATCTTAATTTGAATGATCTTAATGAAGATTCATCTAGTTTTGCTAAAGAGTTGTCCCCATGGGTTCAATGGTAAGATTATATATGTTTATATGTGTGTTGGTTGGTTGAAATATATAGGAACGTCGTATACAATATGTTATATCCTTTATTTTCTATTGTTTATGTTTTATGTTATATCGCAATTTTATCGAAAATATTCATATATGCTATTATAAAAAGTTGTTGTTTTGAATAGGTACAAACTATATTTAGATTGTTTCTTATTCAATGCGGGGGTTTTAGGCGTTACTCCAAATATAAAAGAAAATTCAGAAGAGAAGCGTGTGGAAGCTGAACGAGTCGCGTCTTACACAACCGATTGCATTTTCGAACAAACCGATTTCTTAGTGGATGTATTCGAGTATATAAGTGGCAGACCAGAAACTCCGACGGATAAACCGAACAGAATCGTTATTGAGATGATAGAACTAGTGGTAAAAGACTACTTCTCGGTCATGAGATTGATCAAAATAAGGTTAGAAGAATTGAACGAGAGACCAGACCGACCAGACGAGTTTGTTTCGGTTTTGGTGAGGCTTGAAAATTGTATGGAGGGTTTGAGCGAGTTTTCTTGGCGAAACAAAAATTCGAATGAAGATTTTTGGTCTTTGGTATTGGAATTAAAAGATGGGTAACGTTAGAAACCAAAAGATTCGTGGGATAATAATGGTCCGGTTCGGTCAATAAAAACTCTTCCAACTTTGCATGTAAAAGCTGGTCCATGCCATCTCTTTAGTTGGATTTTGAATATTAAAATATTTGCTATGAATAAGTATATAATAAAATTTTCTAAGTAATCCAGTCAAACTCTTCTAACTTAGTATTATTTTTGTTTGTTTGTTAATTAGTCCTCGCAAAATCTCCGAGTGTATGTCAACTGCTGCATCAGCCATGTTAAATTTTCAGCTCTTGCAAAATTTAAGAATTATACTGAGATGTTTCAAGAAAACCTAAGTATGGTGAAAATTATTAAATATATTTAAATTGAGTACCTTGCACACAATATTTTTTTTTTTATCAAAAACAACATTATTTTATTATATTGGACCACTTGTTAACACGCGCATTTGCTCTACGTGCCTGTAAAAGTTATCAAAAGGAAAACAATATTATCAATAAATTTGGATTCTCCTTTTGATCTAATTCTACATATAAAACATATACAATATATTATATGAATTACCTCTTTTTCCCAATCACACCTCATCGTGATAAAAATTAAAATCATCGTCTGAACTGCGGTTCCTCCAAACATCATACCAGCCCAGATTCCCTGCAAATAAATAAAATCACAAAACATTATCTTAAATCAACAATCTCAAATTATAAATGAAAGAAAAAATATCAGAAGAAAATTATAATTACCATGACGCCGAATTCAAAAACCCAGCCCATTAGAAACCCAAGTGGAACTCCGATGCAATAGTAACATCCCAAGTTTATGTATGCCACGTAGGATTGCCAGCCCGATCCAACCGCGACACCTACGTAAGAGTCAAAGGTCAACAAAAATGTAAATTCTTATTGTAACCGAATATAAGTAAATAAACTATGACGTACCGGAAAGAACCGGTTGAACGCTGTTGAGAAGAACGGTAAAAGCTAACAGAATGATGAGTTTATTAACAGCCGTTAAAACGACGTCGCTTGATGTGAAGATCCGAGCGATTTGATTATGGAAAAGCATTATTATCACCCAAAAAAATAATCCGACAATTAACGATTGTGTTACTGATACAATCGTCGCTAATCTTGCTCCTTTTCCATTACCTGCTCCTAATTCGTTCGCCACACGTACTCTACAAAAATGAATGTATATCATAAAATATTATATTAAAATATTGATTGGACGAATAAAAAAACGTACAAAGCTATAATACTATAAGTTAAGTGTTTTGGTGAAGGATTCACAATTTTGTGGTTTCCAAACAATATCTTCATGTTTAAACAATTTTTATCCTAACCACATATGCACCAGTCACATCCTAATTAAAGGCCTGATACTAATCAAACATATCCATGCATTTAAAATTCATAACCGACAGTGTGGTAATAAATGCAAAACAAACCCGCCATGACCTCTATAAAGTCGACAACCTAACAACATATACAAATGGTTATATTAAAATGGACTAAACCGAACCAGATTCATTTGGATCATAATATTTAACCGTTTTACAAATTAGCAATAGAGAAGAATGAGTTTTACCCGGTTCCGGCGAAGAAACCAAGAGGAATCATCATCTCCCAGCCATTTACCGTCATGCTGCCAAAAAAAATTGTGATAAAAATAGGGGACTACAAAGAAATAACTATTCATGAATAATAAAAGATCGGTTTTGATTGGTATGATAAAACATGTATCGTCCTCTTATGTAATTACATTCAGAGGTATTAAACCACCATCTCTTACTATTATATCGTATCATTTATAATTGTGTTGTCGTCTCTTATTGTTAGAGGTGTAAAACGTATGATTTTAGAAACGGCTTACCATATGGACAAAGAGTCAACAGCAGTTCGAGGGTTGGGAAGATTTCCAGTCATTATTATCAAAATCTGATAATACCAATTTTCCAAACTGTCCAAAAGACCAAAATATATATATTATTAAAAAAATTGTGTGGTATATACATTATACAATAATATCACAAGTGTATTTTATTAAACTTGATACCAAAGCATGACGCCGGAAGAAGCGGAGAGTTTGAGAAACTCCCAAAGGCCGGTGAAGGCTTCGGAGGAGAAGCTGGTCCAAGTGAGTGGGCAGCCACCACAAACGGAGTAAGCTAATAGAATAAGAACGCTGACCCACCAAGATAATCCAATCGTAGCCATAGTACCGATGACTCCAAGTTTCAGCCCGTCCACGAACAACCAACACACAAAAATGTGAACCACTAATGCAACCGCGGCCGCAAACGCAGTCACCTTATAACCAAAAGAAAAAATGATTAGCTCAGCATTCATATAAGAAATGTAAATGCTATTAAACAAACATAAATCTTATAAATAAATAAATAAAAACGATTGTTCTTTTCTCTTATTTACTAGTAACTGTTAGACAAATTTAAAACAATTTGTATTTTTGTTTGCGTTAGCATTTAAGTTGTACCTTTTTTTTATATAAATTAATAAATTACGTACTTGGTTTTTAAGCTGGCACTGGAGGAAACGTTGAAGCGGTAAAGCCAAACAAAAGGCGAAATGGAGAGGGATGGCCCAAACGGAGATAACACCGCAAAGCTCAGCGATATCGTCCGGTTGACCAAAAAATTTGAGAAGCGGAGTTGTGAAAAGATAAGTCGGTAATAAAAGGACACAGCAACAGAAGAGAACAATCCAAGAACGCTGCATATAAACTCCCAACATATAATATTTCTTCGCTCCAAACGCTTGTCCACACAGCGTTTCCAACGCACTTGCCATTCCAAGCTGCACCATATCATCGGAAGATTCAAATTGAAAACCCATCAAGTGGCTAAAGCTTGTGTATAGTATTATGGTTTTGTACCAAGAGGCCGAAGTTGAAGCTGGCGATGACGTTACTGACGATGGAGATTGCGGCGAGTTCAAGATCTCCGAGATGACCAGCATATGCTTGAGTGATTACAAGCATCGAATTTGTAGTTAGTCTACTGAATATCGCAGGACCAACGATTTGCCATAGCTTCTTTGTCTCAACCCAAACTCTCTTCTTCAATCCTCCACCGTCTTCCTCCGCCGTGTCAGGGCTTTGCAACAGTGGAATCCTCGACGCCGACTCTTCTTCTCCTCCTCTTCCTCTCATCGCTAATGTCTTTTTTTCTTTTCCCTCTTTGATATGAAATATGAAGAAAAAAGGAGTGGGGCTTCTGCGTCTTTGGTATGAAAATCAATTACTTCAAATAGTGTTTCTGTAAAGGAAACCATAATCAACAAAAAATAAAACTTGACTCTAACCCAAAAAGTTTTTTTTTTTTTTTTTTTTTCTGGCATCGTTATAAATTTCAATATTTGACGAGAACAAAATAAATTAATTTCTAATTATATGATAAAGTGTTGTCGCGAGACTTCTTTCGTTACGATCACAAAATAGTGTATATTTTTGCGACATTTTTTTTTATTTGCCACGAGACCCACGAGACCACGACTGCCATGGATTTTAAAATTAAAAGTATGACATTAATATTTAAATAAAAGTTATTACGTTTATTTTAATAAAAATATTGGTCAATTACGATCATGAAACACCGCATAATGTGGAAAGACTATTCATTTGATTCGATAGATACTTATCTGTATAAAATTGGTGAGATGTTCTATCTAGTGAACACGTGATTATTGGTTTCGGATAGTAACGTCGGTTTGCTTTCACATGCGTCAGAGTCCCTTGTCATCTCATTGCTTAACCAATAATGTGAAATGCGTACGATGGAAATGCCTGACAATCTTTATAATGTGAAATGCGTACTACAAAAATATAAAAATTCTTCCTCCAAGTATAAATATTTCCTGACAATCTTTATAATTTGTAATTAGATCCAGCTAAATTTTACTTTGTACTGATCAATTATTATGTTACTTTACGCATGCACGTTTTTTTCTAATTCCACAGCCAAAATTATACTATAAAAGCTGCAACCGAGTCAGTGACGCCATAATATTGAAAATCCACAGTCGTAACAAAAGGGCAACAACCAAGTAACCATTAATTTACTTTATTGGGTTTGACTTACTTTTTTTATTTAATTAATAGCTGTCTAAAAGGGTACAGTTATATATTTTTGTGTGTTCTGTTAATTAATAACAAATCATGTTTTGTGAGTCATACAGTGACTGTTCAAACAAGCAGAGTGAAGGAGAGTGCGTGATATACTTTTTTGTATGTTTTGCATATATTTTTGTAATAATTGGGCGCCAAGTGGGTTTGCTAGCCGCCGGTTATTTACGTGTAAGTTTGTTAACAAAATCCAGAATAGATTAGTTAGTTTGATCTAGTCTTTGATAATACGTACCAAACATCAGATAACCCGATAACATTACTACATAGTAGTATATTTTTTTGTCCAATTGTTTATAATATAAACAAATACTGGATGGACTGACGTAAATATAAATGCAAACAGAACACAATAAATACATAATATTAGTTGGAAGCTGGATTGTAAATAAAACACATAATAAAAAAAAATTATAAAGATTTTGATAAAAACTTGGTTTGTTATTCTTTTTTCGCAGGGTCATTAGCGACAAAGAGTAAGACATGAACAAGGTTCGAAAGAAAGAACAAAGAAGAGAGACATTTTGTAGTAACTACAATGAGCTTCTGTAATATTTGAACCAGTTATGGTAACACATTTTGATACCAAGATATACCTATTTGAAAACACTAAATTATGCAATAAATCATCATTTCGTCGTGTCGGACCATTTGTTAACACGCGCATTTGCCTTTTGAGCCTACAAATTTAAATTGAAAAACGTCATTAGTAAATTTGAATCCTCATAGCGACTCAAATAGAAAATAAAAAAGTATGCAAAAGATAAGATCACCTCTTTTTCCCAATCACATCTCATCGTGATAAAACCTAAGATCATTGTCTGAACTGCAGTTCCTCCAAAAATCATACCAGCCCAAATTCCCTGAAAAACAGAAAATCGCAAAACAACAAACAATTTTAGTCCAACAATCTATATAAATGGTTTGGATCAAATTTTTTTTTTATATATATATATAAATGGTTTAACTAAATAATATAAGGGAGGCGGAAAATGATGGTTACCATGACACCGAAATTAAAAACCCAGCCCATTGAGAGTCCAAGTGGAACTCCTATGCAATAGTAACATCCCAAGTTTATATATGCCACGTAGGATTGCCAGCCCGATCCGACGGCCACACCTACTCAAAAGTGAAGAAGAGTCAACAAAAAACGTTGACTTGTGGTATATAAAGAAAACACAGTAAATAATTAAAAAATATGACGTACCGGAAAGAACCGGTTGAACACTGTTAAGAAGGATGGTGAAAGCTAACAGAATGGTGAGTTTATTAACAGCCGTTAAAACGGCCTCGCTTGATGAGAAGATCCAAGCGATTTGGTTATGAAAAAGCATTATTATCACCCCAAAAAATAATCCGATAATTAACGATTGTGTTACTGATACAATCGTTGCAAATCGCGCTCCTTTTCCATTGCCTGCTCCTAATTCGTTCGCCACACGTACTCTGCATATAATTAATGTATATTAGAAAAAAATTAGATTGGCTTATAAATGTATAAATCTATTATATTACACACACAGACGCACATCCAAACAAACAAAACAAAACAAGTGAAGCGAAGAAAGTATATATATAAATTATATTGGGATAATAGCAAAGAAAAGTCATCTCGAATATGTGCCTCGTATTATAAGTCAAGTCTTATTCAGACAACTTCACAAGTACTAAACAAACAAGAAGAAAACACAAACACGGAAGATGATAGAAGAAACTACAAGGATCTAGCCAAAAGTGCCAAATGTTCGGTTTCAATTTTCTAAATTTTCCTAAACATATTGTTCCTTATAAAAATATTCATAGTATTATAGATATACATGTAATGTATTCTTGCGAGTTTCAAGTTCGCAAATAGTCTTATCAAACAGAGAAGAGATCGAAGAACGGCTTTTACCCGGTTCCGGCGAAGAAAGCGAGAGGAATCATCATCTCCCATCCATTAATTGTCATGCTACACACAAAAACTGTTTCATAAGTTAATCTGCATAGAGATAAGGGTAATTACAAAGATATAATTATTTAGAATTAAGAGGAAGATAAAACCAAACCAATTATGAGTTTATAACCTTTCCGGAACAACCCCAAAAGTAGACGTGTGAAACGATGCGATAAGATTATATGATTGATCACTTTTTCTTCTATTATATATAGTATATAAAAAAACATATAAACATAACAAAACAAAAACTGATGAGGTAAAGAAACGACTTACCATATAGACAAAGAGTCAACGGCGATTCGAGCATTCTGAAGATTTCCCGTCATAATAATCAAAATCCGATAATACCAATTTTCCAAACTGTCCAAAAACCAAATATCTACTGTTAAAAATTGTGTCGGACTCATTAAACAGTGTCACAAAATATGTATATTCATAGGTACCAAAGCATGACGCCAGAGGAAGCGGAGAGTTTGAGAAATTCCCAAAGTCCGGTGAAGGCTTCGGAGGAGAAGCCCGTCCAAGTGAGTGGACAGCCACCACAAACGGTGTAAGCTAGCAAAATAAGAACGTTGACCCACCAAGAGACACTAATCGTAGCCATAGTCCCGACCACTCCTAGCTTAAGCCCGTCCACAAACAGCCAACACACTAAAAAGTGAACCACTAATGCAACCGCAGCCGAAAATGCAGTAACCTAATTAACCATTAGTCCAAACAAAACTGTCATCTAAGAAATATTGTTTATAAAAAACTATATGCTTGCTTTTTGCCTTTTTACTAAACCTTTTAATGCATACATAAGTAAGTACTCTCTTCGTTACATTTTAAATGTCACTTTAGGGTTTTTAACCAATCAAACTTCTAATGTACCTAATATCGGTACATGCACAACTCCGTACGTAATACTATCTACTTAATCTATAAACTTAGTTCAAAGGAATTTATTGATGAAATGTCGTCTATGAAATCATAAATTTAATTTATAAGCTGAATAAATAGAAAATAAAATTTAATTATAGTTTAAAGTATTGCATGGATACAAAAAAAAAACGCCAAATGAAATTCGTACGTTTGAAACAATCAGATGTATTATTATACGTACTTGGTTTTTAAGCTGGCACTGGAGGAAACGTTGAAGCGGTAAAGCCAAAGCAAACGCGAAATGAAGAGGAATGACCCAAACGGAGACGACACCGGACAGCTCAGCGATATCGTCCGGTTGACCGAGAAATTTGAGAACCGGAGTCGTGAAAAGGTAAGTCGGTAATAAAAAGACACAACAAAAGAAGAGAACAATCCAAGAACGCTGCATATAAACTCCCAACATATAATACTTCTTCGCTCCAAACGCTTGTCCACACAGCGTTTCCAACGCACTCGCCATTCCAAGCTGCACCACGTTGATATCAAAAATTAATCAAAACAGGAAAATGAAAAACCCTTTTAATTTTTTTACCAAAGAAAGAAAGAAAAGTCATATAATTCAAACTTACCAAGAGACCGAAGTTGAAACCGACGACGACGTTGTTGACGATGGAGATTGCGGCGAGTTCGAGATCTCCGAGATGACCAGCGAAAGCTTGAGTGATCACAAGCATCGAATATGTCGTTAATCTACTGAATATTGCAGGACCAACGATTTGCCATAGCTTCTTTGTCTCAACCCAAACTTTCCTCTTCAATCCTCCACCGTCTTCCTCCGCCGTGTCAGGGCTTCTCAACAGTGGAGTCCTCGACGCTGATTCTTCTACTCCTCCTCGCCCTCTCATCGCTAACCCTCTTTTCTTTTCTTTTTCTTTGTTTTGTTGTTTTGAAGCTTGGGAGGAAATAATATTAATAGAACAAAAAGAGGAGTAAAAAGAAAAGTGACGACTCAGAGAGAAAAAGCGCTCCCCTTCTCATTTAAAAAAGGTGATTTACTAAATAAAGCATTTTCTAGACTTTAATAACATAACATGTGACTATTTTCCTGATAGTAATACAATAGACATTTTTAGAAAATGAGTTACAAAAAAGTATTGTTTTGTAGTAACTACCAAGAACCTCTGTAACATTTGAACCAGTTCTTGGTATACTGTATCACATTTTGATACCAAGAAATACGTTTTTTAAAACACAAAATTATGCTGCAAAATTTATTCAATAAATCTTCATTTTATTGTGCCGGACCATTTGTTAACACGTGCATTTGCCTTTTGCGCCTGCAAAATTGAAGTTGCAAAAAAAGTCATTAGTAAATTTGAATTCTCTCATAGCAAATCAAAAACAAATATAATGAATATATGCAAAAGATAAGATCACCTCTTTTTCCCAATCACATCTCATCGTGATAATACCTAAGATCGTCGTCTGAACTGCAGTTCCTCCAAAAATCATACCAGCCCAAATACCCTACAAAATATTAAATTACAAAACAACATACTATTAGTTTATCTTTTGTTAAAAAAGCATCATACGATTTAATAACCAAAACTCTATGTAAAATGGTTTAAATAAATTAATATTAAGTGACCGAAAATTATGGTTTTACCAACTTACCATGACACCGAAATCAAAAACCCAGCCCATTAGAAATCCAAGTGGAACTCCGATGCAATAGTAACATCCCAAGTTTATATATGCCACGTAGGATTGCCATCCCGATCCGACGGCCACACCTACTCGAAAGTGAAGAGAGTCAGCAAAAAAACGTTGACTTGTGATATATAAAAAAGAAAACACAGTAAATAATTGAAAAAATGACGTACCGGAAAGAACCGGTTGAACACTGTTAAGAAGGATGGTGAAAGCTAACAGAATGGAGAGTTTATTAACGGCCGTTAAAACGGCCTCGCTTGATGAGAAGATCCAAGCGATTTTGTTATGGAAAAGCATTATTATCACCCAAAAAAATAATCCGATTATTAACGATTGTGTCACTGATACAATCGTTGCAAATCGCGCTCCTTTTCCATTGCCTGCTCCTAATTCGTTTGCCACACGTACTCTACAAATAATTAATGTATATTAGAAAGAAAAAAAAAATAGATTAGAACAATTTATATTTAACAACCTATTGATTCAAATGTTAATAGTTTACATGTATATACATATATGTCCACACAGACGCACACACAAACAAACAAAACAAAACAAGTGAACAGCAGATATAGTATATATATAGAGATTAGATTGTAATAGTGGCAAAGAGAAGTCATCTCGAATTTGTGTCCTCGTATAAGTCAAGTTTTATTCAGACAACTCGACAAACAGAAAACAACAACATATAGAACAAAACACAAACACGGAAGAAGATAGAATAAACTTCTAGGATCTAGCCAAAAGTGCCAAATGTTCGGTTTCAGTTTTCTAAATTTTCCTAAACATATTTATTCTTTAGAAAAGTTTCACAGTATTAGAATATATGTAACGTTTTCTTGCGAGTTTCAAGTTCGCAGATAATCTTATCTAACAGTACAATCGTACTTTTGTCATCGTACTATAATCGCCCCCCTGAAATTAGACGCGCAGCTACAATTCATAAATGATAACGAATACCAATAAATTACGCATGTGTTACCTAATTCAGATTTATCTCAAAAGCATAGGAGGCACGTTTTTCACGAACCCGACATTACCTCAATTAATTACTCTATTCACTATTCTTAATTATGATTTCATGGTCCCATTGTAACAACCGAGTACTTTTTATGGTTGTATGAAAGTGGACTAAACAGTTAGATAATAATCATAAATCTGTTTAGAGATTATCAAATAGAGAGAGGAAAGGCTTTTACCCGGTTCCAGCGAAGAAGGCGAGAGGAATCATCATCTCCCATCCATTTATTGTCATGCTACACACAACAAAAATTGTTTCATAAGCTAATTATGCATAAAGATATAATTATTTTAAATTAAGAGGAACATAAAAACAAAACCTTTCCGCAACAACCCAAAAAGTAGATGTGCGAAACGATGCGATAAGAATATAGGATTGATGACTTTTTCTTCTATTATTATAGTATAAAAAACACACTAACATAAACAAAACAAAACTGATGAGGTAATTAAAGAAACGACTTACCATATAGACAAAGAGTCAACGGCGATTCGAGCATTTTGAAGATTTCCCGTCATTATAATCAAAATCCGATAATACCAATTCTCCAAACTGTCCAAAAACCAAATATCTACTGTTAAAAATTGTGCCGGACTCATTAGACAATGTTACAAAATATGTATATTCATAGGTACCAAAGCATGACGCCGGAGGAAGCGGAGAGTTTGAGAAATTCCCAAAGTCCGGTGAAGGCTTCGGAGGAGAAGCCGGTCCAAGTGAGTGGACAGCCACCGCAAACGGAGTAAGCTAGCATAATAAGAACGTTGACCCACCAAGATATATTAACCGTAGCCATAGTCCCGACCACTCCTAGCTTAAGCCCGTCCACAAACAGCCAACACACTAAAAAGTGAACCACTAATGCAACCGCAGCCGCGAACGCAGTCACCTAATTAACCCCCAAAAACGATTAGTTGAAACAAAAATGCCGTCTAATTTTAAAAAAAAAACTATAGCAAGCGCTTGCTTTTTGCCTTTGTACATTCATAAATTAAATCTCTTCGTTACATTTTAAATATCGCTTTACGGCTTTTAACACATACTATATTATGAAAAAAACAAATCGATAAAAAATACCTTACTTTTTAAATGCACAACTTCGTAATATTACCTATTTAATCAATATGCTTAATTCATATGAATTTATTTTACAGAAATTTAATTTATAAGCTAAATAAATAGGAATACAATATAATTATAGTTAAAAATATTGCAGTGAGAATATAAAATATAACATTTTTTGGGGAGACAAAAAAATAACTCCAAATGATAAAAGTGCGTTTGAAACAATCAGATGGATTACGTACTTGGTTTTTAAGCTGGCACTGGAGGAAACGCTGAAGCGGGAAAGACAAAGCAAACGCGAAATGAAGAGGAATGACCCAAACGGCGACGACACCGGAAAGCTCAGCGATATCGTTCGGCTGACCGAGAAATTTGAGAACCGGAGTCGTGAAAAGGTAAATCGGTAATAAAAAGACACAGCAAACGAAGAGAACAATAAAAGAACGCTGCATATAAACTCCCAACATATGATACTTCTTCGCTCCAAACGCTTGTCCACACAGCGTTTCCAACGCACTCGCCATTCCAAGCTGCACCACGTTAATATATAAAAAAAAAAAAACAGAACAGGAAAATGAAAAACCCTTTATTTTTGTTCCCACAGAAAGAAAGAAAAATCATATAATTGAAACTTACCAAGAGGCCGAAGTTGAAACCGACGACGACGTTGTTGACGATGGAGATTGCGGCGAGTTCGAGATCTCCGAGATGACCAGCGAAAGCTTGAGTGATCACAAGCATCGAATATGTCGTTAATCTACTGAATATTGCAGGACCAACGATTTGCCATAGCTTCTTTGTCTCAACCCAAACTTTCCTCTTCAATCCCCCACCGTCTTCCCCCGCCGTGTCAGGGCTTTTCAACAGTGGAATCCTCGACGCTGATTCTTCTTCTTCTCCTTCTCTTCCTCTCATCGCTAATCCTCTTTTCTTCTCGTTTTTTTTTGTTTTTTTCTTTGTTGTTTCTAAGCTTGGGAGGAAATATAAATAGAACAAAATAAAGAGTGAAAAGAAAGGTGAAGACTGAGAGATATAGTGTATGAATTGGCTTTTACAATGTATATATATTTATAAAACGATGTGTGTCACTCCTTATTTTGTTCTATTTATAATTCCTTCTACATATGCCAATTAGACATAATGAATTCCGGATTTCTTAAAATTTCAGGATTAAATTATATCATTATTTTATTATATACAACTAGACTGGCGATGTTTTCAAATCTGAACGTATAAAATTATAAGTTTTAATAAAAAAAATATTAACGATTGCAATCTTGAAACACCGCATTTTGTGGTAAGACTTTTTAATGTTTGATAAGTAATTAATTTATAATGTAATACGTAAAAGTGCTGCCGGAAGTCTTACGAATTTAGTTTGGTCAGATTTGCGATCTAGTAAAATTATAAACAAGTTGATAAATATCGAACGAAGAAGCTACACAAATCAAGTTTCCATTGAGACTGAGCAACCACAACACGTGAGAGTCAGAGTCCCTTGTGATCTCATTGCTTACCCAATGATGGGTATGTGTCTGATTGGCAAATGCCTATTATATAATTAAATATAATTAGTATTTATTCTTTTCCTAACAGGCTTTTAAAATTGTATTTAGACCCAGCTAAATTTTACATTTTTTCCTTCCAAAAACCTACATATTGTAACTTTAGAAATTGTGTACTTGCACGTTCTACAAAATTACTTTAAGTTGCAACTTAAAGTTTGACCATGTGAAATCCGTAGTTGTACCAACAAACAAATTTGTTTGGTTTTGACTAACTTTCTTTTTGTTCCAAAAAAAATTCCTGTTCCTGTATATTAATTTGTTGTTTCAACCGTTGTCCTTCATGCACATAGGAAACAAAAAAAAAAGTACAGCTACAGTATTTACAAAATAGTAACAGTTGGGTTTCATTTCATATACAGCCGCTGCTGCCAGTTATTTTTCCTTTTTATCTTTACATCCAATGTGATGAATTTTAGAAAACAAAAAAACTAAATCTTTGTTCATAACATTTGTTGGATTAAGGATTATCGCATAATAATTGTTTTGTTGTTTTCCGTACGTGGAATAAATCGGTGAGTGAGTGGTGAGTGTTATAAGACAGTCTCAGCCGCTCAAAAGACAGAAAATAATTATTGGGTGATAAAATAAATTAAATGTGTGAATGTAGATAGTATGATTTTTGTGTCCTCGTGTTTTGTTGGTTTGTCAGTTTCCGAGTGTTCGTTTCCTATCGCGTGCTAATGCAAATAAATTGTTTTTTTACCTGGTTTTAATTTATGATGTTCACCAGCAACAGCCCAATGGCAGCCCATATACGAAAAGGCTTTCCAGGATTGCTGAGGAGTGAGGAGAGTCATCTTAAATGGAAAGTGGTGCAATTTTTTCTTTTTTCTTTTTGTAAGATTTTGATATATGTGAAACGAAGTTTTAATTGGTTTTGTAAGGTTTCAAATGTGAAATTATTTTCATATTTGTTATAGATTTGTGTGAGATCAAATTACAAGTTCAGAATGTCTGTGTTTCTAGGAAGCAAATGTGCTTTAACGGAAGCAGTTTTACAAATTCACCTAAGTTTGTTTTTGGCTGATATAAAGTCATTAAGAATCTAAGATGACGGTAAGCAATATGTTATCTATCGATTTCAGAAATAAATCATTTATTCTGGATATATATATTCTCATTCAAGAGTAAGATAAATCAATTTAATAAAAAAAAAAGGTCAAGAGAGAACGTGATTTTACAGTTCTGAACCTCAATAATCAACGGGAATCAGATATGGAGAAAACCTATATATATATATATATATATATATAGAATTCTGACTTTTCCTACAAAAGAGTGATGCTGAACCATGTGAGAATTTTGTAAAGACAAAGAATAATGAAATAATTTTATTCAGACTATTACCGAATTTACATAAACGCATTCCACCTCAACAACAAACCGTGAGTTACACGTGTCAACATCCCAAATTAAACTCCGCCGTAAATAATTTACCAATCCCCCGATCAATCATCATAATACCCAATCAAAATAAATAATCGAATAACGAAAACCAATCAAATCCTCGTAACTAACACCGAAACTATAAAATTCAAAATAAACATATTGAAAAAAAAAAACATGAGATCTTAGGCCAAAACAACGGCGTAAATAATCGTGGCGAAAGCGGTACCCGCGGCGAAAGCTTTGTTGGAGAAAGCGGCATTGGGTGGAGGAGCGGCGGCGTCGGAAGGGGTCGGAGAAATATCTCCGGGGCTAACTCCGGGACCTTCAGGTGCAGGTGGAGAAGCAGCGGGGACATCAGAAGGAGAAGGAGCGGACGATGGAGGAGTAACGGTGGGGGCAGGGGTGGCGGCAGGTGGTGGAGTGGTTGACGGTGCTGGAGTTGGAGCTGGTGGTGGAATGGCGACTGGAGGAGGCGTGGCGGCAGGAGGCGGAGGAGGTGTGGCGGTGGTGGTGGTGGGAGTTGGGGCTGGAGCTTGAGCGAAGCATGAAGTGGCGAAGAGAGCCACGATGAAGAAAGCTTCGATGATCTTTGAATTCATTTTTGTATTTTTTCTCTGTTTCTTAATTTTCGTATTCTCTGTGTTTGGAGAGAGAGAGAAACGAAGCCAAGCAGATAGAGAGAGAGTGAATTGCAGAGTGGTGAAAGGTGAACAAGACGATGTGAGGTATAAAAAGAGAGAGAGAGAGAGGGTTTAGATGGACAAAACAATAGTATTAAAATATGTAAAAATCAAATTAAATATGCCTATTAACCAAAAAGTTATATACAGTAATATAATTAGGGGGACTGGAGAGTGATGCTATCTTATTATGTGATATTGTCGGTTTAACGAATAAAATGTTTCTACTAATAACACTATAAAACAACAAAATCGAATAAAAATGCAGAACCAAATAATGAGATTCATTAAGCGAGATACAGGTTTAACATAAAGCTGCTCAAAAAATGATCCACAATTTTAATAGCCTTTAAACTTGCAGTTCTACATAACTATGTGAACTATTCTACGCAGTACGCATTCACTCGAAAGTCGAAACATCTTAATAAAACGAAATTGAAAGAATATGGTTTTCTCTAATTTTTGGTATCATCAATGCATTGATTAGGTAACAATAATTGGAGTATATGTGTATATTGATTATCGCATCATGTTTGTTTTTCTGTCTACTCGATCCACCCACCGATAATATAATTTGTTTATCCTATGAGAGCAGTAATTAGCTATTTGTCTTTATCCTATGAGAACAACAATTAGCTATTTGCCTATATATGAACGTCACTACGTTCGCTAGAAAATTGATTAGGAGAGTTCTCATTTTTTTCTAATTTTGAAAAGAATACAGAGAATTTATCCATATCCCCCGATTAAGGAAGGACGATCGTAATTATCGTAGACCCCATGTGCGTAGTAGACCATTGGGATTATATATTATTAATAGTTTAATGGTGCTTGTTACCGTTGAATATTGTTGTTATTGATTTGTTTTGTTTATCTTCTGTCGACTAATATTGATTTCACTACTAAATAACAAGAGTTGGAGATAGCTGTCAGAGAAATTTGAAGTAGTCGAATAAGATTATATATCAAATAATATAATAAGCATAACGGAAAATGACAATTAGATAGCCTGTAAAGGTTCTTTATACAGTAGTAGTTCCAGAAGTCTCGTATTGTTTTTCATTTAATTTAATTGGTACCGGTGCAATGCATTACACCTACAATTCAGTGTACTTGTAATCTATTGATTTAATACGTAACGAAACATTTCACAACATTTCAGATATTTTTTCTTTTCACATCCAATCTTTTTATTTTCGTTTATTTGAACAGCAGTACATAAAGTTGGCAAGTGATCACTACAGGCTGTTCTGAGTATATAACAACATACTGATTAATATTATACACTCTGTATAAATTATAGTTCGAGTATCAATCAAGCTGATTATAATCAAGATTGTGAAAACTAGGTTTGCATCTAAGAACCTTTTGCATATCTTGAACTGAGAACAAACCGTTCAGTTTTGCGTAATCCAGAAACTGATTTTTGATTACATGTGTAAGCTCTAAATAAGCTTTCCCATGCAAAACTTGGTTTATATTCAGAGAAAACTTGAAGCAAAAAAAAAGCTTGTGGTTCTTGAAAATTTGTAAAAAAAAATTTAAACTATATACAAAATAGAAAAATACAGCGACACGAAAGATGTGAGATACTTGGTTTGAGGAGGGGATGGAATTTTGGTTTTCTACTCATTGATGTGTTAGGATGAAAACAGATTTTAGATTCTCAAAAACAGAGTAACGCAAGTTGTAAAAACGATTTTTGTTTTGTTTGAATTAATTTTACATTCATTAAAAAAAAAAAAATACAGCGATATTTTAAGTGATTTCTTTTGTTTATATCGCAATGAATGGGAAATGAATTTTTAGAAAAGAAAGTTAATTTACCAATCCGACCACAACAAAACAAAAAAATAAAGTCAAAGAGCAATTAAAACCTGAGCGGTTAAACTAAAAGCGATATGTTCGGTCACAAGCATAATCCGAAACCTGACGGAGAGTTAGACTGGTCCGATGCTGGGACATTCATATCCTGGTTTGCGAACGAGGCCAGGCTTCAACATAACGGCGATGGCGTCGGAGAATCACCGTTCAATCGAACCTAGGAAACCTAGAATCCTGTGCCTTCATGGATTCAGAACTAGCGGTCGGATTCTCCAGGCGCTTATACGCAAATGGCCCGACACAGTTCTCCGAAACCTCGACCTCGATTTCCTCGACGGTCCGTTTCCGACCACCGGGAAATCGGACGTCGAGCGATTCTTTGACCCGCCGTATTACGAGTGGTACCAAGCTAGCAAGGTCCGTTTGCAAAAGAAATCTTATTTTCCTTAATTCGTTGATGCTGTGATGATGATCAGAGTAAAGGTTGATTTTTTTTGGTGGTATTGTTTGTAGGGTTTTACAGAGTACATTAATTTTGAAGAGTGCTTGGATTATATAGAGGACTACATGATAAAGAATGGACCTTTTGATGGTCTTCTTGGTTTTTCCCAGGTTTGTTTCAGATACTGGACGAGTATTGATCACTTTGATATGTATACATATCATCAGCAGGATCATGGACCGTCGATTCTCGATGTGATCTGTTTCGAGTGTGTGGTCTTGATCCATTTGGTTATGTTTGCTTCTTGTAGGGAGCTTTTCTATCCGCGGGTATTCCTGGAATGCAAGAAGAGGTACATGTGCATTCAGAATCCAGGTTCTGAGATTGAATCAAAGAATGAAACCCTCTCCTTGGAATAGTTTCTATTGTTTTGTTCCGAGTAAGAGTGTTTGATGCTGAAACCGTTTCCAGGGAACGGAGTGATTGACTCTGAATATGAGCTTTTGTAGAATTAAACCTATTGTTAGAATAGTTTCTATTGTCTTTGTACCTGAGGAAGTGTTTAGTGTTGAAAGTGTCTCTGCAGGGAACGGCTCTAACAAAGGTGCCAAAGGTCAAGTTTTTGGTGATAATATGTGGAGCAAAGTATCCAGGGTTGAACTTTGGGCAGCCTAAAGCTGCTGTAACTGCCTTCTCATCTCCAGTTCGTTGCCCTTCACTCCACTTCATAGGTAAATGGGAACAACCTCCCTGCTCCATCTTCTTCACTCGGTTTATTTGTAATCCAATACACTGATATTAAGTTTCTGTATAGTTTCTTATAAATTTTACATTAGTCGCGTGGCCAAGATAGACAATACGAATGTTTAGATACACATGTTAACATAGTTTCTTAAAACCCCCATTAGAGCTTGTCTGCTACAAAATCTGCATTGGCTTTTGCTGTTTCTATCTGAAGGACCAGATATGATATTAGAGATAAATTGAGAATGGAGAGACTGTAACTCTGTTTCGGGAATGCAGGCGAGAGGGATTTTTTGAAAACAGAAGGCGAAGTTCTTGCTAAGTCATTTGTAGAGCCAGTGGTGATCCATCATACAGGTGGACACACTATACCGAAACTTGGTTAGTAATAAAATTACTAAATTATTAAGATCTGCCTCTTTCTTGTTTTGAAGTCGGATGTGCTTATCTCTGTCTTCTGCAGAACCTAAAGCTGAGGAGACAGTGTTGAGCTTCTTCCAGAGGATTAGGCACATGCTTTCTGATGAATCACCTTCTGCAAGAAGCTTGATGTGATTGAGAGCTGCTCCAAATAGGTTTCTTTCAAGTAGATGATCTTGCAATTGTAAATAAAGTGAGATGTGAATGTTCTTTTTGCGTTTTTTTTCTCTGGTTTAGTCATTTGATCAAGGGACAAGATTATTTCAATAAACTTAAACGGCTAAATATGTACTAACCAAAATCGAATTGCCATTCTTGTATAGAGCTGGCAAAGATGGCCAAATGTTATTGCTAGGGGGGATATTACTATTTTATTTAGTTTCTTGCTTTATTTTAATTCCAAGAAAAATGATGGGAGAAAAAAGAAAAGAATGGAGGGGCACTAAAGAAGAGGAGCTAAATTATTGTCCTTTTGATGTATTTATGGTCAAATGGATTCTCATGATAATCTATAAGTTCCACTTGTAACAAAGTTTTACTTCTTTTTCAATCTACCCTGATGCCCTATTAACTTAGCCTTGTCGGTTGCTTTTTTTTGTTTCTTTTTTGCTTTGTCAAAATTCGTATTTTATATTTTTCCATTGTATGATATCTAATTGATTGAACATATCGAATTATCAAATCCTATGATTAGCCCATTTCAAAAATACATGTTAGGCTATATAGGTGGATATATAGTAGAGGTTGATATTGGGTTGTCAAAATTCAGACTTATAAATCATCATAAAGTTTTTCTATTCTCACGCTTGCAAAGTTTTTAACTGTTTCGTCTTTGTAAAGTTAACAAGTCATCATAATACAATTTATTCAATAATTTGCCATCTTGAATCCAGTGTTTGGTTTAGTTTCTTTTTATATATATAAAAAAAAAGCTTCTTCTGTCTCTTTTAGTTATATAAATAATTTTGAAGTTCTGTTTTACATTTTCTCGAAGACGAAATCATTCCGTCCATCGTGTTATATAAACTTGAAATTTGTATTTTGTTTTATGAAATGTAAAAATGATTCGTTTATGAATAATGAACGGAGACAAATTCTCTGTGTGTCTCCACGTAGGAAAGCGGTTTCCCGCCAGCTGACAAGTACACGTCAGCACGTCATCTCAAACGTCTTTCAGTATCCATTTGCTTCATTTCCTCCTCAGAGAGTCGGTGTTCCATTTATATTTTTCGCTTGTAACATAAAAACGCATACTTTACTTTGATCTTTCGTGTCAAATGAGTTGGTTTTATTCACTCTTAATCTTTTTACTTTGGTAATTATGCTTGAGGCCCTACAGAAACATTCGCATTTATTATAGCTTGCGACACAACTGTTGATAGATCTTATAAGTTATATAATTACACTGTTATTCTAACCGGTCAGCTATATTATTTCTGTTTTCCAACATTTTCTTTTCAAGGGAACCTAAATTCACAAAGTCTCTCTTTTCAATTAGATTGGATCCAATATTTGAATATTATTAATTAATGAGTGTCATGTTGGTTTCCTTCTCGATTTCTCTTCTTTTCGCAAAATCGTGTTGTTTATAACGTAGAACACACGATAATGCTACATAATATTTCCTTTTGAGACGATAAAAGCAACAAATGCTAATGTTTGGAAAACTTTATTAAAAGTGGTTTTCATTAAATTTTCAGGTTTATTACCAATAATTTATGTAAATACACCATGCAATTTCGTGTTGACAAGACAAATGACCCTCTCGTCTGAGTTAATGAAGAGACCAGTCATTAAAAATAATTACATGAATATTACTTACTAGTACTTGTCAAGTTGTTTGATAAAAATAAAACATAGAAAAACAAAAATGTGGCGCTGTAAATCTAACGTCAGCACGAGTTAATTATTCAGACGGTTATGGTTGAGATATGATCACCTCATACGTTTCTTCTCTTTCAACTTTTGCAAATTATCTGCACGTAGCTAGTTAATGTATTAAACTTTGCTTTATTTTTTTTAATTATTCTGAAAAGTTGTCAACAAAAATTCAGACCTTGAAATTATTAAGGGCATTACTGATTTTGATGTGATTAGACAGCCCATCACTTTATCGCAGAAAATATTAATGCATATATTTATACTATTGGCATATGGACAAAAATAATTATCGCGCTTATTTGTATTTTATCCCCTTTTTTAGTTTCCCAAAAAGTTATCTCTAATACTATCCCTTCGCTTTACTTTAAAATACATACGCTACATTATTTGTATTTTCTTTCCAGAAAAACAGAAGCTTATTCCAATTTTTGTTTTCATCGTCAGCTTCTTTCTTTTTTTATAAAGATTAAAATTCTGGAAAACATATATAATAGGCATTGTTTTTAAAACCAGCCTAGAGATAATAAATCAGAAAACACTCAAATCACAAGCCACTAAATTATTCTGTTCCAAATTTGATTCTTAAAAAAACCAAAATATATCTTACAAATTGTATTTTCATCCAAAATTATTTAAATATCCTTTCTACTTTTCAATAAAAATTTCACTACAGCATAATTAATACTTTGAATCCATTTATAAGTTTTAGTAATGATAAGATTTTGTTTTCCATACCATTAAAAGAATGGAACCAACTAAAATGAAAATTTCGTTTCTTAGATCATACTATAACTGACTGATATAGCAGTAATAACACTGATCAATAAGTATATTGGTTCTACTGCTTAGTTGACAAACAAAAAGAAAGTAAACTGGTTCAACTATATGAAAATTTAAATTAGAAAGAAAAAATAATGTAAAGATAAAAGAAAGCGTTACAAAGTGTGGTTGAGGACAGATTTATTAGATTCCGATTTCCAATAACCAAGAATGTATATAGCATAAATAAAATAAACCCTTTTTCTCAAATCCCAAATCCCAAATCCAAAGAGAGAGATAAAGAGAGAAGATAAAATCTTTGATGTCCACATTCTCTCTCTTTTCTTCTTCTTCTTAAACTTCCTCTCTAAACAAACGACGTAGTTTTCACCATCTCCACTAGCTTTAATGGAGTTTGATGACAACAACAATAACAACAACGAAGAAGAAGACGAAATGAATCTTCACGAAGAAGAAGAAGACGACGCCGTTTACGACTCTCCTCCTCTTCCTCAACCGTCCCGTGTCCTCAAGCCCTCCACTGAAAGTCCTGACACCGCCGGAACAACCTCCACAGGCGGAGGAGGATTCATGGTGGTTCACGGCGGAGGAGGAAGCAGGTTTAGGTTTCGTGAGTGTCTCAAGAACCAAGCGGTGAACATCGGAGGACACGCGGTGGATGGCTGTGGTGAGTTTATGCCAGCTGGAATCGAAGGTACCATCGACGCGCTAAAATGCGCCGCTTGTGGCTGTCACCGTAACTTCCACCGCAAAGAGTTACCTTACTTCCAGCATCACGCGCCGCCGCAACAGCCTCCTCCTCCTCCGCCGGGATTCTACCGTCTTCCAGCTCCGGTGAGTTACCGACCACCGTCACAAGCTCCCCCTCTTCAGCTCGCTCTTCCTCCTCCACCACAAAGAGAGAGATCAGAAGATCGAATGGAGACTTCTTCTGCGGAGGCAGGAGGAGGAGGGATTAGGAAGAGGTTTAGGACTAAATTCACGCCGGAGCAGAAGGAGAGGATGCTAGCTTTAGCTGAGAGGATCGGATGGAGAATTCAGAGACAAGACGACGAAGTGATCCAGAGATTCTGTCAAGAGACTGGTGTTCCGAGACAAGTTCTCAAGGTCTGGTTACACAACAACAAACACACTCTTGGTAAGTCGTCGTCGCCACCATTTCATCATCAGCATCAGAATCCAACTCCTCCTCCTCCACAGTCTTCTTCCTTTCATCATGAACAAGACCAACCATGAATCTTGAATTTCTTGATCACTACTAGGGTTTTAATTTAGCTAATTAATTACTTGAGAAATTTGAGACGGTTTTTATTGTTTAATTTATGTACCCATTTTCGTCTTTTGATGATGATGATCTTTTCTGGTTAATTACGTTTTCATTATTATCTTCTAAATCTCGCAGCAACCCTTGATTTGTCTTAGCTATTTATTAGTAGTGTTTAGTAACATCACATGTGTCAGTGTTTGAATTTATCATGTTTTGTCTATGAATTTTATATGAACTCGTGCATCTGTGTGTGTATGCATTATATATATTCGTTAGCACATGATTAATGTTTAGCATGTGAATCTTTTTGATTAATGGTTCCTTACCACTGGTTGACATTGTTCTTGTTTCTTAGTTTCTTCTTTCTTGGGTTTGAGTCTTTGAGAGTGTCGTTATATTTGCTTGACCGTTATTTCCACACACACACACACGCATTTATAGATCTGAGAATGTTCTTGTTTCTTAAGTGCTATGTGTTTAAGAGTTAATATATATGTTCTTGATCATTTTATTCAACAAACACAAACACAAACACACACACACACATATGTTTATTATTATTATATGTTGTGTGGAATTGTATATATACTTCTCATTTAATTGTCCAATGAGTGTAGGACTCAAATGTGGATCGGTCGGAATCTCCTTGGGATGGAGATTTCTACCTAAAAGAAATCTTTCAATGGCTTAGATATAACATATATATGCGTGGATTCCTCAATCACCAATCAGTATAGATATGTATATTTGTTTACTTTTATTTATTTATTTTCCCCTTGGAAATGAAAAAGGTGAAATAACATCTGTAAGCTGCTGCAACAGTATTCTGATTCCTGGGAATTAACTCTTCACTTGAAAAAAAAAAGACAAAAAAACTCGAAACATGTCGTCGATGCATCCAAAGCTTCTCAATATATGTCTTTCTTATTGCTTATATTATATGTATGTATGTGTATGTGTGTGTGTATATATATATATATATATTGTCTTTGAAGATCTGGGGAAGGAGACATGTGGGCTCTTTGGAAGCATGAAGGAGAAGAGATAAAACATATGGGCACACATACACAACTACAATGATTTTCTTGCAAATCCCTAGACTTTCACCTGGAATTAGTTTTGTTTATTTTTCTTAAGAGCATTATCATTCGTTTAATCCACTTTTTGTTTGTTTGTTCTCTACACACAATTATAAATTAATCGGAGTCATTTAAATCCAGTAATTTTGATCGTAAATGGGAGTGTGAAAACTCCTGACACCAACAAAAAAAATGAATTCAAAGAAAATTAGGGCTTTGAGTGATGATGCAATGAAATGTGCAGAGGAAAGAGGGAACCAAAATGATTGAAAAAGGAAAGAAGAGGCAGATAAGATTCGAGTCCCCATCTCACGGCCACTTCCATATTTAGACTTTCATGTCGCAACCTCTCCATCTTCTCTCTCTCTCTTCTCTATGAGAGACAATGCAATGGAAAGAGAGAAAGAGCGAGACAAATATACACACAAATGAAAGGACTTGAGAGAGATGCTTTTGCTTGATAAGGCAATCTCTACGCCTTCTTGTCTAAGCTAAAGCTGCACACTCCAAGAGTGAAGATCGATGACTTTGTGGTCCTCCTTCATTTCTCTCTCTCTCTCTCTCTCTCTCTCTCTCTCTCTCTCTCTCTCTCTCTCTCTCTCTCTCTCTCTCTCTCTCTCTTTATTTTTTCTTTCTATGTCAAATTTTTTGTTTTCACAAGTTTGAATCGCGGGTAGCTCAACTAGTTAAATGTAGTTGATCGACTTTGTTCTGTACATGTTTGGGAATAATGGTTAACGGTTGTTAATCCGCTATTAATTAAAATTATCCAACCGTTGGACTCTATATATAGAAAAAAAAATTGACATTTTACCAATATTAGTCATGCTACTTTAAAACCTAATTAATCTTTTACAAGGGTTTTTTACTCTATTTTTCTGTTATTTTTGTAACCCAAGTCTCTTCCGTTGATATTGAATATTACGAAAACTTTCTAAAAGATTAACAAAAAGATTAATTTTGGTAGAGGAGTATCCGTTGATCCATAAATCAACGATAAAAAAGGTAATGATGGAGACATATTATAACACATGCGATTACAATTTTTATTTAGAGGTGAAAAATGGTTACTCGGGTGCTGCAGTAATGAGAGGTGTTCGTACCATACGTTGGAGTCTGGATAGATAATAAATGTTCATAGAAAGTAGTGAAGCGGAGTTAAGCTAAACAAAATTAGGGTTTTGTTTTTGTTGCAAGGTAAAACTAAACTATTGATGTACAAAATGTTTTGATCAGATAATTACATGTTTTTTTTTTTACTGTGGTCCTCTTCACGGAATCTTTCAGTCAATACGCAGAAACCCATCGGACAACGACCCATCAATATGTATATTGTGTACCATACATATATATATACATGCCTGTATATCATCATCATCATCACCATCATCATTTTCACAGTGTTATTACTGTAGAATAGTTACTGTCGTTATGCTTCATTTAGGGAATCTAAATGTGACCCCCACAAGCAGGGTTTTATTACCAACCTTTCAAGCTAAGTTTTGAAACAAGTAATACTATTATAATAAAAAGAAAGAAAGAAAAATTCGATTTGATTGCGTAAAACAAATATATAGGACTAGCTAGGGTTTTCTTTTTTTCTTCTTTAAATTATATGATATTCCCATACTCTTTCAAAAACACTGCCCTAATTTGGGAAACAGATGATGATTCACGTGCAATGAATAAATTTTTCACTTTTCTCCTTCAAAAGAATTAGTATATATCATTTGTTTTTTTTCACAATTTAGTTAATTAGTTTATAATTCAAATGATTGTACGATTTATGTAATTACGCAAAGGCATATAATTTTTTGTTCTCTATACAAAAGGAAAAGTATTTTTTCTTTAGTTATGCGTAAAAGAAAAAGCAAAGTTTGAAAAAAGTTTAGAAGCTATAACTTTTAGCAACTTTTTGAAAGGAAAATAATAAATAAAATGTATATTTGTTTTGGACAGTTGAATGACTATGACGACTCATTATGACGAAGCCCAATGAAAGAATTATAAAAGTTTATTTGTTTTGTATTGTTGTCTTCACTTAGTCCACTGTCCAAATAGTTCTTCATTTCAAATTTTCACACACATGTCTACCTACACATATGTCGTGTGCGTGTGTATATATACGTTGCGAGTACGAATTCTGAATGTGTACGTACATATACGTTCTTGCGGATCCCAAATGTCCAGCAAGATATTATTTTAGTGAAAGGTCAGGACGAAAGCTAAACAAAAATCTAGATTATGAAGTGTCAAAATCATCTTTCACCAATTAGCTACAAGATTGTAATGAGAACTAACATTATTAGTTTGATTATTAGTTTGAGAATCTGAGATATATAGAATAATAGATAACTTAAAAATGACAAGTTATTATCGTAATTAATTCTAAAATTATGTATACAAACTAGCACATTTTTCGTATAGTAATCAAAGTAAATATAGCTTAATTCACCCTTTTTTAAATAATAATAATTTGTATATGTACAATTATTATGTATCATGGTTACGCTCTTAAAGTTCTAATAACTCTATATATTTTATACTTAATGGAAAATCAAATCTATTTCCATTCTTAAGCATAGAAAGATTGGAACGATTGTTTAGTGACGAATATAGATTTTTACCATTTTAACGTTGAAAATACATTGATAAGCTGATACCAACCAAAAAGAGAGAAAATCTTCATATATATGTATATATATTTCTCCAACCACAATTATTTTATTTGATGATCGTCAAAACGACATTAGTAGGCCCAAATGATTATTTTTAATGAATATAGTACTGGCCCATTGCTCAACGTTGCAGAACCTAGAGATTTATTGGACCTTGACTCCAATAATTTTGTTTGGACATAGAGAAACACTGTTATCATTCATAAAATGTTTTAGATTTTGGACTATTATTGATAAAGGTAGAAAGCACAACAGCTCCACCACAAATAAGCTAACTTAGATTTGGTCTTTTACTTCAACTTGAAGTCAAAAAAATTCTGTTAGTGGGCCCATCTAAAAGCCCATGCGCGCGTTATTCACTTAAACGACCCCGTTTGATAAGGTTTCTCGCAACAGAAAGTCAACTCTTATTGATCAACGCAACCGATACGGTTTTTTTCCCGCTATATTTATTTGGCGGGAACCAAAAGAAAAAAAAACAGAGAATTTGCTATTTCCTGCCAACCAAAAAGTCTTAATATCCTCCATCATTCTTAAGCCAGAAATAAAAATAAAAATTGGAATCGAAATACCAGTTTTTTATTATTTTAGATTTTTGCTATGATTATTTTTCCCTCAAGACATAGTAAAAATAATTTTTGCTTTATATATATAAAAGAGAACAGGGAACTTTTAGGAAAGATGTGTATGAGAAGATGAAGAAACATGAGTCTTAAAGCTGAAACAACAAGCTGCTACTTCTAAAACCCCGTTGGGTGTTTGTGAACAGAAGCCTGAGCCATCGCTCTCTATCAATTCCCCAATCTTCTTCACTCTCTCCTGCAACAGAGTAATAAAAGAACCAACACAGTTTTAAAAGCTTGACAACTTTGTTTTGTCTCTTGAACACAAAACACAAAGACAAAGATCTCATCAGCTTTTTTTTTGGGTGTCGAAAAAGATGATCTAAATGGAAACCAGCCTGGTTATTTAGATTGCCAGATTAAATCAGAATCAACCATACCGCAACATGTTTTGTGGGGGCAAGATTTGGTTATAGATGTGACAAGAGTGTGCAGTGAGTGTGTGTGTGAGAGAGGGAAAGAGTCACAAGACACACAGCTATAGAATAATATACTTTAAAGTGGTCTTTGGTCTACACGCTCCACTAGTTTCGGAAGTCAAAGGATTCAGACCCATAAACCAGTTTTCCTCTTTCCCTTTATATATAACCTTTTTTTTTACACATGTGTATGCAATGCATTAGTTAGTGCACACACACAAACACATATATAAATGTGCCATCATCTTTAATGATTTCATTCTTCTCCACAACTGGCAATTCCTTGAAACTGAAACACTCCATTGCTGCTTTATAATGATTTTTTTTATAAAAAAAAAATCAGATTCACGAGTTTTGTTTCTTTTACCTTTTGAAGTAGTGAGAAAAGAGGAGAGAAGGAATAGTTGTCAAAGTGTACTGTGTGCGATTCTCCAGAAACAGAAAGTGCCACTGCAGCAGCAATTTCAGAAGGTCTAAACTCCAAAAAGTCAATACCTGCTCACTCACACAACCACCATTAATAGTCCAAAATATTCACCCAAAATCGTAAAAAGCAAAAGCTATAACAAAAAAAAAGAAGCACAAAAACAAAAGTGGTCAAGAAAATAAAAACATAAAGATATGACTTTTTATTTATTCACCTTTGGTTTTGCTGGCTATCACTTGTAGTGATCTGGATATCAAGGTGTTGGATGGTTCTTGATCACATTTGCTCATCTTTCTAAGGAAATATCTTATGTAAGAGCAAGGAGTTATCGCTCTCAATCTCCATTCCAACCTGCTCAACACCAAAAGCTCCATTCTTTGGACTGATTTAGCCTCAAACACAAACTGAGGATCTCCTACCTGTTCCGAAATGTGACCAAAACCTCAATAGAGTCAAGAGATCACGTCGGATTGAAAACATCTAGCGACTTTTTTGGGAGAGATTATTATTATTATCACCTGAAGATCTACTAACATCGGGACTTCAGTTTCTTCAATTTTGGCTGCCAGTGATAAACAGGCCACAGCCAACAACTGCACTGTCCAAGCTTTGCCACTCTGCAAGAAGAATCATAAATCAAGAAGCTACAAGATTGTGCTAAAACATTTTCGATCTTTTTTTAAGTTGAATCAATGTGAACTTACAGGGAAATCATGAACGGATAAGAATCGATCCAAGTAATTCACTGATAAGCAAATACACAATGCTCCAAACTGGTGTTCTTCACAGGCCTGTTGCAATTAGAACAAGAGATACATTAAAAGGTGATCTCTTTCTATCTTTCTCTAGCTTTCAGAGATCTAAAACTATGAGATTGAAATGAATCTATCTTCAATTGAGCATCAGATTCACAGATTCAAGACAAAAGATTTGTTCTGCATAAGACTCTGATCTAAATATTCATACTAGCACACTCTTTATGTCCAGATCATTCATCAAAAGGAACGTGCTTTTCAGAATTTGAGCTCATGTAGATGATTTAAAACCCATCAACATGCCAATTTAATCAAAAAGGAATGAAACAAAATGAAAAAAATCAGACCTTCCAAATCCAATCGAGGGCTTCTCTTCTTCTGACATTCAAATCCAAATCTCCACTTCTAAGTCTCTTGATGTAGTCATCTCTTGGCAAATGCTGCTTCTCCTTCTCCATCATCTCTCTGATAATCTCTTCGCTCTCCGATGGAAAACCCATCTGAGAAATTGGAATTTTGTCAACAATTATGCCGTTCTCTTCATCACCAACGCTGGTCTCTGTACATAAAAGACTCAGTTCTAGATTTTGTGCCATTGTAACGGAGGGTTTAAAAAATAAAATTGTATTTTCGATCTAAAAAGAATATGTTTTTAGGAAATTTGGAGAAGGATTGTCATCTAGAGATTGGGAAGTGAAAGAAAGATTGGGTCTTTGATTTTTCTTTTTGCCCTCGTGGAAGGGGTTTTTGTTTTGGGGTTGAGGGTAAAAATAAAAGGGAGGAGCTTTTTATGGAGGACGTGAAGAAATCTTAGAAATAAGAGAATTGGGCAAGAAGTTGAAGAAGTGGAAATTTTAAAATCTTACAAAGTGATTTGGCTTATCATGGTAACAAATGTTTTCTCATTGGAGAGTTTATGGAAATGTGTTTAAAATTTGATGGAATATGTTAGTTAGTTGGTTTTATTTTTCTTGTCACATTTGCATTATATATTTTTACGGAATTTGAATATATGATTACAATTTTGATCTTTTTGTTCGTCATAAATACAAAATAGTCTAATATTTGATAACATTATATATATATTGACTAATAATTAAAATCATAAAATTTTGAAAACAAATTTTAATTTTTATTAATTTTTGATATAATCAAATTCATGGCTTATGATTCTATCAAAAATTAATAAAAATTAAAATTTGTAGAAATATATCAAATTGATATTGTGATATTATTCTATTTTTAGTGGAAATATTCGTCGAACCATAAGATTTTATTTTTTAAACCCAATCAAATTTAACCAAAAAGATAAAATCCAAACAAAATAATATAAATTCAAATTAACAACATGCCATAGAAACATGGTTTGAATTGTTATTTTGACTCAAAATCCATCAATAATGATGTTTGAAGCATTTGTTGATCGAGCTTTGACCACTGTTTTTGACTATAGTGTCACTTTAGATACAATAATTTCAAATTCAATTACTACATCATTGCATATACCTTTGAATGGAATTATTAACCTGGTATGGTCTTTGTTTTTTTACACAATATGGTCTTTCTTTAATATGATTTTATTCTACCCAAAGATACTTTCTTCTGTTTTACCCAACATATAAGTCTAACTAAGGTAATTGTTTTATATACAATATACTTCTTTGACTCCAAGTGGAGGCCAAGTTTTCGAACCCAGGACTAGTGCTCTATGAGTCTATATGGCCTCCAAAGATCCTACATGTTAGTTTACTTTTTGAGGTGATTAATATAATTTTATCTTTGTTTGAACTTACTTCAAATGATTACCGAACTATGTAGGTGTCTTCTACTACTACTCTCTTTCTATATGCGTGGAATGAAAAAAAATTAATTGTTATCATCCACATGATTTCTTTCCTGAGAATACCACATTTCATTTTCATGTATTATTTTCTAAAATTATCAACAAAAATCATGATCTTCGACAGTTCGACCTTTTAGTGAGGATCATGGATGGACACCAAAAATCATATCTTTTGTATATTTTTTTTGCTCGTTGAGGTTTTAAGTTTCTAATATTCGAAATGTTTTAGAAGTTGTGAAGCAATGCTTACAAGACAAAAACTACAACTAATTGCGGTTGATGGTTTTGTTTGAGTCTCCTAGCAAATTAGAAAAGAAACGAATTATCATTTACCAAGGTGTTCTTTCCTCTTGTTGGTAGGGCAATAAGTAACAACGTGGCTTAAAATCACGTGTGAGCTAATAAACTTTGCTGTTTTTTTTACAGTCTTTATCTTTTCTGAAAAGATTGGTAAGAAGAAACAAAGGTTTAAGTAAAGAAGAGATTTTTCGAACTAGAGCAAAAAGACTCGCTATTATTATTATTATTTTTTTCATGCATGCAAATGCCAGACAAAAGTGGTCCAAGTACACTTTTGATGTTTCGCTTATCTTTGTGTGTTCTGAGATTCGAACTTTTAGATCCTGACTCTATAACTTTCTTTATGGTGAATAAATAATTTCTGAGTTTATGCACGCCTGTGGTCAACTTCACGATAACTTTACCCAATCACATGGCCTGATATTGGTTCGAATCCCAGCTTTAAATGGCCTTTTTCAAAAAAAAAAATCCGAGCGTAAAGTTTGGGCTCGGGAACGAACGCAAATACTCTAACAGAGGAATAAGTGAATTTTAATGTCTTAACCAACAAGCCGAACCGAATCTAACCCAGATGATTGAACCAAAATATAATCTGTTTATAAACCATTAGCCTCCCTCTCATTAATTAGGAATCCAGAAAAGCCGGAACCGGAACTTTTGATTGGTTTTTTACATGAACCAAACCAAACCGAAAATTTATTAACCAAAATCGTAATCATACTGAATTGGTATCAGTTTATTAATTACAATCGAAAACCAAACCGCAAACGGGATTGACCACTCCCAAGTGAAATCATGCTTTTAAACTAAACCTGCGTTCCAGCATAGCCTAGACGGCTTATGAAAGACCGGAAGAATTCACAATCCTGACTTGTGACACTGAATGAATAATAGTTTGCAATTTAAAACTTTGTGGGAAATAGCAAATAAGAAGATAAATTACGAAAGAAAAACAGAGTTGGAAGGAACAGAGAAGCAGATAATACCAAAGCTGTGCACGTAATCTGTCATAAAAAAAAACACATTTTTTTTTCGACAAGTTTTAGAGCAAAGGGGTTGGAACTCGATTTTCGGACATTACATAACCGTCTCTTCTTCCTTAAGACCTTCAGGCCTCATCCATCTGCTCCTGAACAAAGGAGTCAAATCATTTGAGTTTTTTGGGTGTCATTATCCGAATGTTGTTATAAGAGTAACTATCTATGATCACAACACATAGCGAGCGATTGAATATGAACAAGAGTAGAGAATTGAACAAACCTGCATATCGGAGGTCCAAAGGGTTAGATTGTCCCTTAGCAACTGCATGATGAGAGTACTGTCTTTGTATGACTCCTCTCCCAACGTGTCCAGCTCAGCAATGGCCTCCTCAAATGCCTACAGGTGATGATAAATCCAACAAGCACATTGTTAAAAAATGCAATGATCAACTTTCTCTTTGTCTACCCAAAATATTTGTATATGTGATGCATCCAAAAGCTTAAATTCACGAACACATCTCTTGCGTCACACAGATTCTATGAGATTCTAGTGACAGAAGGAATAATTCGGTTGGTGTGAGGCGTAGGTCAAAAAAGTAGTAATAAAGAAGATGACTTTTGCAGGATGTCTTTTTCTTTTGAAGGTGAGTCCATTAAAAGGAGTGGGTCCGTTACGGAAAAAGAAAGAGTTACTTTTTATGAACAACCTAAGTAAATTCTCAAAGAACATTCAAATTAATCCAACACAATGAATGAAAGATGGGGACAACTAGGAACAGTGTAAACAAATGGTCACTCAAAATATCATCAAAGCAAGCAAACAGAGACTAAAAAATACACAAAGATTCCTGAGAATACTTATACTCTACTTGGAAAAAGAAACATGCAGTTTAAGGAAGGACGAATGAGTACCTGTTTGGCCATGCTGCAAGCTTTCTCTGAAGAGTTGAGAATCTCGTAGTAAAACACCGAGAAATTGAGAGCCAGACCCAGCCTGATCGGGTGTGTAGGCGCTAGATCAGCAACTGCAACGTCCTTCGTAGACACATTACATAGAAACAGAGACAAAGATTCTTGTGAGAGGTTCGTTTGCATTTCAAAACGAAAAACCCACGATTGGTTAAAAAATCTACATATTTGCAGAGCAACCATACGATGTGATAATACTTGTCAGATTGAGCTGAAAAAAGGTAGATTAGGGAAGCAATTGAATACTCTTTAAGACTAAATTTGACCAGTAGAATAGCTCAATTCGAGTTTTGGCTATAGAGTAGTAGCAGCTAAAACTGGATCGATTCACTCAGTACCCATAGACGAAAACAGAAAGAGATTTAAGGGAGATAAAAGTGAAATCAAAATCTACCTGAGCAGCCTTGTAGGCGATCATGGTGTCTTCGGCAGCTGTTTTCCTCTCGTCTCCAGATTTAAACTCGGCGAGGTAGCGATGGTAATCTCCCTTCATCTTCTGGTAAAACACCTTTGACTCGCTCGCAGTCGCGGAAGGGATCAGATGCGTGTCGAGCAGCCTGAGGATTCCAGAGCAGATCGTGGAGAGCTCAGCCTCAACCTTAGATCTGTAATCCTTCACGAGCGACACGTGTTCCTCGTTCTTCCTGCTCTCTTCCTTCTGCTCAATCGACGAGACGATCCTCCAGGCGGCGCGAAGAGATCCAATCACGTTCTTATACGCCACGGACAGCAGGTTCCTCTCCTCCACCGTGAGCTCGCCGGCTGGCGTTGCTCCGCTTACGAGCTGCTCCATGAACTCAACCATCTCTTCGTAACGCTCCGCTTGCTCAGCAAGCTTCGCCATGTACACGTACTGATCTCTGCTCAACGTCGCCGCCATTAGAGAGATCTCGACTTTTTTTCTCACGGAAATTTGAAATCGGAGGAAAATTTCTGAAAGGAAAAAGGAAGAAATTGAGAAGAAGAAAAGGGGAAAAAATAAAGCCTCAGAGCCGAGTCATCATGAGCTGGAAAATGAAATTCTCTCCACTCGCGCGTGAATAACAATCTCGAGTAAAACGCCGTCGTTGTTTGGAATAAACTTAAGAAGCGTGACACCCACGTGGATGATGTGAGGCGCGTGGGAAGGTGGGCTAGGGTTTGGTTTTTCGATAAGAGCGAGTGAATGGACGATAATAATTTAGTGCCGTCAGCTTCCAACTAGTTGACACTGTTTAAAGTCAAAAGTTAGAATTATGGGCTTTTGATTGGGTCTGTTATATAGGCCTCGTGAAAGCCCATCGAGGCTATACCTTGCTGGCTAAGCATATGCGTTTTCGGCGTGACCTGGACACAACTAATGCGGTCGGAGAAAAAGGCATATGAAGACAAGGGAAAAGTTGTCTAAATTCTCTCATAAATATTATCAATTTTTTGGGTCAACAATATGGAGTATTTATACTTAGATTAAAATGCGTAGCAGTAAAAAAGAAGAAGAGATGCATCATGCATGCGTATTATTAATATAACAATTAAATTAGTTTTCATTTTCCAATAGATTAACATTTAAACGCCGGTATTCGTTTGTGTGTGTTTTAATTGATTCATAGTGTTTTCAATAAATGAGAATTGATAAAATTTATGTTTGATCATAAATTTATTAGTCAAATGGAATAATTAATAATTGAGATCCCGCAGGATATTTGTTAGGCAGGAAAAAATAAGAAGAGTTGGTTAATCAAATGCGACATTATCATTAGAACGAAATCTAAAGTAATCGATTACTCATCATTTTAATAATTGCAAGTTGTTTAGATTATTGTTACAGAAAAAAAGGGGTTGAAAATTAATAAAATCTAGTGTATGTAAATTGGATACTTAAAAATTAGTACGACTAAATCTTCGTAAAAATGTTGACAAAAACTAAAAGAAATACTGGTAAATCGCATTTCTTCTTCATAAACCAAAAGTTACCAAACTTAAACAAAACACAGGACTTGTAAAAAAGGTTACTAAAATACTAATACTAATACTAATAGTGCTCCCAGTCTTCGATAGACGCACCACCGTCACGCGCGGGTAACGTTGCCGTTATGGAAAAGGGCGTGTCTCTACTTGCCACGTCAGTTTTACGCTATCGCCTTAAAGTCTCCGTCACCGTTAATTGATGTATCCATCCAACGCCGCTCTCCTCACCGTATGATGCATAAATATATATATATTTTTCCTTGATGGCGCAAGTTTTACTAAACACACTGATAAAAAAAAAACAAAAAGAAGATAAAAAAAGGAATATACGATCTTCATCGATCCTCCTTTGTTTCCTTTCAAATCCAAACATTTTCGTTTCTCTTCATAGTGAAATTCGACGACTCCATGACTGTCACTGGCGGAATTTTTCTTTTTGTAGTCGTAATACTTGTATCAGCCTGAAGAAGAACAGTTTGTTCTACTGGGAATTTCGGTTTCACACTCGTCTTCTCTGAGAAAATCTCCAGAAGTTTTCTTTTTAGGGCAGTGGTAAGCTAATGCATTAACTTATTTCGTTTAGATTAGTAGATCGATTCTTCAATTTCGCGTGTTTCCGTTCACGATTTCACTTCTTTCATGTGAATTCCGTGGATGATGATAAAACAAAAAAAGTAATTCTCAGCTTTATTAAGTTTTTTCTTTCTACACTCTAATTTGGCCGTTTCACTAGAATTTCGCTTTTGTGGCTGTATCCTTCATTTGATTTTATTTCAGGTATAAATCGATTCGCTAGATTCCAGATGCGTTAATCAAGTGTAAAACTGAGATTTAGTAGTCGGATGTGAACGGAATCATCTGCATTTTGTTTGCTTTTGATCATTTTCGTGTTTCTGAATTTCAGGTCAGAGAAGAATGTTCAGGGAAGCAGGCTTGAGAAGCTTAGGAGAGGTATGAGCAAAAATGTTTTCTCTATTAAACCTCCTCTAGTGTTGTTATCTTGTTTGATCATCGTCTATGATGTTGATTAGGATGTTGGTTCGAGGTGGACAATTGGTAACCGGAAATTGGATGCTAAGTCTGTTGCCAACGGCAATGCTTGGAAACCGGGTCGCGGTTCTGGACTGAAGAGCGCTCCTCCGGTTTCGTCCGCGAGAGGTAATAACAATGGTGGCTCAAGTTCAGACATGGACATTTCTTCTAATTCAGATGAAGAGACGTACGAGAGGCACCACTCACCTCAACGATCCCCTCAAGATTATAAAACTCATGTTGGCTTGCCTCACGCAGCTCAAAGTGGACATGGGCGTAATGGTGCCAAGGCCTTTGGTTTTGGTGGAGATGAGTCATCAGACTCGGCTACAAGCACCGAAGTTTCATATGTACTTTCTCTTTACCGTTTCACAATGTTCGTGATTATTGAAAACGTTGTCGTGTTCTGATTTGGTTATTGACATTTACAGGAAGCAGAAGCTTCTGGTGTGAGGAACAATGCATCTTCACGTAACGAATGTGAAACAAGAAGAAATGTTGAGGCTGGAACTTCAGGAAGGACACAGAACGGGACTAGCACTTCCATGAGCTCATTGCCTCCCCGTTTCCCAACTTTTCACGCAAGGTTGAGTGGACATAGCTGAGCTATATGTTTGTGCTCTCTTTGTTTTTTTGTTATCCTCTGTAAATTATTCATTCCCACACTTTCTTTTTCGTTTTGTTTGAATGCAGTGAGCAAGGTCCGTGGTCTGCAATGATTGCCTATGAAGCCTGTGTGCGGCTTTGTCTTCATTCATGTTCAACGGATAGTGTAAGCAAGGCTTCTTACTTCCTGGACAACGAATGCACTATTATTCGAAATGCATTTAGCTTGGAGAAGTTTTTCCTACAATCTGAAGAAGAGTTACTGGGGAAGGGACCTTCTGAGTTGGTTACCGAGGCATCGGCTCCAAAATCTAAGAAATCTATTGGCAAAATTAGACTCCAAGGTATCTTTTCTCTCCTCCTATTTTTGTTGAAATTTGTAACAGCTGTATTCATAAAGTATGACTTTGTGCAGTTCGTAGAATTAAAATGGGATTAGATCAGCCACCTGGATGCAACATTGTATCACTGACGGTATCTAAGGAAAAGCTCGAAGTTGTTCGCCATCATATCTCGGAACTGAATTCGACTCTGTATTCTGGATGGAAAGCAGCGAAGAAAGTTCATGTCACTCCTCAGGTTCCTCTCAATGGTTCACGTTCACGTCAGAGTTTGGCTTACCTTCAGGCAGCTGCTCGCTACCTTAAACAGGTCTCAAAGGCCGTTAAAAACGAAATGGCTACGCCACACGCTGGACCACAAACTTATGAAGCAGTACAAGGTATTGGCATTGCACTTTGGAGATTGCACTCAACATCTTATATGGTCATTAGTATATGATTGTTTTTTTTCGTTTTCAGAAACATATTCATGTTCATTGAGATTGAAAAGCTCTGCTGAAGAAGATCAAATTAAGACACAACCTGGATCTGGCGAGACATTTATTTTGTATGTGCCCTTGTTTGCTCACGTGATCATGTCAGAACCTTTCTGTCTCCTCATTAGCTTAATTTTCTGTTCTCTTGTAGCTTACCAGATAGTCTTGGTGATGATCTGATCATTGAAGTTCGAGATTCAAAGGGGGAACTTCTTGGTCGTGTTGTAGCTCAGCTAGCAGCTATAGCTGATGATCCAGTAAGATTCTCTCTCTCTCATAAGCCTTATGTTCACAGATCACCGAGTCCACTAGATTATGAAGCTGAAGATTGTTTTTTTTTTTGCTGAAGCAGTCCGAGAAGGGGCGATGGTGGCCAATATACCATGAACCAGAGCATGAGCTTATTGGGAGAATCCAACTTAATTTGAGTTACTCAAGCAGTCTTGATGAAAAAACTAAGTGTGGGTTGGTGGCAGAAACTTCAGCTTATGATCTTGTCCTAGAGGTGGCTATGAAAGCAGAACACTTTCAGCGAAGGAACTTAGTGTTTAAGGGTCCATGGCACTGGATCATAACTCGATTCGCTTCCTATTATGGGATTTCAGATGCGTACACAAGATTAAGGTAAGAGTTGAATGGCAAAGAATAATGCTGATCTCTTAAAATCATCTATGCGGCAATAAAACAGTGTTTGTGAAATTTTTGCAGATATCTTTCTTATGTCATGGATGTCGCATCGCCTACCAAGGACTGTCTTGATCTGATACATGATTTTCTATCCCCTATTATGATGAGAAGCAACCACAAGGCTGTACTGAGTCATCAAGAGGTGGGTTAGCTTGGATCTTCATGTAGTTTTCTTCATCGTTCAAGTAGAGCTTACTTCAACGTTTTGGTGCTTTCTTGACAGAATCGATTACTGGGGGAAATCGACGAACAGATTCAGCAGATTCTTGCTTCAGCGTTTGAGAACTATAAGTCGCTTGATGAACTGTCTTTCTCCGGGATGAAAGATGTTTTTGAGTCTGCTACGGGGACTCCAGCACCGGCGATAGAATCAGCCGTCAAGCTTTATGGTCTTCTCAACGATGTATTAACCCCTGAGGCACAGCTGAAACTTTGCAGATACTTCCAGGTATCAAATCAAACTCTTTTTTCTGTCCCTTAACCATATTTTCTTATTCGTATATGTGATCAGTCGCCTATGGTAACCACTCAGGCTGCTTCAAAGAAGAGGTCAAGAAGGCATTTATTGGAAACAAACGATTTACTTAACAACCGTAGTGAAGGTGCTTCACCAGTTGATCCCATGGCACTTACAGCTTCTTATCAAAAGATGAAGTCTCTAATCTTGAGCTTTAAGAATGAGATATCCACTGACATTGCGATCCATAACTGCAATGTGCTCCCAAGGTTTGTTTAACAAGATGTCAGCGTATATATGTTAACTCTCAAGCCTATTTTTTCTAATGATTCTCTCTCTCTCTCTCTCAACTCTCGAGCAGCTTTATAGACCTTCCAAATCTTTCAGCGGCAATATATAGTGTGGATCTCTGCAATAGGCTCCGAGAATTTCTTCTCGTATGGCCTCCTCCTGGACCATCACCTCCTGTTGTTGACCTCGTTATCACAACTGCTGACTTTCAGAGAGATATCTCTAGCTGGAACATCAAGTAAAGTCATTGATATCCATCTTTATATCTTATATATCTCTTTTTACACTTTCGTGTTACTGGTGGGCACTTACACGTTGTGTTGCCATGTTGCAGTCATATTAAAGGTGGTGTCAATGCCAAAGAGCTTTTCTATTCATACATCACAACCTGGATTGAAGAGAAAAGACGAGTTTTGTATGAACTCTGCAAGCTAGAGACGGTACTAATCGTTTACTAGCAGAACGTGATAAAGATCTACTTGCATTGCAATTTGAATTACATTGTGTTATGTTTTCAGGTAAAAGCATGTGGTGAGATTCCGGGATTGACATCTCCTTTTGTTGACGAGATGTATGAGAGACTCAATGGGACACTTGATGAATATGATATAATCATCAGGCGTTGGCCAGAATATGCAATATCCTTGGAGAAAGTAAGTGAAACAACACAAACTTTTTTTGTCAGGCATAAATTAATATGAATCAATATTAGAGAGTTGCTTTGAGCTTCATTATTATCTTCTCCTTATTCTAATCTGTTGCTGTTGTTCCATGGAACAAAGGTTGTAGCAGATGCGGAGAAGGCAGTAGTTGAAGCGATGGAGAAACAATTTACTGAGATTATATCTCCATTAAAGGAAAGTAAGATCTTTGGGATGAAGATTGTCCAGAAATTCACCAAAGGCACGCCTAACCCTTACTCTGTTCCAAAAGAGGTATGTTACTTTATTTTGTTATACTTTCAAGCTTTCTTGAATGTAAAAAGGAGAAGACATTGACACAATTTTGGTGAATAAATTTCAGCTTGGAGTTCTTCTGAACTCGATGAAAAGAGTGCTTGACATATTACGGCCGAGTATAGAGAACCGGTTTAAATCTTGGAATTCTTATATCCCCGACGGAGAAAACAGAATCTTGGGAGAGCGGTTAAGTGAGGTTACAGTATTGTTAAGAGCCAAATTCAGAAGTTACATGCAAGCTCTCGTGGAGAAACTCGCGGAGAATGTTTGTACTCTGAAACTTGATTTGTTCTCGTTTTTTGCTCTCGCAACCTTCTTTGTTGATGATTTTTATATTATGGTAAAACAGACTAGGATACAAAGTCACATGAAGCTAAAGAGCATCATCCACGACTTAAGGGAAACAACAGCAGAACCGGATGTCAGAAATAGAATGATGGCACTGAAAGATGTGCTAGACAAAACCATCGATCATCTACACGGTGTTTTCTTACCCGATGTATTTGTATCTGTCTGTAGAGGAATCTGGGATCGACTGGGACAGGTTGGAAACCAACATCACATTACATTACACAGGTTGTTTTTGTCTTAAGCATTTAGCTTCACTGTTGTTCTTCTTCTTCCAGGATGTGCTTCGTCTTTTGGAAGATAGGAAAGATAACGTGACTTGGCACAAAGGCCCGAGAATCGCAGTTTCTGTAAGTCACTCTTTTTGAGAACCACCGTAGACAAAAAAAAGTTCTTTGTCCTTGTTTCTTGTCTTATTTTCCGATGATTTCAGGTTTTGGATGAAATCTTTGCGACACAAATGCAAAGTCTTTTAGGGAACGGTCTGAAGCCGGAGCACTTGGAGCCACCGAGATCGATGATGGAACTCAGGTCTATGCTATGTAAAGATTCTACAGACTACCGAGAAGGAGGCTACAACTACTAGTTCCAGAAATCATGAACCGGTGAAGAATCTGGTTCTTACGTATTTTTTTGTTTTACTGCAGAGTTCATTAGTATGGCGAATTTTTTGGTCAATTTAATTTGAACCAAGCATATGTAGTTAACAAAAAGAAGTGACAGTTACAACTACAGTAGTAAAAAAGTTAAAGAAAAAAACTGCATTTGTTGTTTCTGCAATGGGCACAAGTATGAATTGCCCAAAATAGTGGTGCAGATCGTTGACTTTTGGTCAACTGCGTTAAATTTCAACTAAAGCAGTTAGAACACGCGCGTGGTAACGTCTATTAACGTAGGCCCAGTTTAAAAACAAGGCATTTTATTAAAAAAAAAAAATAACGTCGCCTGAGAGATTCGAACTCTCGCGGGGAAACCCCATGTACTTAGCAGGCACACGCCTTAACCACTCGGCCAAAGCGACTTATTGTTGTATGTTTCTTAAGTTAATTAGAAATATATATTTAAGAGAAGAAGAATAAATTAGCGTTTTCTGAATTTCCAAAATGATTAAGTAGAAAGACGAAAAGAAATGGTAAACGACAAAAAACAAGTGCACGTTTATTCCCTCCTTCGTCTTTCACTTTCTCTCTCCACAACACACACACTAGTACAGACCATTTCTCATTTCTTCCTCCTCCCTTTCTCTTTCTCTTTCTCTTTCTCTTCCTTTCTCTCTCTAGCTTTAATCTCTCCAGATGCCCAAATCCTTTACTCGCCGTCGCTTCTCCAATCGCCACCATCTTCTCCGCCGTGTTAGATTCCATCTGTACTCTTACTCCCACCATCATCGTCGTCGCCTCCGCTTCAGTACTCTGGCAATGTTGATCAGCCTCCTAGGGTTTCTCTCCTCCGGGTGAAGGAAAAATGTTTCACTTTCTCTTGATTGGATTTATGATGCTGGCTTTTCTTCTAATTCGCCGGCAATGGAGATCTGCCTCGGTGAAGAGGGAGGAGGTTATTCGGCTCATCGCTTTAGCCACCGAAGAATCTTATGTGGCGGCGCAGGAGGAGGTTCGAGCCACTGTAGATTACGGCTCTCCGGATGCTTATCGTTGCGCCGTTTGTCTCTACCCCACCGCCACTCGGTGCGCTCAGTGCAAATCCGTCCGTTACTGGTTCGTTTTCCGAATCCGATCAACATAAGAAAAGTTTTGAAATTGTCAAATTCTTTGATAACGTTTGGTTTTGGGTTTGTCTAGTTCAAGCAAGTGTCAAATCCTTCATTGGAGAAGAGGTCACAAGGATGAATGTCGATCGCCTTCTCTTCCTGATTACGACCATGGTAATGACTCTAGATACTCGAGTGTTTAATTCTATAAGGTTCCACATTTTGATCACTTGAAACAACTCTCAGGAGATGCACAAGGTTCATCAAATATCGAATTGCCATCTCGCGGGACTGAGTTCGGATCATCATCTCCAAATGGCACCAACGATGGGGTGGATGATGATGGATTTGTGTCTGTTGATGTTGCCTCTGATATCATCTCTGCAAGTAGGCCCAGTGTTCAAAAGGTACAAGCAGCAAGATCTGAAGCTGTGGATTTCACTACTTGTTTAAACAAAAGGGATCATTTCTGTGAGACGAGGCCACTAAGTAGGAAGAAATCACATCATCGAACAGAGAAGGTTGAATCGTCGAGCAAGTATTCCAAAGGCAAGAAGAGTGATGCAGAGCCGCAAAAAATCCGCAATCAAAACTCGCCTAGTTCAGGTGATTCGGCTGAAATGTCAATTCCGGATAAACTTTTGTCAGTTGAGGATGAAGGAGAAATAAATGCACTTGGACATGGAAAAACGACATCTGAACCAGCAACTGGTGCTTCTGCTGCAATGTCGTCTTCAACTATTCTCTTACCTTCAAAAGGTAATAGTAAGCCGAAAGTGTTACAATCTTCAAGTAGTGGACTGAAGACATCGATGCAGAAAGTTGTTCAGCATTTTAGACCCCCAAAGTCGTCGATACTATCTCAACCTTCCAGTTCTATCAATGAGGTTGCTACAAAATATGATTGCAAGTTCAAATGTTTTGTTTCGTACCCTGATTCTATCTACCGCTGTTATTCCGTATTGATGTTGCTGTTTTTTTTGTGCAGATGAGCTTTTCTTATGAGATGTTTGTGAAACTTTATTGTGATAGAGTAGAATTACGACCATTTGGCCTTGTGAACTTGGGGAACAGGTACACATCAATCTATCTTTAACTTTTCTTGCTTATAGCATAATGTGAGGTTTAAACAAGTTTTGGACTGAGCATTTTTAATGCTGTTCTGTCTTAAGTATATTTGTGCTCATCACTTATCTTATCTCTTTTCTAGTTGCTACGCAAATGCTGTTCTTCAGTGCTTGGCATTCACTCGGCCACTTACGTCTTACCTAATTAGGGGGGTTCATTCAAAAGCATGTACGTTTGCACGCCAAAACGGTTTCTACTGCTCTTGTTGTGACTGTAAACTATGTGGAATCTTATCTTGGTACTTGGGTTTTCAGGTCGAAAGAAGAGTTGGTGTTTTGTTTGTGAGTTTGAATTCTTAATTTTGAAGTCAAGGGGAGGAGAATCTCCTCTGTCACCTATCAAGATCATATCAAGATTACAAAAGATCGGAAAGCATCTTGGCCCTGGAAAGGAAGAAGACGCGCACGAGTTTTTAAGGTGAATCATATGGCTTAGTAGCTTTTAACTCTTTATTCAATATTCTCGCAAAGGTGAATTACATTGTTCTTTCATAAGAATGTCAGGTGTGCTGTTGATACAATGCAATCTGTTTTCCTCAAAGAGTCTGGTCCGTTTTCTGAGGAAACTACTTTAGTAGGCCTTACGTTTGGTGGATATCTTCACTCCAAGGTTATGTCATTAACAATTGTATCTTGGCTTTAGTATCATTCAGATCTTTGTCTGTTGCCTTATGGCAGTCAAAACTAATCCCAGATTTTAAGCTGAAATACTACACAGATTAAATGCATGAAATGCCTCCACAAGTCTGAGCGATCGGAGCTGATGATGGATCTGACTGTTGAGATTGATGGGGATATAAAAAGCCTCGAAGAAGCACTTGCTCAATTTACAGCCTACGAAGTCCTAGATGGAGTGAACCGCTACTTGTGTGGCAGGTAGTTGAATATGTCTTTCTGGAAACCAAACATAATCTTAAAAAATGACTAATTCCAAGCTTTTCCTTTGACAACCACTTAGATGTAAATCTTACCAGAAAGCCAAAAAGAAACTGATGATACTGGAAGGACCCAACATTCTTACTGTGGTGTTGAAACGTTTTCAGGTGAGAGTCTTCATTTGATGGTGTCTACTACAGTTTTTGTTGTGTTTATTCAGAGGAATGATTTGTTCTTCATGCAGTCAGATAATTTTGGGAAGCTGTGTAAGCCCATCCATTTTCCCGAGCTTCTCGATATTAGCCCATATATGAGTAACCCAAATCACGGTCCACTGTATAGTCTCTACGCAGTGGTGGTCCATTTAGATGCCACTTCATTTTCAGGTCACTATGTTTGCTACATAAAAACGCTTCATGGAGATTGGTTCAAGATTGATGACAGCAATGTAGGTGTTTCAATAACGATATCATACAGTAATTATACCTACAACGATGCTGTTTCTTGATTCTTTGGATATTCTTCATCCTAATTGTAGGTTTTCCCGGTTCCATTAGAGACTGTATTACAAGAGGGAGCATACATGCTTCTCTATGCAAGGTAAGTTGAGTGGACATTATCAAAGACCCACTCTTGTTTGTTTTTGTAATATCTGAGAAGAAGAAAATCCTCTTCCTTTGACAGAGATTCTCCTAGAGCGGTGAGCAAGAACGGTGGTCGGAAATCAAAGGAAAGAAGAAACTTGTCTGCAATTCCGTCAAGACACAAGGACGAGAAGAAGAAACAAAGAGACAGTAGTAGCAGTTTGTTGCCACGAGTGGATTCGTCTAGCGGAAGTTTATCATCAATGTTTAGCTCATCGGAGACAACAAGCTCATGCAGCACAAAAGACTCGTCAGGTTTCGAGAATTTCTCAGATTACTTGTTTGGTGGAGTTGAACAGGTTTGGACCCGCCATCGTCATGATTCATCTGCTCAAACGTTTTATAGAGTTTGATGTGCAAATAAAGAATGTTCCGGTCTATAGGTATTAGCCAATCCGACTGGCCTAAAGGCCAATATAAGTAAATTTGCTTTTAATTAGGAAAATTCAGTTAAATCAAGACTATGGTTGTAATTTTTAATTCAGATCTATGATGCACGCGTATATTGGATTAATTTTTTCAGAAGATTTGGTGATTTTAATTAATGATTTTAAAATGTTTTTCTAAATCCTATGTTATTAAATATGAATTATATGTAAAATTAATTAAAAACCACTTAAAATGTGTTATATTTAATCAAGATTTTGTAAATATTAAATCAAATCTATTGTTATTAGAAATATTTTAAATAATAGATTTAAATTATTTTGAATGACCCTTTTAATTAAGCTCAATAATCGATATACCTAAGCATTTAAAAGCCATTTAAAAAAAAATGTTGTTGATGTGACATGTTCATTGGACGGATATTTAGTTAAATTATATATATGATTTAAATCTTTTAATTCCCATAAAAAAAAAAAATCAAAAAAGTTATTCACATTTTTTTTTACATAAATGATAGAACAAAACATAGAGATAGTTTTTAAAAAACATAAAAAGATAGAGAAAAGAGAGTTAATCAATTGCCTGGTCGAGCTTCACTATCTTCATAACTATGATTGACTCTAGTGTTGGTTTGCCAATGACTGCAAAGATCACCAGTTGAGTAAAGAGTGACACTTTACCACCTTTGGGCACTGTAAGCAGTTCTACGCCTGAGGAACAATTGAGATTTTTTTTCGGTGATGAAACTTTCATCAAACTCTAAAACCTCCATCCAAATGATCTTTGTCTTGCTTTCAGAGATCTGCCTGAGGTAGCATCCAGAAGAAAGGCGTCTAGATGATGCTCCCTCATTGTAGCCGATCGAGATGTTAACAACCGCCCAGAGATCTTCTTGTAACTTCTTGCTGTGGCGTAAGAAACATAAGTACCAGAAGAGACGCAGTGATGAGAGCTGCTTCAATCTGTTGGATGGACTCTCCTTCCCCTTTACTGCGGCGACAATCCAACAACCTTGCATCGACCCTCTTGCCACAATCTTTTTTCTAGCCGATTGTCAGACTGAGATTTGGTTTTTAACATGAAATCTTCTCTAAAAAAGATTCAAAAGTTGGTGATATAATTATGGTCAATTTATTATTTTTGAAATATTAAAAAAAAAGTAAATGTTGGGTTTTTTTTTCTTGTGATTTGCCTGCTCAACAACTTCGTAAAGTAAGCATCCAAATTTTCTTCAGGTAACTTGGATCTTAAACTAGTCTGTCTATATGCAAAGTTTGTGCAAAATTTCATCTTTCTGATCTTACCAGATTGACTTTGATGATGAAAACCATTCTAATATATTTAATTGTTTAATATAGTTTGTGTGGTTTGAAGTAATTTTATAATTAGGAAATTTTGGTTAAAGTTCATATTCTGCTCGATAAAGCTCATTCGAAAGTTGGCCTCGGTAATAATTTTTGAATTAACACTAATGGACTGTCCTTTCTCATGGGCCAACTACAGAGGTGTTATTGGTTCTTGTATTTTAATGGATTTGAGAATCCAAACCAAATTCAGTGTTATTGGTTCTTGTATTTTAAAATTTATATTGAAATATAGTGTTATTGGTTCTATGATTTTAAAATCCATAATGAAATACAGTGTTATTGGTTCTATCATTTTAGAATCTAATTATTATAAGGATTTGAGTTTTAATTGAATTTGAATGGATTTGGAAGGATTTTCATGACTAAAATACAAAGACCCAAATACAAGGTCTAACCTTGGTATTTGAATGGATTTGATTTTTTTCTATTTTGCTGATTTTGAAATTAATAAATTTATCAAATTCAAAGAAGATTTATAAATCCATCAAAATATAAGAACCAATAATTTCTACTACATTAGGCATAACTAATGCTAAAGCTCCAAAATTTTAATAACAGATTATTGTTATAATTTCTTTCTAATAGACGGTTACTAAAATTACAATACATGCTACGATATATTTAGCCATCGGAAATAATTTAGAGTAACATAGAAAGTGAAGCTTTCCACATTTGTCGTTGTTCTAATGGGAGCTTCTTTTGGCTGAAACTGTTCTTCTTACACTCAAAATACAGAGTACACACAAATACAGAGAAATCCAAAGTATATAAATGCCTCACAGTAAACAAATAAAAAGAATACTTACACAAATGAAAATGAAACCGTTTTTTTAATCCCTTGATGTCGATTTGGTATCTTTTAAGACTCCTCCTTTCTCAAGCTCTCCAACGAGGTCCCTGAGCGAGGGAACCTTCATGGCTAGAGTTCTGTAGAGTCTAGAGTATCGAGCTCTTGTGCCATCAGCCGTTCTTGCTAAGGCCAGTGAACTTAGAGCTTCAGGCAACTGTCCAAACACTTGTTTCATTTCCTCTAGGCTCATGTTTTCCAGAACCGAAGGTGTTGGCACAACTCTCACTATTTCCCCTCCTTTAGGTTCTTGAATTCGGGCATCCGCTTTGATCACGAGCTCCGAGTTGGAGTTGGCTCCGCATTTTATGATGAATGGAGCCGAGGATCCTCCTGTGTTGAATTGCAACACGTTCCACTGAGACACATCGGTTTCGCCTGAGGATACCGAGTCTAGTGAAGGTCTCTTTTCGTCTTGAAGATTGTCCTCTTGTTCCGGGATTGTCTGCAGTTCAATAATTTAATTAACAAGTTTATAATCGAATCGAATCTGTCAAGACAGTTTTTATTCATCGCTTACCTCGACCAACTGGTGAGCCGTAGCAATTTCTCTCTGTGCGCATGGATGATCAACGTCAAGAAGAGAAGGCATTCTTTCGTTAAGTTCTTCAAGAGCCTCAAGCAATGCTTTCTTCTTGCTTTTACTCAAAACGTGGACAGAGGCTTGTCTTGTTATTTCCTACAAGAAGCATGCCGTTTTTAATCATAACCAAGATCAAGAAAGACTCTGAATGGTTTTGTATGATAAAGAGTTATAAATACCTTGACTTGTTTCAGTATGGCATCTAGAGAAATGAGAGAGGCTAGTCTTGAGTCTTCGGCTGCTGTAGAAGGATTTTGAACAGGAGAACTACCTTCTTCCAAGGTAAACAAAGCTGCATCACTTCTCATTTGTTGCAAAATCTGTTATAGAGGAGAATATGGAAATTAAGGCACGATGAAAACTCTTTTAAGAGATAAGGAGAGTGAGAACAACGATATGACAGCATAAGTTTCTCGTACCTTTCTTCTTTTGTGGTCAACAGACTCGAGCGCTGATCGAAGCTTCGCCACTTGACCAGCATCTTCTGCCTCTTCCGAAGCCAACGTACCAGCAATATCCTTATAAAACATCTCCATATATTAGACCTCACGTGGCAAACAAGTTCTTCAGCGAATAAGACTTAGATCTCAACATCAGCCTCTACTTCAACAGATTTCTTATTTCAAATCAGTTAATGCTGAAATCATTCTGGCACTTCCACTCCAAGAAAAATAAGAAATATCATTTTTGCCATTTGACATGGCATATATACCTTTAGATGCTGCATCTGAGAAGTGTAGACTCGTTTTGCATACTCAGATAAAAGCTGTCCCAAAGCGTCTGTGTGAGGTGGCACCGCAGCTCCTACTCCAGCCATCCAGCCATCCATAATTGCTGTGGAAAGAAGCTCTAATTGGCCAGTGGTTCCTCCCGAAACATCATCTGCTGTAACAGAAAGAAACTCAAAGCTTTCTGCGAGCCATGACCTAATCTGCCTTTGCAGTTCACCAGCCGGGGTGTGAACAAATAAAGCAGCTAAGGGTTTGTTCCCAATGGCAAAACTTTTGGCGTCATCTTGAATCTCCCTCAGCTTTCCTCCTGTCACTTGCTGTCTCCCAGTATCCTAAGACAATTTACAAACAAGAGAAGCATGTATGTTTGTACCTCGGATTCTCAGTTATTAGGTTAACATCAAGCATCTCCGGGAATCATAGATGTTGTACCTGGTCATGTCCACGGATTCTTGAAACTACGGAGACCAACTTACTTTTCTTTTCTGGCTTTAAATTTACTTTAAAGCCATGAATCTGCTCTTCATAATATCGAACTGGCGACCTACCCGGGCTGCTACTCCCGCTGGAGCTTCTAGTTCGACCAGTATAAGGCTTCTCCAGAAAGCGTTCAACAGGAGATACCTAAAAGAAGTGGTTGCCGTGAGATTAAGCTTTCCGGGAGAAGGGACTTAGTCACACACATGAGAGACAAAAAGCTAAAAGAAAATTAGCTCATAAAATTTGGATATGCTTACCTTGATCGACTGAAGCTCAGGTGATCGCGCAAGTAAGGACCTTATGTACAATATCCTGACTCGAGAAACAAGCATTGTATCCATTACTCTTCTTGGCTCCATTTTCCGGATAAATGAAAAGACAGCATCTCTGATCTCAGCAAGGATTTCATGCTCTCTGGATGCACCAGCCTTTATGACAGCTGCCAAAACCTACAAGTCAACGTTAACACCAATAAAAGTTATAAACCTGCAAATATTTGCAGATATATCCCAAACAGCCATACATGTTTACGGACAAACAGAATTTACTGTGGTATTCTATCTTCAAATCGTGGTGTAATAAATTCAGTTATTTGCATCCCTGAGAAATCTAAAAGGGTACTCAACATCAAACTATTAACCCATTGTTCAGTACCAGCATGAGAAGCTTGTTTGCGCCATCAGCAATGGCCGCAAGACCTTCATACTGTTCGGGATCAAAATCATTCAGTGCAGCTGTCAAGTATTCTCCAGCTGGTGTGGTTTTCACTATTTCAGAGCTGGATTTTACTACTGTAATTGCGCCCTCATTCTTATCTGCTGAAGATGGTAAAGTACCCACACTATTTTTCCTGAAGAAAATACGAAACATCAGGTGGCAAGGAACGTAAACAAAATTGAGAAGAATGAATTTTGGATTAAATAGTTCTGAAGCGATTAAGTAAAATACCTGTCAACATCTGCAGGCTGAACTGTTGGTGAAGCTTTTGATGATGGGCTAGATACCTGTATACAACAATGGATGAGAAAGCTTAAGCAAATGGCTAGCTGAAGCGTCCATGATGTAATACTGAATCATGCTCAAAAGAATCACCTGAGTCGAACCAGCATTTGACTTTTCTGTTAATCTGTCAAACAATTTTTCGTTTTCTTCATGCAACCTCTGCAGAAAGCA